TTTGGTTCAAGACGTTAATATTTATTATCATTTTTTACCTTGTATTTTGTTAATCATCATTCATGAGCAACTGATAAATGTCATTCAACTCGCGTTGGCAACGAAACAAACATTTTCCAATAATATTCGACTGGATCGTATATAATTTTTTACTGTGCGCCACAGAAATTATTGTAATCGAATGAGAAAGAAAAAAAAAAGAAAATGAAATTGCAAATACCTTGAATGATTAATATTTGAAAAACATTATTTACAACGTGGTTCACCGCATTAGACGTGCGAACGACGTGCAAGGGGGCTGATTGATGCATTAGGAATGGTGGCGAGCGCACGTCCACCCCTCCTGAAGCCTCGCACGTATACGCGAGGCTACAATTTTCCTTTTACGCGTAATTGCTGTTCAATTATATTGGGCTATTGTATAATGGTTTGGCAAAACATATAAGAGAAAAAAAACATATAACGTAATCATTAATATTTCTATTTGTAAAACGTGATGCTAGTAGGGAAAGAAAATTTTTTTTTTATTTTTGTGGGTCAAGGATCGTCATAAAAAATTTGCCACTCGTGCTGGATTGATTTTTGCTTGAAAGTTAAACATTGAGCTTCTTGTCCATTCCGTGAATTACATAAAAGCCACGCATGTTGTGCATTGTTAATGCGCACTGGCTTTATATTATATTCTTAATAATAGGCGCGCAAGAAACAACCCCTCGCGACACATTTGTTCGTGATTTATTAAGCATTGGCTTTTTTTCCTCTAAAATTTATTGTCGCAATTGTTCATTCTTCGCAGGAGGTAGCCCCTTCTCGACCGAGTCGTTGCTGCGCTGTGATGAAGAATCGTCGACACGGCGGAACTGGAGCCGCATCGATCAACAGCCGACCAACGCCTCGGAGCAACAGCAGCAGCAGCAGCAACAACAGGCTACAAAAATGGTGCCACCATTGAAGTTAAAAAAATTGTCTCGCGAAGATGATCACTCTCATCGTGGATCGTCGATCGAGCGCGAGGAAACGTCCACGCCGTCGTCGTCGGTTGGCGAGTACTGCATAATAACGCCGGAGCGGTCGGATCAACAGCAGCAGCAGCAGCAGCAGCACAGTGCACAGACGGTGGTGCTCGCGAGTGATAAAACAACGAGCAACGATTGCGCCAGCAGCGATCACGACGATTGTGCCGCCAAGAGCATCGAGATCACGATACCGTCGATGCCGGAATTGGGCATAAATGAGCAGCGCACGGACCGCATAAGCGTACCGCAGGAGTCGGCCAAGCCTTTCATCGTCAAATACACCATTGCCAACGACGGGTGAGTCAGCTTCGCTATTCTTGCCGCACATCTTTTTTATTTTTTTGTTGTTTTTACTTTATTTTATTTTATTTTATTATTATTTTTTTTTTCAAAAAAAAAAGCCTACGTTTAATACGTTCGACACGATCGCGCACTTATCATTTTACACGTTTTTCACGAAAAGAATAACATCTTTTTACAGACAATTTTCGAGACTGATGCCGATAAATTTTCAACCGGTGTCGGTAGTGCAGACGTCACCGATCACAAATAAGCTCGCCGATCCCGCCGTCAAATCCGACAAATTAGAGCACGATCAGAATTCGAATCTCATTTCCTCGATGCCGATAATCTCGCAAGACTCGAGAAGCGCGTCGAAAACGCACAACAAACCTGGCGAAATCGCCCAGGCGAATGGCGACTGGCATAAGCGTAAACATTGGCTGCGGGATAAATTGAGAGATCACCTCGCCTCGGTTTTAGAAATTAGACGGAAATTGCCACCCGATCAGGAGAGCAAGATCGAAGAATGTGAAGAAAGGATCGAGCGTATTACCGATCTGTTGAAAAAATTAAACGAATTCAAGACTCAAGAGTCCTTCGACAAATTTTTCCAGGAAGACATCATCGAAGAATTTTTAAGAAAGGATGAAGAAAAATGCGATGAACGTAGAGACGATACATCTATCACTGAATCATCCAATAGTACAACTGATGAAGTCTTTAGGTAAAGTTGGATAATTAATTTTCATGCATTTAAATTTCTTGTAAATACTTAACTGACAACGTTTCATGCGGAACTCGAAAATAATCGAATGACCTACGCGTAATAATAAACTAAAGATTCAACTTACTATGTTTGGCTTTCAGACATTTTTCACGTTTCTAAAGATAATTTATCGACGTTGGCAAAACGGGAAAAATAGAAGGAAACGCGCTCTTCATTTTTGACCATCGCGAATTTTCTGTAGAAAATAAAGAATGATGCATTATATCAGTGAACTGCGTGCATATACGTACGAACGTAAACTATAATATTTTTATCACTGCACACGCGCCACCTCTGTCATTAGAAAATTGCGCCGCTGATTAAAGAAAATCACGAACGTCGACGCTTTTATTATTACGATCGACGCGCGCGCTTCGCGTTTTGCGACACGTGTTACTGCGCAAAATGTATAAAAATATAAATACGTATTGAAAACGTTCTTTTGTCAATGCTCATTTTGCCCAATATTATCATGGTTCGTAGTAAAATTTTATTATCTCATCTACGCAGCGAGTTGCAACATTTGGGAGTTAAAGTATCGTCGACGGACGCCGAGACCAACAGAAATGTCACGACTAATAGTGGTATTCGGAGCAGCGAAGTGATAATGGACAATAAGCGAACAACCATGAATTTGGAGAAAGCCTCAGCGAACGGATACGTCGTTAATTCGGTATGTTGTGCATTAAAATAATATGGTATTTTAAGAGTTGAAGGGGGTTTATTAAAGTTTTAATAAACGAAGAAATATCGTAAGAGTTGAATTTGACTGTATTTTAATTATTGTGATTATTCATTTTTTTTTCTCATCGTAGTATATTTTAATGCTTACTATCTTTGTTAGAATCGAGTTCAGTTAATTAAAACGCGTCCTTTTTTTTAAACTCAGCATTTGATTTTTTTTCTCAATACGTGTATCAACGTAATTTTTATTTACAGCAGCTGAACACATACGCACATACATTGAATGATTAAATCAACAATGATGATAAGCAATATACTTTTTCCTCTCTTTCTTGCAAAATTTTGTTTGGTTTTGACTGCTAGAACTTTTATCGTCGCACTCGTGCATTTTACATTAACTTTATCTTATCTCGATAAAAATTTTATAAACTATACTTTATAAAAAAAATTAAAATAAATAAAAAGAATCTCAGTGAAGAATCGATTATAATCAAACAGGTGATTGACTCGCTCAAGTTGAAAAATTCTCATGTACTTCTAGTTAAAAAAAAAAAACATTGCCTGCTGTACATGACACCAACTTTGTTAATTTTTTCAAAAGATGATTTTGTTTTCTTTGGCAGGCATCTCCCAGATCCGTGATCGTGGACGCGCGTCCTACCTCAAATTCTGTAGCATCGCCGACGTCGATGCCTACAAAACCCAAAGGATACTCGTCCTTCATGATCGAGGAACTGACGGCAACGGCGCATCAACCGACGGCCGTCAGATCGCAGCAACAGCATCAGGTCTGCTTACCGTTGAACAGTCCGCGGGAAGCTTTAATAGCGTCGACCGCTTGGCTCGGCAACGAGCATCAACAGCACCAACCGCAACTGAACAGCATGACTGACGTCGTGGCGCAATCTTACACCTATAATCGAGTTGTGCAGCAATCGCAAATGATGCAAGAAGAGTCAAAAAAATTGCCCTGCAAAAGACCGACTTTGGATGACGTGTCTGTTAGTACTTCGCTGGTCGATAAGAAAAAGAGAAAAAAAGGTGAGATAGTTAATAAAACGATCTCGATAACCGTCATTGAGATCATTAGATTCAAGAGAAATAAAAGGCAGATATAATTGTTAGCAATTTTTTAATCTTCTTATTTTTATTCGTAATTAAGTTCTTGAGATCAAAAATGTCGTGATTATTGAATATTATACATTTGTATGGCGTTTGTAGTCTCATGATATTTCACGTTGGTAAATTGTTTGTCTACAGTCAATGATCCAGCGGCTCCACCGATGTCTCAATGGCCAACCTCGGGGTACATGCAAACTCATGCACCGTACAACAAAACTATGCTCAATAATCTGCAGCTTCAACGTATGCATAACAGCATGAACAATCCAACTCTAAGATACCCTGTCTCATCGTCGGATGTCGGGCTTTGGAGTCCAGCAATCATGGTTTATCCGCATAACGAGATCCATTCGCAGCAGCAACAGCAACTAATAAACGAGCCACTAGTTCATCGCGTCGTTGATTACAAAATTATGGACCAACAGCAGCAAGCGCAAACCAAAACTGCACGCCCTTTGCAGGAGTACCAGCAACAAATGTCAAGCGAATTCGTCATGAATGTCCATAGAGCCCACGAGTCTGAACAACAGGTAAATTCGACGTTTTTGCATTAAATTAACAATAGTTTTAATGCCCAACGTCATACGCTAAATTTCAACGTAATACTTTTTTTATTGTCTATGTACGTATTTATTGATGGTTTAAAAATGTTTAACGTTTGACAGTTGAGACACGAAGCGGCCAAACGATCGTTACAATCATCAAAAACACAACTACTACAACATCATCATCAAAATTCGATGTCGCATGAATCATCGACATCATCCAGAGTAATACCCGATCCTTTTGTAAATTTGAATCATTGGGCGGTAATTGAGATGTCAAAAAAGAATTCAGACATAAGAAAAAATGGATCAATCGTATTACCAGATAATCGACAGTCTTATTTCCAAGTAAGATATTTCTACGCTCTACAATATGGAGCAAATAATAAATATGTCATTGTTATTTTTAGCAGACAACTGGAGGAATCTATAAAGGTGGGCCCGTAGATTTGGTGAATAACAATTTTGCCAATACTCCAGCTGGGCATTGGGCTGTCGTCGCAGCTGAACAACAACAAGCTCGAGCTGCATCTTATCATCAACAACAGCAACATCAACATCAACATCAACAACAACAACAACAACAACAACAACAACAACAACAACAACATCAACAACAACAACAACACCAACACCAACACCAACAACAACAACAACAGACCTCAGGGCTAGCCACGTCAAGTGGCTTGTACCGACGCCAACCTACCAATATTCCAAATTATTCATCAAAACTTGGAGTAAAATAGTTTTTTGCCACTTTTTCAAAATAGTTAATGATCTTTTTATAGTAAAATGTATTTATTTTTAGTCCGCAATTTACTCTGGTAAAAATAGAGGGACTCCAATAATGAGTTATAATAATCTTTATCCGTACCATCCTCATCCGACAACGGTCTATGGAAATCTTTTACCATCGAGTCTCGAGTCTTCGCCGGCTTCGTCGACTTCGTCCACTTCTACCCCGGCATCCACCTCTTCGACTCCTCGTGTTCCACCTCTCATTCCTCTCGGAAGCAATAGTGCAAGTAATAACAGTGCTACAAATAATGACATCAACCAAGTCTCCACTGCTATGATTTTGGACAAACAGCGATATTATCAGCAGCAGCGTTGGAACAACGATTTAGCAGATCAACGTTTAGGTAGATTACTCGCTGCGCCAAATTTTGCAGAGCAGAGAATACAGCAACAGCAGCAAAGTCAACAAAAACAGCAAGTCAAAGTCGACGTATCGTCAGGAATTTTTAAAACTCCAGAAAGCAATGTCATCTATGCTAACAGCTCAAGGAGCAGTATCAGCAGTACTGCTCAACCCATGGGTTAGTAAAAAATTTATGTGCATCATTTTTATGATAAACAATTTTGATGAAATTAGTCACTAAATTCATTTTTAACAGGATCAACATCGTCAAGCCATTCATCATTATACTCTTCAAGCACTCAAATTCCAACACAAAATTCTTTGAGCCGAAACTATGTTTCCTCAACTGTCGTCAATTCAGCTGCGACAGAAGGAAATATTTCAAATTACGATAAACAAAGTCCAACTCCTAGTTTGATTGAAGCTCACCGATCATCTTCTTTTTTTAGATGTTTTTATTGTAACGTTGAAGGAGCTAAATTCGAATGTTTAGGCTGTGAAAGCGTGGCATACTGCAATGAAGTATGTCAAAAGCAGCACTGGTCGGTTCACGTTACACAGTGTCGAAAAATAATGCCAAAGTTAAAGAAGGTCGATTGAATCGCGTACGCTATCAAAGAAATGCTATGCGTTTACTAGTCAATATTTTTTTTCCTTCAGAAAAGAACATTCACTTGAATAACTTAAAGAATTGAACTATTATGTAAGTGTTCTTCTCTTTATCTCTCCTTCGGAATTTACTGTAGCAAATTGCTGTTAATATTAAACATTTCAATAACCATATGTTCAACTTCAATAGTTACTGTTTAATAGTTATGCTTCATATAACTTTTAAAACTCAAAATATGTAATGGATTCAAATAAAATTGCGATTTTTTCTTGATAATTGAAGCTATGAGCAAAGAAATTGAGGATAATCGATTGTCAATAAAAAATGATCTCTTGCAGATTTCTGTTACTTTTTAATAGGCCAGAAAACAATTGAAATGTTTTGTTATCTCAATAACCTAAATAAGAAATTCAAAATTAAATCCAAAATAGTGATTAAATTTTTTTGAAATATTATAATTTTGTACGATACCAAAGTCGATTAATTTTGTAATAATATATCTAACGATGCTATCTCTGAAAGTATTAGATAGATCAATGATAAAAGGAGCTATACATTCGATTTGAATATATTTTGTTGGTCGATGTAACCAAAGTTTTGACTGAGTGTACATTATTTAAAATAAGCTATTAACTTTAGAAAAACGTTTTTATTTTTGTACTTAAAAAAAGTAAAAAGTTTAATAATTCAAAAACTTTTTCATATTACTATAAGTAGTTCATTTTAGCATTGTATTTTTGTCAAATAAAATACTGCAAATCTTAAAAGTTGACATCATTTCGATGAGATGTTAAAAATCTATATCGTGATTGAGATATGAGACATTCAACTTTTACCTTGAAAGTATGAATAAATGTGATTGATGTGTATCCATAGATTTTTACGCAGTGCAAAACGTCATGTTTTATGTTTCAAAAGTTGGATTTGGACTGTAGAAATACGTGTAATGGTGTAGAAAAAATTATAAGCAATACTGCTTTAAAAATATATATCATTTTATATAAACCACCATAAATAAATACAAGCGAAGTATTTATCAACAATGTATCAATAATCAAAGAATAATAAATATTACTCCAGATCAGGGAAATATTTCATTTATGTCGCACGTATGTGCTGGCCGACCTGCGATCCTTTTGACAACGTCGTCCACGTACTTATGAGCTTCGGCGTAATGCGGCCCTGAAGCTTGTTCGACTCGATCGAACCAACCTTTTAACTTAGGCCTGCCTTGACGCGGCTCTAAACCCGCCATTCCTTGAAAATGAAAACATGATTTTTTTAAAATTATTTACTATTGTTATAATTCCATTGTTGTCATTTTCGTCATTATTGTCATATATATTTATAAGTTGCTTTTATATACCCTGTCTTTTATACTTTAGTTGTAAAGAATCAAAACTATATTTTAAGTTGAGAACGTTAATTTTTTTCTATTATTTTCTAAATATTGATTGAATGGACTGCAATTGTATCATTTTGGATATTTGTATAGCGTTTAATTTGTAAATCGCGTTAATTATATATGTATCTATGATTGTGATGTTAATATACGTGCTTAAATCCGGATGCGTGAATAAAGAAAAACATTATTATCCTTACGTATTTGTTCGATTTCGCAAGCTGCGAATAAGTCAGCGACGCTGATTTCATTTCCCATGAGAAAATTTTTATCTTTCAGCCAAAGGTTTTCAAATTGATCCAAGCAGGCAGTAACGCCGGACGCGCATTCCTTGGCACGTTCAGGATGGGCAGCTTTTTGTCGCATCATTGGAAACAGCACCTTTAAAGGCATGGATTGTTTGAGATATAATTACAATGAGCGATAACTATTTATGAACTTACATTCGCCAAAAAAAGTCGCGAACAGATGACACGCGTATTTAAATGCTGCCATTCCAAGTATTCATCGACTTTAGCTTGTTCTCGGGACTTTGTTGGATACCAGTGTTCGGCAACTTTAAATTCTCGGGCTACGTATCGAGCTATCCCAACACTTTGAAAATAAATAAGAATTAAATAATTAAGCTTCAGCTAATTTTAAAATTTTGGCATAAAATCAGCACCTTTCGATAAGCTTGAATCCATCATGTTCAATGGAGGGTACTTTGCCAAAAGGATGTATCTCCTCGTATTCCTCGGACCGATTTTCACCTCGAGATATATTGACAATGTGCGATTCAAAAGGAATATTACATTTTTTGAAGAATATATACAAGGCTCTCGAAGGTTGAGATAAAAAATCAAAGTACAGCTTCAAAACCATGATGTCGTAACTGCAGAATGTTATACATTTTTATTACGGCGATTAAGTTTGATATTTTTGTAAATAAGGAAAAAAAGCGTTAGATTGAATGATGTAAAAAAATCACTATGATTGCATTGAAGTTATAATTTTATTAAACTGAAAATATACAAAATCGATGGCACTGGCGCTAATACAGTAAAATTCAAACCAATTAGTTAAACTAACAAAAAAAATAGAAACTTTACAATCGACTCTTGACTTTCAGAGACTGTTCGAATAGTTTCGCTTTCTCTCTGTTTCTGACGATCAATTTATCGACAATTGCGTGGGCCTCGTTGTAATGGGGCGACGTTACCTGAATGACTCTATCGAGCCAGGCGGATAATTTTGGTCGATTTTTACGTGGATCGAATTCTGCCATTCCTGTACAAAAGACATAATGAAATTCAAGTCGTTTGGTGAATGTTTTTAATTGGAATTTGTATATGAATAAAAAAACTCACGAGCGTGTTCAATTTCGCACGCTCCGAATATATCGGCGATGCTGATTTCGTCGCCGATCAAAAACGATTTGTCTTTGAGCCAGATATTCTCGATCTGATCCAAACAGATTTCCATACGTTGGAGATGCTGCTCGAGTTCAGATTTTGTTGGTTCTCTGGCCTCGAATCTGCGCATCAAAACCTAGGCAAAGCCAATCGCGTGTACAGAAATATATTATATTGGTCGTTCAAAATAAAAAAAGTTAATATATACCTTGAGATAATAATACGAATTACAATGTAATCTCGTATTGAGATGCTGCCATTCCAGATACTCGTCGACTTTGGCCTGAGCTCGGCAATCTTTCGGATACCAGTGATCAGGCAGATTGTATTCGCGGCAGATATATCGCGCGATCGCTACACTGCGCGAGAATAAGAAACAATAAAGAGACGTTGATTATAATATTTTTCTTCGCAATCTCTCAATTATTAATCATTTGCGCGGCTCATGATAAAATATTGTCAATAACAAAATCGCCACTTACCTCTCGGTCAGCACGAATCCGTCGTGAACGATAACGGGTACTTTGTGAAACGGGTTGACTTTGCGAAAACTCGGCAACAATTGATCGCCTCGGCCTAGGTGCAGAACCTTCGGCTCGAAGTCAATGCCCACCGTTTTAAAAAAGATGTACAGTGCCCTCGATGGTTGCGACAACAGATCGTAATACAGCGTTAAGCTCATCCTGTCGGTCGAGAAATTATTAACGACCTGACGTTGAAAGCTGCACAATATACATGACAGTTCACGGTATAATTATTTCGTTAGTTTCCTTTTTGAATTTGGCGCGCTTTCGCAGCTAAAGCGTCGGCTACTATTTTGCCATTTACATACGTATCTACGCACACACATACACGTAAGTGCATCGAGCATGAGTGCTAATTTGGCAGGTGTAAAAAATCATACATCGAAACATGTATTATAGACCCTGATTTACGTGAAGGGGGTAGTACATAGCAAAAAATAAAAATAATCATCAAATTAAACGAAGATAGTATGTATTGTTCACTTTAATGTGCCAAATAATTAGAGTTTTACAAGAATACGTTTGAGTATGTGTTAAACATATACGTCTATAATGGGCTCATGGTCTCAAGCACATTAGAAACGCAGTTTATAAACATAAAAATGAAGCCTATTGAACGCAAAATAAATTAAAAGCACCTAATATACAGTTTAATTGTTGATCTCCAAAGACTTACTTTCAGAAGGAAATTCAATATCTCTGGGCGAAAAAATAAATACAAGGTGAAGCGTGGTCGATGGCCAGTGTTTTTTCCGTCAATTTTGCACCGAGACTAAAGAGTCTATAACGCTTTATCGGCAAGAAAACATTAAGTGCACGATAATCCCACCTACTGTCACCATTGCAGCGCACATTTGCGCATGTAAGTTTGCGACTACAAACAAGTCATAAGCCGGCAGCTGCATGCGCGCGCAACCGTCACGCGAGGTGTGTACTTTGCAATTGCAGCGCAATGGCATAATTTGTAATATGATGCAGCATCTTTTGTACCGAATGACGTTATCTACCAATATTTGCTTGACACAAAAAACCATCTGTTCGACAGGTTATATGAATATATTTCTCGTTGTAATCACGCGACAAGTTTTAGTCGATATCGAAGCTCTTCTTGACGACGACTTTTTCCAGTCTCACCAGGGCGTCCTCGTAGTGCGGCGAAGTAGCTTTGGCGACGCGATCCAGCCAAGCACTGAGTTTCGGCCGTCCTTTTCGCGGATCGTAGCCGACCATACCTATAATAAGATGAGCATTTTTTTCTCTTTATATTCAGAAATGTATCGCGTACGACGCGCAGAAAATATTGTCATAGGAAAAACTCACGAGGATGTTCGATTTCGCAAGCGCCAACAATGTCGGCGATGCTGATCTCTCGTCCTGTCAAAAAAATCGCGCCATCCCTGAGCCAAATATTTTCAATTTGATCCAGACAGGCATCCATGTCCTTCATCAATCGTTCCAATTCCTCGGGTGGCGATTGCTGGCCGGTACGCATCGGCAAGATGGCCTTGGCGATCAAGTAGGCGACCAAAGGCTTCCTCACGTTCAAGTGCTGCCACTCGAGATACTCGTCGACGCGAGCCTGGGCCCTCGAGTCCTCCCGGGGATACCAGTGATCGGCAACTTTGAATTCTCGGCAAAGGTAGCGCAAGATCGCGACACTCTCCATGACATTGAAGCCGTCGTGCGCGATGGCTGGCACCTTTTTGAAGACGTTGATTTTTTCGAACTCGGCGTTGTCGTGTTCGCGCTTCACCAGCTGATAGGTGCGCGATTCGAAGGGTATACCGTTGACTCGCAAAAAAATGTAAACCATTCGACAAGGTGCCGAGAGCAGATCGTAGTAAAATTTCAATGCCATGGTTTGATCGCGATCGGTATCGTCTCAACGTTTAGAATGATAGTTTCCTACTGAGAGATCCATCAAAAATGTTAGATCGTGCATCTGCGAAAATCTCAATTATTCTTAACTCGTGTATGCCTCTGCATGCGTGGAATTATTTTCATTAGTCATCGTGACAGGTTGCTCATTACATAATTCGATTCTATTTCAAAGCAGCCAACATTTATTATAAAAAAAACAATATCGAACTTCTACATTTTAGGTGAAAGCTGGATGATTTTTTCATGAGCTTCTTGGTAGTGAGGAGAGGTTGCTTTCGCCACACGATCGAGCCATTCGGTCAGTTGCGGGCGTCCCTTTCTAGCATCGAAACCAGCGAATCCTTCAAGCAAAATATTACGTCAGTATAGTAACAAGCAAATTTAATCTACGCATTTGTGTCGCAACTTACTGAGTTGTTCGACCTCGCAAGCTCCGATTATATCGGCAACGGTAATCTTGTTAGAAACTAAAAAAGGCTTATTGTCCTTCAACCAGATGTTATTTAAATCATCCAAACTGGAAGCCACGGGCCCTTCTAATCTTTTTAATTCCTCAGGACGAGCTGGTTTTTTCGTTATCAATGGTATAATTGACTGAAAAATTGAGATTTTGTTTTTCAATCACGTACTGTGAAACAATTGATGGTTTCGATTTACCTTGGTGCGAACGTAAGAGACTAAATGAAGTCTCAGACCCATGTGTTGCCACTCGAGAAATTCGTCCACTCTAGCTTGTGCTTTGGATTCTTTCGGGTACCAATGATCGTCTACCTTAAATTCCCGACACAAATAACGCAGAATGGCAACGCTGCAAGAATAAAAAAACAGATTTCATGCTAAGAAGATTAAATAATTGCATTGAGCTAGTTATCAATAAATTACCTCTCGGTCAAAACGAATCCATCGTGCTCGATTATAGGAATCTGTTTAAAGGCATTCAATTTGGCAAAACCTGGCTTCAAATGTTCACCTTTCATCAGATTCACAAACACAGACTCGAAGGGTGTTCCAGTCTGTTTCAAGAATATGTAAAGTGCTCGAGCTGGCTGTGATAGCAAATCATGGTAGAGTTTCAAGCTCATGGCACCACGATTAATCTGCAAGTTAATTTGAACAAATTTTGAATGTCCCGCTGTTTCAGTGGAGGGTAAAACCTCGTCATCGCGTCACAACTTTATCTGTTGTCTATTCATCCAAGCAAATCAGATAAACCTTAGCATATAACACAATTTTGCGAGTATTTATACACTTTTTTAATATAATTATTGTGCTCTTTTGATTCTATTATAAAGAAAATTTGAAAAATATCATCGGAAAACATTTTTTAACGCTTACCAAAATTAAAGACGCTAAGTAACTTGATTCTCCACTGCCGAAGATTATCGGATTGATTCAAGCGTCCAGTACCCGAACTCAATTTAGCAGAAGACTTTGGCAGCGTTCAGAATCAATCCCCTCTCAATCATTTTGGGAACGAAACATTTTTATTTGAATGAACATATCGCATTTGATGTAAAATTATTTATTCACTTCGAAAACAATATTATTCTACAATAAAGATCATTTTTTCACTTAAATATTTAAACTTACAGTTTTAAATATATATTCAATATTCTTAATTAATTTCAGTATACAGTTAATTTTCTACTACGTTATCGTTCCTATACAATCACGAAACATTAATAATTAACGCCCCATTCATTAAGGCTGTGTTATTGTTTTTCTGTTTCGATTTTTATTTAAAAAACCTGGTATAAAAATAAAAAAAAATGGACTTAGATTTATGTGCACAAAACATGTAAATTTTGAATGAAAATGTACTTTGTATATAAATTTTCATTTTTAACATGACATGTTCCAGATTCATAAATTTTGTTAAATTAATCTTAAATATTTAAATTTTAAAAATATATACTTCTATTATAATCTGATTTTTTTTAAATAATCATGCAACATCTCGAAATGAACTTTAATCTTATATACAATTTGCACTTGAGATAGATTGTCCCACAATTCAAGAAGTGCGACGACTATTTGTAAAAAAAATATTGCCCTAAACACTTTCAAGTCTCTTACAGCATTTTTAACTTTATTTTCATTGCTTGCGTCGTTTACGTGACGATGATACAAGATCATCAGCTCCTAGATCTACTGGCACTTTAACTTTTCTAACTCTTGATGTTCGTCTAGGTGTTGTCATGCTATCGTCTTCTTGTGAACTTAACGGTGACCTTTGAGAACTGTCCATTTCTGCGATTTTGTCTAATTCACTTTGTACATTACGTCTTGCGTTCTTTTCTCTCTTAGGTGTTGGAGTTGCTTCAGCCTTACGCTTTTTCGTTACAGGCGGCGTCTTCAAGGGTGTTTTTAGTGGCGTACAAGGCAAGCTTATATCCCCAAGTCTGTAAAATCACATTATACATATAATCTAATTTAAATTATATACATGTTAAGTAATGTAAGTCAAACACACCTTAAGTCGAAAGTATTTTCATTCTCGTTTTCTCGGTTTGCATCGTTTTCTCGATTAGCGTCGTCTTTATTTATTTCTCTGTCTCTATTAATATTTTCGGGACAGGTAGCAGGAATGACTGGCCTGGTTATAGTTTCTGTCCTAGTATCAGACATCATTTGAGAAAAACTCGGAGCAACTGGACATGGTTGTGACATGAATGACTGTGGCTTGACTTGTTGATTTTGATAAGTTGCTTCCGTGATTCCGATTTTCTTATTAAATTTTTTTACATCTACTACCGCGCATTTACTACTATTGAATATCTTGTAGATGCCTACAAGATAATCTGCTAGCTCAAACATGTCAGATCGGTGAGATATGACAATGAACTGTGCATTTTTCGTACGTTCTTTAATGTAACTAGCAACAATTGAAACATTTTTGAAATCTAGAGCAGCATCAATTTCGTCCATAAAATAAACTGGTGTCGGTTTGTAATGATGCAAAGCAAACACCAAAGCTAACGAACTCAGAGTTTTTTCACCACCACTGAGATTTTGAATGTATTTCCAAGATTTTTTTGGTGGTCGAACGCTAAAAACGATACCTTCACTGAAAGGATCGAGCGAATCGACGAGTTCGAGCTCGGCATCACCGCCTAGCGTAATCATGCGGTACATTTCTTTAAGTTTTCCAGTAATGAGGCCGAATCCTGCATTGAACTCTTGCATGCGCTTACGCACAGCAACCTGATAAGTTTCACGCATTTTGTTGCGTTCTTCTGTAATTTTTTGTAATTTTTCCGAACGTCTAAGATATTCTTCATTCTGAGCTTTGAATTGATCAATTATCTGCATATTCGGTATTTCTTTAGGTAATTTTTCTTTAGCTTTTTGCAGTTGCTGAGCAACGACTTTACTATCTAATTCTGCTAACTCCTCTTTGGTAAACTCGCTGAAAGTTTCCTCGTTTTCATTGGGAATTTCTTGAAGTTTCAAATTATCCATGGCTCTTGTAAGTTCAGGAATTCTTTGACGAAATTCTTTAACAATTTTGTTCTTTTCATTGAGTTTTTGATCAAGATCTATTTTGACAGCTTTCATCTTGCTCTCTCTAGATTGTAATTTATCCAATTCACTTTTTAATTCAACTGCAAGTTCATCCCGTTCAGCTAGCTCTTTATTGATTTCTTTCAATTGACTCATGACGTCTGAACCCATTTTTTCACATTCGGCTTTTTCTTTCATTATTTCACGAATTCGTTGTTCGCAGTTTTTAATTTCTGTTTCAAGGGTCTCAATCCTTTGTTCAGCTTTCTTGGCGTTACGTTCGGCTGTTTTTATAGCAACTTGCAACCTGCAAATTTCACCTTTGGTTTTATCGATAGCTTTTGTTAGACTGGATATTTTCTTTTGTTGTTCTTTGACCCGTCCACCAGAAATCTCCTCTATTTTTTGATTGATATGATTAACTGCATTTTCTAATTCTTTACAATCTTCAAGAGCTTCATTGTATCTTTTTTCTGCCTCCTCCACAATTTTTGTGAGTTCTTTAACTTTTTTAGCATCGCAAACTGTTGCTTGAGTTTTTTTCTCTTGTTCCTTTAACTGCTTACGTAAATTTGGTTCAGCAACACTTAGTTGATTAGCTTCGATTTTACATTTATCTTTATTTACTATCATTTCTTTTAAAGAATTGCTGAGGGAATGGATTTTTTCTTCCAAGGGTGGTTGAAGAGCTTTCACATTATTATACTCTTCGAAAACTTGGTCGAGCTCGCGCTGCAATTTTTCGATATCTTGAGCAGTTGGTTCGCTACGTGCTACTTTTTGACCCATTCGTCCACGGGCTGAAGTACGGCCACCACCACTCATCGTACCAGAAAGTTCAATCATTTCACCCTGCAAATTAATGTAGGAAAAAATATTGAAAAATTGAACTAATTTAACAAAAAATAAATTCATCATACCTTTAAAGTTACAACGCGGAAACGTTGAGCACCGTAACCAATGCGCGTCGCTTGATCAATGTCATTGGCTACAAGTGTGTTTTGTATGGCGTAATAAAATGCAGGTAATAAACGTTTATCTTCGACTTGAATTAGATCGAAGAGTCTGGGAACATTTTCGGGTGTTCGTATTTTTTCCTGACATTGACGAGCAAAACGTTGTTGCTTTTCTAGGGCAATAAAGGTACCCCGACCAATGTCGTTATCCCGCAAAAATTTAATGCACTCAGTAGCGGTATTAACTGTATCAACAACTATATTATCCAAAGGACCACAAGCTGTAGATATGGCTACATCGTATTTGGCGTCAATTGCTCCAAGATCACCCTAAATTATTACAAATGAACATAATGTATAATTTATAATAATTGAAGTAATAAATAAATGCTTAAATTTTTCTATAATATCATTGATACTTTACCAGTCTACCAAATATTCCTGGTATCCTGCCTTCTCTTTTTTCTTTCATGAGTGAATTCAAGATGTGATTTCTCGATCTACCCGCTTGCATAGCGGATTTTTGCTCATCGAATTTCAATCTGGTATTTCGCAAACGTGCATTTGCTTCACTTTCACGGGCCTTCAATGCTTCAAGTTTTTTTTTAGCACCTTCCAATTCTTCTTCAGTTACTGGAATTTTGGGTTCTATACTAGCCAGTTCCTTTTTGCATTTGACTAATCTTTCACTAGTAGTTTTCATATGTTCTTGTAGTTCTTGCAACTTATTTTTTTCTGTTTGTTCTTCTGAGGTGTATAAATTCAATTTCGATTTAGCTATGTCCAAAGCAGACTTTGTTTCATCAACATTTTTACGTTGCGGAACCAATTTTTTCTCATAGCTAGCACGTTTTTCTATGAGAGGTTCAGTTTTTTCTTTAAGCCCACTCATCAATGTAACAAGAGCAGCTTCTTCTTTTTCCTTGTCTTCTAATTGTTTTTCTTGAAGTTTTTCACACTCTTCTATGTCTTTTTGGTTTTTTTCAGGTACTTTTTCTAAGTCCTCTAATTTACTTTTTTCCTAAAATTCATAATGTGATATAAGAATTAAAATGTATGATATTTGAGCATAAAATGAAAGGATTAACTTACATTTTTTACAGTGGTCATGTTATCTTTTCTTCTTTTATTTGTTGCTACAGATTCAGCATGAAGGGCTTCATCTTTTTTTCGAATTTCATCAAACTCTGCAGTCAGTCCATCTTTCTTCACTTGTAATTTTTCCCATTTCTTAGATTTTTCTTTAAAAATGTTTGTCTTTTCATCACGTTCTGCTTGAACTTTATTCATTTCTTCTACCAATTTTCCATGGTCTTCATCTAATTCTTTTTTAATCTCTTCTTCTTTCTCTAATTGTTCTTCAATTTCATACCTAATAAATACAATAAGTCCAATCAAAATATTTACAAGAAAATTTTTTGAAACCATTATAAAAAACATTATAACTCAACTTTACCTTTTGATTTGATAATATCGATGTTGAAGTTTTATTATAGAATTTTCCCCTTTTAAATATTGAACAGCTTCTTGCATAGGTTTTTCTAAGTCTATTTTGGCTTTTTCAACTACTTTTAAACGTCTTAATTTCTCTTCACGGATTTCAGAAAGCTCTTCTACTCTGACAAATAATTTTTCTAAGGGTTCTCGATATCTAGTAGTTCCAATAATATCTTCCAAAAACTCTAACATACCAGTATCACCTTCTGTCAAGCCTTTGGGTTTCATAAGGGCAATTTGTTCTACTTCTCCCTAGAAGTAATTTACAATAAATATAGAAATATACTACATAGCAAGTATTAAACAAAATATTTCAATTTAAGACAAATTTCAATTTACTTGTAAGATCAAAAATCTATTATGATCCAAATCAACGTGATGAGATTTTAAAAGGTTCGTGATTTGTTTAAATTGAGCTTTCCGGCCATTAATTTCATAATAAGAAGAACTATCTTTGAATGCTGTTCTTGAGATATAAAATTCACTGTTAGGAATGATATCGTAATCTTGTCCAGGCTAGAATAAGGTAGATCATTCTTATAAAATTTGTATTGCAATACATAATTATTATTTTTGTCTTGATGGTATACCTTATCAATAATTTGTTGAAAATGTACAGAAACTGAACAACTTGAGCAATGAGGATGTTCATTTGAATTATGTATAAGCTCAGCTACTTTTTTTGTTCTGATTTTATTTGCACGATAACCAAATACAAAGAGCATAGAATCAATTGCATTACTTTTTCCATTTCCATTGGGACCAACGATAGAAGAAAAGCACTGAAACGTAATTGATTATTAATATGAACATGAATTGATGATTTTACACCACGCATACCTTGTGGAAAGGTCCAATCTCAATGGTTCCAGCATAACTTTTGAAATTTTTTGTAACAATTTTCACAATCATTAGTCTTGGGCCTTTAGTATCATATTCACCGAAAACCATTGGTGGTGGAGGAATACAAATATCATCAGATACTCTCCAACCTCCTGCTTCATCGCTATTTTCTTCTTTTCCTTCTTCTTCTGCATCTTTAGGAGGTGGATCAACATCCATTGCCTCACTGGAGCTTCCTTGACTTTCAGTAGTCATATTCACTATAAATTATTAAATAAAATTAAACTTATCACATTAAAACAATTAAATTCATTGACAAAACCACTTCAAAAAGTCAGTTATCAAAAAGTGTAAATAATTGTACTGATTCTCTTCAATGGAGGTTAATATAAGTTGACACAATAATGCAATTTAAAATATCACTTAATCAACGTGAATTAAATGTTTTACATTTCTCACTGAATGAATAAACAAATTAAAATAACAATCTTTCACTGGAATTACCATTGATTTAGTCAACTCGAATGTTTATATTTGCTCAAAACATAATCAACGCGATTCTGCAGAAGAAGTGGCGGGCAAAGCGACGCTATAGTGTGCGCTTGCTACGAGAAATTTGAAATTATAGTTTTAACGATTATTCTGCACGCTAGTACACACGAGTAAACCCTATAATCAATATGGCGTTAGGCGCGTCTGATAATTTTTGAATTCACGGAGCTTTTCTGTTGTCATCCATTGATGGTAATGCATTAACATGACTGACGTTTAATTTAACGTAATTGTAGCTATTTGGAATTACTTATTTGCAACTTATTTAAATCTGTGTGGCGCACATAGAGCATTACTTAAGCTAAAAACCGTTGCCAAAAATCGAACGATAGGTAGTCGCCATTTTCTTAATTCGAGATATATCGAAAATATTTTTTGTCTCGAATGGGAATTGACACTTTAAAAAAATTAATTTAAATATGAACGTTTACAATGTTAACTTTGAACTAATTGAAATTAACTCATATTGTAAATTTATGTCGGTAGGTAATTTTTTTTTATGAATTATTTACATTATGTTTAAATAATATTTGTTTAGAATAAACAATTCTAAAATCAGCGGATCAAAAGAGAGAAATAATATATAATAATGATAATGATTGCAGTTCAGGACCAATGTATCGCATTATTGATAACGGTAGCCTTGTAATAATTTCCTGTAGAATTCTGTAGGGAAGTGCTACATTTCTGTAGAAGTCCTGCACTTTTTCATAAGTGTACATTATTTTGAAGGTATGTATTTAAAAAATTTTATGTTGATATACTCGAATACATGGGTATTTCAGTTTGCATTTGACGTAAACATTTCTCTGAAATTAATAAGGGTCACTTATTTTTTTACGTCTGACAAAAATACAAGGGAATTTTAATGACGGTAAAAATATAAAATGTTTTAGATATACATGGAACTTTTCAGCAAAATAATTGATAGAAATTAAAAAAAAAATAGAAGTTTTTCATTAGCATCCTGTTTTTGATATCCCTTTCAATGTGATAAAATTAAATTAATGCAAGCCTATACCATTTACGAGATTTATTTTGACCAAAGTCATTCAAGCGAATAGCCTCGTGCTTGCCGCCACCGTGAGAATATATATAAGTGTGTAACCCAGATCGAAATACGATTTCAAGTCGAATTTTGAATTTGATACTGTATTATCAGATTCTCACACAAATTGAGCTGGTGGACAGATATATCGGTGTGTCTGCACAATCAGTTTAAAACAAATCATTTTGAATATACAAACGCAGTTGTGTTGCAGAGGCCGATCAATCTACGCCCTGACCCGTTGTGTATATATAACAACGCGTGCTCACTTATAAGCAAGCCTCGAAAAAGTTTATGTTCGTGTTTTTCATAATACCGTACTTGATGCAGAGTTCTATAACCTTTATTAGATATGCAAACGCAATTCTCTGTCATTTCGCTAAGCAGTGTTGATTTGTATATACAGCTGATTATTACGATGCACATCTAATTATATACAAGCTTTCGAGTACTTTGGCATGAGAATGACATATATGTTACTACGTAACTAGTGAGTGTTAATATACTGTATATATGTATACATATACACATGACACACGATACATATGTATACATCGGGTAAGAATATTCATCGATCAAGTCGCAGTCATCAGAAAAGCATAAATGTTGAAATTAAAAAAGCCAGCAGTGATTAGTCAATGAGTTGAGAAAAGTTTAGGACGCACAACTCAGCAGGCTGAGCCATTGTTTTTGACAGATATTTAACGCTAATCGGTATTTCCGAGTGTTATATTAACACTAACTGCGGTTAAAATGGCTGACTGCGAGAAAGAAGAGGCTCACAATCTCGTAAGTCACGGTTTTGCTCTATCTTTTATCTAATTATCTTCTCATCCGCGTATGTACACAACGATTAAGCAAATATTGGGACTGTAGTGCTTTTATCTCTTTAAATGCCTTTTTTTAATTTTATTCTTTTGATTATGAATTGATTAGAGCCTGAGGTTAGGTTCTGCATGGTAGTTGTTATTGCCATGGATTATTGATACTTGTTATCACAAAATCAAAAAGTGTATCTGACACTCAACTCATGAACAAGCGATAACAATTATGCAACAGTAATTTTCTTTTTATTTGCAATGATTGCTTAAAGAGATCAATATATATTATTAAGGTCCTCCTGATTGTTCAATAAATAATTTACATACAATTTTTATACTTCCAGCAAATGGAATTTGAATGGGTACTCCATGAAGAAGTTCATTCATCTCTTTCACAGCTTCGTAATATTTTAATGGTGAGTTTCATTTATTTTTGCAAGAGTTATTGATAATTAAGTAAGTTGACTTACTGGTTATGAGCAGTTTTTTTTCATTTGACTGTAACTTTAAATGATCAAAAATAAATATTAATAATAACAAATATTTTTTTCTTTTTTTCCAATAAATGAATTTTTGTACAAATCAATCAAATTTTTTACAGGAATGTGCACAGAGATTTCCATTAACACTTTTTGGAAATGATCAGCCAAATAAAACTGATAGATTTGTTTTTGCTGCTCCACATGATTCTATAAAATGTGTTCTAGTTCTTACTGGTGACAGTATTACCAATGCTGTAAGTATAGTTTTATTTTAAAAAAATCAAATATCTTTTACACAATTTTTAAAATTTTATTTCATTTCTAATTTCTTTCCAGGATGTAAGTTTTAAAGTTAATCGTCAGCAAAACCAAAATATGCGAACTAGTATAGTAAATGATCACCCTTGGAAATTACAACAAATCCAAGATGCTGCAAATCATTTGCAGCAAGCAATTGCACACATTGATAATGTTGATAAACACTATTCTTTCAAGACTTCTGACGAAGTTATGCATGTCTTGGGAAACATTTTGGGATGCTTACAACGAAGCAGAACTAGTTTAATTGTTCCTAGAAAAAAAAATTTAGATGAGTTAATCAGAAGCAGAAATATGGTAAAAAAATTAAATTATATTTGAATGATACAGTTTATGAAAAAATTTAATATAACGAGCAAAATTAATATTTTTTTAGAAATCGCTTAATCCTAATCTTCCAGAAAGTTATGCAATTAGTTTTTATGTGCAGAGCTACAAGTTAATTCTTGCTGTATATCAATTAGAAAATTCTCATGGAAGTGTCAAGTATGAGCATACACAAGCTGAATGCAGTGTACCATGGTTAAACGAAGCTTTAGTTCTACTCACAATATCTCTTCAACTCTGCCAGCGATTAAAAGACAAGGTACTTATGTTCAATTAAAATTAATATTGTCATCAAAAAAATTCATTCACTAATTTTTTTTAAATGAACAATTACATTTTTTTCAGATTTGCGTATTTTCTCAGTATAAAGATTTCACTGTAGGTTCGAGAGTACCCTCACCGGTCGGGATGAAAGGTTAAAGATTGATAAATGATTGAATAGAATATTTCATGAAAATAATGAATATGCAAGAGTGTACTTTGCCAATCTCGTGCCTAGTTTCACTAATCGCGTTTTCGTAGTATAATTCTCAGTAGGTTCTTTGCACTGCATAGTATTGACATGGAATTAACTTGGTCTCTGATAGATAAGTAATAAAACTCAACGCATAGCATTGCCGCTTTGACGACGAACATCCCACTGGAGTCACTCTTGTGAAACAATGTATTTATACGTACATTTAAGTGACGCTTATATATAGGTAAGATTGAAACTATATTGTAACATAAAAAGATATATGACTTTGCTGAAGTAGTGAATTTGAGAAAAGAATTTTAATCAACTTGTATGTTTTTGATTTATTTCACGTACATACATTTAATATGTAACATTCACATTGAAAAATACTTGTTATTCTTATTTAAAAAATAATTATGAATTCAGTTTTCTTTATGTTTTACTATTATTATTTTTGTTATTATTATCATTGATTGATGTATGATATACATATTAAATAGTATATAGTCTTGATAACATCATTTAAACAACTTCGGGAAAAATGAAAACTTTAGAAGTTTGAAAAACTAATTTAAACCTAGAACTTGTTAAACACAAATTGATTACAATGTGTGTTCTTGAGAGAGTATTTCGAAGGCATTGCTTGATAGCATTTCCATAGTGACATGAAATAATTGTATTGAGAAAATATGCACTAAAATACTGTGACCCAATTAATGAAATAGGTCAATATTAAAAATCCTAATGCCATGGTTGACAGCTAAGCCAGTTACTTTGCTGTTAAAATTAACCAATTATACAAGTGAGAGAGTCCAAGAATTTTATGTGAGTATTTTGAGTCTTAAAACTCTCACTATTAACTTGTAGAAACCAAAGACTATTTGATTCTTAATTTTCTGGATTTTCATGATTAACGCGAGTAGTTGAATCTATCAAGTGACAACGAGACTGCCTCTGGCTATCTTTCTTTTATGTTTTATTTTCAAACATGAATTATTAAAAATTTAATCTGGGTCAATTAAAAACTAATCAAGTTTTATAAATAATTGATTGCATCTCCGATTTTTTCACGTTATCGGTGCGATACTTTTTTCCTCCTAACTTCATTATGATTGATCTGAGATTATTATACGTGATTTGCTTGATGCAAACGAACTTATATATTTTATTGACGTTACATACTTTCTGTAGTATATTTTAAAGTGTTATTCAAAATATATCATTTACTATAATTATCATTATTATATTTATGTTAGAGATGACATTTTTTATAGAGTAGTTAAATTTATTAAATGAAGTACTTACCATAAGAGACGTTACCTTGTATGCAATATTTAACTTCGATGGTGATTATGATAAACTTCAATTGAAGAATTTGTTTTGTGAAACGATATAATGTATTAATGTAAAACGTGAGTAATATTTATTATTGCAAAAATAATTAACATTCATATCGAAAAAATAAAATAAGATATGTATGTGTAAATGAATACAAAAACTATACAAAAACTGAAAAAAGAATTATTGTTATGATGTGTAGTTATCGATTTTTAAAAATGCGCTTGTAAATACGAAAATAAAATTGTACTATGTAAAGTGTGATATGCAATTGTAGCTACACGGACATGATTCCGAATGATTTAGTTAGTAACTATGAAATACATTTATGGATATTTATATTAAGCCATGATTTTTTCTTCGAAACTTTATGTAGATTGCTGAATTATTGGTACTAATAGAAGTTTGCAAACACTAAATTTTAATCTCAAAAAGTGTCTGTACATTAAAATAATACGGAGATTGTAATGTTCGACGACACCCATCGTCTCATTAAAGACAATAAAAACAATTTTTTGCACAAATCGGGATATTTGAGTGTAGCCACGTACGGGTATCTTTAATTGCTAAAAAAAAAAAAAATTCATTCTTCTATCTGTCGCATACACGCTCAATAAAAAAATTTAGTCCATTAAAAAAAGTATTGTATCCAATTCATTGTTAGTCATCGTCGGAACAAAGATGCGCATAATAACTTGTGGCCATTGCCAGAGTCTGCTCGTGATTGTACTTGGGCCAATAATTCATGTGTATAGAAGCTCTGGCTCTGTTGTAAATAATAATCGAGTTGAGATAAGCCACGAAGCTTCTCGGGGCTATCTTTTGCTTGGCGAGAAGACCAACAGAAACTAGCAGCTCCAAGACGAAGGCTAGAAAGTAGGCGACGAGCAGCGGCATCGGCCAGCCGGTGATTTTCACGTGATTCTTGGTCGATCTCGTGACGCGCTCGCAAAAACGCGTCAGATCCTCGACCATGGTGTCGTCGGTGACTGTGACCGGTAAGCCGGCGATCGCGTCGATCTTGTCGCGCATCGTGTCTTTGGCGCGTACAAAAGCCCAAGCGGCGTTGCCTACATTTAAGTGAATGATAATAACTCGATAAATTTTCACGCTGAAAATCGCTATTCGAAGTTCAATGACTCACCGACGTAAGTCATTTGCTGCTTTCCTCCGGAACCCAGTCTAGGCAGGGTATTCTTTCGTTTCTTGGCCCATCTCATGATTTCTGGCAGCAGATGCGGATCGTTCTCGCCGTAGATCGGCGTCGGCCGCAGCACCGTCGTGCGCAACCCACCCACTCGATCAGCCTGTAAGACGATTTTTTCCGCGGCCAACTTGCTGCTCGCGTAATCGCCGAAAAGCAGTCTACTCGGGATTTTCGGAATCTCGAGCTTCGACTCCTGCTTATAGATGGTCACGGCGATGATGCCGCCTCTGATGCACGGCTGAAGCGTCACCTCGGTCGTACTGCAGTGCACGAGACGTTTGACCGCCGACGATATGCTGAGGTCAACTACGTTTTGCGTGGCTATAAAAAATGCGAACCGTAAAATGAGGAGATATTTTGAGGTTTCCCGTGTCTAAAAGTCTACCTTGGACGTTGTTCTTTTCAAGTTTTTCTCTATCGGCTGGATATTCGTAACTGACGTAGGCGGCGCAATGAAGAACAACGTCGACATTATGGAAAGCCTCGCGGCACGATTCGACATCCAGTAAATCACAGTGAAACAATTTCAGTTTGTCGTGGGAAAGGCTGAATTTTACTTTATCCAAGCCTCGAACTTCCTTAACGTTAACATCTTCCAAAAGATAGTCCAAAATACGACGGCCGAGAAAACCACTCGAGCCTGAGAGATTTTTTCGATAATACAGAATGATTAATTACGTATACGAGCATATTTTTTTATCATTTCTTACCTGTCAGTAGGACGATTTCACCGGTTGCGCGTTGATTCATGGCTAACGTTCGCAATTGAAATAATCGAAGCATTTATTACCCGCTGCAAAGATTTGGACTTGGACTACTTTTAATTGCTGATCGCGTACTTATGGTATCCGACATACTTGGGTAATAAAAACGTTTGAACTTTTGTTTTTGATGATTTAGCTTCGCGCACAATGACTTTACAGCATTACGTATCTTTTCGCAACGATAATTTCGTTTCGATCTTGATGAGGAAAAGGCGTATGTGGGTTCAATAATTTACAATATGAAATAGTAGAATACAATGTATGTTTATTAGCACCCCGTAAAATACAAATACATTTCATTTTTTTTCCTCGCGGTACCACTGCGTGATGCCTCCCTATTCGTACATATTCACTCGAACATCCAATGAACGTATGCACATTTAAGGAAGTTTTTAGCGATGAGAGTCTAAATTCGTTTCTATAATGTAGGTGATTTGCTTTTGAGCGTTTTACATTATTACAAAATGAGATTTTTTTTCGTTTTTCTCCCTCTCGTCATTGTATATAAAAAAGTAAGTAAAATAAAATCGAAATATTTCTCATAGAAATGTAACCTTACGATACAAGGAAAATTATTTCGGAGTTCATTTTCGTTTTACAAAAATGCAGTCCTTTGCTATACAAGTGCCGATCAGAGGCCCACCCGCGCACTGGAGTTTCGAAATATATATTTTTTACTTTACACTCTCATAAAAACAACAAAACAATTATCGAAATTATCAATTTGCGGAAATCATTGCATAAATAGAAAACGTATGTATTTGGTTTTGTTCTTTTTTACATTGAAACTATGTATATTTGTGTATTTATAAATATGCATATTGCCGTATATATGCCTTGATGAACAATTTTTTCTTTCTTTTTTTCATAAAATATAGACATTAGCGTAAAGTTGGTTTTTATTTAACTAGTTTAAACAAAATATTTATTGTATTTATTTATTATATTCGTACACTTTTCATTCTTTCTTGTACTAACTATTGTACGTAATAATTGTTCACTTTCAATTAATCCTAATGACAGATCACACTTTATTCTAATTGTGGATAAACTTATTCATTGGTTATAATTATTCAATTATTCATGCTAATCAAATAATGTTTTTTTATTTTTACTCTCTTCAAGTTATTGCCCGTTCAAATGAACTACAAAACAACAATTTTTGCGGCACAAGTTAATGACGATGGCCGATAGGAACGCATAAGTAAAAATTATTAAAATTTAGAAAATACAAGATAGATATTTGCTTTCAGCTACAATTCTCGTCCACTGTATATGGCTTATATGAAAATAGAGTCTAATTTATCATTTTTCTCCATTATTGTTAAAAGAAATTTCTAGAAATAAAGTAAATTTTAAGATCTATCAAGCCATTTCTAACATTAAAGTTATATAATCATTAAATAAATGCATAATAATTTACTTGAAATTTTTTTAAATACTAAGTGTTTTAAGTATCAATTAGCTTTACACTTTTAAAATTCAATTTTCTTTTTCAATTCCCTCGCTTCGTAGTCGCATTTTGTTCGAACTGTTACATTACTAGAGAGCTTTGTTAACGCTTGTTTTCTTAGGAACAGTACAGATAAAAATGTTAACGAATCTTCTTAATTTTAAAAAGAGTGTTGGTAAACAATTTACGACACAATTATTTTCTTATAGATTGCCTACATCAATATTTTTAAGTGTGTCGTTTAATTATTTAGTACACTATAATTTTAACAAAAATAACGTATGATCGACCTTGAAATGTAAAAATTGATAACAATGCAATTATCAATAATGAACAAAAAATAAAACATCCATCAATTAAATTCGAATCAACGTGTTCCCTTTCAAAGTTTTCATTAGCAAAAAGCTATGTTTCGTAAATCGCTAACAATCGATTTTAAGAATAGTTGTCGAACACCAAAACTCCTTTTACTCCAAAATGGATTCATGGAGGAAAACTTAAATCGCAAACTGCTGCTTAAATAACTTTGTACATGAAAATTTCATTCAATCATTTAAAGTACATCGATCGTTCTGTACACAACGAATTCGAGTACAATCACATACGCTTACTTATAATGTTAATTATAAATTACATAAATATTTGACTTAAATTTATATGTATATTACCTGACGATTGAATGACACATTTATTATTTAAACACGTATTTTGTCATTCAACTCGACAAAATGAAAAATTCGATCTTACAATTCAAAATTGAGTTGTAATTGAACTCTTTTAGGCTTTTAATTGACGCAAGAGCATCGTCGAACGTTATCGGTAATTTGACTTGTACACCAGACTTCTTGTGCACTTTGGTAATAAGTCAAACTCACTGAGTCTCTTCTTGACTTTAGCTTCTGGTAAATAAATTTTCAAGATCATTCTCGTATAATGCAATGATCAACATTATTCCACAACCAGTCAACAATCCCGCAGTTTGTAAAGAATACTGCTTTAGAGCACCGTGTTTAATTGATAGGTTTGAGGGTAATTCTTGCATCTTTAATAAAATATTAAGTCAAGTTTAATTCGTTAATAAGTGAAAAATTATCATCATTGAACTTTATAGCTTTGAGTACTCACCATATCTACAAGACCAATATAGAAAAATATACCGGCTGTAGCCATAAACATCCAACTATAAGCTTCGGGTGTAGAGCCAAAATTAACTCCAAATACCATGCCAAACAAACAAAGTACCGAAGACAATAAATTATAAAATATCGCTTGTTTGGCACTCATCCCTGCTTTAAGTAAGACCGCGAAGTCACCTGTTGATCGTTACATAACAAATATTTTCAAATGAACTTTGCTTAATTATTTACGCATAGAGCTAAAACTGATTATTACCCATTTCATGAGGCAATTCGTGGCAAAAGACAGCAATGGTAGTGGAAAAGCCACCGGCAATACTCGCAGTGAAAGCCGCCCCAATAGCCATGCCGTCGGTAAAATTGTGCAGCCCGTCGCCCATGATAACCATCCATGCGACACTGGACATCGAGTCCGGCGACAAGTGATCGTGATGACCTACGAAAAGGACAGGCGGAGAATAATTAATTGAACTTTACACGTGAGACGTCATTGAGTGTATGACAAAGCTGATGAGAACTTACTGTGCGAGTGTCCGTGACCGTGATGCTTAACGTCGTGATCATGCATAATCACAGCGTAACTCTCAGTGTCGTTCAATGGTACGTCCGAGCCATCGACGGGCTTTTTCGTATTATTAATTACAGTTTCGTTCATCTTCCACTCCTCGTTATTGGCCTTTTTCTCGATTTCGTTGTGCATAGTCGTGGGTATCCTGTTCGTTACGGCAACGCAATTGGTCGAATTGCACGTAAGGGGTTTCTCTTCGTCGATTATTTGCGGTCTCTCGTGGTGATTGTGCTGATGTAAATTATCTAAAACATTTTTTACGTGACGTTTTACACTTTAGCAAGTAATAGGTCGGTGTAGGTAATAAGTTAACGAAATGACGTTAGACAGATGATGCAATTTACAGCGATAACGGAAAAAAATGTGGGCATAAAAATAATTCGTCAATAGAGTTGATTGATTAAATTTTTGAAGTGACGTATAGCTTCTGCTAAAATAAGATGCACGTATCGCTGTCATCGCCAACATCAGGTTCAACCGCCGCCAAGTGCGTTATACTTCCGTAGCGTAACGAGTGCGCGTCTTGCGTTACGATTGCTTAAAAAAAAAGCGTTACCTTGCGTTTCCGTAGCAATTTCTCCGTAACAGTAGGGATACGTCGAGTATTTGTGTTTGCACAATTTTTCTCCGACGACGTTGTTTTCGCCACCGTCGGCTTCCATCATGGCTTTCACTCGCGCTGGCATCTGATACATTCATTGTAGTTTTTATAATTTTATTTATTATCATTTTCACTTTTTGAGCGAAAAAAATCGATATCGAAAATCACTCACTTGGCTTCGGCTTTGTGCGTATTTGCGCCACTCGGCGATCATGTTTAACGTCCTCTCAGTTATGAAAAACACAATCAAAAGCAGCATACCGGCAAAACCCTTCCATATATTGGCGTTGTGCTCGCTGTCCTTGTCATCAGCGTGGGTGTGAGCCCCCATCATTGCCTGCAAAAATCAAGCATAATAAGATGTTACAATTACTAATCAATACGCATTCCAAGGTGAATCAATGTTGTTTGCGTTATTGACGAAAGATATGAAATAGTTTAATGAAAAAACAATCGTAAATTTTATTCAAGTTGACGGAAAAAATGTATTACACCGGCGATAGCTAGAATTTATGAAAAACAAAAAATTATTCGATACGATCTACGAAGATATCCGATGACCTTACCTCGTAGGTATTATGGCACAGATTACGTCTTGGCAAAGTCTGAATTCGTCATTCATTAATATTTCGCATACTTACGTGGGGTATGAGATGAATGAAGGCATCGCCGCACAAGGTGCCGACGGCGAGCGCGACCAGAAATTGGATCAGCTGCTGATAGTAACTCTTGCCCATGACGGGTATGACGGCGACCCCGAGCAGTCCGCACAGGCTTATTATCAGTATGCTCACGGTGGAATAAACCCATACTGCAAACAATAAACAGAAGCGGCTCAATTGCAAAGCAAATTCACTGATTCGCGCACACACACTGCACCGCTGCACGTACCGTGAAACATATTACGAGTCGCGGGCATCAGAAGCTCTTGGTCGGCCATGTCTAGGGTGTGATTGTCCTCCAGGTGCGTATCCTCCTCATCCACCAGACTGATGCAGCTCGCGGAATTGCGCTTCGGGTGGGCCAATTGATAGACCAGCGCCGGACAGGCTTTCTCGAAGAGGCCGAGCGGCAGAGGTGTTGGAAGATCGGTAGCGTTGTTATTGCTGTTGTTGCTGCTACTGCTGCTCACGGAGTCGTATTGACCGTCCGATAAGGCGTTCAACAGTTCACTACTGCTTAGACACTGAAAGTATGGATGTTTTGTTTCTTATTATCCTCTTATCGTGGTATATACATGTGGTAAGAAAGAGCGAGAAAGAAAGAGAGATTGATTAATCGCACAGGTGTAATGCTTGCGTTACTTCTATTTTACCCACTTTTATTTTCGGGAGGGAAGTGGGATTTTTTTTTCACACGGCACGCGGAAGTTTATCTCTCTCGTGTTTACTTATTGCTATTTAGTATTTTGTTTGAATATCGATAGTTTCGACACGTTCAGAAAATTCAGGTGTCACGATTTAATCGAAAATACATAAGATATATCAAGCAAATAAGCAGGTTTCGTCATTTCCTCGTTGTAATAAATATATAGATGCCCTTGGTGTTTAGAGAAAAAAAAACATATACCGTATGAGAAAACTGCCTCGCGAGCTTTTTCCGGAATTGATGAAAAAGAAAAATATTTACCCTGGATTTTTCGCTCGTGTGCTTGTGTGCAGCTTCCAGTCCATTTTTGCTGCTCGCTTCCTTGGCGTGCGCTGAAATCATCAAAGTCGCGCAAAAGCGTCGTTTTAAATGCTTACTTTATCTTTTTACATAATTGCTTATAATCTAATTTTTACATTCTCGTTTGCACATATAATGTATAAACATTTGTATTTTTTTTTCTATGCGTCAACAAGTAATATCGAGTTACACGATAAATCGACAAGTAAAAAATGTATAAACAAGTTAATTTGAAGAAAAAAAGTGCGATCATCTCGATAGGAAAATGCATCGGTACACAGAACAATCGTAGAAATAAATGCATAAGTTATTTATCTTTGTAAATTCACGACGCATCGCCCGCGCATATATATAGCTGCTGACATCTCAATGGTATCTCGTTGCAGCTCGCAGCGCGCGTGTATTTACGAGTTCACGGCTATCGTCAAAGTATATTTCTCCTGCGAGTCGAGCGCAGACAATTGAAAAATACAGCGAGCGATAGAAAGAAAGAGAGATAGACAAGACCAACGAGCTCTTTACAAGCGATTGTCTATCATTAAATCAATTCAATTAGTCGCTGAACTCGGCGCGTAACGCATCGCATCGGTCGAGCGAGTCCGATGATACCTTATACGCTCTCGTCGCTCCAATATCGAGAAAGGAATAAAAAAAGGGGGAAATTATCGGTAACTTTTCTCTTTCGCTAGTCATCGCTGTGATGACGCAATTAACTGAACTACGATTATACGCGATGCGGTGTTTACGTTTTTTTTTTTTTTATCAAAAAAAGAGAAAAAAATTACTATAAACAAATGTCCTTACCTAATCGGCTACTCGATTGATTGGTGTCGATGCTCGGCCTTTCATTGGTACCAGTCGCAGGCTCGTGCGTGTGGGAATGTGCATGCGAGTGGACATGCTGATGCTGCTGTTGGATCTGTTTTTGAAACAATCCCAATTGCTCCAAGAGCCTCTCGAAGCCCTCAATAGTCATATTCTCTCCGTCCCCGTATTGCTCGAATAATTTTTTGGTAAAGAACTTATCGTCTAAATCAACGCTTCGCTTCGATCTCGCTGCAGCTAATTGCTGCCGTCTCGTCGTCTCGTACGAGTCGTCGACGTCTTGGCTATCATTATTGTTCGTTTCAGGCACTTTATCGTCGTCTGCGTCGCTCTGTCGTGCGACAGGCTGCCGACGCTCGTCTTCGTCGTCGCTGTGTTTTCCTTCGTCCATTCTCTCGTACTCGTCATTGTTATAGTACTCGCTCGACATTTTCAGCGATGCCGGTAATTTCGTGTAAAATTTAACGTCGCCGTCGCCATCTTTGGCCGCTGCAGCCGCTTGAACCGTTAAAAATTCATTGTGCGCGAAGCAAGGTAAATGACCCGCGCTTAGGACGCAGAACACGCATACGGCAACGAAATTAGCCATCGTTAGATTGACCTGCAACACAAGTTATACAAGTTTTAATTTTTTCACCTTTTTTTTTCGCGATAAAATGTATTTATAATACTTTGTTAGGCATTTAATAATCAAATACATCTGACATCTAATCAGTATGATAAAATCAGTCAACAATAGATCAATTTACTCTATTCATCCATGTTTATGTACTAGCAAATGAGTAATTTTCTGAAGGTCACTGCTACATATTATGATCAATCTGATTGGAGTTTTTATCAAGTGCATATTTCTAAAATATATTAAGCTTTATTTTATCAGTTATAAATTGTATGAATGAAGCTTTTTATGTCTCTTAAAGATATGATCATGAGTGCATTTATAGTCATTCTAAATCAATTATCTAATAATCAATTTTTATTGCTGAATAAATATCAAAAGAAATTAATTTCTCAATTACAAAAGCAACACCTACATGTTATATTTATTTTGATTTTAATTCTTTGATCTAATAATAATTGAAACTTACAGAGCATGTAAAAATAACAATTGTAATTAATAACCCATAGTAAGTTGTTATTTGAGCATAAAGGAAAAAAGATAGATGTGTGCCATTGATGCACCTTGGCATAATGACAATTATGCTCATTCCACATGCATCCAGAAGCGTCTATGCACTTTTAATTGTTGTACAGATCATATCTATCCTTAAGAAACAAGTTTGCTTTGCACTGTCTGGTAAGCAATTGTCATTGCCTTTATTTTGCATGGAACAGTTATGATGACAGATCTCTGGTAAATTTCAAGCCAGTAAGTATTGCAACAATAAAAAAACGAGTTATTTAACTACATTGTGACTTTTTAAATAAGCTTATTATACTTGAAATAACGTTTAATATTTTAACACGATAATTATGGATTATCGTTATTTTCTCTCATCTTTTTTTCTACAAAAACGTGCATCGTGCGTGTTACATATGCATGCCATGCATTAGTATTGAATGCGCGCGGGCGGCATATTTTATAAAAATAACCCACGCGACCCTATAAATAAATACTACGGGTATACAGACGATACGTATAAATGTATATTCATACATCATGCGAGCACATGGTATTTGCAAATTTTCCAAGAGAACGTAAAAAAAAGAAAAGAAAAAAATATCTCTCGAGCGATATAATCAGACTACAACAAAAAACATGCACGAAAAATAATGTATTGCAAACCTTTCCAGTTAATAATGATAATTTTCGCTCATGGGCAAAGAGTACGTGATAAAATGAGAAAAATTCGGGAAAATCTTCACTGTATTTTCTGTAGGAGCTTAACTCAACTCCGGAATCTCAAATTGTCTGTTCGATGAGCTTTTTTTGGAAAGCTAATTAACGAGGTCGGACCATTATAGCAGTATTATTTCAGCAGCACTTATTATACAGTTCTGGGCTCGGTAGGATTGTCCTTCTCCCGGGAATTACTACTGCTACTTTTTCTGCTGCTGATGATGATGATGATGCTGATGATTCAGGTCGAGATCGCTCCATAACCTCAATGATCATCCAGCAGCATCTCGTGCAAAAGCGTGTCATGTATAAATGTTTTTTCTTGATGCCTCGTGCTGCAAAACTGTCGCTTTCCTCGTCTGCATCGACGGCCCGTGCAACGGAAAAAACAAACAAAAGGAGAAGAAAACAAACGAAATAAAGGGTAGATTCAGCGCGACTGGAGGCTGATAACGTGGATGCGCTCGACTTTTTTAGTCCTCCGAGTGCGTCGGGTGTTACGATAACGTCGGGTCGTTATCGCGTCTCATCTCGTCTCTTCGACGTATACGTGTGTTGATAAATAAAAGCGCATCTGCAGCAGTCGTGGCCGTGGTTGTCGATGTCGTCGTCGTCGTCGGCGGCGGCGACGGCGCAACACGTAACGCAGGCTCTCTTAGCAGCAGCAGCAGCAGTAGCACAAGCAGTAAATAGTAGTAGCGAAGAAACTCTCACACACACACATGTATACATGGACACACACGTATATATGCACAATAGTCGCGTGCGCCTGTCTATAGCACAGTCTTGTGTCTCTATTGCTCCTTTCTACTTGTCCGATGTATAACGAAGACAGAGAGAAAAGATACGCTAGTGTAGGTATTGTAATGAGACGCGCAGAGGGAGAGAGAGAGAGAGAGAGCAGCAGAAAGCACGAACGCCGCGACGACTTTGGCTCTTTGTCGTCCGACGACTAAACTATAACTGCTGTCCGTAAAACATGCAGGCGCAATTGCAAGCAGCAGCACATGATCAGCATCGTGCAGCCAAGTCGCGTTCGTCGTTGCCTGCTGCTGACGGCTTTCAAGTTGGCGCAAGCGCAAGTCCCTCGGCTCTCTTTCTCTCTTTCTGACTTAATATACATATACAATATATATGTATAGTAGCAATTCGCAGTGCACCATCTATCCACCCATATCGCATAATATTTTTAAACGAAACAAATGCTGTATCGTCTTCGCGCAACGCACAACACGAGCATCGGCGGATAATGAGCGCGTTGATGGCTGGGCTGGCTGGCAGCAGTAGAGAATGCTTATATCTATAATATCAACGACGCTCTGTCTGGTGCCACCGCGACTGCTATTCAATATATTAATCCTGTACCCTTATAGGCTACCTGCACGAAATACGAATCACGATGGTGTTGTTGCTGCGCCTTGACGATGAAAATATTTTCTTGTTTTTTTTTTTTTCGTTTTTTTGTTTGCTGAACGAGAAAATAGAGAAAATAAAAAAAAATGAAAGAGAGAAAGTTGACGCAGCGGGTCTCGCATCGTTGCGCACGTGTGTCAATGCGTGTACAACATACAACGAAAGTATACCAAGAAAAATATGTAATCAGTCGTAATGAGGTGCAGTGCTTTGCACGTGCAGAACATGCAGAGGGAGAGAGCGAGAGCAAAAATCGATGCAGCGATCGCGCCGATGGATGGAAAAGGCGTAATTTTGCGACGCGATGCAGTGGCGTTAATTAGCCGAAAGCCAAGCTAGATCTCGTTTTACGCGACGAGTACGTGCGATTTTCTATCGGCGGCAAAATCTGATAAGGTCGACGCATAAGAGGATCGAGTCGTCGATTAAATTATACAAAATCTCGTGTTACGCGCGAGGCGTTATCGGCCGCAAGCGCAGCTACGTATATCGCGTATCGTTGCTCGACGAAATCTTCCAATGAATTATCAGTTTTATGCACAACTATATGACTACGTATATTACAGCTCGGCATAATAAGGATTAAAAGCCGGCTGCGCGATCGCCGATATCGATTGCATAAAATGTTCGATCGCCGTCTTGTATTATTGCATCGGTATTGTACGCGCGTGTATCGTAATGCGCCAAGTCAAAGAGATATCGGCGCTGCGCTACTAATATCGATACACGATCGTACCATTATAACGAATCTCGAATTGCCGACGAACGACGGCTAAATTAATTCGACTCGTCTGTTTTATTTGCTTTATCCTAATGTCGTGCTGATTTGCGCGACCATTTGCTCGACGACGAGGATTAAAGATGTGTGTGTGTGTGTGTGTGTGTGTGTGTGTGTGTGTACGATATGCACGCGAGCGAAGATGAATCAATGCCGAGCGGGGAGAGCTTTGGAGAAACTTTTCATTAATGTGCGCGACTTGTATACTCGCGAGAGAGGGACACATCGTCGTGCTACTGCTACACATTGTGCTGTAGTACATAGATATATTTCGCTACGGTATACATCGAGTGCAAGCAACGTATGTATCAGCAAAAAAATGATTAGCCGTGAGCTATATTTGTAGAGCGAATATATGCAACGAGCGTATGTTTATAATGCCTTCGAGAGAATACACATTATATACATAGAGAGTCAAGCTCGTAACGCTGCCGATGTCAAATTTCCAAGCGTGAATCGCCTGTAATTGATCGTTCGCGTAAAATTGAGGGTAATTTATACAGATATAATAATATTGCAAGCTGCAACGCGCCTATCGAGCGTATTGGCAACTTTTTTTCCATCTATCTCTCTCTTATGTAGCTCTTTATATACGTTTCGCAATGGATCTGGCAATTAACGAATCGACCGAAAAAAAATAAACTATGCTTTATCTACGACTAGTTTTTTTTTTTATTCTTCATTTTGTCCGTCGAGCTCGACGAAGCGGCGACGATCTTTCCGGCTAGTTCCTAATTGAACGCACGCGTTCTCTTGTGCGATACTTTATTGCATTGTCGGGGCAATTCATTGACCGCTCGTTTGCGTATTAACCATAATATCGGCGTCGATGCCGCAGCGACTGACAGGTAGTTAGTATCGTACACGTATACGCGAGATAAGAGAGTCACATTTTTTTGCGCGAAATTATCGAAAATATTTTAAAAATAAATAAATAATTATACGCGCGTAATTGAGCCTACGCACACGCGCTGCACACTCGATGTACGCGATCGAAGCTTGCGTGACGATCGAGAGCCGCGTTCGATGAGCTTGCAGGGACGTATTTTTTGCGTTATACGTAAATGTAGGCGGATTTATCAAAAATATATTCGTACGTGAGCATCGAAGATCGCTGATAGGTAACTACAAAACGCTACACTGCAAAATAAACCTTATTTGAACGTATAATAGGCAAAGTTTAATTAGGCGCGGCGCGTGCGAGTTTCGCGGTATATCATTACAGCCGAGCGCAAGCTATAGCTATACGATACGCAATTGTATGCCATAATATTGCGCGCGTTCGCGACGAGTCTAGTGCATAGAGGAGAGATCATTGCATTATGCATGTGCACGGATAATAATTACATATTGTAGGTATTTGTCCGTGTATATATAGAACTGTGTGCTGTGTCACTTTATGGTATTGATTTAACGAACTTTTATGCGCGCACGCATCGCTCGGAATGTCTTATTAAGTACATATAGCAACGGAACGCGTGCCATGCCATGTCAGTTTGCGGATCGCGCGCGCATTGTGCATAGCGGGAGGCGCGAAAAAAAAACTATTTTTTTTTTTTTTTGTTCAATTCAGCCGAGCTGACAAACATGTGCGCGATGTAGTCTGTCTGTTTATAATGTATATACCGCTGTCGAGTATAACTATATGCGACCCAGAGCCAGAGGATGTGTGACGAAATTCAATTAATCGCCAATCATATCTCAGTTTTGGCGTCTACGTACAAGCAGTATCTACTGGCGTTTGTAGAAAAAAAAATGTTATCTGCGGAAATTCCGGAACTTGGGCATCGTGAATGAGCTTGCTATTAGTCGATGGTTCGTTCGGTGAAATGACTTTATGAAGAAAATGAAAGAGCGTCTGACGATACGCGTCTTTGAACTACTTGAGAGAAACGCCGGCTTCACCTGCAGAATTTATAATGCATTACGGAGCTTTGCACATGGCTACACTTTTAAATATAACATTAAAAAATCGAACGATTCTTGATGGAATAATCAAACACATGTATTCTAAAAGTTAATGACATATACAATCAATCGAACTCGAGGAGCTTTTGGTATCTCTACGATAGAGCTCGATAGTAATTATTGAAATAAGCGGATTAATTGAAAAGCATTGAAATCACCATTTTTGCAGCAACTGCAGCTCGGAGGCACTATTTGTATAATCTGTCAACGAGTGGCAGCGGCAGCGAATCGGCAGGCGGCTCGCACAAACTGTCAAGTCCCAAACGATCGGTACTATCGAAGCGCGGGAACTCGCGGCAACTCCGACTCGCTATATTGCGTTCAGCTCGTGTGGATCGGCTGTGATGAATAATCGCGAGAGGCTCTCGGGGCCAGCTGATCCAAACGGATAGCCGCTTAGCACAGGACTGAGGACCGAGTTTGCGAGCCTCGCTGTTTTATGTATTAAAAAATAAGCCGCCAGCGCAGTCGCACACGCACACAGCGACTTATTTGTGTAGTGTGTAGCAGCATGTGCGTGCACGAGTCGAAGCGCGGGAGTCGCTCCGGAGGATATAGCATAAAAAGCATACACGTCCATGTGTGTCCGCTGCTGCAGCCGCGACGACCCCACCTCGCGCGAGCCAATCTGTGCCGTGATCGTGAGCCTGACCGATCGGCTCCATTCACGCTTGCAACAATGTTGCATCTGTGTGTGTGCGCGCGCGATCAATTTTTTTCCTTTTTTCCTTTGGACTTTTTTTTCTTTTTCCTTTTTTTTTTGCTCGTACGTACGATTCGTGCACTTGTGATATAAGGTGGCGTTCGTGCCATTGTTGCCTTGCTCGCACGTTCGGCGTACGTGATTCGAACGCCTTATCGGATCGGTGTCTCTCTCTCTTTTTTGGAGGCTCATCGAGTCATGCGTTCGCGTACACGTTCAATGCGAATGTATATATTAATGCCGAAAGTATCGAGCGATAATTACTTACGAGTCGATTTTCGAACGATCGGTGCAAACATCCTAGCGCAGCTAACGCGCATTCCCATATCGGTAATGCATATCTGTGTGACTGAGTTTATCGATCGTTCCGATCGTTCAAGCATCCGTACGTGTTATGCTCACATTCACTCTCACACACATAGGTCGTTTAATAGTTAATACTTGCGTACAGTTTATCGTAATTAGCATTTATTCAACCCAATTTCCAGACTCTTTGAAGAATTAATCGATTGCCGCAGCTGCGCGCGTCAAACTATTGGAATAACGATGTATCTCCATCTTGAGATCGACAAATTGCATGTTTTTACCAACGTTTTGACAATTAACAATTCTATTGTGTTTTCAGCGTCCCTACTGCGATCTTATATATAGTATGTAAATACGTAAACGTACATAAAGACCGACGCGCGAAAATGCCCATCTATGTCTTCGTACTGCGCACCACATGCACGCGAGTTTGTTATTGTTTTCGACTCTTCAAAAGAAAATATGAGAATTGAAAAATACGCCAAGTGAAGCGATATCAATTTTTCTATTGATGCTCGTACGGGCTCATCGTGTATATACATCGAATCATAAAACGCGTCGTTGCCATCGACCGAGGTAGGAACAAGCCTTAGATCGATTGATACATATCTATATTGTGTTCCAAGACCAAAATTTTTTTTACTTTGTTTTTACAAGTTTGTTTGGTTTTTTTTTTCTTATCCTAGTTCTATTTTGACGCGAGATGGCATGTACAATTCCTTTACAATATTATTTTATGAAAATATCCAAGTATAAATCATGTGATATAAATCGATTAATCAAATTGATACATACTGAAAAGCTTGAATAAACTTTATATTCTAATATGAGCGAAGACTTTTGAAACCATGGTAATTAATCGTGCAATCGAAAGTAAACAATTTAATCGATTAAAAGTAATGTAACAAATTACAGCTTCTTTCAAAATGCCAATTTCAGTGTATACTCGAGGCGTCACAAGCCGTAACCTTTATTTTTCCTCGGTCTATCGTTACACTATAGCAAGCACATAATATTATATAGCAGTGATGAATTTGAATCATGCATTTATTGACCAACGAGAACACCACTTTGGGACTATGGTATTGCGACAATTTTCTGGCCACGGGTTTTATGGCCCTGCGGTTACGAAATCAATCATATTCGTACGTATTTTATTGTAAAATAACGTGTTATAATGCATCTAAAAATTATCCATCAGCCTGTATTATGCACCAGATATATAATGCAAAACGATTGTCATGCGTTTATTAAAATAACTTTGAAAATATGACTAATTGATTTTCGGCCTTTATAATGATTAATGCTCACATGATATGTTCGAATATTTTTTTTTTTTTGCGAGCAAAAAGTGACATCAAGGATAGTAGGTAGCTCATGAAGTTATAATATCATTGGTACTTTTGTGTATATCGAGACCGCATAATAAGCAATTATTATATATCTCTTATCTTCTAATGCGATTATGTATTATTACATATCTGCGTCGCACAACGATAGTACATAAACGACTCGTAAATATAAACGGATCTGTACGATATTCGCGACGATTTCAAGGGATTTTCCTTCATTTTCTTCTATCGCGAGCGAGAAATCGGCAACGCGGATGTTCGGAGATAATAATACAAAATTATAACGATCATCGACACACCCATCGTCTTCGCCGACACTGTGCGCTGCGATATGGCAAAATATGCGCCGACGGCGTCACCCAATACTTTTGCGTCAACGTGGAATTTAATTACAAATCGCGTGCGGGTATTATACGCGCCAGCGATACGTAGACCGGATTTGCATTGATAACGACCGCAACACGATCTTTCGAGTTGCTATCCCAAAAAATCGGTTCGAGTAATACGGGTCATTTTTATGAAGATACCTTTAATTAAATTTCGATTCATTTCTTCGATCCTCCATAGCGATCGATAAATACATTTTAGACAAGAGTCAAAAGGAGCGCAATAAAATAATTGACGCATTGTACTTATAATGTACACATGTGCACACGCACTTGCGTTCGAAGAAACATAAAAAATGCAAAAATTAGAATACTCGAGTTGGTGCAGCAGCGATCGTGTGCAAAGATTCGAAGATTTATCGATTAGCTATCCTCAATACGAGCACAAGTACGTGGTCGAGTAAAAAAAAAAGGGAAGGATAGCTGTGAGTGCAAGCGGTGCATATGGTGTGTTTACTTCACGCGCGCTGCGTTTCACCCGCCATACAATTCGCAGCAGTGGCACATCTGGGTGTGAGAAAAAATCGGCTAAACACGTACCGATTTAATAAAATATATACTCGGCGCGAGATTTATAGTTTTCGTTTATGCGCGTAATCTATTACATATATAAATGTGCAGCTCGCGCTTACGTAATCGATGTGACTCGGATCTCGCTCCTTATACACACAACCACACACATAGTTTGTATTAATGATATTCGTAATACGCCGCGCATGGTCGACGATATCGATTGGACGATTAGAAAAAGAAAAAAACGAAGAAAAATTATGTATAACGCGTGCGTGCGAGGAGTATATAAATTCTTATATATATCTCCCATTGTTGTAAACCTTGATTGGAAACGCGTTCGTATTTGCGTATACACAGGCATAAATGCACGAGTACATGTGATACTAACGCGACGACGATCTCTTCGGCTTTAATTACCCGTACGTACAGACGCGCACCCGCTCGCGTTCTCATTAAATTGCGCGCGTGCTTATGGCTGTTAGAAAAATTTATCGCTCTCCGCGCGGTTCGGTACAACAATTATTATGCATTCGCCAAGAATATTTGTATATGCACAACGAGAGCGTCCGCAGTTGATTGATTTCGCATAAATTATCCGCAAAAAGTCGCGATTTAAGAAGGAAAATCATCATAATAAAGGTAACGTCCAAGTCGATGGTATGCGTACGTAGCTGTGTGTTGTGGGATTAACAATTCACATTGCCGAGTGCACGTGTTCTCTCTCGGCTGCACACTGCACTTCACTGCAAGAGAGAGGGACTTTGAGTTTAATTTCGATTATTTAGATTCAGATGAAACTGGTGCAATTTTTCTCGTGTCTTGCGTCTCATGAATTCTACCTCACGGATCGAGGAATGGCAATCGAGTGTTAGCGTTATTTGAAGGTGTCATTTGAGCCTTCATCCATGCATTAAGCTGAGTTTGATACGAGGAAACGTTTTTTCTCTCCACTTTTTGGTCAAATCAATTATCATTTAATGCTTGTATCAGGAAATAAAATTTATTCCACTGTATAAGTTGAGATAAATTTATCTTTTCACGCTTTGACGAACATTAGGTTCAATGTTTTAGTAATGATCTAATAACTACTGCAAGTTGAAGTTCATAAACAAATATAAAAAAGTTTCATGTTTAATTATTCGACTGGGTGATCAAGTTGATAAGTGATATGAAATGAATACAAAATGTTTGCTGGATGGAACATGCCAGATTTGGTTTTTTTATTTTAAAGAGTATAATAAAGAAAGGAAAATTAGGCTATGCTGCTTGCATTTGAAGCAATCCTGGGCCATAAATCAGCGCATTCTTTAGCAACTGGACCTGTGATAGCTGAGCCTTTCATTTCACCCTTATTATTCACTATCACGCCTGCATTGTCTTCAAAGTATATAAACACCCCATCCTTCCTCCTGAATGGTTTACGCTGCCGTATGACGACTGCGGGCATAACTATAGGAGGAAAAACAATTAGTTAGTATTTTTCTCACTTGGTAGCATAAAAAGAAAAGAACTAGATTAATTGTGTTCAACGTACCCTTTTTCCTGAGTTCAGGCTTTCCCTTCTTGACTGTGGCAACAATCATGTCACCGCTGCCTGCAGCTGGGAGACGATTCAAACGTCCCTTGATACCTTGTACGGCAATGACATACAAGTTTTTGGCACCTAAAAAATCACCATTGATGTAAGTCTCAAGTTATTTGATTAAAAGAATCGTAATTAAGTTCTAAATTTATAAAACTTTGTTTTGTAAAAATTTGTTAATAAATTGTTAAGAACTTGTCATAAAACTTTGTGTTATGTATTACTTGGGGAATAAGGTTTGGTAATCAGTTTCAACTTGACTACGTAAAAGTAACTTAAAAAAAGTGAATTTAACAAGTAGTTCTAATCATTTTAACATTCTCAAATTTTAATTATACTTCTGTAAGAATTAGAGATTGAAAATATTGTTTTGATACATTAGTTCATGACAACATTTCAATTCAACATTAGTTCATGCTTGATGAAATTAAAAACCGATTGACTAATTTGAAAACCAAATGAAATTATATTGATTCATGATTATTTGAATCATGTAGAGATTATTAGAATTATGAAAGTATAAAAAATGAATTATTGAACCACGTTGTTCAATTTAGTTCGCGGCCATGTGTATGTTGATAGAGGTTATGGTGCACTCACTTATTGCAAATGTACGTGACAGAGAAAATGCAAAAACTCACCGGTGTTATCGGCGCAGTTGATAACAGCTCCTACTGGGAGACCCAGCGAGATCCTGAATTTGGCTCCAGCGGAACCACCACGTCCTTAAAAAAGTAAAAAGAAGCAAATCCATCATTAGTATTTTATCGCAAAACGTGTAACGCCGAGTTCGGTCTAACGAGAGTCTTTAACCAATTTTCTAGGACGATTGCCATGTGAAATAAAAAATTATTTTTGCAACACATTGTCAATTAATCCTAGTTACTCGTAAGATTTACAAAGGTGATATTTGAAAAATATTTCAACTGGATCGAGAAGGATTATTGGAGAATTGAAAAAATTACCTCGCTTAGACATTTTTGCTTGTACGGAGAGACCTGAAACACGGCTTTACGGTAGCCACGACACAGGCTGAAGAGAGCACAAAGGAGAGTAATTCTAGAGACGACAAGCGCGCAGTCAGACTTGAAGTACCGACAAACGCCACAGGGGGCTTCAAAACTAACTAAGAATTCAAGATGTCGCGCGAGGTTCAAAACCTTCAGATCGTGAACACGAAAAATTATAAGAAAAAATTGCATTGAAAATTCTAAAAATTCTAGAGAATGTTAGAAAATGCAAACCAAACTTACGAAGCCTAGCACGGTAATGTTTGTTTTTGATAAATTGCAAAACAAAGCAGTAACCCATCCAACCCGGCACGTGTATTGTCAAAACAATTATAGTGGGAGAAGTAACCCACGTAGTCCAGCTCGGCTATTATTCGAATAATTATACCGCAAACGAAAGCAGTAACCCACGTGACCCAGCACATGTGTTGTATGATTCAAAAGACTGAAAAATTAGTCATAAAAATTTTTTTCAATACAATTTCATCTCCGATTTTCATCAAACTGCATATTTTTTTTAATTCAAGAGATATAGTACTCTATTACGAAAATTCTCTTATTCGTTCGTAACTTATTTATTTTGCGAGAAAAAATCATATCAAATAGCTCTAAACCTTGGGTCACTGGGTTAGGAGGTGATACAAACACGAGCATCATTGTTGCCTAGCTTTAGTAATTTTTTTTCTCATTTTCACGACCTATAAAATGCATGAATGCGTTGAAATATAGTAGGATTTATAAATTCATGAGCGTAGAATCACTGTAACAGCTGGTTGAGGCTTGATCATTTTGATTGAATATTTTTTTGAATCATTCAAATTGTTGACATACACAAGCTTCGTTATTAAAAAAAAAAAAAGATTTTCTTATCAAATATTTCGATGGAACCTGTTAATTTTTTATAATAATTTTTTAAGTTAATATAATTTCTTTTCAACATTGAAAATGTTTATTTTCATAATCAATTTTCCATTGTATGTATTAACGAAAAATTAAAAATTTGATGAGTTAAAGGGTAAAAAATAGTCAGTTTTAAATATTATTCAAACATTTATTTATAAGAAGTGTGGAAGAAACGTTGTAATAATGACATTCTCAAGTTTTGCAAAGTATAATGCGTGACATACCTCTACGTAAAAGTATAAATTGTAGAAATGGGGTGGAAAAATATCAGTTTACATATTAATATATCTCAATATATAAAATTTGTCTAAAAAATTGTTTTTTTTAACGTTTCACAGGTACGATTATGTCATTTTATTTATCAATTTACAGTTTTTGTTAACTTTTACACCTCATTTCTACTCTCACAAGTGATTCGATTGAAAAAGATACTATCGAATAAATTTTTTTAACAAAAAATGCCACACAGAAAATATTGTTGTTACAATGATTAAAAACAAAGAAGAATTCCACTCACAGTTTGGTATTATTATTTTCTTATGAGTATATCGGTATATACGCACAACACACATATAATAACGATTCACGGGTTTACAATCAAACTATTGGATTGCATAATAGTGGAAGCTACTTCACAGATAATTTATTCTCATTGCGCCGTTTTATAACAAGCTATATTTTATAATAAATGCTTAAAAGTATATTTTGAACATTGTCTAAAATTAATGTACACGCTAGCAGCACCCAATTACAGACTGGGTTCTGTAATATTTTCTCGACCAATTGATTTTTTCCGTCCACCGGTAAATTTTGATTAGCTCCTTTTTTCACGTGATTATTTTTTTTTAAATTTCAACTATATAATTACGTAGTCGCAGTGGATCGAGAAATATTTTGAGAGTGTAATTTCGTTATTTTTCGCTGATACAATAATTGTTTAAAATGTGTATGTAATCTTACGATTTTTCATCAGATTATTAAGTACAAAAATTGTACGAATTTCAAAATCGCAAGAATATAATATTTCGACTATAGATTAGTGAAAGAGCTACCATCTTTTTCGAAGAACGAGTTACAAATTTTATTTACGAAAACCAGATAATCATATAAAAATAATAATCATTTGCAAAAGCCGTAAAAAATGCTTAATATAAGATTTCTTTGAAAGAATGATAAAATTCGACTAGTCCAATGAATGAGGTATGATACATAATATTATTTATGATTGTGATTTTTTTATTTCATATATCATATATATATTTAATATATATATAAGGTGTCTAAAATTATTTCAATTGTTAGTACGAACTTATTTTATGTGCTAAGTTGTATAAATTTATACATTCTTGCATACTTTTTTGTTCATGTACATATAGTTATTTTTATATATTTTTTTACTTATAATTTATTATATTTGATGTTATATCCGAAGGATATAATTTTTTTAAGTTATGCACAACGACCATAGTATTTTTATTTTTAATTTCTGCACTTACAAAAATTTACGGTATATTTCGAAGTTTTACAATATAAAATTGAGATCATTTTGCAATGCATTAGTTTTGAGAAAAAGCTAAGTTCGTCGCGTAAAGCAATTTTGTATATTTCCTATAAAATTGTTTATTAAATTAATCAATACTGCGAAAAATAAACGATAATTTTTGACTGATTCACGAGTCTCAAAATGCTTATTAAATCACTACATTTTTGTCCTTTTTGAAGGTTTTCAAATATTTTTTTTGAACAGATTAATTTGTTCGAATACTTTCAGATAATAAATCATTTCAACAATCTTAGCAGTAACGGTTCGCTCGCATTGCGAATAATTCAACGGTACTCCATTTTTCAATTTAATAATGTATCATACCAAAATAATAAATTGATTTAACACGTTTGTGTCAACTGTGCTTAAAAATGTCGATTTTTTGTTAATAACTATGTAATTTTTCATTACATTTATTAAATATCTAAATTCTTATATTTTGTACTTAAGGCATATTTTTCATAATATAATTATATCGCTTTACTAATTTTTAACGTTTCTTAACTTCTTTCCATTGTCAATGTGCCAGCCAATTTCATTATTAGACTAGCAAATAGATTGTTTTTAATAATTAGTCTGTTCAAAGTTATTTCGTTATCCATCAATTACTTTATGTTTTTATCTTTGACTAACGTTAAAGTTCAATATCATGTTTAACGTAAAAATTGTGCACATGATGTTCAACAATGAAAAACTCATAATTGACTTTGAAACAATTATGAAAAATAAATGGCCGTATTATAAAGGAACATTTATACAAAAGTAAAAAATATAATTAGTAGAAAACTGGTCGCAATGTTTTCTCCATTGTCCGATTCTTTTGAATATACAAAAATTATAACCATAAAACTTCTTTCACGAAAATATTGATTTTCGTTAACATTCAACACGATACAAACGGTGATATCATACTTTTAATAATAAAGGATTCAACATAAAAAAATTGATCAAAATGTCGATTGACATTATTCTATATACAAATTGTAACAATATACTGAATAATAAAGCTTTGTGTATCATCCAATTTGAAATCAGTTCAGTACTCAGATTGAAAAGTTTCAAAAAAATAAATTGATAGTTCATTAGAAAAAGATAACGATAGTGCGCATATTAAATATTTGAAATAATTCAAATAAATGTACAATAAAAAATCTTTCCTAAGCTATATTGCTTATCTCAGGCTAGTATGTGAAAACAATATTACTTTTATGTTCAACTGTGATTCATATGAGTAAATTGTAATACAATGTTTAAAATTTTCTGTTATTAGAGAAAATTTTAAAAGTTTTTTGCGTTTTCATTTACTCACAGACCAATTGTTAATTTTAAACTTTTGTACTCTCTGTTGATGATCCGTCACAATAATTCAATTTATATGTGTGTGCACAAGTAAGAGTATAATGCACGGATAGACTGATCAATAGGGAGTTCAAAATGTAGATGTGTTTTCTAATTTTTTAACTCTTTGTAGAGTTTCAATAATAACACTTGAATATTATTGCCAATTATAAAATTAGTATGTGTGTAGTACCCTAGAATAAATTATAGATTGAACTTTCAATCTGGAGGTAGCAAACTGTAAAGTTTGAAGTGTTCTCTGATCTTGGGTCTGACATCTCCTCCCTAGTAAAAAGTAAAAAGCATTCATAAGTAAATTGTTAAAAATGAGGATTGAGGTAAAAATGTCATAACAATATTTAAAAGCTTACCTCTTGTACAACATTTTCCAAAAATGGAATTAATTTCATTAATTCACTATCAGATTGATCAGCAAACCAACTTTCAATTGGAATACCATTATCTAGCTGATATCCAAATGCTTGTGGGCTGTTATCAATGATGATTGTTTTTGATAAGTCTCTACCCAAAATTGAAAGATCTTTGATATAATTTCCATTCACACAAACGCAATGATCCCTGAACAATCTGTGTTTGATTAATCTTCTTTCAGGGTCCAATAAATTTAATAATTTATCTGCATACACCCTTTTACTTGCTGTGAACAAAATAACTTCGTACAGGGACGATACGCGTTCGAGAAATTCTCGGAAGAATGGCCTTGTTCTGACAAAAACTGTGTAGGTGACATTTTGGAAGTCTACTGGAAAACGAAAAGAGGCGTCGCATAGTTCTTGGAGACTGCAATGCACCAAAGTTTCATCCTAAAAATAGAGATTTGTATGATAAAATAAAATCACTCAGGGAGAATGTATTTTTCAAGACTTTTATGGCACTTACCAAATCTAAAACTAAACAAAATTCTGGAGCACTCCGTGTTTTAAATGGAAGAGCCGGTTTTCGGGCCTTCATGGCTGGCTCTAATGGTGGTAAATGTTTAATGAAAGCATATGGATCAAATGTATCTCTATCATCCTGGACACTGGCCACCATATTATCACAGCTTGTTTCTACATTATTACAATTTGGATATGAAGCTTGGTATAAACTACTTTCTTCCAATCCATAAGTATTTTGAATATTTCCATTGGAGTCTGAGCTAGCTAAAGTATTTGACAAATCAATGTTTGATAAATTATCAAAATGTGAGGCCGTGTATGCTATTGTAGAATCAAATCTTGAAGGATCATTTGTATCTATGCAAAATTGATTGCCGTTATTCTCATTGTTATTCACTTGATTACTAGAGGTGAAGTATCGTTCGCTATTGTTCATTGAAGTTGCATTCAAAGCATTGAAGTACTCATTGGATTGGTCCACTGTTGAACTTATGGCAGGATAGTCGATGGTCAGGAAATCTAAACATAGAGAGATTACCTTAAATTCTATAGTTTAAGGTAGAATAAGGAAGAGTAATGATTAGTAACTACTTAATAACATTCACTTAAACTAACTACATAAGAAAGCAGAATAGTAAAATAAAATTGAGCATGCGATTTAATACAAACCTTCTTCTGTCAAAAAACTAGATAGATCTATTTCATCTACAGAGGGTGAAATAGATTCAGGAATTGAAATAATCGTTGATTGGGTGTTGTTGGGTATTGAACAAACGGGTTCTGGATTAGAATAAACAGATTCAAAATTCCAATTTTCTTTGTACTCTTCAGAAACTTTGGATGCTTCTTCTTTGATACTAGTTTGAACAGGCTAGAATTAGAAAAAAAATGTTGTAAAAATTTAATCTATCATTCAAAATTAAAAAATAAAAAATGTTCATACAATTATTTGATCCTTGGGTAAAGCTCGATTTAGTGGTGTAGAAGTTACCATGGAACGTTTGATACATTTTCTTCTACGGGGTCCTTTTTCTCTTCTGATTGGGGTAGTCTTAGCAAAATGTAAAACATTCTCTTTGCATGCCTGAGAAAAATGAATGATTTATTAATAATATTTCTGGTTTTTTCACAAATAACACTTGAATAAAATCTATCGAAGTTTTCAAATTAAAATTACCTCTTTTAAAAGATTAGGCGATCGACGCTGCCATCGTGACAGTCGGCCACATTTACTGGTTGTGTGCACACGTTGGCTGCTATTGATAATAGCCGGAGATTTTCGCACATTGCCCGTTTGTACCTTCCGATCGGGTCCCTTAGCAGTACTAGTGGTACAACGACCACGCAGCCGTCGACTCAAGTGTTCGCTCCGAAGCCACATATTTGAATTAGTTAGCCTGTAAACAACAATAAAAATTTTATTTTTCCGTAAGGTCAGTCACAGAAAGTGTAAAAAAAAAAAAACGCGCACATACTGGGAAATTAAAAAAAAAAAAAATCATGGTGAACGCCTAAAAAACATTGGAATCGGAGAGTTCGCGTAGGCTTCGGTTTCGTTATTGCATCATTGACTAATTTAACACAGAACAAGTGTACGTATACACTGCTAAAAATATCTCGGTTCAGAACTTAATAACTGAATTGGAGTTACTTTATTCATAGACGTCGAAGCGTGGTATACGTTATAAAATGAAAAAATGTTTAATTTGCCACGAGTGTAATTTGTACCTACGTACGTACTCGTGCTTTGCGATTTCCTGCGAACGCATCAAACTTACAACTTGGAGCTTCGTGTGCCGAGTTCAAACAAATATCGGAGCAAAGAGCATTATCATTTCGCGTAGCATAGTCTCTCATTGAAAATCGCGCATTTGTCCATAAACGCACGTGTGTACAGGTGAGTGAACGATTACGAATGAATCTATACATTTCTTGACAGAGATATTCGATCGAAAAACTGCCAGTGAGGACGGCATGAAAAAGTACTGGAAATACATTGGTTTCTCGCGGCAGCGCGTCGAAACGTAATCGATGCGAGAACGCAGTCGAACGTGGGCAGTACAATACACGCACACACACTATTTGGCAGAAACTATACATACACACTCATGAGTAATATGCATATCTATATATGCAGCGATACACGACTGACTCGCGTGCGGTACCAGCACAACTATATATGCATTGGTGTACACGCTGCTATGTACGTTATATTCTCACCTGAAATGTCATCGGAAATTTTCGATATCTCTCATTTTGCACTCGGTAGACTCCGCGGGCGTTTTTTTAACACGAAAAATTGCGCCTTTGCGAGCACGCAAATCTCTCAGTTTCTGTCGTGACAAAATCACAGCGTGTCTTTTTCTCAACTGCGAATACAAGATCCCGCAGCTTGGTACTGTACAACACCGTGCGCGCGCGTTCACTTCGCATGCGATAATATATAATAATAATGACTTTTCTCTCTTACTCGGCTCGGTGGCGGTGGCAGAGCGGCAGCTCGCGGAGCTCCGAGTCGTCGGTCAAACGGCTCCTTTTTGTTTTCTCTGCGCTGTTACTTTTTTTTTCCGTCTTTTCTTTACTCTCGTTGTCTTTGCCTCTCGCTCAGCAAAATATCAACAACTCGACGAATCCGCGCGGGAAACACATAGCTACACGGACCGCACGCTGCTTGCAGCACAGCACACAAGGCACGCGAAAGCAATTGGCAGTCGACGCTCCGTGGTGTGTTCAGTGCATGGCACAGCTCTCCCGCTCGCGCGCACAGTCTCTCTATAGGTACGATGCACTTGGCAAAAAAGAGAGAGACACGTACCACCTATATGTGTGTGTGTATAGTTAGTAAGGTATATAGGCAGAGAGCGTATAATGTGCGCATAGGCTGCGCAGAAACTGCAAAGCCAAGTCAAATTCGCGAATATACGCAGCACTCACACACGCGCGCGGCTGTATTATTACTTGTACCCACACGCATTTGCGCGAACGCAAACATGGGTACTAAAACACACGTACACACAAACACACACGGATTATGATCCGTGCGCGCGCCGCGCAAGGCACCGAAGCGGGGGCGTACAGCAGCATGATATATATAACACACTCGCCTCCTCGCAATCTTAGCCGTGCCGCGATATTAGCACGGCGCGTATATACATGTATATACTCTATGTTATGTATACATAGGTATAAGTCAGATGCTATGTAGGCTAGTATAGAGCCGAGGAGTGTAAAATATAGGAGGTAAGGTGTCCCCTCCGCGCGCGTACACGCTCGGCCCGTGCGTTGTTATATTGATTTGCCAACGATGCTGATATACACTACTGACTACCATCCACCGCATCTATATAAGAGAGAGAGAGAGACTACCTATTCTTATGTGTGTAGATGTATATGCACGCACGACAGCGCTGGTACACGATTCGATTGCCAGCTACCTCGATTCGCCGCAACCGTGCAAAACTCGCTGCACTCAACGTGCTATACGGAATCGCCCTGCATTCGAATGCCTTTTACATGCCCGACAAAAATAATGCAAATTAACGCCGCGCATGCTTTTACGGGATACCTATCCATGCTTGTATATGGTTTGAATTCGGAGGGCGAAAGTGTTACACACTCGTTGCGAGAACGTATACCGTGTGTATGTGCTCCAGAGCACGATGGTGTGGGAATCGCGAATCGTTCGTCCCGCGTTTATACTAGGCTCTTTCGCTCTTCGAAGCCCGCGCGGTGAAGGTAATAACAACGCGATACCATTGCACTTTCATTCAAGTACGTATATCTGTGTGCATGTACCGATGCACGTATCCACACTTGTATGCTGCTGCTGCTACTGATCCAAGGTGCATTGCGATCAAAAGTATCGAGCCACGCGCTTCTATCCAAGCCACTGTACCCTGAAAAATCGTCGACACTTGACAAATTTGCGTTTAAGCCTAAACAGCTGATTATTTCGTATTATTGCCGTTGCGAAAATTCAAAAATGACGCATAGGCCTCGCGAGCGAGACGAGCGAACGGGAGAGAGAAGAACGAGAGAGATAGAATGAAAGATCGTTCTCTTGTCAAACACTGTAACGCGTGGGTGTCACAACAATGCTTTTAATTCACCAAGATCGCGTGTTAACTGAAATAATGCGTGTCCTGCACTGCAATTTCGATCGCTATTGCACCAGAATTATTATGTATCATCGCACCATGAACTCTCGGACGATCACCATACATATCCACACATAAACAAATGCCCATGGTAGATTCGACAGCGAATCAATTAAAAATAATCAAAAAATAAATAATCATGCTAGTATTTCACACACTGACAATTAATTCTTCTTTATTTTCTATGCAAACTACTAAAAATGATCGAGTTGTTATACGTACGAGGTGCGCCGCGTCGGTCCTGATGTACAACTGTATATACTACATAATAATAATATACATTGCCGAAGTGAAGCTATCACTTATGTATGTGCACCTATATACATAAGATGCGAATATATATATATCTAGTTACATATATATGTATAACAATATACATATGTATATAGGAATGGATCATAGGTAAAATTCTGCGGGTAACTTACCGATTATGGTGCATAGCCGTGATATCACTCCAGCAAGCAGTGGCCAAAGAAACGTCAGACTTCAGAATACTCAAAGAACACATGGCCGGACCCGTTCTATGACGATACAAAAACCGAAAGCACCTTATCGAATGCCGGTTAAGGACGGTAAAACAGACACTGATCACACATAAATTTGTAGAGGTGGTGATTTTATGACTTGATAAACTGAGGTTATGGACTTGCTCGCGTGCGAAACTTATGACGACTGACGAGTCACACGAAGGCACCAGTTCTCCGCTCCAGCTCCAACAGTCAGTGCCGAGTGCCGACTTCCGAGCCGAGTGCGTGCTTCTAACTGCGCAAGCTAATAGCTCCCTCTTGGGTCCTTCTTTTGAGTTATACTGCGAGTTCGAAATATGAATTATTTTTCATACCTATTTTATTTACATGAATAAATCAAAGAAACGACGCGTGTTTTCATGCTGTTATGTAAATGCATCCAATTTGGTTACTCGTAAGTAGTAAAAATAAAAGTAAATTTTTATCCAACTCAAAAGTTTATTTTCAAGTACGCCATTTTGAAAAAAAAATTTGAAAAAAAAGTTGAATTATTAAGATGACAAACTACCAGAAGCCTTCAAATAACATTAAACATTATTCTACACAATGAATTGTTTTTAATATCCTCTAATTACTTAATCGATACGAATCAAATCCCAGGAGATTCCTGCAGAAATTTCGCGACTTTTTTACAAGGGATTTTTAAACGTCACATCAATAATATGTTTTCGCTATCCTGGATTTACGATTTGAATAAATTAATTGCTTCTATTACGTATTAATATAATTTTTATTTACTGTTATTGCATTCTAGTTGTTTTACATTCAATATTGAACTAAATATCGCTTGTATATTTTAATCCGTTTTTAACTAAGAGGCTTTAAATTAGAATTTTTTTCAACACGTTATTTTTTTAGTCAGATAACGAGGAAATACCACGTCCGATGTAATTTTGACGACTCTTTTAAAAAATTTGTAAAATTGTCATACCAAAAAGTTTCTGAAAAAATTCACTCGTATTTTTTTGACTAGTTCTAAGCACTTTTTATTCTGTGAAATTTCAGAGACTTTAGAATTCATTCTACGTTAATATGATGATAGATTCATAACAAAATAATGTGTTGAATAAAAAATCTAATATTGGGTCTCTTAGCTGAAAACGGGTTAATCTAAAATATCAACAGATAAATTATCTATTCGTATTTTATAATAAGTATTATATGTATGTATAAAACAATCCTTTAACGAATATCTAACATTAATAAATAATTTTACAACGATTGCATTTGTTTCATTGACAATGCATAGCTACTTTCCAGTCAAGTTTTTAAACTATAATATAATACAGTGCAACACTGCGACGAATATCAACAGTCATAATTCGTGTAACAATTATTCATGATTATTTTTGCTCTTCTACGAGTATATCAAGTCTGTGTAAAATATTAAACAAATTTTTGTGATTTTATTCAAAAATAAACGTGAAAATTTGATTGAAATACTTATTAAAATTATTCGGAATCCACTTATGCATATTGAATGATTTGAAAGTAAAATCGTTTTTTATACAATATAAAATTAGCTGAAAAATTGCATTGTTCGGGGTCTCAACGAGATAGATCTGCCCAAAATTTTTAATCAATATCGTAGTTCCATACATATGCTGCATTTGTTGCATGTTTACATGTAATGCAAAAAAATGATTGCGATTTTATTAAAGTTTTTTTCTTTTTTTTGCAAATCTATATTTTCATACAAAATTTTTTCTAATATCACTATTTTTATCAAAATAAACTTGGTTTTCAATATGACGGTGAATCCCCTTTTTCTACGATGGGGGTTACAACGAAAAATTATTGTCAATTGGATTCTCGAAGTTAAATACAGGTAGATATGAGATATGATAATATAACAGATAAATATGCCTATTTTATCGAATCGCCGAACCATGTAATTTTCTAAATTAATTTTATTTATTTGTACAAAGGCACATTTTACGTACTGATTTAAATAACGCTGTTTTTGTAATTGTGTACATTTAGTCGTCACGGCTACTGCACTTTTACTGTGATGTAGCTAGTCAGTAAAAATAATATGTGCTAGTTAACATCCATCTATTTCATTGATGATAATTTGGTTTACTAATAATTCATCTCTAAACTGTTTTTCTCATCCGCCAGCGGATCGAATTTTTTAATTTTTCAATTAAAAAATAAAATTTGATGTTTAATTGAATTCATAATTTATAAAGTTATAGCTAACTAATTCGTTGACTTACTATCTCATAGAAATTGAATAATTTAATATTATTGATTAAAATGAATAATCGTTAAGTCGAAACGCTACTGCTTTATGTTTCATATTTCATTGTTTTTTTCGGCGTATAGATTTATCAAAGATTTTCAAGTTTCTATTTACAATGATGGATAAATGATAAAAAAGTTAACATTTATAATAAGAATGTGTACGTAGGCCTATGTTTATCATTAAACTAGTATTTGTGTAGTTATTGACTCGATGGAGATTTCACTCGATCTTATTTTCTGTTTTAACCGAATGCCATCTATTAAATTATGCCATTACAAAAATAGATAAGATTCATCAAGTAATACTGCTATAGGTTAGATTATTTCATTTTCGAATTTGAATCAAGTGTTTAAAAGCTTCAACCTAACGATGAGCAATATAAATTTTTGAAAAAAAAATAATCCTTTTCTGCTTATTTCTCGTCGAGATTTATTTGAAAAAAAAATTTCGTTATAGCTCGTATGTTTCGTCAAAATATAATATATTCATTCGGATCCTATTTGAGATTTATTTAATATCTGTCTCGTTAAAATAAAGGAAAATTCTTCGAGGTTAAAAAAATACGTTAGGCTATATTCGAAATATTTAACTATTACTTATTCTGCAAAGTTTTGCAATGAAAATTTTCGGTGAAAAAGAATGACATGTAACTACAATCTTCCATAATAAATAAAAGTCACACTCTCTTCGCTTAAAAAGTCACATTATGTTTGATCAAGTCGACAACGTAAAAAAAGTTAACAAGTAAATTTACCTAAAAGTTAAAATTTATATAGTATGCATAGCATTATTATCAGCCTCCACATCTGCCTTTGGCCTTCTCTTAAATTCGATATAATTATCAAAGTCGTACAAAAAGTAAAATCGATTTGTTCACGCATCCACTTTCAATACAGGTAGTCGTATTCGCGTGTCCTATTTCCCAAAACAACAGCGCTAGAAGTGGAGGCTGGTTGGTGGTCCATTTTCGAGCTCGGAGTACATCGTTTGCAGTGGGTCTGAGTCGACAGGAACCGTGGCGACGGACACTTGCTTATTATTTCTACCCTTATTACTACTGTTCGCCGGGGCGACTTTGTTGGCTTTGTTCGGTAAGAAACCGTTAGCCATTCTCGGTGCTACGCCGTTTTGAAGCATTTGTGGAGGTCCTCCGTTAATGTGCCGTTGCTGTTTTGGTGGCGATGGAGTCGACTGTTGTTGTTGCTGTGATTTTCGTTGAGCTACGTTGATTTTTTGAGAAACAGGCTTCGCGATCGTCACTCCGTTGCTTTGTGCGGGTAACTTTCGACCACCTGAAATTATAAAAATTCAAGCTGATCAGGCGAGAGTGGCTGTTATATGTTCAGTGACAATAATGGTTAGTAATAGACAAAGTTAACTGAAAGACTTTTTATGAACTCAAACAATTCTTTTACTGCAAATCTTTGAAATATTTTCACATCTCAATATTAATATTTCAGAACTTTGTCTATTAGAGATGGTCATCAACGATTTATGACAGCTTATAGGGCGTTTGTTGGAATTTTTATTCTATTCGTTATTATATATATCCGTACAAGTGCCACAAACTCTCTATAGAAAAATAGAAAAGCAAGGGAGTGTGAAACGAGTGCAAAATGAATGGTTGAACGAAAGTAAAATGAATACCAGCAGCTCCGTTGCCAGTAGCGAGGACTGGCGCGACGTTCTGTCTCGTGGCCTCTCGAGCGACCTCCGCGGCCGGTTTGGCAACACCATTTGGCGCATTATTTCGCAGTCCGCCGACCGGCCCTCGGCTGTTCTCCTCGCCGGACGTCAGCACGCTGATCCTGTTGGGATCGTCCTCGTGTCGAGCCGCCCGTCGCATGAGCTCCAGCAGAGCCGAGGCGAACTGCTGGCGATCGGCCGGCAGCTCCGTGTCGCCGTCGACGATGTGCAGCCGATTCTCGGCGTCGAGGCTCTTCAGCATCGGCACGGAGAGCTCGCGGAACAGCTGCAGACGCCGCTCGAACGCCTCGATGCCGTCGTACGAGCGGCCCCTGTTCGTCTGCATCTTCGAGACGTCGAGCAGCAGCATCTCCGGACGCTGGCCGAATTTGCTCTCGAATTCTCGAGCTTGGCTCAAGTCCCGAGGAAACCCGTCGATGATGATGCCGCTGCTGTCTCTGTTCAGGAGAATTTGCTTCTCCACCAGCAGCATGACCATCTCGCTGTTGGCCATGTCGCCGACGCTCAGAGTCTCTCTGATCTTGGAATTTTTACCCGCCAGTGTAGCGAGTAAACTGCCCATGCTCAAGTGGACCCAGTTGGTCATCATTTTTACTGCCAAGTTGCAGACCATCGATTTGTTGCTACCTGGCCCACCTGACAAAGTAATTTCGTTCGTGATTTAATGACATTTTTTTTCATTTTCTCATTACGTTTTCGTATATACTTACCGAGTACCCAAACAACGGGTGGCAAACGTTTGCGCGGCATATCAGCTGTTTTCGATGAGGCTAAAATTTGCTGTCCGGCGACGACTGGCGAAGTCTCGGACGGCACTGTGGGCCGTGGCAAGGACGCAGCAATCTGTTCGGCCGTCGGTCTTTGCGACGTCGACGACGATATTCGTGCTTCGCTCACGGCGTCATCCTCGTCTTCCTCCTCGGTAGTGGTCATGGTCGGTGACTTGATCACGCCGGCGGCTTTTCTCGGGCTCGCTCGCTCTTCGCCACCGTCCTGATTACGCTCCACTTCCACCTATTTTTTTTTGTATTTAAGGATAATAAACGGGCTCATCAGTCTAAGGCACGTAAAATCATTGCTCTTCTTCTCTAACAATTAGAGACAGTCAGTCTATCTTGTTTCAAGACAGATCGAAAATCTCGAATTTGGTCAACTTTGTACAGTGTGTTGTGTGTAATTTTTCTCAAAACCAATATATCAGAAAAGCTGGAGGACTATTTTCTCAGATGGAATCTGAGCTCCTTTGATAATCGCACTCTTTAATGTTCACTCATAAATATGTGCTTTAATTAGCCATTTTATATAAATAAGCTTTTAAGTACGTGGACTAGAAATAGTGAATACGTAATTATTTGTACAAAATTAAAAAGTTCATCACTGAAAACCGTAAAAAAATCGCATCGTGACTGTGTATGTACAAACATGTGAACGTGTAAAAAAGTTCAAACAGATCTTTTAATGTAAAACAAAACTCACTTCCGTCTCCATGGAACTGGAAACCTCTCGTGTAACGCCACCGTCGTCCGTCTGCAGTCCCAAAGTTCGCAAAACCGCGTCTCGAAAATCGATGTAAACTTCCGATGGATTGCGCTCGCCGTTGACCATAATTAGCATTTCGCTTTGGTCAAAGTACTCCGCGACTGGCATGACGTTTTTGTAAAAATTTTGCAACTCCATGCGAGCCAGTTCAATAATCACTTGGCCGAGTTGCGCCCCGTACTCTATTTGTCTCTCGAGCACTTCTTGCTTCCACGCGACTAATATCACTCCGTTGACTATTTGAATCTGTACACCACAAATTGTTTATTATCAAAGGCTTTGGGTGAAAAACGTAAGAAAATCATACTAAAGTTTTACTGTGTAATAATGGCTTTTTCTTAATTTTAGTCAAAAAGAAATATTTGTTTAGACGTTGATCATAAAAATAAACTATCAAAAAGTAATTCTACATTGCAATAAATATTAATTCGTAGTCTTTGGCAAGGTTGAGGATCACATGTATCGCAATTGATTCTAGACTCTTTTCTTTTTTTACAGCGATACAATGACAATTAGGTAGCAGCAGTAGTTACCCTTAGCCGCTGGTCATTGACTCCGTTCAAGTTTACGATGACTCGCCTACATTGTTAGTAGTGATTTCGATGTTAGTTTTTACACTTGCTTTGTCACTCCCTTTTTCATTCAGTTACTTTTTGGTTATTTGACAAATCATTATTTTTCCATCGCAATTGACAAGTAATCATTCAATTCTCCAATTAAATATTTGTATAGTAATTAGGGCAAAGCGAAAAATAATTTAATGGTGTCCGAGCTTTTTTTTCAATAAATACTGTGGGTCAATGATAATTGTTTTATTGTTGAGCTTATTAAAAATTATAAAATTACAATTTTTTTCTAAAGTTATTTGACTACTTGCCAATTAAATTTATATTATCACACGGATCAAATGTATAAGTTTTTCATCTCCAGTAATTCTCGTGACAGGACTCATTCTCTGTAGTAATAAAAAATGACAATTACCTTTTCCGAATACTCAACAACGTCGCGCATGTTCCTCGGATAACCGCTCACTAGGTAAGTTTTGGCCTCTCGGGACATTTTCATTTCAAGCATGAGGACTTCTGCTACGGTTTTACTGCTGAGAAGACCAAAATCTTGCATGTCTGCATAGAGAATAAAATTCGAATTAGTGAGAGGCTTTTTAATTTTCAATGTAACGAGCGTGCAGCGAATATCCTACACTCGTACACGGCTGGCGTGCGTAAATATTAATTGATTGCTTTGTCGATATTACAAGCTCGCGTCGTTAGCGTCGTGCACAAGTAGCGATCTCAAAAATTCGATATTGATGTAGTAGAGCATTCTAGAAGTGAGCAACGGAAGTTTACCCTGGTAGGACTAATGAGTGATTAAGTCGTCGAGTGGAGGGTGAGTCTGTCGCATGATTAGTCGGATGATTGAAAAAAAGGGAATGGCGAGGAAAAATTTTATCATTATTGTTTCGGTCAAACAAAATTATTATCTTGATGTGTGCGACAAGGCCAGGCTGTAGTAGTTACAGACACAGACTCGTTCCGCGCGCATCCATCCAATGGATTGATCTCGTACACGATATATATTGTGTCGAATGTGCTGCATAGACATTATATTATGATATAGGGGTGAAGTTTGTTTTCTTTGACATACATTAGCATGAAATAATAAAATCGGTAAAAGCGTCATTGCGCAACTTGTTGTACACATAATGAAGCGTTCACGTGTGTATTTGTACGTGTGTTGAACGTAATACAAAGATACGCGGTATACGCTGGGCGCACAGACAAACACATTGTATATGTATAGGCTGGGGCTCATCGATCTATCACACCGATGTGCGACCCGCCGCGAGAGCGCGGGGGAGAGAAACGATCGATCGCGGCTCGCGTATACATGTAAGCATGAGCTGCTTCGTGTCATCTGCGCGATTATAGTCCGACCGAGGAGGCGCGAGGGCAGCTTCGATGCGTCTGCGATATTACCATCCCGCTGCGAATTCTCCATATCCTCGTTAAAGTCGTCGTTGTCGACGGTGAGTGTTTATACGCGCCATGAACGAAACGAAAAATCACAAAAATGATAAAAATTGTAAGGGGATGAAGCAAATGATCCACCCCGGCCCTCGACTAGGATGAGTCACGAACTATGACTTTTAACGAGCCACGAATTTCCTTTGATCGCACGCGCCCTTGACTTTGTCTATGCAGGACAGACTCGCGAACTCGAGAAAGCGATGACGCGAGGGAAAACGAAGTTACAGTCGATGTGCTTTTTAAGTGTCGCACGGTATACGCGACCCGACGACGACGCCAGGCCGATTATGTGGTTTGTCAACGGCCTTGGAAAATACGACGATATGCAAATTGTTTTTGCCTCTGTGTAACGTGTATTTTTATAGTATACATCTATGTATAATGCACATGTGTGAGGTGTGTGCGCACGTGTGTGTGCTACTTGTACGTACGTTCATACGGTATAAGTACGCGAGAGACGTCGCCGAGACTTACCGTTGCCCAGCGCGTACTGCTGCAGCAGATCCGTCATGTTGATGTGAACTATGCCTTTCTTTTCTTGAGTTAGATTGTCGCAATGTGTCACCTTTCCACTGCCAGGACCTCCTGCAACACACAACATCGAGGAAATTTCTCAATAAATAAGACAATTTAAGTAACTTTTTAAGAAAGAAAAACTAATTGAAAAGAAAAACTAACCGAGTACGAAAATGACCGGCACTGTGGGAGGCTCGAATTTGATTGGGCCGGAATTCTGCATCGGGAAATTTCCCCCAGGCGGGGTCGCCAGTATGCTCGCCTCTCTTCGCCATTTTTCTGAATTCTGATTGGTTTGAGCGCCGGCCTCTTCCAACACCTGTGATCCATCTTGTTGATCTGCGCGCCAGATTGGAACGAGGAAGACATTTTTTTTTATGAAAATTCAATCGCAGCCATGAAATACGAAACTTTTTGAGCTTTCGAGAGTGAAAAAATTTAAACCGATCGGGTTCACCAAGTGACTTCGAATTAAGCCGTTGGCGCGCGACACAACGCTCTCTTCGGCCTGCGTAAGAAACCGCGAATAATCAACCGCGAGAAAGAAAAAAACGAGGAGCTAAGCAGCGGTAAATAAAGAAAACACGTGGATCGAGTCATATTTACTCGCGCGCGGCTGATGAGTAGTCGAAGGAAGCAGCGAATGGAATATTGCGCGCACGCGACATGCTACACACTGCGGTTCGTTCACATCGAGGGGCTGTATACGCATTGCATTTGTGTATACGCCATATAGATATGCATGTAACATATAGTTCGTAAGGCGCGATAGCATCGCGGGGCATCGATGGAGCACTGACGAGCAAAAATTTCGCGATGCGCTCGCTTGATTGTATTACGCCGCTATATAGTATATATACGTGTCATCCATGATATATGTCACAGGGTACCGTTCCTTTATGATTTATATACCCTATGGGACTCCAACTTTTGCTCTTTTCTTTCATGACAAATAAGCTAGAGCCTTGAGCTTGATCAATTTCTATATTTTTCCAAATTGTATCGAACGGTTTTGTAATGTATCCACGTTAGTAGCGAGAAATATATTCAAAACTGGTCGATAAATAATATTCTTATACATTACGTACATAGTTGAATAAAAAATGAATATTTCAGATGGAGTCGCGTCGTTAAGAATAGCACGTATGCAGCTCCTGTTGGAATTATATTTTACGTGCCACTCGACTGACACTTCGATAGTTTACTTCTATTATATATTCTTATGTATATATTGCACTCGTGCACCTCAAGTATTAAGCTATTATTCGCAGTCCGAGTCTTCGAAAAGCCTAACGTTTATTTTTCAAGGTATTACCCTTGTAACTTGAATTACTTACTTTTTTTACTAGCCGTAACATAAAATATAGCGCGTGGAATAAGATACTGTACGTTTTTGAACGTTCACTACGTATGCTTAGAATTATGTGCTTTCATAAGTTCGATTAAGCTTATAGCTAGGTCAACTTGCGGCGAGATCAATGCCATTTATTTGCCCTATTTTCATCCGCATCTATGTTAATATGAAATACTAGTTACATTTCCATCTTCTTAAAAGAAAAATCTGACTAATGAGTAAGTATTACATTTCATCAAAAGTTGCAAGGAAGAATGTATGTGCTCGGTACTTGACAATCCATGAGTAATGCGCATTTAAAAATATTAACTGAAGTGGCTCGCGTGTTATAGCGCTTATTTTGTTCGACATGCCCTTTTACATAGATCATTAACATTAATGATTCATTTACAATTTTTTTTCCTACCAGCAGACTGATGCTACTCATACTTTAATATACTTCGGAACACTATATTTGAATCTCAGAATTTCGTCGTCATTCATTTCTTTCGTTATTTTATACTCATATCTAGGATTTACTCATAAAAAAAATATTGAAATTGGAATAGAATTTTGGAATGAAAATCGAAGTTATTACTTTCGGAAGTCAAAATAGCACCCAAGACTAAGAAAAGTATATTATTTTTGTAAGAATAAATTTTTCTAGAAAATCAGATGCACCGATTTTTTACCATTACTTTAATGGACTAGTAAAGATGTTATTGCGACGGTCTTTCAAATTTATTTAGAGCCATTTCAGTGAAAAAATAATTCTTCATTTGAAAGAAGTAAGTTTTTGTAGATTTACAAAACCGCATCCAATGCTCTAAATGTTCGCGCGATCTTCTACAACTTCATCAATGAGCGAGTCATTAAAATCTCTCCAAGTTCAATGACATCGGATACATAATTGCAATCTACGGTGTCGGAGGCGCGCGTGAGCTTTACACTCGATCCAGCACACGTAATAACAGTAACAATAATTGCATTTTTGAAACGGCAATCGCACGGCCACGTATACACGTACGGCACGTTCTACGCGAATTGACAGGCATGTGCGCGCATATACATAAGGGTGAGCGTGAGTAGTCAATCATCGAAAGGCTTTTTTATTTCATTGGCTTTTTCCTTCCGCGTGCAACATATTATGTGTGTATACATGCCTGTGCGCGGCACTGTGCCACGCTCGCTTGCATACTATAAACGAGAATCGATCATTCGAGCTTGAGAGCTCCTGTGTACGTCACATATATGAGTAATTCTCGGAAATTTTTGATTTTTCAGAAGAAATTTTTTTTCATAAACAACTATAAAACATTCAATCCTGTGATTGAATGTTTTGAATCTTATTTGGTGATAAAAAAGTAAAGCCACCATTTTGGAAGCGACTTACCTTTACATGAAGGGTTAAATTATAATTTTTGCCTTTTCCCCATATTCCATAGAACTTGAATATTGATTTGAGTTGGCGCGATTATTGATGAAAATAAAAATAAGCTCTTTTTAAAAATATTAGTAAGTATTCCAGGTTTTATATTTACCGACAGAATTTTACCCATTTCGTCCAGTTCACGACAGTTAAATCGAAAAAACTTTAATTTTCATTGATGGTAGGCCCACATCCCCAAAAACAATGTTAACTGAATGATGTCATTGCTTCGCAAAACGATCATCTTAGATTTTTTATCTAAATTACCCCAACAGCATTAGTACTATTTTTACTGTGTCCTGGCACCGAAAAATTCCATAACGTTTGTTTTACTTTGAATTTTTCGCAATGAATATAATAATTTTTTTTATTCTTATACCGAGTCGATGTGAAAGGTATTAGGTCATAAATTTTTTGACATGGTTAAAAAGAACCCTTTTTGATCTCTTTGTCGAAATTTTTTATGGTAGGTTGCACTTATGCGATGAAATAGCTGCCCTTTAGATTCTCTGACATGAATCGATTGAATTTATCTCAAGCATTTCGTGATCGAATTTTCAAAATTAAAAGAGTTATCCAAAAGATAAAAATGGAAACGCACCCGTCAACAAATTTTTTCGAAAAATATAATTGAAAAATTGATGAAATTTTTAAAAAGTGTTAGGTGAAAACTTATAGTTTGTACAGCCTTATAAAAATGCACGTGGACTTGAATAAAAAGTTATAATAACATTCATACGAATACAAAAGTAGATTCTTAAAAATCAAAAGTTTCTGAGAATTACTCATTTAAGGCAGCAGAATAAAAACAAAGTGGAAAAAAGCCGCAAACGCCAACTTTTTGTACTCGTGTGCAAGGGATGTACGTACATACGTACGCTACGCGTGTATGTGCGACACGAGACTTGGTTAACATATGCGCCACGCGCGAAGCCATCACACGAATATGTATATTGTCTATATAGGCAAAAAGCAACACACGTCGCGCGACCTTTACCTTGGATGACCGTCGATCTAGAGTTGAAAGCGGTCGATATATGCCTGTCGTATGTATACATATTAGCAGTTACACCGAGGCAAGACCGCCGCCGCGTTGTGTACGGTGTAAAAGACAACCATGCTCAACTTGACCGTGCTGCTATTAATTTGAATGCGAAAACAATATCTTAATTGACTAACTTTTCTAATCAATGGACCTTATTTGCGGCAAAAAATTAAAAAAGCTTTTTAAGACCGATGCTCAATGTTCAACAATTGTTTTATTTTCTGTTTTATTCTGTTGTATATTGTTGTTTTGATTATTATAATCATTATTATGTTTCGTTCTTCAGTTGAAAATACATTTTCATACACTAAATAGATATTAATCCTAGAATTGTCAAAGAAGAAGATGAGTCACTTTCCAACCCCGTTCAAAACTTGTCAACGAGCTTTTGATCGTTTCGTTTCATCGACTAAGTTTCGTCCGAGCTTGCGCGAACGCGTAAACATTTGTTCGACGAACACATAGCTCAAAAAGTTTCGATTCTCTTGGCTGATAAATATGCAAGGAAAAAATGTTATCGTAAATCTTACCTGTGTCCAGGCAGATGCCCATAGTAGGTCGTCGGAAGGTTCTCTCAAACCTTCCACGGCCATTTACTCACATGATCCGGCGTGGCGTTGGATCTATCGTTCCACGCCGTTTCACCGACGCCACACCACACGATTATCACAACTTTTTGTTTTCTTATAAACTCGCTTTTACTCGCACGACTGCGTAGTTCGTTGCAAGCACAAAACAACAACAACAACGCCACTAACAATTTATATGTTTTTTTTCTTTTGTCTTGGATACAAATCGGTGGTTTACACGCTTATTTAATTTTTGTCTCTTTTCCAGCCTTATCGCAGCGTTGGAATCTGACTCGCACCAACGGCCAGAATGATTGCAGAAAAGCTCGTGGAAAAAATAGCAAGAGAGTCGGCGGCTAAGCCTTTCGTTGGCTTATGTGTATAGGGAAGAATCGATCGATCGAGCACCGAATGTAGTCAAAGAGCGAAGAAGCGTCGGCGCCGCGCGGCTTTGACACACTCTATTACATGTTCAACACACAACAAGCTCCTTTTCTCTTGGTCTGCGCTTTATTATTATCGGCAATCGTAGCGTGCCAGCTGCACATGTGCGGCCCACGCGTGCTCGCTCGACGTCGGCTTTTCATCCGTGAAATTTGATCTTTCGCGGATCTATACCGATGTCGGCGATGAGAGACACTTGGCTGTAAGCTCGGCGAAGACGGCGCAGCTTTTGATAGACGTTGAGCAGGTAGAGCAGGTAAACGAGCAGCAGCGAAATCAGGGTGAGGTATTTGGTCAGCGCTGGGCCAGCCGAGTCCGCCTGCAGAGACTCGACGATTCGATCCTGATAATGGTAGCAGTGGCTTCCCTGAGCTTGCGACTGCTGCTGCTGCTGCTGCTGCTGGACGTGCAATTGCTGCGGCGCCTCGTAGACGCACCTGTTAGCTGTCCCAGCCACGATTATTGCAGCTCACTCGACGAGCCCCGCGTTGGATATCTGGGTAGGAACGAAATAAGGGAAGCAAAAATAAAAACTCGAGTGAATGCGCGCGTGCGACTCGGCGCTCACGATCGCGCTCGCCGATGGTTCGCCAACGGTTGTCGTTTCACGACTGTTGTTGGACTTGTTGGCGACACAATGACAGGGGGGTAGCATGAACTGGACAATGTGCGCCTCTCGGACGATCGCCGCAATCGTGCGCGCGCGCCCACCTGCCTATACGACTGCCTGCTTTCCTTTGATTGGTTCCCAATGGCTACGCGCACGCGTAAGATAGCCACCCCCGCGCCGATATATATGCGATATATCGCGACTCACCCCTTGGCGCTTCCTATATCCGAATGTATTTTTTCTGGCAAATTCTTCTTTTCTCCGCTTTGATGATAGATCGACAATTTTGTTTTTTTTTCAACTTTCCGAAAATCAGCCAAACCTATTAGCGATGATTTTTTAAATTTTCAATAGCAGGCGCTACCGTGACATTGACAGTTGAAGCACGTGACATGTGCGAGAAACAGACTCGCGTAAATAGTGAATGAGGGGAACCTACTGAACTCGTATTATAATAATATACAAATTAATACGGGGTTCAGTCTAACAGAATATAAGCAACTATATCCGCGTCTATGCGTTCTTGATCTATTTACCCACAGACGTTTCGCTAACTATCTGAAGACTATACTTTTAATGGACGACAATGAGGCAAAACACTTGTTACAATATTGATTTTTATTATTATTCGTCTTGTATACACGTGTATATGGGCAAATCTCTAGAATTTAGCCAACTGCTTTCAACCCAATATTTTACGCAAGCGAGTGGCAATTACCTATTGTTATACTTTATCTTAAGGTAAAAACTTATTTTGAAAGTTTTCATTTAGATATAAATCGATGGCTCTTTTATTTAGGCATTTATTACAGTAAATTATATTTAACTACTCAAAAAGACGCAAATTGAGCGCATCTTATTTTATACTTTGATATACCTTTAACTTTAGTGTAAAAAGTTTATCTTGTTCAAAATCATCGATCTAGCAAACAAATTATGTTTTTTTTCTTTACGATACCACGGCTTAAGTATTTCCGAAATTATTAGCTTATTCCACTATCAATTTTTGAGTACTTGATGCGCACTCTGAGCTTGCAGCTTCATATTTCTCTTCTTAATACAAAAATTTCTAGACGACATTAGAAATGTTTTTTTGTTTTTATTTTGTTGCATTACGTTGTCATGAGTAGGGTAAAATGATGTTAATTAAACATTTGTTGAATTTCGTCGCGTAGAATATTTTTTAAGTCTCATAATGTATTAAACAAATTGTAAACATCTCCCACATGATTTTATCTTCAATTTTTCTGGAGAGTCACCTATATACGCTTGTGTGCACGGACACACGCACCTTTTAATACTAATATATAAAAACGCTAAGAATGACGTTATTCAATGTTATGAGATTTTAATAGAATCTTTGCACTGATTTGATTTTGAATGAAAAATAAGGTAAAATTGCTTCTTCATTCGTTCAATAATCAGTGAACAGCAGGTTTTTTTTACCATTGTGAATAAAAGTACATTTACACACAGTATAAGGACTCGAACTTTTTTACGAGAAATCAGGCGTCAAAGGCACGTGCTTTCTTTGAATGTTAATTCTTTTAAAAAGAAATCGATGAAATCCCAGGGGTTTATTATATTTAAATTATTATTGTTCATCAAATTATACCAATAACTAAACTTCTAAGAAATGTATGATTACACTATGAGTATAGTTTTAGTTTAAGTTTAAAATTGTTAATAGATGAAGGATTTCAAAGTAATATAAATCCACTGACAATATTATAATTCTAAATCGGTAAATCAGCAGAAGAGAATTTCATCAGTTTTTAAAAACTTATTATCTTTAGAATTTTGCGTCGCAAACAAATGCACTCAAAGCCGATGATGAATATGTAATGTACGGGTAGGCGCAGCTTATTAGACCGAAGATATAATTTTATTGAAATTTATTGTGTTTAATGCAGTGAATTGAAGTAAGGCTTCTGGCTAAAAATGACACTCGTTTTTGTACCTGGAAGTCCTTGAAGAAATTCTGGAAAACACGTTTAGTACAAATGTACAAAAAGTACAGTAATTTCATGTAGGTTCGGTACTCAAACTTCGATCATTAAGAACAATTTAATGAAGTTGTTGGAAAAAATTAAGTTGGGAAATTCGTTAGAATTGAACATAGTTGAAAAAATGACTTGGTAGGAAAGTCAAGAAAATATAGATAATTGCGGTTTGCACGATTGCGAAATGTGTTTCATATCATACTCTTATGGTTATAGTATGAAGTCGATCAATATTTTAATTCTTTTTATTTAATATGTTGCCGAATAACAGTTTGAAATCCATGATTATCTTGAAATAAAAATGATTGTAAAAATAATTAGTTGCTCCAATTTTTTAAGATATAAAAAAAAGTTATGTTTACAACTGAGCAAATGTCATCTACACCTCATTTTAACGGTGTAGCTATGTTTTTAAATAAGTATAGTTTACCTGTTAGACTTAGTCAGCTCCACTAAAAAATCAAGAATTTACAATTTGAATTTAACTTTTGAGTTTTACCATTTATCGTTTAATTATATTCATCCCGTAATGTATAAGGTTTTTATAGTTTAAAAGAAAATTTAAGATCCCTGTAAATTGGGTATTCATAATGAAATAAAAAGTAACTTCTGGTAAAACAATGCAAACTGTTCGTAATTTTCAAATCAACTAACTTATCGAGTCATTACACTCGATTCAACATTTCTAAAGTCGGACAGTAAACAATTTCTTTATAGGTCTCCAAGTATAAGTCTTTGATAACAATTTTGAGCTCAACCTTCAATGACTACAAATTATAAAGAAATCACTTTCTTCGCTTATACCGTGTGTCACAAGTAAAGACAAAGTTTGTAATACAATTCAAAGTATGTGAAGTAAGGTTAGTATGTCGTCGAGTGGAGTTCATATACATGTATTATACTAAGTATAGAAATAAAAAGATAATCGTTTTCTATCATAATTATAAGGCGGTGGTATGCCAACGTGTCCTCGTTGCCGTTACATATACTAGTCGCAAATTTAATTTGTTCTAGATTTTGCAATAATGAGAATATGTTTTAATAAAAAGACAAAAGAATCGTATTGTTTCAAATACTTTATTTATAATTCGTATTTTGTTGAACTATTTTTTTCATAATATACAAGTAGCTACGTATGATTACGTACTAAGAAAAAATCGTTCGCTACATATTTTGTCGTAAATTTTCATTCTTTCTATAGCGTCAATCTATAGTACTATTTTAATTAGAAATGACGAAAATGTATGTGTACATTGCTTAGATGCATCGAACATAGTTATGCTTCTCTTATTGGTAGAGTAATACGATGTATGCTTGATTGCATCCTTGATGAGTATTCTATGTGAAGTACACGCATGAAAATTACCACAAATTGAGGCAGTTGAAGAAGTATACACGGCTGACCTCAATATTTTTTTTGTTGAAGATGCAATGGTAGTTTGAGTCTGTGTAAAAATGGTAGTTTTAAGCAAACTCGACGGAAGGGTCGATTATTTGTTCATCACTGATATGTTGCGTCGCAACAATAAAGTAGTTTTAACTTAAATAAAAAATAAAACGAATTTTTGGTATAAGAAATGTTATTTTGTACGCTAACTTTCTCTTTGTTTATGCAATGCAATACGATACAAAAGGTATATTCTGAGTCTTGCAGATAATATGTACAATTGAAGAATGTCGCTCGGGGTGCTGCTGGTACATTTTCACACAAACGTCGTTTGTAATTGTATATTGTAGAGCGGCGCGCTGTTATTGTGACTAATGGAAAAATTGAACCACCTGAATAGTTTGCCGATGCCGCTGTATCGGCGACCGGTTCTGTCCTCCATACGGATCATATTGTGCTGGTTTCTCCATTCTTCTTTGGCCGCTATGACTTTTCTTCGCTCGGGCACTTTTGTCTTCAAAAGCAGGCGAACTTCCTGATTTCGTTTGCACCACTGCCTCCAGGATTTGAAGTGAAATCTAATAAAGTAAAAGGGTCGAATGTATCCATGCGCGAGCAGAACCGCGAAATCGAATCCTTGCGTTATATATTGTATGTATGTACTGACCTAATAGTGACGAAAAACCAGAGAAAGTACGTGGCGACGAGCATACAGCACAGCACCGCCAGTCCCGTGCCTTCCCAGACGCCGAGGCGAGAATAGGCGCTGGCACCGAGACCGCACAGATACGTGGCGGCCAGGCACAGAGGTGTCAGCACGACGAGGCATATCGTGTCGCCGGCTACGCCTTGGGGCCCATAGAGACCGCGAGTTTGCCACCACTGGCTGAACGACTGCAAAACAGGCAACAATTTTTTCTCCTTTTCTTTTTTCAAACGAGTCGAATTTCGTCTCGAACCAAATGTATTATATTTGTCGATGCTTGATAAATGTTACGCGTTAAGTAATACGTCGAGAATCCGAAAATTGAAAATCGTTTATCGATCGAAAAAACTTGACAAAGTGGGTCACTCGACAACAAAGGTACAAACGACTGCCCGTAATTGTTTCTCTCCAGCTCTATCGTTGAGATTTCGCCGACGATAATGTCCAGATAAATTACGACCGATTTAAGTACGTCTCTGACCTTATCGATATCCTCAAACTCAAGGCTCAAACCTAAATGAGTAGAATACAAGGTATGAAGCAATTGAAAAATCCATTAACGGGCGATATCATTTTTTGCATTCGAATAAAGACAATCGCGAACCCACTGGCTAGATTATACGATCTTTTATTTTAAGTTTTATATAACAAATAAATAGAAACAAAAATAAATCATAGTATTTTTTAAATATTGCATTCAGAAAAAATATCTACTTTCAAGAGCTGACGAGTAAAGGGTAAAAAAATAATAAAAGGTGGTGAATTGAAACTTCACAAACAGCATTTCGTTTTATGCATTGCACATAAGATAGATAGAAAGAAAGAGAAGGAGAGAATAAAGAGAGATCGCATAAATTATATATAGTCATGGTACCGAGAGCTTATCTTGCCAAAGTATCCCACGCTGAGCCACGTATGTGGCTGCATGGATACTTGTATGTGTGCACAGAAGCGACACACACATAGCATATAATGCAGCGGTCATTTGAAATTCAAAAAAGGCGAATCATCTGCATCGCCGCTTCATATAAACAACGTCCTAGTTTATGGATGCCATTGTGCGACAATTTGATTTTTCTCTCGACTCGCGCACACTATATGAATACGTATTCCATGTAGTCCATATAAGATTTAAGAGATCTTTGTTTCTTTGGAATGACAAATGTAACGAGATCGAATAAGAAATTTTCAGCTATATCAATTCTGCCTCGTGACGATTGAGATGAGAAGTATTTTGCTACACCAGAGACTAGAATACTTATAATAAAAAACGTTAAAGTAAACCGAGATGGCCAAATACATCGTAATGCTTTGAAACGGAAACTATTTCTCAGGGGACACAAATTATCAATCTGGAATCAGTACTTTGGATCGTTGAATTATCACTAAAACAAACAAGCTTCGTTGAGATACTGTAGCAAATTTCATTCAAATTTAAATCCTCGTTAGAGAATATTCATTTTGAAAATAAAAACATTTCAAAATATTGGTCGATAAAAAACCATTGCAGAGTTTTTAAATAAAATAATTGTAGAATATTTTGTTCAAATTGACGTATAATAATGTCTCTGCCAAATTTTGAAATTATAGATAAAGAAAATTACTAGAATTTTTTAGAAATGCAATTGCTCGAACTTTTGACTCAGTCTCATCATCATTTAGAATACATTTCGATCAGAGGTTATTATTTTTAGGTATTAAGGACTAGGCATTACTTTGTTTTTCCTTCAAAAATTGAATTTATTATCTACATCACGTTTGAAACTTTTTTGGAGCTGGTGCGAGATAATCTGTGCAAGCATAGCTAGAGGATAGGTAATTCACCAATAGTCGGAGACTGTCGAAGGGAAAAACTATTAAAGCACGAAGAGTCAATGGCTGAAAAGAAAAACTTGGCAAACATAAACTCCAGCTATAAATTAAACTATCTCTATAAATGTGCAAGTATACTTTGAAAATCCCGTAAGACATCGTATAAATAAATTATATAAGTATGCGCACACGTACACGAGAAGCAATTGATCCGTACAATTACTTATTGTGTATATTCCTAACTCTCTCGCTCTCTCCCTTGCTCTCCTTTATTCGTGATGCGGCATCTTTTATAGATAAAAAAACGAAGAGAATAAAAGTTGACTCGCGGTAAAATTCAAGCATATACCGAGCGCGCACAAACGTATGGTATAACTATAAAACTCGCGTATCGTGATGTGCGACAATAGGACTGCTGCACGATCTCTCTCATTGTAAATTCGTACATATCGCATATACCTACGTGCATATAGGGGTATAAAGCATTTATATGGATGTGTGTAATGCTCGTGCGCATTCGTACCTTGGGTAAAGGTTTGTTTCTCCGCTCGACGGCGAAGTTGTATTGGCAGATCTCACATCGGTCGCTGTTCCAGCTGGATAGCCAGCGTTCGAGGCAGCTGGCGTGTATCAGGCCCAGCGAGCCCGAGCACTCGCACGGCTCGATCAGCTCCTCCGAGCTTCCGTCTGTAAAGTGATTGAACTTTATTATCAATGTATATGAAATCGGGATCGTGCAATAAAGTCGCAACGATCCTACTCGCATTAATTTTAATACAATTTTTTCAGTTTAAGTGCATCCGCTAAACAGAAGAAAGCGGGCTAACACAATTGGCGAAAATCACGGCTCGCTCGACGGCTAGAAAATTGCTCCACGCGTTGTCCGCTCCGCTATAATCATAACGTCGTAATATTAAGTGCCGAGCGTATTGTCCGCAATTATACGGCTCTTCATCTCCCCGTGTATATATGCGAGGCACATGCAGCCAGCAGCAGCAGCGGAGAGCTCGCATGATAGTAGTATATATACAGCCTCGCGCCGTTTAGGGGAACAAAACGAAAACAACAGCGACGCCGCGAAATACCTCTCCGTTAGAAATGTTACACGCGCGCACATAAATATACGTACACTGCAGTTATATATTTTATTATAGGTTCATTGTTTGCTCTCAATGTCGCGGAAGTCGAAGAGACGTACTACGGGCGCTGCGTATAGTCTAACGTATGTGTGTGTGTGCGAGTATAACACGCGGGCTGTGCGCTGCCGCGTCGCTTCCGTTCGACAGCGAGCATTGTGGGTACGTAGTGCGTATAGTCGATTGATGGGCCTTGCCACACACGTACACAGTACACACGAAGCTCGCTCCTAAGCACCGATAAAAAACGAAAACAAAATCAACGAGAGCAGCGACGAGAGTAGAAAAAGCCTCCCATATTACACGAGTGCTGGGCATGTGTGCCTTTATGCTATTCTATTAAGCGACTGGGGAAGTAATTCCGAACAACGAGGAACAGCTCAACGAGGCGTGACATTATTATCAAAGGCCATTATTATTCAATTTCACGAGCGATGCAATGCGGTTGACCGAACGAGCGTCTCGTCGTACGTGTTAATTTACCGACTAAAAGGATGGCGGTTTACTGGGCGCACACACATGCATGTTTTGCGTTACGAGCAGCAATATTCGTTGGCGCAGGTACATGTAAAGATTGCGCGACGTGATTTTCACCGCATCGATCGAATTTCGATTACCGAACGCAAGCCCGAGCTCGACTGCGCGATTTTTTTAATCGAAAAACCGTGCGCCGCATTTTTTTTGCTCGTATTTACGTTCGTCGTCGTGAGCCGTATAAAAATATTATCTCGATCTCTCTTGTACGTTGGTCGCGGCGGCGATGACTAGACTGCAACGTACACTCGTACAACATAAATATACATATAAATCAGATCAAATTACCGCCTCGACGTCGTTGTGCAGTCCACGTACATACGAGTGCGATTTAAATGACAATTGATTCAACGATTCTACAATTTGTATGTAATTAGGAAGCAGCTTATCACTGCTTGAATGCGTAATTTAATATACAAATAGATTGTGATATATAAATGATTCGTGTTTGTGTATATAGTAATTACTCATCGCTGCTTCGACCATATTAATTTTGTCTTTTTTTTGTTTTCAAACGTTAAACGTACTTCCTCTGCAGTCTTCCCTCGAAAAATGTATGTATCGACAAACTGGCTCTTGTCGCGGCCGGTTTGTCGCGGGCTGTCGTCGCACACGCGCCAACGAAAATTGCGTAATAATTAACGCTCATAAACACGCATAAAAACTATGCTCGTGTCCAGGGTATTTTGTACTTAACGTATTCATTTGTTATAGGAGCACAATGACATGTACATAATAATGCAGAGTCTGTTTGTCGTGTTTTTAATACGCCTTAATATATATAATAAGAAATCAGCTACATGCACTCTACCTATGCAATGCGTCGCACAGACGACTCTTTTTTTTATACCTATATATTTCGTTCAAGGCCGAGCCTTCTCAAGCTTTTCAAGCGTGCTTTATATCATCGGGCTCGCGCGCCCAAATGTGTAATAACGCGCTACATTATTATATTTTTGTAGTGCGCGCGAGAGATCGTACACGCTGCATCCGAACACGTATACTCGAGGTAATAATTTAATCGGCAACGGAGCGCGCGCTAATTACATAAGGCATTTAATGTGTCGCGATCATCGATGGCTTTTTTTTTTGCTCGCATGCATGTGTCGCTTTAAAATTCAATGCGCGCGCGCGCGCTCGTGTGCTGCAGTTGCAACGCACGTGTGCCATAATGTCATGCGTTTGATTTTGCCGTCCAGCACGCAGACATAAATGCACAGACAGTGGTCTCGGCTACTTGGGTACTACCAGCTCTTGCTTCTGCACCGCACGAGCGCGCGCCGGATCGATCTTTTGTGTCGCGTGCCAACGTTCGTTTGGCTTCGTGAATTTCTGTCGCGTTTAGCGTTACACCTTTGAGCATACAAAATATACATGTATGCATTACACATTATGGACGATTCAATGAGCCGAGAGAATTGTTATTGCGCGGCAGCGGCGCGCGGGCCCGTGCCGAGCGCAAAAAAAGAGCCTGAATCGCGAGACGGAGAGACAATGTTTCTCTAGAACAATGCGAAAGCCAACGTCGTTATAATAATACGTACATAACTGTGCGTGCACTTACCTATTTTACGTTTATTATTAAAAGTGTTCGTGAAAAAAGCGACAACAATTAGCATAGAGAATTGTATTTTAATGTCCAAGTTCATCGGCCCGCACGCGCGCGCGCAGGCACCAAGGAAAACGCGCATTACGTCCTCGGCTCGGAATCGCACATGTTTCTCGTTGCATAAGGCGCGTAAAAGCGAACGGGAGAGAGAGAAAAAAAGTCAGAGAGGTTTTCCATAAAGGCGCGTGAAACGATGGACTTTATATATATATGAATTGAAAAAAGACGCTCGATGTGCACACATGCGCTTACCCTCGTAACATATACGACATCCCAATGGCAGTTGTATGGCCGTAAACTGCAGGCTGCTGCCTTGTATGTGTTGTTGCTGCTCCTCCTGCTTCTGGCCTGTCGATTCGGTGCCAGTCGTCGTTGTCGTCATGTTTTTTTTCTGTCTCGTTGTCGATTGTCAACATTGGCGATGCAGTCCTTGCGACGGCTCTCTTTGCTCGCCGTAAACGGCACTTGCACTCGCATACACTCGAACGTACGCGTCCGCGAGATTCGGACTCTTCGTCATCTTCGCGCCATGTCCTCAACTTTGAGACGTGCCTCGAGTTTTTACTTGTGCGAGTTCACTAGCCACTATCGTTGCATTATAGGCTGCAGCCAGCAGAAATCGTTGACCTTTTGCGATTCGTAATTCTTCCCTATCGCTTCGATGATCGATCTTCGCTAATCCGCTTCGAAGGCGATCGGAATCAGCGTTAAGTGAATCAAACTCCTTCTTTTGTCTGCCTTATCTAAAACTCGACGCGCACTGCACTAATTATAAATAGTCGAACGATCGCTGCGACGACGAGGACAAAAAAGGCGAGACAAGGCAGATGTAGGACCGCACTGTAGCGCGCGCACTGTGCGTATAACTACGCGATCGTCGGTACGGATACGCTTGTACGCGGGCTTTCGGAGCGCCGTCGAAAATATTTCAAAAAGCCCACGGCTCGTAGCGGAGAGCAGCAGGCCGCGTGTGCGCTTATCGCGCTCGCTCTCTATATATATACGTGTGTTTACAGAGATGCACCGGCGAGTCGACTAACGTTACTCGCCGGGAGCACACATATATACGCTACACACGATCCCGACATCGTCGTACATACGTGTATATATACGTACATATATATATGTGCCGCGCCGCTCGCGACTCCTCTCTCTTCTCGTGTAATGTATGCGGCATTGCGCGCGGATACGCCAAACTGCACAGCTGTGGTACTTGGGCTTCCCGGCGTAAAACCGGCAGTCCTCAATGACAGACAAGTAATGTATGCCCGTGTATAATGTACTTTTTATTGTGCCAAGTGCAAGCTCGTTCGATACTCCGAGAGGAGACTCGTGTACGGATGCACGCGACTGCCGAAGCAAGCACTGACACCTGCCCTGCCTCTTAGCTGTCCAACATCTACACTGAAACAAGATACACTTACGTGGTCGATTCCATGTCAAATCGAATGTCGAGAAAAAAAAACTAGCTGGCGCTTTTTGAATAATGGAAAAAGTAATACTCCGATGGGGTCTGACCACTCAGGGAGCTTGCTGCTGTAAAAAGAAACATAAAGATCCAAATCTATTCGAGATCTTTTTCAACTTTTACAAAGCTTCCTTAAAACTTCAAAAGATACCTTTTAAATTTTGAACATTCTATCTGAACTCAAAAACGCATCGAAACAAGTAGAAAAAACGTCAGAAAAATTTGGTTTTTGCTATGTCCCACTAATCCTTTTTTAAACGTTTTTCACCTTTTTTTTTGCTTTCGGATTTTTTTGAACCATTACACTTGAAGGTTCATTACAACAATTCAAAAGGTAAATGTTGACATTCTGAATAAGCTTTGTACATTTTTTGGTTATAAAATTCCGGAACGAACTAGTTTGGATTTGGATTTTTATGTTTTCTTTATATCATTAAGTTCATAAAAGACTCAGATTTATTCAAGTATTTTTTTCTAAAATTTTAAAAATGTTGAATTAAGAACTCTGAAAAGGGGTGATGAATTGTCCCGAAACTAATAAAATTTTGGGTCATAACGTTAAAAACAACTAGTTTTTTATGCCAGAAAAAAAATTGATTGGCCATTCAATTTCACACAGAATCGTTCATATACATACGTGTGTGTATATAAATATAGTATATAACATTCATGTAAGCATATGAGAGCCGAGTCAGCGTATAATTTTCTCCGCGTGCCATAGCCTGTATGATGTTTCCACGCACATAAGGAGTATTGAAAAAGAGATAGTTTGTTAGAAAGTGCTACGAGACCTAGTGCTGCCTAGGCCCAACTCGCACAGATTCCAACGGACTTTTTTCGTCTTCGCTAAACCATCAAAGTTCTGGATTCATCGATTTTTCGCTGTTGCAACAAATGTACTTGGTTTCTCTTGAGCGTGAAAATTCGAATTAAAACTAATATTTTCACGATACGTCAACTTGGCGGCTGATGTGGCAACAGTATTGCATCTCATGTCATTCGTAATTGAGTTTGAAACTTGAATTTTTGTAGCAAATGCACATAAAAATTATCAAAAGATTAAGAGAGAAATATAGAGGATTGGATTAAAGGGTGAGCACGAATGGCTTGCAAATCTAGCGATAACGACAAATTCATTTTTTCTCATAATTTATCCAATGTATTCAGTGATTTAAAGATTAATTGCACTATGAAATAGTTCAAGATTTTAATTTTATAATCACCTTACGATGCCTCATGACTAAACTTTATAATAAACTATTTAACCTGAGAATATTTGACAAAATAACTTAGAAGTTAAACTCTACGTAAATGGTTTTGTATCGGAGATCATAAAGTATAACGTTAATTAAGATCAACGATAATTTTATTGTTATATTGGAGTCGACCGTAACTATTGATGTTATAGAGTTTTTTCCACTGCAGCGCTGTATCTCAACTGGTTTGCTTTGAATATTACGATAGATTTAATTTTAATGTAAATTTTACTTGATATATTTGTGGGAATTTGAAAACTTACATATTACAACTTTTTTTCTGTCAGTTATTAATAAATTTAAAAATTACGAGAAAAACTTTAATTTTAGATTTATTAAATAATTATAAAGCTGATTTGTTTTATCAGACTGCACTTTGGCTCATTATATTTATTCGATATATACTATACAGTATGTCTATCTTTAAAATATATATTTCTTCTTTTGTCCAATAATTATTAATGCCTTAATTTAACGATTAAAGAATCTAATTTTTACCGTTGGATTAGGTAATCGGTAACAACACTCTATCGAATAACGTTAATTTTTAATTTTATTTTTCACAATTACAAAAAACGGATTATTATATTAAATTTTGAGGGTCTTTACTTTCGATATGTAGGTTGGTATACCGACTGGAAAATCCAAAATTTTTGTTTAACAATATTTTCCCCTATTATAAAAACAATTTTGCTCATTTTTTAGCTTTTCCAGCCCCTTATCAGTAAAATTCTTATGTAATACTAGTGTCACTACATTAGTAAAAATATAAAGCGCATCATGTGCACATGGTATCATGAAGTTTGAAAATTGCATGTACTTACATGAAGTTGTCTCTAAGGAAGTTCAATCCGATCCATAACAGGTATAAATAATCAAAACTTCGCAGTAATACTGCTTAGAATGGAATTAAAATGTATTTGAATGATATTGCAGTTTTCTTTTCTGAATGTTAAAAATAAAAACAAATGTTTGTAAAAATAAGACATTTATTTTCAATACACTTTTTATTTACAATCTGTTAACTAAACATTCTACTAATGGCAAATAATCGATTATACTCAAATATTTGAGACAACAAGGGCAGAAAGGTTGTTTCAGTAAACATCTATTTGGATGTATTAATGATAAAATAACTTAAAAGATAAAATAATAATAAAAAATACAAGTATCTACATTTTTTACATGTACTTATTTCACCTCATAAGAATGAAGTTTTACAATAAAAGTTGAATGGTACGAGAGTATTTGTTTTCGATGTGATTGAAAAAACAGCTCCGAAATCATATTCAAAATTATCAGTTTAGAACTATATCCTAATTTTCATGTACACATCAATTGATCAGATCAAAGTTATAATTTCATTATTATAACATATTATTGACTTTATTATATTATAGTAATTTAGTTGCATAAAATATTGTATAGCACTCTAGCCTCAACATCACGATATTTTGCTACTTTTAGGGTGAATATGCTATTTCAATCAAACTTGTAAAAAAAGCTTGCATTCGGCTCGTGCTATCAATTTTCAATAGCACAAGAATCTAAAAGTAGCAACAAAGTTGCGATTTGTTAGAGTACTATAAAATAAATTATAATATACCTTTTAGTGCTAAATTTACAGAATAAATTTAATCAGATACTCATGGCTATTTGAATGATAATTCGTATTCAAATAATTTTAATGCTTAAGTATGTAGTATTAAATTTCTTCCAATTTCCAATTTTTCAATTCCGTTGAGTTTAAACTTTTTTACAAAAAAATATAATGTATATTATCCAAAAACGTCACGTTTTGACGTAAAAATTGATGTCACCTTCATCGTGCTCCAAGTTATACATTCGTTCTTTCCTTCTATATAATTTAACGGGTGTATCGCCTGATTTATTGGCAATATTGACATTGGCTCCGTTTTTTATTAAATAATTTGCAATGTCGTAGCGTTTAAACATTACTGCCAGATGAAGTGGTGTATTGCCTAAAACAATTTTTTAAGCTATACTAATCTATTCAAACACATGTATAAAATATTTATTCATATTCATATAGTACCTTCATAATAATTGTACTTTGATTCAGTTGGACTAACCAACTCATCAATATTTGGCCGTTCAGATAAATAAAACTTCTCAAAAAAGTCCAAGTCCGTGCCAACAGCTAAATGAATTGTTTTCATTCCAAACTTGTCAATGAAATCTGGATGATTGAGCAACAAGGATGGGTTCATGAGACTTGGAATCAAACTGGAACGTTTTCCAGATTTGTTCTGAAAGTCTGGATCATTTTCAAATGCCTTATAAAAATCCATTAATCGTAGTGTTAAAGCATTTTCATCTTGATTAGTCTGAAATAGAATGATTAAATAACGTTGATATTATAAGCCAATGACGAGTAGACTCTTGCACATTATTTTAGAATTTATTTAATTAAAATATTTACTTTTATGTGAGGATCAGCGCCATGTTTCAGTAAAAATGAAACGATATCGTCGTAGTGAAAATAGGCTGCTAAGTGTAAAGGCGTAAGACCCCCATAAAATTGAACGTCCTCGCTGACTTTAGCATTCACTAAATGACGATTTTTTTTAATCTCTAATTCAATATTTGGCAGCAGAGCTTGGCATACTAAGAAATGAAGTCTGCTAAATCCTTTGTCATCAAATTCTTTATTGCCTTTGGCTGCCTTCAGGATGAGTCTAATCATTTTATAAACATTTCTTAGAGGAATTTTACAATCTTTCTCTTTATCAATCTTGAACTTTTCAATATACTTTTTGTATTTTGACTTTGTACAAAAATATCTGATCGTTTCAGGGTCCATAATAAGTCGATTGAGTCTTACACTTTCCCATAGAAGCAATTCATATGGGGTATGTCCAAATGCATTTTTTACGTTTGAGTGTGCACCATATTTCAAAAGAACTCGCACGTGCTCTACATTTTTCCGTAAACAGGCTATATGAAGGGCTGTAAAACCTGGTAAAAATTTGGCCGTATCACTAATAGCAGCATTGATGTCTGGAACCACGTTTTCTTTTAAAAACCTTTCCAAAACATCGGTATATGATGAAATAGCTACCACATGAAAGTGTGATAATCCTTTCATATCAATAGCGTTTTTTAGATTCGATCCATTTACGCTAATAATCTTTTCAACCGATTCTATATCTGAAATTTCACAGGCAGTATGTAGCAATGAGTGCCCACTTTCATCTGGACGGATAAACTCTTCAGGACGATTGATTATATCCTTAACGTCGAAATGGTTTCCGTGGAGCAAAATTCCATTTTGTGACCTCATTGTGCCCTTTTTATTATTTAAACTTTTTTACCTGAAATAAAATAAAATAGATTATCTAATTATAAAAAACATTTTTCCAGTTATTTATTTAAAACTCTGAATCTAAAGATCTGACGAAAAACTTATTCTATATTATGTATTTAACTTGACTATTAAATTATTTTATTTAACTGTAATATTTTTTATAAAAATAAACAACTTTTATGCAATAGTATGACGAAAAATGTCTTTTTTCGCACATTTTTTGGTGCGCAAAAAGCGTTTTTGGACACTTGTATGCGGTAAAATGCCTCATTTTGGACACTGGTGTGCGGTAAAATGCCTCGTTTAAAATGAAAGTATTTTTCGCTTCCTATTGCATAAAATTTTGTATGCAACACGTTCCCAGCTATTTGCCTTTTGGGCACTTGTTGCATAAATAACTATTATACCGTAACATATAGAAAAACTCTTATCTATTTCGTGTTATAAATACGTCACATGTTCCCAAGATTTTGTAAAATAGTGTTGGGATCAAATGTGAAAACTAAGGTCACATCAAAATTACCAATTGTTGTAGTTTTTTGCGGTTGAAGTTAGCCATTTAGAAAAGAAATTTGTGAAAATCTAAAAGTCTTCTTACAACTGATTTTTTCAGATTTGTTGAGATCTTACCTATATAATTCTTACCTATATTTTCACATTAAACATTAAAATAAAAATAAACATCAAAAGATTTTAAATTATTTTTAATTTTTTTCAGGATTCGAAGCCTACATAAAAAACAATTTTCGGCATTTAAAATCAAAATTTCAATCATTTACGTAGGAAGCGTAAACGAAGGAGGAGTAAAGATCGAGGTGCAAGTGCGAAAATTCTAAGTGGATGGATATAACTGATTATGTCACACAATAAAATTTAAAAATATTTAAATTTGGCTAATAACTAGGGGGGGGGGGGGTCGGCCCCTAGTTATTATGTAATAATATTATTCAATAAATAAAATTATAAATAAAAATTATTCAAATTTATATGCTATATACCTTATTGTAACATGCGCGCGTATCGCGCTCTGCGGCAACTAGTATTTGAAAATTTTGAAAAGTTATCGACTACTACGACGCAAAACAAACCTGAAAATTTTTTCTCTCATTCTAGAACCAAACCATATTTTTAACATAAATAGGTCGTAGAAACCGGAGCTTTGAATCAGACAATTTTGGAAATTATCTTTTAAGATTAAAAACGCGTATTAGAAATTAATTAACAATATTTCACGAAAAATTAAGGTCTATGAAAACATGATTTTATTTTTTTTATGAAAATGTTTATAACGATTTGTTTAAACATTTTTTTTCAATTATATACTTTCACATACGATGGATGGATAGATGGTTTAGAAGCTGATCTAACATAAAAAAATTCAGAAATTACGTTTAAAAAATCGATCACTTACAACAATTATAATTAAAATGAAATTTATGAATTTATTAAAATAAAAAATCCTTTTTCGAGTTTTTCGACAGAAAATACCTCGGCCAATTACTTTTCCGAAAAATGTATTAATAGGACTTTACATAATAATAAAAGGTACTTACACTCTTATCATATTACTACAATGCCATTTTTTCGTAAATTTTTTCTTGTTCTGGTCTACTGAAGCAGATGCATTCTTCTTTCACGGTATCAGTCAACTTGAGTCGGAATCCAACTTGGCCAATAGCTTCAATATTATAGTGACCATACTGACTAGTTTCAAAATTTACCTCATTTTCTGACCCTGCACTGACACAAATGACGTCATAATATTTCATTTGATAGTGTTAGAAAATAAAAGTAAAATTATGCGATGTTTTATCGAAATGAAGAATTCACTATCGATGATGTATCGAAGTGAAACATCTTTTAGCAAAATTGAATAGAAAAATTTACACATATTTAAACTTCCAATAGTTCTTATGTACTTATGATTATATCTATGTATCGTAAACAAATAGGAAAATCCCTTCACTTGCGTTCAAATATTAGTTGCAGAAATATTTGATCAATTTATTTTGTGTAAATCGATTTATCCATATAAAATTTTAACTCAGAAATAAATAAATTAAGTTATTGACTAACAAATGATACTGATCATGAAATTATTGGTACCTACTTTAATAAAATTTTGAAAGTTTTCAAAGAATTATTATATTTTTCTTCTTTGTGCTTCTGTGAAATCGATAGATCTTTTAAAAAGCACTTAACTACTGCAACAGTAAACAAATTTCAATTCAATACAAATTGTTCCACCAATGCTTCTTAAATTGAACTATTGGACTATGAGATCATATAAGTATTCAACACTTTTTAATTTTCGAAACTATGATGTAAGTAATTCGATAAGTTCATTGAGCAGAATATTATCTCGTGAGCTATTGTTACATTGATTTAATTATTGTTTAGTTCACCCGTATGTTTTTTTATTCGTCTGTTTTGGTCGTTTTCATATTTTCGAATGGATATTTTTTTCTACTATTTTGATACACTTTCTTGAATTAAAAGTTTTTAATTGCTTACCGAAATTTATCAGTTTGTGCGACACCTTTTTCTGCTTTTGAATTTCAGCGATTTTCATTTTAGTTATAAATTATACTATAATAATTTATTATTATTATTAATTAATTTAAATGTATAAACTGCAAGTTCTTTGAGACATAGGTGCAAACTCATGCAGCCAGCTCGTAGTCTGCAAATGTTCTGACCGAAAACATATGAGCGTGACTTAACCTGCAAACTGCATGTAAATAAAAACAAGTGTCTTGCCGGCATAAAAATACCTTTATTGAATTTAAAATTCGCATTAAAAATAATCTCAAGATGATTGATGATAATGATGATCCATACGATGATCCCTTGTATTTACCAGAAGAAGATGAGCAGTATGAAGACGATTCAAACGATACAAACAGTGAGGATCTTAATAGAAATAACGAATTCATTGGTCCAATCTTACCTGGTGGGCATAGATTTGATAAAAAATTAGTTTGTATTAAATATCCTGCCAATGTTGTTAATGATGAAAAAGCAATTGAAACTTTAGGTGGTATCACTGAAATATCTGAGGTATGATTCAACTCATTTTTCATTTTTGTGCTTTTAATGAGTGAAATTCTAATGATTAAAAATTTTTTATAATAATTAGACTGTTGGAATCAAAAATAGACGCATGGAACTGAGATTCAGACCAGATGATGGGTATTGTAAACCAGCTTGTGGTGATAGACAACAAACTAATGGATTTCTTCTACGAATAAGAATTAAAAAATCTAGAAGACATAAAGTCGAAGAGGATGAAGAGCGTACTGAGAAGCAGAATAGTACAAGCGATGCTAGTCATAGCCATAGTAATAAGAGTACAAAAAGTAAAAATTTAAGTATAAACAAATTAACCAATGATATTGCCAATTGCTCGGTTGAATCGAACAATGCAGAACAAAATAAAAATGAAAATGATGATAATATACCGCCAACATTTGATAGAAATAAGTATGAAAATTTAGCTTCTGATGTAGAATATGAACTACCAAAACTTAAAGTATTAGGTAAAGTGGATACAGAATTCAGATTTACAAGTAAGTTATTCAATAGAAAAATTTTACCCTTAAATTCTATGTCTAATAATTATTCATGTTTTCTCAAGGTCTATGTGATTTTCAATATTTACCTATCACTAAAAATAAAGAAAATCCAACAGTTGATGAATGCATTTATGAAAAAATTTATCCTGTTGGATTACCTCCTTATAGTTGGATGACAGATGATGTGCCTTTATTCTTACCTCCAGCTGCCTTTAGTCGCATGGATAGTATTCAACAATATAGTTTGAAAAGTGATGTAATTGGTAATGAAGAAAACTTAGTAATTGGTAAAACAAGAAAGAGACGAGCTGGTTTCTCAAATTTCATAAATTTCAATGCCCCTGATGTACCAAGAAATCCACCCAAGGGTATTGAAACTGCATTAAGAGTAAAATTTTTGCAATCAAGTCATGTTGAAAAAATGAAAAAATACTTTGACGAGCGTCCTATATGGTCAAAAACAGCACTCATGTATGTTTCTGGATTTTCTAATGAACATATGAAAGTTTTACTGCCTGCTGTAGCTTATTACTTCATGACTGGACCTTGGAGAATAACATGGGTAAAATTGGGTTATGATCCCAGGAAAGATCCTGAAGCTAGAAAATATCAAACCTTGGATTATAGATTAAAGGCTATGCGTTAGTATTTTTTAATAAAATAGTTATATTCTAATTAATAAATAAAAATAAATTTAATTTTAATTTTTCTTGCAGATGGCTTACATTCATCTGTTTTGTGCAAAAGAAATTATTCAGAGTACACATTACCATATAAAAGTACTCCTAACTCAAAGCCTAAGATACAGGTCTTGAGTACAAATGCAAGTTTAAGCGGAGAAAGTAACAAGAAAACTAAAACAGTGGAAGATAACGTGTATATTTATCGTCCTGGCACAATCCCTGCTTCTAGACAGATGTTTTATCAGGTACTTGTTATAATAAAAAATAAAAATACCAATCAATCACTTTATTAGCAATTAATAATAAAATTTGATTTTTGACAGTATTGTGATCTGCACGTAAAAGAAATTAAAGATATGTTAGAAAAATACGTTCCTCCATCAGTTGGATCACCTTGTCATGAAAAATATGGCTGGTTTCCAAGTCGTTTCGACGATATGTGTCGTGAAATTATAAACAAACATGTTCGTTTGGAATTACGAAAAATGATGAACATTCCAGAAAATCGTAAGTATTTTTTTATTCAGAGTAGTTAAAAACGACCTAATAAGATTGTGTACCAGTAGTTAGCTACGTATTTCACAATTACCCCACAGATTAAAATAGCACTACATTCTGTGGCGTTGATTTCTTTTAGAAGCTTAAAAATAGCTTGTTTTTAAAAATTAATTTCATCATATTTGTTATAATTTAAATTACTTTTCATGATGTATCATAATTCAAATTCAATTATCTCACAGAGTTAGTATAATAAAATAAGGGTTTTATCTTATGATGAAAATTATGTAATTCTGATTTTAAGCGTGTAATACTTTTTTCCGTTTCTCGCTACGAATTTTTCTAATGATTGAAAAATTACGGTAATTTAAATTCTTTCGGATTAATATTACATTTCTCATAAAATTAATAAAAGTGTGCTTAAAATATTTTGAATGATATTAATATCAAAGGTTTTTATAATTAATATTTACGCTGTCCACTGATTGTTTTCTGAATATATATTAAACCTGTTGTTTAAAATAAATGCCAACAGAATAATTTTTATTTTAATTTTTTCTTTCTAGATCCGACGTCTTTACCGCGCAAACGAAAAACAGGACCAACAGGTAGAATTCGTAAAAAAGCAATAAAAAAGCCTAAGAAAAAACAAACAGTAGTCAGTAATGTAGAGCATCAGCCATCCGCAATGATGCTCATTGATGAAAACGACATAAGATCCGAGGAAGAGGATGAAGGTGAATGGGAAGATGCCAACGAGGATGCGGAGGCAGGTCCTTCATCGCTTGAGCCAAATGAAACCGATGCTACGCAATCGTAATGATCAGAAAATATAATCTTTGTAACACGTTTTTTAATCATGCTGTTTTTAAATGTAAATTAATTATAATATCGTTACTTTTTTTAATTATTAGCACATTAAAGTATTAATTTCAATGGTTCATTAAGATATGTAGGAAGAAATAAGGCATTGACTACTTCGCCTGTAAAATACGTTTTATTTGCAAATTGTACAGTATAGACGAACTGGAGGATCCTTAATGTTTTATGTTTTGTAATTTAAAACATAATATGTTTTAATAATTTATAAAATAAATCAATGTATATATGTAAATATTTTTTATATATATATACACATATATAAATAGCTACAAAAGTCTTAAAAAAAGTAAAATGCTTTGCAGGAATATATGAATAATAATACAAAATTCATATAAATAAGATGGCGTACGAAAAAGATAAGTTATCTTATGATTCGTACATGATGATACGTATTAATTTTAGTTAACAATTTTTTTATTTTCTATGATGATGCGAATTTGTTTATAAAACTAAAATAGAGTTCATACATAAAAAAACATAATTCGGTGAATTAAAAAAAATAACTAGCGAAAACCGGAATTCGCGAGCACATATATATCTCTCTCTCTCTGTATAATCTCATCTCCAAATTCCGGAAGAGTTTCTACGTAGCTATGAACTAAAATACAACGAGGGTGTTGATGATTTTTTTTCGCTCGCAAAAGTGAATGCCTTATGAAAAAAATTCGAGGTTTATTCTCGGCAGGTGATGAGAAATTTAAAGGCGGATTCCGCGATTGGTGCTGGCGACGTAGTTGAGGAGTTCCTCGTTGTCCTCGCAGACGAAGGGCTTCTCGTGGTAGCAGGCAACGTCGTGCCAGGCGATACCGTCGTTGTAGACATTGTTGAGGACGGACAGACACGACTCGTTGGTCTTGTTGATGTCGTACTCGGCGTTATCGGGTTGGCGCACCTTCTTGTGTCCGGTCTTGGACCATGGGTTGAACGTCCAGCCGATTGGGGTCTGGTTGGTGGGTGTGATCTTTTCGCGATTGGCGGACCAGAACCATCCGTTGATGGATTTAGGTTCAAGATCTGGACGGTTCTCGCAGCCCTTGAAGTCACAGATGCGACCGGATGTCCAGATGTAGGGCACGTCGTCTGTGAAGGGAGAAAAAAAAGTACTGTTAATTTCTATGCAGTCAAATAGGAAAAAAGGTAGCTCAAAGTACTACTTAGCGCGAACGATCGTTAATTAATCTCGAACAATGCGAACGAGTATGAAAAAGTGCATCGTATCTCTCGTGATTAATCTTTCAAACCGAGAAGAAGAAAAAAATGAGTATAACGAGGACATAATCTCTCGACGTTTTCTCATCGACTATTTAATTCCGCGGAAAACAAAACTCGCGCAACGCGTGCCTCGCTATCTTTCGTATATCATCTCGGAAAAGTTGAATAAATCGAGTACGGAGGCGGAGGTTTAAGGAGTTGCGTAAGGGCAGAGTCAAGCGCTTGCGACCCATCAAAATAAAGTCGCTTTTATCCTTGGATTGTATGTGCGTAAAATATATTAACGCATCTCATAGAGATAGAGAAGATTCAGTATATCGATGCAAGGATCTTCCAAGTGTTGAAGATTTTCACGAGCGTAAACGCAGGCATATTTCGTTGTTTTTGCTCTCGGCTCGTAATGCACCTTATGCCGTCGAGGTTTCTTGCGATCGAAAATTGTGCAAGAGTTGATGGACGAGCCGCGCGTCAAACGAGACTTTGATCGATCGCGTACACGGGATCATAATGCAATGAGAGAAAATACGAAAAATTGCCACGTCTCTTTATGGACGATAGTTGAGACGTTCCGCGCGTCATTATTACGCGAAACTACAAATGCAATTACATCGATTCCGATGCATAGGAGCCAAAAATAAAACAAAGAGCCGACGTAATGTGCGCATCGATGCCGATTTCGCGCGCTATCCGACCAGCTCGTTATTTCATTTTGACAAGCAGTGCTGGTTAGCCTTGCCGAGCGTCGCGCTTTACCAAATTAACGCGCGGCCGATAAATATTTCATATCATTTTATATACTCACTGGTCTGGATGAGCTTGAAGATCATGTTGTTTTCTTCTTGGGACTCCATCGACACGAGGTCCATGCAGTATTCTCGGCAAATGTTGCGGGCGTCAAGCCAGTCGACTTTTTGGTTTTTATGGGCTTGCACGTGACCGCTGAAGAAGTAGTTGTGTCCACGGAAGTTCCATTCCTTCGGCCCTGCGTTGAGAAAAACGAGAAATTAAAAAAAACATGAATTTACGTTTTATTTCCATATATTTACATATACGATTGAGTGAATTCCGTCTCCTTCAAGGATTGTTTAATTTGTCAAGTTAAGGCTTGAAAAAAAGAAAAAGGAGTAGAAATACGACGATTGTAGCGCATTATACATTTGCGATGTTGCAATTTTAACGAGAGTCGCACGAAGAGAAAGAGGACATCAAAGATAGCTCATAAGGTCAATTGGCCTCTACATGTATCGCTATATATACCAAAACAACAGCTCCTCAGCTGGTTTCTTTTTTAATATCATCATTTAATTCAGAATTTCAAAGCAGTTAAATCTCGAGTAAAGGAATAAAATCGTAATGTGCGAAAACATTCGCACGACTAATCTACATAATCTCTTGGTATCGTGGAAATTCGTAGGGAACAACGAAAACAATTTGGAACTTTGGTTCTCCGGTGATTCTCACACTCGATCTTCGTTAAACGACAGGTGCGCGTAGACGATGTTCTCGCACAATAGAAAGTGAAGCGAGTGTGCAGCGCAACGGTAGCGAAAGAGAGCTGCAGATAGGTATCTTTGCATGCGCTACAAAATAGCAGCTAGAGACGAAAACAAATGTAAATTTGCGCGCTGTGTAGGGAGCGCACAAAGAAGAGCATATCCTGATAAAGTACGCGAATTTCGTTTTCACTCGGAGCACAAACATTATCGGTGCGCAGGATCGCAGTCGCGAGATAGAAGACAGCATTTTTATCGATGCATTGGCATCTTATTTACCCATGCATTTAGATCCTGAGGAGGGCACGATTACAAGCTTCGATGATTTTTTTCCCTGTGCATGAGTACCGCCGAATAATAATGAACGCGCGAGAATAATTCGGTTTGAGTAATGCGAGTGTGTCGATGTGTACGTGATGGACATCTGCACGAGCGCCACGAGCGCTTATAAATATTCTATCGCCATTGATTAATTGACCTAATGGCATGGATGTATAAAATATAATAATATGCTCATTTGTGTGCACATTCGAAGGATTATGTAAAGATACTTTCGTCATATCGTCATCATCGTCGTCGTCGTCATTATATTTTCAAGCTGCGTTTGCGTCTATATACGTGTGCACGCGTGCGTGCTGCATTATAATATATTATAGGTCGAGCGGCGCATTATCGTCCGTTGCACTTGGTCGTGTAATCCAATTCATGCGTTTTAATTAAGCCAACATTTTTCCAGATCGTAAACAATCGAAGATAAAGATCCGAAGGTATTTCCACGTACGCAAGCCGCAGTTTGCAATTTAGAAAATCGCGCGGCTTTTTTAGCGTTTATCGTCGCAGGCGCGTACTACGCAATGCTAAAATATCTCCTTTTTCTCTCATTCCCAAGTCAGTCACGGCTCTATCTAGATAACATTGTAGACGATATTTTTTTTATTTTTTTTGGAAAATCTCGTATGGCTGCAACGACCGGACGAGCACGTCTGAACGCTTGGCATTTGATTTTCGCAAGCTATACGGATCGAGCCAGCGAGAGAGAGTAAAGTGCGTGAGACGCGAAAGGAACCACACTTATACGCAGGTTTTATCGTACGTACACAACAACGATGGTTGGGAAATATTTGTTTTGTCAAAGTCCTCTGCAGTGTACATTATAATACTTACAACGCGCGACACACGCGTCTGTTACATCAGAGCTTTTTTTATGTCCACTCGAATTTGACACGAGACTCGAGTCGGCATGTTCTTCCTCCGAGACAGAGAAAGTCGTTACGATCAAGAGAGAGAGAGAGAAAAAAGCCAAACATAGACAATAGCCCATCGAATGAGATATTAAGAATCCTCGTCGCGGGGATTGCGCTTCGACGTGCAAGTGAGGCGTTGTTTACGTTACGTAAGATAACGCGCGGCTCATTACGCCGCCATAATAATAATGTTATAATAGCCGTATAATATATATAAAAGAAAAAGATTATGAAAATCTGTCGAGGGTCGAGCGCACGTAACGATTCTGCACTCACACACACGCAGAGCGAATCGCGCCTCGTGGGTACTTAATTTTAACGCCCCGAGCGTAAGATCGTTTCATTTATCATGATCAGGGGGCTCGTGGATTTTCTCGGATAAACCTGGAAAAGTATACACACACACACACACAGTCCGATAAAGGCGCGATGAATCCGGGCGTTTAATATCTTATGTATATAGAGGCTAATAACCGCGCTGCACTTGGATGTCAGTTGCCCCGACTTATTCAACACAACGCGGCGGCGGCTGCAACAACGTTTTTACTTTCGTTGCGCCGCACGACAGAGACGGGGAGATACAAATTAGCACTTATCCATCTTATTACAGTGCGACTCTCAAAGATTTGCACCATTACCAGATTGTATAATGCAGAATTGATATAATACGTCTGTATATGAGTATACGCGGAAAAAGGAAGCTCGAAGATAAATATTAGTTTTTAGCCACGCGCGAGGACTTTCGCGCTCGCTCTATTAAACTATCAATCGAAAATTCGACTCACGTGCCCGCAGAAACGTATTCACGAAAAATCGTGAGCCACCGTCGACGAGCCGAGGGAACAATTTCGCAATCCCCTTCCGCAGGTGCACTTTTCACTTTCGGTGATCGAGAGCGTCCAAATGTGTTCACATATGCATGATCGAATTCGCGCGCGAACAAGACGAAGAAGAAAAAAGCCCTGTGTACACATGTAGCGCACGATTCACGAATCGATGTGTGTTTGCGGAAGAGAAATTGCAGCTGCTCCTGCCGCTCGTTGCACACGTTTTGTAAACATATTTCTCGAAGCGTCTCCCTCTCTTTCGAACTGCGATTTAAAAGCGCGAGTGCATCGTGATCCTCGTGAAAGTTTTTTCAAGAGGATCAATTTTTTAAGTGCCAGAAAAGCACACCCGCCGTTTATTTATCTTGCAAACGACTTGTGTGTGTCGATGAAAGTTGCTCGTTGACCAAAAAGACGACGACGGATTATTCTTGTTCAACGCTTTGACTACATAATAATATCGTATCTTTTTTCCCTGATATATACTTGGCGCGATCGAGCGGCTTTGCAAAGTATAACGTATCGTCGTGACAATATATCATGTCAATGCGCTCGACGAAATTCTGCAAAATGAAAGCGAGAGCGCACGTATACGATATTGAGTGCTCTTTTTTTATTTCACTTCAATGCGCTGTATGGCAATTTGATTTACTTCACAGGAGGTGAAAAAAAAGTGTCAACGTTATAATTTGCAAACTCGAGGAATGAGATTCATGATTACTTTAAACGGTATGCATAATTTATATACGGCTTTTTACGGCAGGTGAATATGTATATGAAAAGATGTTGAACTCACTATTTGCGCATTTTTGTGGAACTGGCAGCGACAGGAATCGTCCGGGCCTGGTTGGTTGCCTCGCTTGTTGTGCGTCTGTGACCGCAACGCAGGCAAGGGCCACGCAAGCCAACAACAACACGAACTTCATCTGAACAATAATTAACATTAATTTTTTTTCAAATTTTCAATTAATTGTTATTAGTTTTTAGACATGAGAAGAGGGTAAGGAGCGGAAAATATTTAGCCTAGTAATTGTAAGTTCAGTTAGATCGAATTACAAAACAGCTTGATTAAATTTAAAAGTGATTTCTTTGAGTTAGTATCATTTCAAAAATTAACTTTCTAATGGTAAGCGATGAAAAAAAAAACCAATACCGATACATTGACCCCTAAAGAAAGCTTATGTAATTTTTTCTCGATTAAAATCTATATGTTGCATTGTTACGGGCAAAAGTAAAAAATAGCGTCACGTTTTTCGCACTTGATCATCAGGACACTTTTAGCAGCACTGCAGATATGAACAAAAATGAAAACTATTTCGCACCTAACACTGAGAAGAGTTTTGCGCGGCACAAAAAATTAAAAAAATAAATAAAAGAGTCGGATGATAGAAAATAGGTGTGAAGAAAGGAAGATACAAATGGTTTTGGGCACAAAGTGTCGCACTCACCTTGTAATCACTTTTAAAAAATCACAGTTAAAAAAAAAACGCGCACACGTCGCTTGATCGATACGTAATCGCCGCGTCTATCCAACGCAGCAGACCCCGTGAGCTTATGGTAAGCCAGGCAAAATCTCTCTAGTTTATATAGACGTGTGCCATATCCCCACTTTTTTGGCGCGTGTACTCCGGTGCCGCAGATGCTTTTACACACTCTTACAGACAGCAGCAGCAGCATCATCAGCATCATCGTCGTCATCCTATAGCCGCCGTCATTCCTATAGCTTCCCAACCCACCTCTCTTTCTGCCTTTTCTCGTTCTGCCACGACGATGATAATGCAATGACGACCGAGTCACGAGGTTGGGCCTGACAACCTGTATATTATGCGGCACTTATGCGACTCCTCGCGCGCGCAAATATTATAAGCTTATTATCTGACCTTTGTCACTCGAGGACTTTTCCTCGGGCTTGTTCGCGCGAAGCTGTCGTGCATATGTATATAGGTACCACATACTTCCGAGCTTGACTTTTTTTTCTTTTCTTTTTTTTTCGTGATGTATGGAGCTTTTGTCTTTGGCGTGATTTATTCAGAGCGATCGAGACGCGATAATCGCCTACAGTGTTCTTTGTAAATTATGTGCGATAGATGGTACATAATATACCATACATACGAGATGAACGAAGTTATTGTGTGTTGCTCCAGAAACGCCTCTCCCGAGTCTCCGTGTAATATCGATCTGACTTATTGTACGCGCGCAGCCGAGACCATGGAAAAGAGATTTCAATCGACGTCTAAAACTGCTCTCTGCTACTCGTCGCGGGTAATTTCAACGCCAGCACGGGCAATCGTTATGGGGCTCGATTGCGCGCGTCTTACGATAAGGTAACGACTACGACGACCCGGAGGATTGCTTTTTACGATCTCTTAAAAGGATATCTTGGGTGATGTATTTTAATGACTAATAATCGTAAAAAATACACTTTTCACGTGATTTGGCCGCGTGACGCTTAGCCAATTCATCGTCACTTCAACTTGTTACTTAAAAAACAAAAACAAAATAGTTTGAAGTTTTCTTTTTACTTCTTTTTTCGGCTTGGAAGGTGCGACAAACGCTTTCAACATGCACAAATGCAATGAATGTCGTGGCGGCGGCAACGACGACGACGACAAAGCTTCGAACAAATTGATCTGTGGTTAGTCTCGCGCGCGAGCGACATACGAGCATTTCCAATATGCAAATACAATGGCAATTGAAATTTCACGTATCTCTTGGATGCATCGTTAGCTCTCGGATGCATTATACGTACGAGATTTGCTGTCGGGCTTATATACGTTCATGCACCTTTATGGTGCCAGTACAGAGTGAGGACGTTTAAGCGCGCGTGTAAGACAACGTCGACGTAAACGATATATGCAGCGCGAGTTGGGCCTACCGAGACCCTCGTTAACTTTCACTAAGTTCGCATATGTGTGTAGAGACACACGAGCAACGACAAGATTGAGTCTATATGCCTATCGCGCATGGCATGGAAGTATTGCGACGCGCACGAAAACACAATTCAAAGTGCGTGTGCATAAAGATTGTTCATCGCGGGCGCCACGCGCATCTCTATTTTCTCATTTCAATCGGTATGAACCTCGGTGTAAAAAAGTTTAATTCAATTTTCTTATTTATCGTGCTTCCCATCTAAACAACACGCGTTAATTTTTATAATAAACATTTTCAGTTTGTATCGTTGTTGGTGCATGGGCGGCCGTAAAAATATTAATTGGCCGAGGAGCCGATTTTCCTGCAAATTGAAAATTTTATTTCCCAGGATTATCAATCTAAGGTGACTTATGGGACAATCAATTTAAATGATAAAAATACATTATCTTATTCTATATTGAAAAATATTATGTAAAGACATGGTAATCGCGTGAGTAATGCTCACGCGATAGAGGAAGATGAAAAGGAAAAAAACATTCACATAATCGTATGTAAAAAGGCCAAAATGAGTTACGGTACAGAAGCTCGATCTTGATACTCGAAATTGAACGATTAAAGTCCGCGACGAAGACGCGAGAGTTAGCTATGGTACAGATTACATAAATATAGATTCCGTAGCGAGACGTTGTCCGGCTACAACCTTGGAATATTTGACATTTATGGAAGTTTAAATATTGATTACGAGCGAGATGATTTATGCTTGATGCGTGCAAAGCTCGATATCATCCCTCTCGCAGTTCGGTCGTAAAATGGACATGTTTTTTTGTTGTAAATTTTGTTTTGCCAACCGATTCTGGCTTACCTCGAGCATAATAATTCAATAAAGCTTGATATTTTGAATAAATCGATGACATTATGATCGGAACATTTTCAAATTCTCTCTCTCTTGGTTTTTTTAATTTTTTAATTTTTTTTGCTAAACCAAAAGAGGCTCGAGAGGCTCTTTCTGAGAGATGCGTATGTGTGTATAGGGAAAAAGTTCCTCTTACGGCTAGTTCTCGAGTGAAGGATAAAAATTTTGTGTAAGGAAAAGAAGAGGAAAAAAAAACTTTCATATCTGAAGCGTGACATATCCTATAGGATACTCGCGCGTTATTCGCGATAAAAGTAACAAACGAATGTACAGAAGAGTTGGGCGAACGCGTTCTACTGGTTTTTTTCTGTCCTCGTCGTCGATTAAAGCTATATAAAGAGTTAATGAAATTTTTTCTTCGGCATAATTCATCGATAAAGCATACAAGTGTGTGCTCTCTCTCTCGCGCGCACAGCGTGGCGAGAACAATAAAGTATACGTGAACACGTGGTTACATACTGTACACAAGCACAATAAATAATCTGCAATCGTAGTTTTACAATCGCTCTCTCGCGCTTATAGACGCGGCACGTCGCGGTGCGTAAAACGCGCGCGGCTCCGCGTACAGAAGCCGACGTACAGTGCATCGACTGTAAATTATTACATTATCGCGCAGTTCGAGTGGAAGCGCGCGCGCGCGCCAAAGAAAAGGAAAATGTTATTCTATATCAGCTAGATGCATCTCTCCCGGCCTATACGGAGACGGCGAGTATTGCAGAATTGCTAATCGCGCTAATAATTGTCGACTTTACGCCGCGTGAGCGACGACGGCTACGAGACGTGTTGCAGCAGCATCATGCAAAAATGAAACGCGTGTGCGCGGACTCTCGCTCGTACACAATAATTGTCTTTCAAGGCTGCTCCAAATAACTTTCGCGATATCCCGAGCAGATGAGAAGAAATTTGATGTACAACGAGACACCATAGATGTGTGTGTGCAAGAAAAGCGTCAATCGCTCGATGAAGCTGACGGACGCGCACCGCGACTGCGAGCAAGAGCGAGAAAGAAAAAACCCACACGGTACACGCAATGTTTAACGGTCGAAGAGCTTTCAAAAAAGTAAGACAAGTTAAAGTGGCCAAAGCCGCGCTACTGCGCGCGCGATATAACATTACACGCTTCTTTCTCTCTGTTTTGCATTGCGGTCACAACTAATACAAGCACGGCAGCAGATAGCAGCATCTTCTGCGGTCTCCTCCTCTACATATCTTTACATATAGCTGCTCTCTTGGCGAAGGCACATACACACGACAAATATTACAAACGGGTTTATAATACACACCTGCGTGAGTGAAAAAAAAAGTACAAGAGTGGAAAAAAAGTCCCCGACTTGGGTCGACGGTTTACGCCGTGCCGCCGAGAGCGTGTGTAAACTTCGAAATGGCACAATGTGTATTACAGTATATCGTGTTATACCTACACACAACTCACACACACACACACAGATACACACTCGACTAATAGACGACTTTGCTTAGCTCGTGACCTCCTCGCCTGCCGTGTATAACGACTAATTCTTTGCGCTTTATAACTATCTATATGAAGGCGCTTATGGTGCAGCTCCGCAGAATATATATATCGCAAATAATCACACAGCAGTACCATCCTTTATTCACATTTGGTTCATGGCGAAGGTAAAGGATAATTATTTACCGCAGTGAAGAATTTTCAACCAACAGAGTCATCTTCGCCAATTCCCTTGATTCGTACATAGAGACATTTTTTCATGATATTTTAATTTTTACGATGGGCTCGGTACATGTCTCATACGTACATACACGCGTTTGCCGCAGGTCAAGATCGATAAAAATTACAATTTTTCGGGTTTCTCCGAAGATGAATGATTTTTGCTCGTGAATAGTATACTCGTGTATCGACACGGGCAAAATATAGCGACATTTTTTAAATGCCAAAAGTGATCGCGTCACTTATATTTTTACGCACACACACACATTATGATATTCGCTGGAACTTACCTTAATTCGCCTTCAATCTCAAATAAACGTGTGCTGCGTCGCGGCAACAACGAATTTTAAAATTCCCGATTCTCGTTGTCGCGTGTATTTAAGCTTCTGGAAAGTTTCCTTACTCAATACGTATACGTCTCTTAAATACCTTCAATCAAGGTACGCACACTTGTTTTCATCGATTTACGTGTATATTAATAAAAAGCATTGGCCAGGATGGTCGAAAAAAGGCAACTTGATTTACAGACACGCTCGCGTTTTATTTATAGCCGATAAAAGGCGTGGATCAACAAATATTTGGCGTGCTTTAAAGGCTGTCGAATGATAAATAAGAAAAAAACTTTTAATCAATTATTAATAGCTTATCACTTTTGGCTCTTTTGTTCCTTTTTTCGAATCCCAATTACAAAATCGCAAAAAAGTAATATGATTCGGACACGATCGATTCTTCATTTCGTAAGGCATCAAAGTAAGAAATAAATGTTAATTCAGACGTATTTAATGGATAATAGACGCATGTAACGTTTTATTTAATCTTCTTCTTTTTTCCGTCGATACATACATAAATCGCGACGCTTTTTACGGTGAAAGTTTCACGAGTTCCGAACGACGAGTGTCGAAAAATATTTAATATGTACTTCAATCGTCTGATCTCTGCGTGCTCCTATATTTGCTCCGCATTGTTATTATTCGTCAGAGCTCCTCGAAGGAAAAAACATGTCGCGTCGCTAAAAAAGTTGTTAAGTCTTTGACGAATACGACAAACACAAGTTCGTTATTATGAAATCTACAAAATCGTCGCGCGATCCTCAGGAATTATTACCTTAGACTCTTTTCAAAGTATCGTTCTGTATTTTACAGCTACATATAAGTTTCGACGTCCTTTAATCGCTCGTGCACGTAAGTAAATGATACATTTTTCATCATCCGTCTAATTCTTGGCACACAAGGCTGCTCAAGAAATTAAAATTATACAGAAAGTTTGTCAAGGATAATTTGAATGACTTTTATTTTCTCTGCACGCGTATCGATTGCGATTTGAAAAGAGTTTGTTAAGAATTGAAAATAAAGAAAATATTATATCACTCGAGAAGTTTTTATAAAATGCATAGAGGGTAAGTCATGTTTATATCATAGAGTGCGCGATGCAGCGCCCGATGATACCTTGAGCCAGTTTAGCGCAAAGCAGGTAAAAGTATATCGTCTTCGCTCGGTGACTCTATATATCCATCTTGACACTAATATACTGAATTGTATTTATAAATGCCGCCGCCTTCGAAAAGAGGGTATGTTGTGCTGCACGTTTATAACGAATATGGTCAAACCCCATCGATAAAAGCGGCACATTTACGGCTCGTTCTTTTTTCTTTTTTCACCGCCTCTATTGCCGCCGCCTCGGGGACTGAAATATAGAAAACGAATTGCATTGGACGCTTATTTTTTCTCTTGGTCATAACGTAAAGAAAAATGCAAATATGATAATTAAAAGCGATTCATTTAATATGTTGTGAAATGTATTTGGGGCAAATTTCCTGAAGTGTCCTAGCGCTCTGCCGCACGGCATTTTTTGGCCGAATCACTCAATTTCTAACTCGCTGTAAAAGTATCAAAACGCCCCTCAAAAAAATAATTAACTAATGATTTTGATAGGAAATTTCCTCAGCTTTCTGATGGTGAGGTCCGATTTTTCGGAATTTTCCATTTTCACCTCGGAAAATGCAAGTAAACATTCAAACTCGAATATCTCGAAAAACGCCACTTTTTTTGCGTTTTTTATTGTTTCAATCGAAAGATGAGGTCTTTTTNAGTGATACTACTAACAAAATGATTAAAGTAAAAAAATGCAAATTGTCTTATATTCGACCACTCCACTGAGCCGTTAATGACCCTGAACTTAAAACTCGGTTAAATTTTTTTTTCGAAGTCTAAAAGCATAATAAATAAAAATATGTGTCTAAAAGTGCATGAGAAACTTATTGTTGATCTACAAATTAAAAAAAATTTTTTGAATAAAAATTGTTAAGGATTATTGTAGGTGGTCGAAAACTGGACTAATAATTGTACCGAATAGAGCCCACTTTTCGACCAGATCAGAATTCCGAATTATAAATTGATCGAGGAAACAGATTGAATAGTTTTCAAGGGAACTACTAATTTTCTCTACAAGTATAATATTTATGGAATTGAAAATATATTGTACTGTGTCGAAATTCATCTAGTTTATTAATTTAATAGTATCTTTGGGTGGCCGGATAGGTATATTTACCTAATATGAATATGAAATATTAAATAATTGTATTTTTATACGACTGAACATTTTTTAAATTATTTATAGCAAACATAATTAATATGATAATGAGTTAATAAGAGCATACAGACAACTTACAGAGCTAATGTTATCTTTACACAAAAAACGTGTAATAAATTTATTTACTTGAAGTGTATTGGATAGGTCTAGTTTTTTTTTTTTTTTTTTTGTAAAAATTAGTACAATGGTTGTGAGTTTTAAGAGGTAGTAGGTAAATGAAATTTCTCGTTTTAATAATTATAATCAATAATTCATATATTATCATATAATATCAATAAATAATGATCATATTAAATAAATAAATAATGTAGTTTTACAAAGTTTCAGAGCAACGCATGCACACAATATACGCGGCATACGTAAACAACAACGTTTGCTTTATATTATCGCGGCTATCTATTTAATTGTAATCACATTCGAGTTCATAAACTTTTTGTTTTTTCACACACAGACATGGCTTTATTGCCAAAAAAACGCCAACTGTAATGCATCATAATTCGCAAATGTACCCGTACATATAGCAATTATTTGAATAGTCTCTTAAAAGTGTGGAAAGGTGTTTACGCCCAACGATGAGTTTCAATTATAAATTAATATGCAAAAGAGTTTGACTGAATGACTTGAGTAAAAAGGAGTATAGAGAGAGAGAGGAAGAGAGACGAAATCAAAATCGTTTAAAATCGATTCCTTTAAAATTGCACACATAAACACATCATCACAGGCATACAATACAGGCTTCAACGTTTTTAAATTGCACGCGGCACGCAGCGGCGCTGGGCACAAAAAATATAAGCTGTATACATTTTTTTTCTTATCGTAACTTTACAACTTTATCTATAATAAATTATTATTTTCAATGTTATCTGTGTGTTATTTACAACGAAACAATCGCTTACCATAAGCTAGCTTAAACCATACCCCCTTAACAGTGGTTACGTATTTTAAAAAAATCAATAGACCACATCACATACAAATCTGTTTCGAATGCAGGTCAATTTAAATAACTTTTCACTCAAAGTACCAGCATTAGTTGATTTTAATTACGCTCTTATGGTTTTTGTGTAACTTGATGGATTACGTCAGTTATAGGAAAAACCTGACAATTATCTATTCGAAGTGTGATCACTTACACATCGTTAGTAAAAAACTATAAAAGTCTTATTATTAGACTACTTATCCTGTATCAAATTTTCGTTCAACGGCACCGGTATTCGTCAATAAATTTTTATACATTTTATTATCATTAATTGCAATGTTTTTGTCTGATGAGTTTGCATATAAAATAAAATATTACAATAGTCACACCGGTTATAGCGAGTTTTATGGTAACGTTAAAATTTGAACAAGTTTTTTAAAAGTTAATGTTTTTATTTGTTCTCTTAACAGATTAAATAATTTAAAATAAATTCGTGGTACATTACAAATAGTCAAATTATCTCAAATCCCTAAAATACTCTTTTCTAATTTGACTAATAAATTGAGGAAGATTAATAAAAATATCATTGAATAAATGCATCGTTTATGCTCAATAGTTCTTTTTTTCGTTGAATTACTAGGGTTATTGCGAGATGTTTGCCAGTTCTTTTTTTGTTTTTTTCAAGAGTTAGTGTTTTTAGCAATCTGCATGGTCTTATTCTTAAGTTTGTTATATATAAGTATTATAATGTGAGTGGATATTTGTTTGTCATTTATAGTGTATAATATATATTTTAAAAAATAAGGAAAATAAAGTTGTCGTCAATGTGTCAAAATAATGTCACATGATAACTAATAACTGTGTTAATTGATCGATGAAGATGTTGATTTTTCTCTTACATCAGTCGTTGACTATTCGGTGGCACAAATTGTGTTTGCTGATTTACTGCCGAGCCATTTTCAACTTGCATCATATAGCCGACGGGTACTGCGCCAGGATTCGTTTGTGGTGGGTAGCTAAAAATATTATTAATAATTATTGAATTATTTGAAAAAAATTATTTAGATAGTGGTAATAATATTTATACGTGTATAGTACCAACCTAGGTCGAGGAAAGCAAGCATTATTTTGTGTAGGTAATGGCATAGAGTGTCTTTCAGAAATAGAAGTATCTTCTAGTGAATTTATTATATCATCGTATACTTGAGAATTAGGCATTATATGATATTGAGGACCTGTAGGCATTCCATTAAATATTGGCTGTAAAAGAAAACCAATTTCATGAAATTGTATGGATATATAATTTTAAAATAACAATAAGCTCAATTGACATTTACATGCGATGGATGAAGTTGTGGATGATTTCCTTGTGGCTGTGATCCTTGAAGTGGATGATGACCTTGTGGTACTGGCCCTTGGGTATGTAACCCTTGAGGATGTGTTACTTGTCCTGTGTGCACCATGGATACATGTGCATTTTGATGATGACTGTCTTGAGATGGCATACCTTGAGGATGAACTTGAGGAGGACCTTGTTGAGGTCCTTGTGAATATATTCCACTGTTCATTGGATATGAGTATACCATTTGCTGTGGTGGCATTTTTGGTAAAACATAACTAGATATAGCTGGTTCTCTCATTAGAGTATGATATAAATTCATAGCTTCCACAAGATCAGAACTTAATTGAGTAAGTTGAGCATGTTGCTTATCAACTTTCTCTAAAGCTGTATCAATTAGAGGTCCCATTTGAGATACTTGAGCTGAAAAATTTGGGCCATGGAGTAATTGTTTGGCATAAATTAAGATGAAACTTGTATTGTAAATTTACCTTCTAAATCAAGCATCTCTTGTGAATCTGTACTATTCGATTGGGGATCTGCCTCATGCAATAAATGCAAAAGTCTATCCATCTTATCTTCATCAATTTCAATAGAAACCACTTCAGGTTCTTTCGGTACTGTTTTCACTTCTACTTCTTCTGCAAATTGGACTGATTTTTTATTACTTTCTAGTTCTGGAATAAAAGTATGTAATAATCCCGAATTCAACATTGTAAAATTTACATAGTTATGCCTTGCACAACTTTAGTATACATTGCTTATATCTTACTTGTAAATTGATCTGGTTCGACAGATAGATCTGCTGTCACAAAGTTAGCAGGAAACAAACCTTCACCTCTATTGTTGCTTCCCTTCCACCAGTTAGGGTCAGAATCATCCAAAATATTAACTAAAAATTAAAACGTTCATTTTAAATATTAATTTCAATATAAGAAATTATTAAACATTGTGTACTTACTAATTTCTCCTGCCGAAAAAGTTAACTCATTATCTTCAACAGCTTCGAAATCATACAAAGCTTTGACTTTTCTTCCTTCTGTATTACTTGTTGTTAACAATGTACTATTAACATTAGGGTAAAGACTAGCTACTTTTTTTGTTGAAGGAGAACTATGGGAGATTGATACAGACTGCTTACTACTTTCTTTTAAAGATAGTTCAATAGCTGCAAATGAAATTTAATTATAAGTAAATTGTTAAAATAATCACATTATTAAATTTTTTGTAATACCTTTTGCTAACTCTTCCTCTTCTTTTGCACTTGCTACTACATTAGGGTCTTTACTCAGAGCATATGATTTCCTTGGCTGAAAATTGATTATTTAAATACATAGTATTCATGTAACCCATAAAAGTATGTAATTTAAATTTAAAAAATAATTACCCCAGGCTCAGAAACTGTTGAAAAATCGTGATCATTTTTTAATTGGTTCAAAAGACTTGGTATCAAGTTCAATTGTGGATCAGATTTGTAATCATTTTCAGCCCATTTTTTTAAAAGAGCTTTCAATTTTTCATAAATAACAGGTTGATTGCGATTGCTGTTGAGTAGTTTAATAAATTGTCCCTCAAATTCTCTTGAGGCAATTTCCAAGTGAAAGACTTTGCCGCAGTTGTTGGAACAAGCATCTAATAACTGAAAAGTAATAAAAAAATGTGTAATATTATTATTTTATCTGTTGCAATATAAGCATTCTTAATTAATACCACTCACAGTTATGGCTAGTAAGACAATATGTGGATCTTGATTTGACAGCCTCTTCATAATGGAACGCAGACAATCTTTGGCATGTTGAGTGGAATTACCAACCTTGTCACAAATTTCCATTATAAGGGCCCAATCTTCCGAAGTTCTTTTGTGATCTGTTGCCTTTTCTGTTGACAGAAAATATAGTCTTTGGTTATAATGTAAACAAGTCTCGATGATACGTCAAATGCGCAACACGCCTATCAACCCGTTTAAAGGGTGGTGCAGCACAACAAACGTCAAAACATCATCATCATAGTTAAAGATAAAAACTTACCGACATCGGCATCGAAAGGCGAACCAGCAAAAAGGCTCATCATTTTGAATTCTTCGTTTCGCACTTGCGATTAGTAAAATACAAAGATGTTTGTTCGATCTTTTTGATCCTGTCTGCAATATGTGTTACGATTGGATTACGTTTTTAGCGACAGAAGCGTAGCTTAGGCTTTCTTTTTACGAGAAACGCGTATTACGCTGTCATATGGATTTTGGGCACAATGTTAAACTGATAGCAGCTGATACTCGACTGACAATGTCGTGACGATGACTAATAGCATATTATAAACTCCGCAACTATAAGGTTGGCTCAGTTAGGCACGACACCACTTGATATTTTGTTACGAATCAGCAGCAGCAAGTCGAGTCTCTCCACTGATGCATCATCGGCGGCGCTCATAGCATATTTGCTTTGTGTATAATATACGTACACTTTTATGCTTACGCTGGGAGCTTTTTATATTATTATCACAATGTAAACGTAGTTCCCAACTAACACGCACTCTTATCTGTGTATGTTGTTCACCTCTAGGCGTCTCGAGTCTTTATACTGCAATTGGGTAAAATGACACGGAGCAGATACTGTTTTCATGCACAGCTGCAGCGAATATGCAATAGCCTGAATTCGCTGTAAGAGGTATCGTGACTGTCAGAAATCCAGTCGCAGTTGCGCAAGACGACGATATCATGGGTTTTTATATTTTAAAAAACGTGAAATTTGTTGTTGATTCGGAGATAACGAAAAATTTTGCGTTCAGCGGAAACCAATTATACCTTACCGAGTCGTAATTGACTTGTTATTTATTTATGACGCGCGTTGATAGCGCGTCTATCGTTAAACAGTTATTTAACTTTCTAATTAAATCGTGCATATACACTTACTATACAGTGTGAACAATAAAAATTATGATTATTATCCTGTTACGTGCGTTTGACAATGTTGTTTTACCATGCTAGATTAACGCCGTCACAATCTTGATCTCGATCAAATTAAAAATCCGCTCATACTGTAGATAGATGAGTTCAAGCATGTGTAATTATGTGCAAACGCCTATCGAGTATTGAAGCATTTAACATTTTGAACTTTGCAGTCACACGCTGGCATGTGGCTGGGGCAATTTAAGAACACATTTCATATTCAATTAGTTATGCTTCTTCAGTGAAATTAATCAATTGTTTTTTTTTTCTTCTAAATTTTCGGTTGTCAACACATCTTCGTATCACATCTCTTCCTTCGTTTTGGCACGTAAGTAACAAATATTTAAATTTAAAAATAAGTTAAGAGCCAGTTCTCAATATTCAATTTTTACGTCACTTACTATTATCTTTAATGAGATAGCTCAAGAAAATAATAATTTTTAAGAACTAACATATATTGTTAACCTAATGACGCTGAATTTTCTGTTGAGCACATTTGTACATGAAATGTGATAGTTTCACTGTTTTATAAATGTTTTTATTTTCAGATACATTCATTTCAATTTTCAAAATTCTTCGTTGAAAATGAGTAAAAAACAGCAATTGCAAGTTCTTGAAAAAGCAGTTAAAAACTATCCTGATTTTCCAAAGGAAGGCATTATATTTAGGTAAATTTACCCTTCATATTTTAGTATTATATTGTATATTTACTATATTTTAGTATAATCATATACTTACAAAAGTATAATTCTTGTTTCAATTTTTGTAAAATAAAAAAAAATTTTCAGAGACATTTTTGGAATTATGCAAGATGTTCACGCTTTACAGGCTTTGAGAGATCTATTAGTCGAACATGTTGCACTAATGGACATAGACTGCGTGGTAGGTTTGGACTCTAGAGGATTTTTATTGGGTCCACTTTTAAGTGTAGAACTGGCCAAACCTTTCATACCAATAAGAAAAAAAGGTAAACTACCTGGAAAAATTTTCAGTGAAAACTATGTCAAAGAATATGGAGAGGTCAGTTAATTATTTTTACATTTTTGAAATAACAATTTTGAGTTTTAACTTATTCAATAATTGTAATTATAGGATACTTTTGAAATACAAGCCTCTGGAATCAAAGGAAAAAAAAAGGCTCTACTTGTGGATGATTTGTTGGCAACTGGAGGTAAATAAATTGAGACCATTTTCATCAATACATTTTATAAAAATATTACTAAAAATTTTATTTTTATACTCTTTCTGTTTAGGTTCAATGTCAGCTGCTGAGCTGCTTTTAAGCAAAGTTGGAGTAAATGTGGTTGAATGTCTTGTCGTAATGGAACTTAAATCATTAAATGGCCGTAGCAAAATTAAAGCACCAGTACACTCCTTGTTAAAATATGATTAAAACAAAGCAATTTACAGTTTTGAAACATTTACGATTTAGGCAAATGTATTCCTGTTATCAACTTAAGTATTTAGATAAAATTTATTTTTCTAAATAAAAATATATATTTATAATTGAATAAGAAAATATGATTTTTAATTATTTCAAAATAAACATTATTCGATGACTAGAATTAAAAAATCATCAGTCCTTTAATGTACATTTTATTTATATCTAGATCTTGGTCTTGATTGAAGTTTTGCAAGTAAATGATGAACTTCATACTCTAATCTATCAACTTGCTCTTGCAAAGATCTACTACTCCGATGTTTTCGTCTCCTGCGTCTTTCGTGATCAGTTAAATCTGATCTTGATCTTCCACTAGAACAAATATCATTCCAATTTGTATCAACGTTACTTAAATATTTACATGGATCCAAGTCTTCAGTCTTTTTTTTTGTATATTCTAATAATTTTTCATCTTCTTTTACTTGATTTTCATAACATTTACGAAGTTCTGAAATAATTTTGGAATGTATTAATCACTGAATTATCAAAAAATAATTTTTTATTAATTCAAGCTTAGAGTAATAAAACAATTACCATTTAGTCTCATTTCATGAATGTTTCGAACAAAGTTTTCGCTTTCGACGCGGAGCCTTTTCTCTTCTAAAAGTTCCATGGCATGTAATTGAAAACCACGCAAGCGGCGCTCTTTTTCTTTAAGTTTTTTTAAAGTAATACCACGTAATTCATCAGTCAGGTACTTGGGGAATTCATATTGTAGAAATGGTTGATAAGGTCCTTTTTTTGGCAATGTGTTTACATCATTTCTAAAGTTGATTCAATATTAGTAAATTAAAACTTAATAAAAATATTAATTAAATGTTCAACAAAAAAAAATAAATTTAACAAACTTTAGGTATCTATGTGGATGAATCCTATGAGGAGTTTCTCTGTCCAATTTATGAGCAATCTTGAGAATATTTTTGATGGAAACATGACCAACAGTTTTGTAAAATTGTGTGAAATCATCTATTGTATGTAATTTTGTTATAATTGTTTTCCGATATAAAATACTGTATGCTATGGTACACATCATTAGAAACCAAGGTTTTCGTAATGAAAATAAATGATCCCACAGAATTAACCAATCATTGACTGAAAGTACTTCACTCATAGTACTATGAAGAAGTGGCCATGCATAAGTTGTACTTGTTATTCCTTGTTCACAGAAGTAATCAAAAAGTATTGGATCTGCTTCTAATAACACATTTTCAACCATGCCTAATATATTAAGAGGTGGCAAAGGATGATATTCAAACCATTTCTGACAATAGTTCATGAGTACAAACAAGCATGTTTCCAAAGCAAGAATTGGACTTTTCTATTGAAATTCAAAGATCAATCATTAGAATTATTTACAATTATTATTGAAAAATTATGTATAATTTATTACCTGGAAAATATTTACAAATGGAATAATTGTCTTGGGAAGAAAATCGCACTCAGATAATATAGGACACCAATGTAATAAACAACTCAAAGTTGTGCCTAATACAGAACTTTTGCATTTTTCTATTAAAGAATCTTTTTTTAATAAATCAAACATAGCCTGATGAGGCACTTTATTTGATAAATCTACAAAAGCTTTTCTGTTACTGGGTAATTCCATTATTGTTGACCATATAAGTCGTCTATGTTTTTCTGGATATTCTCCAAATTCTTTCAAAATTGGAATTAATCTTTGAAGTTTCAATTCTTCTTTAACAGCATTACGCACACACTTTAAATGTTCTTCATTTTTATTAGGCTGAATTTTTCTTTGATTTTTAGGCTTTTCTACACCATTGAAGACTCCAGAGTCTGATTTAATATTTAGTATTTTTTCAAGAAAGGTAAGGTCCAGAGAACCATTTTTGTTAATACTTGCTAAATAACAACCTTTTTGTGAAACTGCAATTTTCTTTATACCAGTAAGTACATTGCAACAATTATAAATAACACTAGAAGATGCTAAACTTATTAATTTTAAGGCACAATCAGAAGTAAGGATAGCCACAATGGAATTTGCACCACCATCCAGAGGCATTGGTACTATCGATACTTGCTTACCTCCAGAAAAATTATCATGAAATTCCAAACTTTTGAGCACATCCCACCTGGTTGCATTAAATACTAAAATCTTATTTTGTAATCCACAAACAATCATGGCTCTCCCATCTCTGGTAAATTCAAAATCTTTAACAACACTTTTTAATCCTTGCTTTTCCATATCTATTTTGTAATCCTTTTCAAATTGTTGGAATGGCCAGCACTGAATTATATTCGTCGCATACAAAACTGCAACCAAGCCAAGGCTGGAAAACATGGCTTTTTTTACGACAATATTTTTGGTGTTCAGCCTTAGCTGATGAATTTTACAATAAGACTTGACCATCCAGACGATGACTTCTTTGCTGGACGAGGTCATGCAGTAATCCTTGTAAAATGACACACTGGTCGCCGGGGCCGTGTGTCCAGTCAACGAGCAAAAATCGTTTATTGCGTTCAGCCTCATGACTTTGATATTCGTCGAACTTAAACCAATCAGCAATTCGTTTTTGTCGTAAGGGTTGAAGGTGACGAAGGTACTCATACCGACACAGCCCAATTTACGATAGGACGGAAAATCGGACAGATCGATGCAGTAGGCGATGCCGTTGTTGTCAATGGCGATGAGGGTCTCATCGTCATTGTCAAACGCACATTGGGAAAAGCTCATGGTGCTCGGGCAATGGCTTCCTCCGTAAGCCGATTCGACCTTGAACTGATAATGATTGGAGCAGGCGGATTTCTCCAGATCGATCCATTTGTCGTCCTGCATGATGATCGCGGATGTTGGCGACGCTCTGCGCGGCCGATCAGCAATTCAGAGCAACAGGTTGCGGCTCGTGTGTACGGCTGTGAATATCTGACTTTACGCGCGGTTCAAACTGCACAATGACATTTCAGCCGCGGCTCCAGACTGATACCCGGTAGCAGTTCATCATAACATAACGCACCATAGCGATACATAATCCTGCACTGCACGCAAAACATCTGCCGTTTTTTTATTCACTGTAACTGACTTCGCGCATTATGTCCTCCTTATGATTATATGTAAACAACCGCTATATGGCACCGTAGTACGCCTCTTACGGGTGCAATTATTAAGTGTGCTGCACACGCGAAGTGCGGTATCTTCTACGGGTTGCTCTTTTTTCAATGTTTTTTAAAATGTATACCGTGAGAGACGCCACCACCGCCGATTTTTCCCCGCAGCGGCTACAATATCCATGGCAGCGAATAGCGTTAATCCGTCTCTCTTGGCCGTGTTGCCGCGTTGTTGCAGCCGATATGTACCGTCACACTTCGAACGATCGCGTGACTGTCAGTCTGTAAGGTAATACAGAGCTTTGGCAACGCTGCAATTTACAAACTTGCAGCTTGCAGTTACAGCCTGCGAGTCTGTTTAGTATTGTCATAAACTCAACTCCAAAACCAGCGTCTGCCTTCTGCCAGGCTAGCAGCTGAGCTGAGGCCTGAGATTGGCTCTTGCGCCACCTTTCGTTGCAATTGTTAATTTTTGTCCAAGCCTCTGGAGTCTGGAGTCTTGCTGCTTGCAGTGCAAAAGTGTACAAAGAACTGTAAAAGTTAGTTGATTTTTTCCTCGATTCGCACTGCAAAGTCCTTTGATTGAATCGTGTGTTTACGACCAAGTTGAAAAATTGCAATCACCAAACTGGATCGCAGCGAATCTTCCAAAATGGTAACCCAAAGTATTTTATTTGATTTTTTTCGTCATGCTCTCACCATGCCATTAATGAGGTTAAATTTGATGTTATTGAATAAACTTGTGATTTTTACATTTAAATAATGATTCCTTTAATTTCTAACTGCGATATTGATTACATGATGATCATTTGTGCAAGTCTAAATGTTAGGTGCATGCCAATATGTGAAGAGTTATTTGTGAAGCTTGCAAAGATGTCAAACTTGTACTCTTTGAAGAACCCAAAAAAATGTATGATTTTCTAGCAAATCATTTAAATTTTGTACTTGAACGCAAATATTTTCTAGTAAATAATCAAGGAAAATTTTAAATTGAAATTACGTTACGTCTAGACTTGAATCTCGAAAATTGTAACTAGACTGTATGTAGCGTTTATCAGTACTATTAGACAAACTTAAGTATGTAAGTGTTCTTGTTTACCTTTTTGAAAAATGAATATGAATGGCTTATTTTATCTTTTAATTTTAAATAATTTTTCTACTAATCAAATGTAAATATTTTTCCATAGTTATCCAATGTTTGAGAATTTGTTTCAGATTTAAAATATTTCTTACGCATTAATAAATTAATTTATATTATGTTTACCTTATGACCTACTTAATATCAAAATTGTTTTACAGTCGGTAGCCGAATTTCTAAGCGGCTTGCCATCAATAAATGAAAAAAATTTTGCCAATTTTCATACTGATAGTGCTAATAGAACTACTATCAAGCGGCCATCTATTTATATTCCAACAAAAGATCATCCTTCGGATCAAGGTATAATCCATTTAAAAAAGTATCTTTTAATAATATTGAGTAAACTATTTTAATATTTTTCTTCAGTGATTGTGACGGAAAAAACAACAATAGTATTGAAATACTTGCACCAACGATGGGACAAAAAAGTAATAATTTTTAAATACATTTTGATTGGAGATATTTTCACTGTTTAAAAATAAATAGTTCTAAAATATACTATTTTTATTTTTAGAATACCACGGAAAGAAAACGAGATCTCACAAATGATTCTCCTGAAGATCTACGAAGCAAAAGACCTCGACTGGATAATTAACTATTAATTTTATTTTTATAATTTGATTATAATTATATAAAAATCAATAGATGATAAAAGGCACAAATGTACAAAAACCTCACTATTTTTTTATAGGATCATTTTTTGAAAATACTTTTTGTAATCATAAAATTACTCATTATGTGTTCCAAAAGTTTTTTCTTTGATACTTTGTACAATACTTAGGTTTTTTTGTGTCATGAATAATCACACAGAACATCATTGGTACATATAAGTATGGAACCTAACTGTTCTTGTTCCAAAAAAGAATGTCTTCTAAAATTATAATTCAACTACTACAGCTAAGAAAGTCTAATTTATGTTGAACATTGTTTTTTTTTTAAATGAAACTAATCAGTTTTTTACTATTAAAAAAATCTTAATGTCTTTAAGATTGAAATTGAATAGTTGCATGATTTTGATTCCATTTTGTAAATATAGTTTGTGTCAAAAGCTTTTATGTACTAATGACAATCTACTACAAATCAGATTGCTTGTATATGTTCATTTCATTTCCACGAGGTATCTCATGTATAAATGCGTTGTAAAAATTGAATTGAAAGGATGGATGTGATGAAAAAAATGGTAAATTTAAATTCATATCATATGTAACTTATGCTTGCTTATTGTTAAAATGTATTTATTTTGAAGAAGATAAAAAAGAAACAATAACAGCCAAGTGCATAATTATATCAGCGTTATGACTGATTATAAGTTTGTTTATTTCAGTCAAAACATAGCAGAGTCAATATCTTTACACTCACAAAGTGTAGGTAAATGTATTATTATAAAATTAGGAGAGGAACACTGATTCCTGCTTCGTATGAAAACACTAATTAGTTACTTCATAAATTAGTAAAAAATTTTTGTTCCAAGTGGTTGTTGATTTGAATTAAGTAGAGAGAACAAATCGCTTATTCGACCTTGGATTATGTGCTAAAAATTATAATCTGTAAAGAGAATAATAATCAAAATTTAATTTATGTATTGTATGTTACGGTGAAATTAAGTATTAAATAAAATTATACCTATTAAAAATTAGAAGACATTTGAATATATTATGCAGTCACTGGCATCTTGTAACACGTTGACTACTGCAAAATATTATAGCGAAATATATTCATTTGTATTGTGGACACGATCAAATGAATAAATATCATTAACGTCGAATACGCATTTGTGCGTATACTCACACGGTCTGAGTTTTAACCGATGCTTTTTTATCGGCGGAACGTTTGAATCTGTTGCCACAAATCAAATCATTGATGAGACGTGGTCCGCGTATGATCTCGGTCTTGACCAATTTTGGTTTAGTTAAATTTTCATTCTTCATATTATACACAGCGGTTTCGTAAACAACTTCAACTGGTTTTTTGGATCTGTATTGGAAAAAAATGTGATTAAAAAGAACGGTTAGTGAATTTTTTTCATAACTTATTAATATTAATTAATTTATGAAAACTATGAAAAGTTTGACATATAATACATGGCTCGAAATAAGATTCATAAGTATGTGGGATTAGTGTAATAATTTTTGTTTGTATGAAAATTGTTAATATGTATTGAGAAACAACAAAAAAATATAAAAAATAATTTTTTTTTTACAAAAAAAATTATGACGACAAACTTGTGTTAACTCGTCCATGAAACAATTTGCATTGGTTTATTTAATTAGTTAGACTCACCTCAAAGTACCTCCGTTGGATGTGTTGACAACCTTGTGCTCTCTGACGGTAGAGACGCCTCGAGATCCAGTACCCCTTTTCTCCTTGGTCACTTTGACTTTCTCCGACTTGACCAAACTCTCCTGGCTCCTGCTCAGCTTGGAGGTGCTGGAAATTTTCGTGGTCGGACTCTCGGTGACGGTCTTTACCTTGACTCGGCTCGGCGTCAAGGACCGCTTGATGGTCGTCGTAACGACCTTGGGGAATTGCAAGACAGTTTTTTTCGCGGCGCTCGCCCGGGTCTCGCTCGACCATCTCTTGCGCAGCTTGCCCTTGGGATCGGAGAACTTGTAATCCATCCTCACCGGGTGGCCCGAGTTCTCGTAAACTATGACGTTCTCGTCCTCCGGATCGGAGAAGACGTTCTCGTAGGTGACCCTGACGTCCTCGTCGCGATCGTGATCGTCCACCACGACGACCGGAGATCGAGATCGGCTCCTCAGCGCCGATTTCAGCGAGACGGTCTTGCGGGTGACGGCCGCGGGCGACGGCGATCGGCGGCGTACCAAAATCGGCGATCCCTGAGGCGTAGTCGTCCTCGTCGTGGTGGTCTGCACGTAGGTCGTGCCGGTGCGCCGATGCGACTCGGCGTGGGCCGGAGAGACGGCCCGATCGATCGGCGCCATGTACGCGGGCGAGGAGGAGCGCTCGATGCGCTCGTGGCTGCTGCTGCGAGTGATGCTGCTGCGACGACGAATCGAAATGGGCGAGGTGCCGCGAGATATCACCCGGACGGGCGACGGAGATCGACGTCGAGGTGGCGAGGGCGACGGCGAGCGACGACGCACGATGACGGGCGACGACGAGCGCAGATGCAGCGACGGCGGACAAGGCGAGATCGAGCGAATGATTTGCACCGGTGATGGTGCGCGGATGGCTAGTGGTTCTGGAAATTTCATTAAAAATTATAAAACCCGTAAAACTTGGTGTAAAATTAAATGTTTAATTTATTCTTCAAGAGTCTCGGTGTTCGTATACACGATGTTTGTCTTTCACTCCTTTTCGAGCGTGCTTTATGAGATGTTTCCTGGTTTTTTGAGAGCGAAGGAAAAACTGCTTTAAAATTACTCGTTCGTTCGAAGATAGGCAGCCCAGAAGGCATATCAGACGCTCGTAAATAAAAAATTTAAAGCTTATCCGATCGACTCGTAATGAGTTTTTTCTTCCATTAACATTTAACTCGGGGCGCGACGAACATTATAAATTTTAACTACCGCATTATTTGCATGATAAAACGTTTTCTATTGCACGCACACACATTATCGAGGACACAAATTGGAAAAAAAGCAGCTTAGGATCGCTCGAAATTTTAATTTCGAAATTCATAAATGATATTAACCCTCGTGAACGATGCAAGTGGTAGCCGTCTGGACGACGGGCACGTCGACGACGTAGACCGGGCTGGGCGGCCGATGGACGGTCTCCTCGACCTCGATGCTGCGATTACGATTGTAGGAGAATTTGAGGTTCTTGAGGGCGCCGTCGCACTCCCGATACATGTTCTGGAAGACGCGTTGAAAGTCCGCGGCGGCCTCCTTGGCCGAGCCCGCGTTCATGACCAATCTCACCGACTCGAGATTGGCGTAGCGATCGTCGTCTTCGGGTAGCATTTCGATCGCGCAGGCCGATTTTCTCACAAAAGCGAAAAATCAAAAATCGGATGGGTTTGAAAAGCACCACCCAGCACTGCACGCACAATCGCAGCACTGACGGCAGAGATAGAGAGCACTAAACACGTTGTTTGCTATTTGTTTTTGTTGTTGTTCTTCCAGAGTCCTGCAAGTGAGTGAATTGTCGGGAGTATTGGCAAATACTGTAGCTAGATCGGCATCTCGACATTAGTTTTATAAATGAAAATTTGCTACCGCTGGCATGGGGAAGGAGGCGACTGCTACCTCGCGCAAAGCACGCCTATGCGTGGGCGTGCGCGTCCAAGAGTCAAATGAAAACATCATCATCATCATCGATTGTCTGCCGAGTATCTCAGCGTTAGATCTTCTGTATATTCGATGCTTCTTTGTGTGAGGCTAGCGACGTTTTCAAGGGTAAGCTGATCGTATATTTACTTGCGCTCCCAAGTTATATACCATTATGACGCGCGGCTCCATATACTCGTGGTTTAATGAAAATCTCGTGGAGGAACTGTTATTGAATTAATAATCGAGGGTAAGTCCTCGAACGAGTTTTATTCTGCACGGCTCTCAAAGTCTTTCGCTCATGCTTACATACACTTATATATTTTCTTTGTAAAATGACATCGATTATATTATTAGAGATGTGCATGCGACGCGGCGATTCTCTGTGTTGCAATGAAGTTACGCCTACCCAGTTGGACGCGGATCGAGCATCGCGCGTAACGCGATGTATAATTGCTTTATGACACCTCTTGGCTCGCTCGTTGCTGTGCCTCTTCAACTTGCGTGCCACCTTGCACCAGGCATATTACATATATACGCGCGCGGCAAAAGTCGATCGCTACAGATCGATTCATTAATTTACACGGCTGTTTATTAGCGACGATGACGCGTTGATTTTGTCCCTCTGCGAGAGCTCAACTGTAATTGCTCTTTTATTGAGTTAAACAACGCCTATGCGAGATCAATGAATGACTGATTGGCCGCCAAGTGATATAATCAAGCTCCCGATCGATCGAGCGATTATCGCTTTAAAATAATTTCGCGTACACGTGCCTATATTTATAACGTGAGCTATTAAAATTTACATATATGTAAACGAGAAGTAATGAAAAAAATGCCATATAGGTGACCCACCTTTGTCGTTGCTCTGGCCATTGTTTCCTTCCTTGTCAGCCATCATCAAGTTTACCGTTGTCATGTGTGCGCCCTTCGTTCTCGATGCATTGTTGTCTTCCTGCGACGTCAATTGCGTGGGCGACGTCGGCTTACCGTTGGCCCGCAGTGCCGCCGCTGCGATCGACTTTTCCGGTGATTTTCTCTCAACGAAGTTATCGATCTCGTCTCGATCGTGTCTGCCGCCGATGCCGTTGTCGACGTCGTTGCTCTCGTTGTAGTCGAGCCCGTTGGACATGTTCCGGCCGTTCGATAACGAAGTCGGTGGCAATTTACCATTGAGTATGCAGCGCTCGTAGGACGTATCGCCAAAGTGGACTAGAGGCTTGTTACCGTTGTTTTTCTGCAACGCAAACACAAGCATATGCATGAAATCGTTAATTGCGCCCGTTTTGAAGATCGTGCCCGCGATACGTGTTTACATGCAAGATCGCATTATGGCGTGTTGATCTTACCTGTGCGTTACCGTTTAGCGCGTTTCCATTATTATTTCTTCGTTTTCTCCTGTACTTATTGGTCGGAGGAGGCTTGCCATCGGTCTCAACGATATTCACCTTGCCCGAGTCGGGCGCAAAGTGTATTTCCGTTTTGCAGAATTCGACTTTCTTCACCGGCTTCTTCGTGCCGTTAGTCGTCGTTGGCTTGATCGACAGATTCTCTTTATTATTTTCGGCGACGGACGACGTGGAGGAAGACGACGACAAAGACGAGGAGGACAGCGAGCCACCGTCCGACAATTTGACGCCATTGTCTAGGTTTTTGGGCACTCTGACCGACGTGACATTGATGCATCTGGTCGGTGGTGTATCCGGTCCCGTGGGCGATGCCGCGTTCCGTAAGTGGACCACAGTCTTGTTACTGACTTTTCTCGGTAGATCCTGTGTCGTCGTCGTCGCCGCCGTCTGTGTCGCTGAGTTTGCACGATTCGTCAACGATGACAAAGTCGTTTCACCTGTGGTGGCGCATAGACGGCAAAAAAGAAAAAAAGGAAAGAAAGAAAAAAGCATGAAATCGTGATACCGCCGAGCATGTCAGGGCTGCGCGAATTTCGTTCCTCAAATTGTATAATGATTTCGCGGGCTCGTTGAAGGTCGCGCGGGAGCAGCATTTCGCAAGAGACAATGCGCAAAGACGGCGACGTTACTCCTGCATAATTCATGTGAGGCAATTATTATGAATTTTTTTTTTTTTTTCGATACAACAAAACATCGTATGCGCGCGCGACTTTTGCAGTCGTACACGTTCGAATTGCTCGCGCTTCTGTTGCGCGTATACGCGAGGCGTTTTACGAGGCGGTCCGAGCTGACGTTTGCGGTTCTACATGTATATAACTCATGTTCACGAAACAATTGCGTTGTTACAAAAAGTCCGTACATCCGTACGTATGTGTCATTTGAATTAAAAAATGTACGCGACGAGCACGCGACAATTTCATGTATTTATTTTAATTTTTCTGCTCACCATTTTCCTGCGAACTCGAGTACTTGGGCAGGCCGTTACTGGATCTGTCGAACTTGGACGGGTGACCTGGATCGTTTTTCACGAAATCGTTCTCCCTGATCGGTGCGAAAATTCTCTGATCCTCTTGACTTCTTCTCGTAGCGTTGACGGTGGCTCGTCGGTCGCGTCCGTCGTTCGCCTCGTCCTCGTAAAATTTCGCCCTCTCGTCGATCGATCCGACCCTCCTGTCGTCGCTCCTTGCATTTCTGCTCGGATAGTATCGGTCGCTGTTCACTTGCAACGATCGTCGATTCTTCGAATTTCTCGCGAAGGCATCGTCGGCCGTTGCCAGCACCAGACTCGGCAGATCCTCGATCGAGTTGCTTTTGACGTTTTTTGGCGTTGAATTCGTCGTCGTCTTCAAAGTCGTCGCGGACGAGGTCGGCGTTATTTTGACGCCACGCAGCGACCACAATTTGTTGGTGCTCTCGATGGCTTCGTCGTGCAGACGACGACACAGATCCGACAGATGCTCGAGATCCGTCGTACTGTCGGCTATGCTCGGATGCCAAAAGTCTCCGTTCATCTCGTTGTTCTACAAATACACACGCGAACTCGATTAAAGCACACGCACTTGTATAGATCGATTTATAAGTCGTTCGTAAAACTCACTTGGTTGGCTTTGATCAGAGCGCCATCGAAGCCTTTGCCGCTATCTGTGGCCCTCGAGGAGGACCATTGCGACGCCTTGACCACCTGAAAGCAGCGGCCGCTCGTCGCTTGGCTCTGGAACACCTCGACCTGGCGACGGGCTTTCTGCACGAGACTACCGTCGACGGTATTTCGTTCCCTCGAGTCGATTATCTGCAACGAACAAACGAACCAGTGGTAAAGCGGCGCTGCTCGTTATGAAAAAAAAGCCAGCTACTCGCGCCAAATGATCATTTTAAACGCGCCGAGTTCTGAGATTCTTTTTTTTATCGAAAAGTAAAATACATGTCGAGGACAATTGGCAAAGCCACGCGCAGTGGCAGCAACAGCCTTGCAAAATAGTTCTGATAAACCTATAAATATGCATGCATGAGAAAACTAAATATATGCGCGCTCAAACGATAATTAATCATTGGCAACGTCGTCGAAAATGCATATTACAATAAATGCGAGCGCATCAAAAAGAGAGGGCTTTTTTATTTTCTCGTTCAAATCTGTCACGGGCTCTTCTCTCTCTCTCTCCGCTGCTGGCGATTGCAGCGATCCTGCGTACTATATTCCGTATATATAGAGCGTTACACAACATCGATCGTCTATTCGCCAGATAAGGAATCGCGAGCGACTATGTAGTAAAGCGCACGCGGCAAAACCGACTCGAATAATCATAACAGCTCCGCACGCCGCAACGTATGCAATTTAACAATGTAAAACACTTATGTTAGCACCGACACCATAACCAGTGCGTCTTTTTTCGATCGATTATGCATTCGGCTGCACGATCCATACCGATTATTGACATTTGTGCTTTTTAACATTAAACTTTAATTAGATCTTTAGTGAATACGTTCGGATGCGTTATTACACTATTGCACCAATTTTCATACTTTTATGAAAAAGCAGCAGGTATTTATCTTTTCGACGGCTTCATTGTTAAGTGATTATTTGATTGGAACCATTAACGATTTTCATACCGATCACTATATGGGTCGTCACATTATCGGCTAAACGGACACTTGCTACACTCGCAATTCACGTTCAAGAATGAATAGAAACGCTGGAAACGTTTGTAAAAAAGCACACAATTTGAGAAAAAAGATAATTCTCCTACTGTAAATATACATATGCGTACGGCTGCAGTCGTGTAGGTATACTGCCCGTCGAGAATTTGCCGCGGCTTCGGCGCGCATTATAACATGCTTGCGATGGTATATGGCGCGTGTGCGGTAGCCGCTGCCGTTGCAGCTCTCTCTCGCTCTAGTAAAATCTCCCGCGGTCCCCATCGTCGTCGTCGTCGTCGTCATCCTTCGTCCCAAGAGAAAGAAAGAGAGAGAGAGAGAGAGAGAGAGAGCCTCGAGCTATATAGATCCGTGTCGCGAGCGAGCTGCAGGCGAATGTTAAGTACGCATACACCCGCGCGTGTACCACATGCGTATAGAGACGTGTATAATGCAGCATATAAATATACGCGAGCTTCGTAAAAGCTCATTTACATAATTCACTGGCGGCGCGTATAACTCGGCGATTCTCTCTCTCTCTCTCCTTTGCTCGCTCGCGACTACTGCGCACTCGATTATCGTCGTGTATTCGCGTATAGTCAACGCGTCGTTACGCTGACGTAATTGCCCATCTAGTTGCCGCGCGGCATTGCGCTTTTATAACGGAAACGTCGCGTTCGATGCTTGCGATGTCGTAAAAAAATAGCTGCTTTATTTACAAGGCATTTGGATATAGATGTATATACCTTTCCGTACGATTGAGCCGCGTCGGATGTGTTGTTGCACCACCTGCCGGTCTCGACTCTGGCCTTCTCGTGCATGCCCGTGTCCTGATCGATCCTCGACCACTCGTGCACGTCCTCGTTGCGATAAGGCCCGTCGCTCTCGTTCACCTGCGTCGCTACCAGCTCCATCCTCGCTGCCTATCTTTCGACTCTTTTTCAATTTTCTATATATATATTGTATCTGCCACTGCTACTGGGATAATACGCGGCGAGAAAAAAACGATGCGTCACTTATGATGCGCGACGCCTACGCCGATGTGCCGCCGATGATGCAGCTGCCTGCTTCATTTCACTCGTGTGCCAACGATCTTCGTGACTTTCCGGCGAGTCTGCAAGCAAAAAACCACAAGAGAAATTTTATCATTCGGCCAGTTCGATCGGTATAAATAATACGAGTAACAGATTTTTTGTGCCCGCCTCGCCCTGCACGCTCACACGCAATATACATCTCTCGAAAAGTTTCTCTTTTCTCGACATGCTTTTATGCATCGAAATGCGATCGTGAAACCCGCGCGAAAAGTGTAAAAGTCGTGATATTTTGAGAGAGCTCTTTTATTGTATTCACATCATTGATCACACGGTTCAATTTTCGTCCATCAACTGCAAAACTCAATTTTTTTAACAATTCCTGCATTAAAAGACAGATTTTACTGAGGTTAAATCATACACCGTTTATTGTTGATCATCATTTCAAGCGTATTTATTTTGTTTCTAATATTTTACACTTGATTATTACTCGTTCATTTAGAACCTTAAGGTCAGCTCGTTTTGTGAGTTAAAAATATGCCAGGATAAAATTGAATTAGAGAAACTTTTACATGGTAGAAACGAAATCCAGATCACATAGTATCATGCCCTTCTTTCTTCAAAAAATTAAGCTCTACTAAATGATTCATTTTTTATGCAGATAAGGGGACTAAGACATAACGAATCAATTAAAGTAGTAAATAATGAAATAATTCTCTGATGTTGTAAAAATACTCGTATAACATTGTTTGACTTTCGGTAAAAAATGTACTTCCATTTCCGTTGAAAATAATTTTCTCGAACTAGCCAATCGTTCCCTTAATTTACAACTCTCGTTCCTCATTATTATAATGGACTCCTTGAGATCAATTATCTAAACTGCCTGAAAATCGTTGAAAATTCGAAGAAAGCTAAAAATCCTGGAAGATTTACGACCGATAATGATAATTATCCCTTGGAGCGGATAACTATAATAGTTTCGTGGCCAACTATAAGGTAAACGCACAATATACTCGTATGCAACGAGAGAAGGTGTACAGTATATATACATACAAATACATATAAGTTGTGCTCACAAAGTGAAAGAAGACAAAAGACGAGTGCAAGCATCTCTCTCTCTGTTCAGAGGAGCGATTCGAGGATTCTCGCGCACCGCAGCGACGTTAGTAGCGAGCGCAGGGCCGACATGGCGAGTGGGTGGACAAGTGTATATAGCCCGTTCGCCTCGAGCCCTTCAAGGCCACGAGCGCATCGAGATGCTACACGTTTATATGTAGGTATACGCAAAAGAGCTCGATGCAGATCGTGTCTGCCCCCATGCAGTACGCCGCATACATGCTGAAGCAGCAAAATATTCCTTGGAAAGATTGCGAAATTATTTTCGCACGCGAGCGATTATCGAGAAAGTTAAGCGCAGCCGCTTGCGAGGAAAATGATCCGTATATAGGCATCGATTCGCCGCGTACACACGTGTCTTTTGGCGGGTGTATTTATAATGAATGCAGAGCCGACGTAGCTGTTGCTACTTTGATATTCGATTGATTGGAAGTAATTTAGTAGCAAATAAATAATTTATTTGATTTATTCTTTTCCACACGGGTAGTCGATCGATGATCATTTACTTAAAAATATATCACTGCGCGTGCAGTCGATCGCTGTTGTTTGAATGTACAAAAGCATGTATACGATCGATCGATCTTCAGTATCGAGGATTCGAGCACGTGTACAATAAACAACAAATAAATTCGTCTAACTAGTACCATAATTCAACGTTATCTTCAATAAGTGTTATTGCACAGAAATGTCACAATGAAAAATTTAGTGTATTAAAGATTATTTGGAAAGTGTGAATCTTATTGAAATATTGTATACTAGACCTGGTGCAACAAAATATCTTTCGATAAAAAGCACAATTCATATAAAACAAACGGGCGAGAGTTGAGAAGATAAGGCCAAGTGGCATCCAATCTCAGAAATCCCTTTGCTCGGCGCTCCAATAACATTCTCACGAACTTTTCATACGTACGTAGAGATCGATTAGGCTAAAAAAGTCAAGGTACGGCTTAATTTATGAGTCCGCGGGCCGAACTTGCGCTCCTTCCGAGTGAAAAGATATTTCATTATTAAGTCGTACAAAGCTGCCTGTCTGCGTGTAAGTGTGCTTGTGCAGCAGATAGCCAATGTCATTGTTCTTTTGTGCAGTTTTCTCTCTATAGCACTGCACAGCTCCTCACTTGCCGGCTTCGCGTCTCACATAAGCCCGCGCGGAAAAACTTTCTTTTGCGATCGGAGGCCCGAGATTTCTCCGAAAGAAAATATAGCTGGCATAGACGCGGAGTCGCTAAGCCGCTCATCTATCCACGATCTCACTTTCGATTCTAATTACATCGATGCGTGTGCCTCGAGTGTACGTACGAACCTATGCTCGCGAGTGTGGCTCGCTATATATAATGTGTATATTATATACAGGTAATTATGTCAAAGCGCGATAAAGCAATTGTAATTTTTCGCACCGAGCTGTGGCGCGCGCGCAAGCAAGCAACTTTCATTTTCATCTCGTCGTCGTCGTCGTCGCCCTCGTCTTTATTATCAGGCACGCGTGCACGCTCGAGTAATTACACGAGAGAGGCTGTAATACTCCGTATATAACGGGCGAAGAATAATGAAATAATTTTCCGTTAGTATACCGATCGCGCGCGAAATAAGCAACTCGATATTGTTGTATCGAACACAGAGTGTAGCGCCGCGACAAATTGCGATACGAAGGCGCTCGATATAAATCGGTACAATGAACTGCATAATATGATGTGTGTGCTAATCGAGTGTCACACACGATAAGCGAAACGATCGGTCATATACGCGCCGCACTTTAACATATTGTATGTATATAGGTAAGTACGGCGCCGATATCCTCGAGTGCACTACAGAGCGCGCGCAGTCAGCGGTGCATATAAATCTCCTCTTTTTTGCCGTCTTTTTCTTGACCCGGCCGCTGCTGCTTTACCTACATAATACGTACCGATACAATATAATAAAAGTCGCGCTTACGCCATAAGCTTTTTACAGGAGAAAAAATGGCCGGTATACTCGAATTGCAGCTGTTGTTGCTGGTGGTACTCGACGTAGCGTAACGCATGTTTAACGGTGATAAATCCGCGCGTTCAACGGAATAAAATGGGCCAAAAGACTACTACTGGTACTCGTATAGTTCTGCTGTTATTCCAGCGATCGAGCTGTGCATGCAGCCCGTTAGCGCGTGTTTATATACCTATACTCTGCTAGTACCACGCCGCACATGCAAAACCGCAAGAGGAGGAATTAGAAATGCCTTCGCCCATATTGCACCGCGCGCAATAACATATATCATGTGTACATAAAGCCGCGTGTGTAGCTAATATGCACAGTAGCTCTTTTCTGAGACTTTCTTTTTTTTTGTCTCGTCTCGTGTGTCCTTTGACGTCGCTATGGGTATTATATGCAGAGCTATTTAAACGTAGCACGCATCGCGTCGTCGTCGTGGATGGCGAAACTCTTTCTCTCTCTCTCTCTCTAGCTATCTCTTTTTTTCGAGGCGCGTTAAAATCTATTACCAAGCGCAGTATACTACACTTGCGATTCGCGCGCGCGGGGAGAAGAAGAGGAAGTAGTACTGCACGGACGGCTCTCGCACTCGATGCATCGGGCGAGGAAACGGCAATTTTGCAAGCCAGGACAGAGCCCATTGTTCGTGTACCCGAGTGTTTTTCTCGCCGAGCAATGCTGTGTATCCAACATAATAACGCAACTATATATAATGTATTTACCGAGCCGAGCTAATCGATGAATCGATAAAGTGTTAGATAGCATACATCCCGCGGGCTCGAAGATCGTCGTTGTCGTCGTCGTCTTCTTTTCACCGATCTCGTGCCTTGCTCTCGGGCAAACTCATTGTAACTGTTCTATTTACATATACAATGTATTTTATCGGACACGAATCGCGTCTTTGAACTTGAAACGAATTAACAAAAAATTCCTGCGTCGGCGTATAATACGATGTGTGACGAGCCATTTTTGCGTTGACTGTTCGACAAAAATGTCGATTGTGTCGAATTGTTTACCCACGAGTATTATACTACTGCTCGAATTTATGATACTTGCTGAACCGTATTTCAACTCCAGAATTATTTTACGGTTGAATGATCGATCGATTTAAATCATGACGATTATTATTTACGAAAATAAATACACGAAAGAGGAAGAATCATTTGTTGTTTGTATAATCAAGCTGAATAATCCTGCAGTGTTAATTAACAAAGAAAAACGATCGAGTCTCGAGTTTATTCGGCCCGAGCGCGCGCATTAACGTTATGGCCGAAAGTATACCGAGCAGATTTGGTAACCCACGTGCGCGATCCAGTATAATAACAAGCTTTTAATGAGTATGCACGGAAATTGACTAGCGCCGACTTTTTCGACACTCTGAAATATGTGCAATTACATCGAGACGTACACGGTAATGCACTACAACGTATCCTTTGCAGAAAAAGAAAGAAAAAATTTACCACGTACGTGGAGCTGTGCGCAGTTTTTCGCGAATTACGCGACTGGCACTTAGCAGCATTATTTACGTATTTTCACCGATAATTTATAAGTATATCTTTTCGTTACGAGGCATTTTTAAAGGTAGAAAAAGAAACAGCTGTACGTTTAAATTATGATAAACTTATAAACTTGAAAGGAGTGAAAACTATCGGAGAACTTTTTTTGCGCGCAAAGACTCTCGCGTTGCGCAACTTGTATATAGTACGAGAGCTGCTGAGCTGCGCCTGGACTTTTATCACTGTGCGCGACGAGAGATATACTTTTTTCCACCTTTCACGACACGGGCCTTTTACGTTATAGACAACTCGTCGCTTTCTAGCTGCGAGATCTGCGTCGAGCTGCGTGAAAATTCGTCTCTAACAGGAGCAACGTGTTTCCAATGTCTCACGTGGAAGATCTCTCAGGCTTATTTCCGTGTACAATATCAAACGACGTAATATCGCAGGGAGACATTCTTCATAGTTGTAAGGATTTGCAGTGTGTATAACGATCGCGATTCGATTGTTGCATCATGTGTGCCTCTCGCAAGCCTGTACGCACGACGCGTACCTCGTGTGATTGTATACACGATCGTTTGGCGCACACACGAAAAAAACAACCAAGTGCCGACCGATCGTCAACGCACAAGTCGCGTAAATTTCAAGTGTACACGAGCGTGTGATACTTACGATCGGCAATAAAAAGTAATCGATACTCCACGCGCGTTAAATTAATTGGACGTAAAGCGTATTTATAGAATTAAGCGACGCGTTAAGCATGATTCGAGCCCGCTGTATTATACCAACAAAAAGTGTAAATTAATTCGATAACAAGCTCAAAACGTAAATACAGCGAAGTTGGGGCTCGGCCTATGCTAGCCCGTGTACTATTTCGATGAACGCTTACGATTGATGCTTACAAGCGCAACCCCTACCACGCTGTATTCAAGTTTTTGAACTTTCGCAGAATTTAACGTCTTACGGTAATAAATACGATGTACATTGTACATGTCCATAATTATGTAGATGTCGATTCATAGGAGCACGCCATAAGAGCAGATTCATTTGTTCGACGTCATTCCCTCTTTATTGTCTATGGAATGTCGAGATGCCACGAGAAACGGATACATTGACATTTATTTAAAAAATATAACCGAAAAAAAGGCAGCGGCCGCCCACTCGTTGAAATCACCGACCAAGGCTGAAAGACTCGACCGGGCGTTCGAACAAGACACGACGAAAAAAGTGACTCGAAATTTTCGACTCGATTCACAATGTGCGCTGCTGCCTCCTCCTCGTGTGCCTGCACACGGGAAACAAAAATATTTCCGCGGACAATTATAGAGGTAAAAAACAACAACGACGACTCTGACAACAACAAACAAGAGATCGCGCCAAAATTATCCGTAGCAAATATATATAAACGCGTATATTATTATTGTATGCGACCGAAAACTCGCTAATAAGATAATGACGCAGTCCCGACGTGTGCTCGTGTGAGTTGGTATATATATTTATATTATTGAATGTATATATCGTTATGCCGAGCCGAAGGTCAAGCACCGAAAATAATCCCAATATCTTTCTTTCTTTCTCTCCTTTTATTTTATTCTCTCATAGCGTCACATCCGGCACGAATTCATCCGGCATTATTATAAATTCATTGCTAGGATCGAATTGCAGACACCATCAACCGAATGTATACTGGCACTTTTCTATCATAACGCGCATACATATATAGAGGTATTACATATCTGCACCGTGGAGCCGCTCGCACTCGCGCGATTTCCAAGGTTCAAACACCTTTTTTCACGGCTATCGTTGCGGGAGATCTTTCAAATTTTTTCTTCTTTCTCTCTCTCTGACTTGGCTATGTTTATGTACCATTCTCGAATTCCAGGCGGTTTTATACATGCACATGCGTGGCGTGTGCATGCAGCTTGGCGCACAGAGCTCGAGAGCCGCAGCAGCGCAATGTATTATTCAACTCTTGCGTTTTGTGAGCCTCAACAAGGAGTTATAAGAGAAACAAGAAGAAGAAGAAGAAGACGAAGAAGCGATGCCCTAAGCTTAGCCAAGCGAGACTCGCAAGCGCGCAATTCTCTCGTGCGCTGTATATATACCTTATAGGATGTGCGCGTAGATGCACTTTTCGTCTGACAGCTGAAGCAACAGCGGCGGCGAAAAAAAATGATAATCGCTGCTGGACACGCTACGCGTGTGCTCGCAGCTCGTCTTTTTTTTTTTTTTTTTTTTATCTTTTTTTACCATTAATCATTAAACTTATACTCCCGCAAGCAGTGCTCGAAGCCTGCCTCCTCAATTCACGGTCAAGCGCAATTGCGGCTTTGTTTTCTCATTTCGGTCGAAGCGCGCTAATTGGATTTTTTCTCGTTTTATACGCGGGCACGCAATAAGGCGCAAAGATACGCGATAAATTCACTCGAGCACACACTCGATACAATGTGTATATATGCACATGAAAGAATCGAGCAGTGGCTGCGATTGAGACGCGCGCGAGCCCGAACAAGAATATTTCGCAAACGATCGGCCGAGAGTGAATCACGCGGCTCGCAGGTGAGCGCAGCATCTCGTATGCACATGCGTTTTAAAATGAAAAAAAAAGAAAAAGGAAAAAAAAATTCTTAAGTGCTTCTTTATATTATACATACGCGCGCGCGTTAGACTATGGGCTTGCCAAGGTGACGCAGAGCACGCATGCAAAGAGACAATATATACATGGCACGATCGTAAAAGCGCGAATTCTATCGTTACTTTGAAACGCATTGCTTACTAAGCACACGGGTCCAAGCGTGCATACGCTTACGCGCGTACATATATATTGGGATAATGTAATTTTTGTCGACGGGTATAAGGGTACCTTATCTTCTTGGACTCGGCTGTGCGCGCGTATCACTTCGAATGCTGCTTATACTCGACGTCGTTGAACCCGAGAGAGAGAGAGAGAGAGCGCAAAAAAAACTTAACAAACTGGTATTAGGACAATGACAGCTATAACACGAACGCCGAAGGCGACTTTCTCGGAGCTTGGCTATGCAGACGCGTGCGTCTGTATGTACAAGCCACTGCGTGGTGAGTCATATTGTATTTGACATGTACCCGATATAGGCATGCCGATATATATGTGCATTATCGTTTACCGATGTGGTTCATTTTGCTGCGTACACGTTGTATCGCGCGGTGTGCAGCTGCGCTATTCGAAGGACTTGTATGCGGGATTTGCCGGTGCGTCTAAGTGAGAGCTTTGTTAGGTTTGTTCCCAATAATGTTTCAATTCTGGTCTCTTACCCATCGAAGCTTTTATCGATTGTCAACATGACAATGTTGCCAAGTTCACGATTATCCTAGTGCAATTGTCAATAAAAACCACTTCCATACCGATTTCCTAATTTACACTTCACTTTTTTGTCACTCGGCTGTTATTCTATTTTCTCGTCCTATTTACCGAAACGCACGAACAATAATTAAAACGATGAACTGTAACTAATAATTACGTATCGTCGAGAGGCAGAAATTTGCTTGAACACACACGCACAACGCCGGTGGCGGCATTTGTCGCCGATCGATCGAGCGATCCGCGTGCAGCTACAGCAGCCGCGAGGCATCGAGGTTGCGTTGGATATAAGCGCGCCGCGAGAAATGACTCTCTTTTCCGAGTCTCTCAGCTTTTTGCAGCAGTAGCAGCAGCAGCAGCAGCAGCAGCAGCAGCAGTAGAGGTAGTAGTAGTAGTAGTACCGTCCGCAAGAAATAGAGACAGCGAAAGAGAGGAAGAGGTTTTCGAGGATGATGATGGTGGGGCTTTACTGGTACGCACGTATACACATACACGTTCTCTTTTCAGCTACGTATAAATGTGCGCACACACACAATCACGAAGGTACACACCAAGTCCCGGCAGGAAAAAAAAAGATAAAAGAAAGAAAGAGAGCTGCAAGTAGGAGGCGGTTGTTGTTTGGGATATCCTTTTTATCGCTAAGGATATACACACCGCAAGCGAGGACTCGTGTATATATAGTGGCTTTGTTGCAACGCAGCTACAAGTCGGGCGAGAGCCGCACAGGATCTGCATTCAGTACATTACGTTCGTGTAACTACTCCCGTTTTCCATGTGTAGACACACTCACACGCGTATTGCATTCGACATAATTCGTTTGTTAAGCATAAGCCTCTTTTCGTATGATTAGAAGCGATACATTTGGAAAAATAAACATTTTCGAATACGGAAATCAGTTGAATTTCCTGCTGCCAAAGGCGAATCGGTTCCTCGATATATATAAGACGGGTATTTTCTCTTATATGCTAACTGAATACACTTAGGAGAGGAGCGAGCTGAAACGAATGAGCTACGATAAACAATCAATTTCGCAACTAACGCGTAATTATAATACTGACCTATTGAAAATCTGCGGTGCGAGCAAATTTACAATTCCGACTTTTTCTTTATGCCAATAAGGAAAAATCGTTGAGATTTACGCATGGAAATACTGATTGCTTCTCTACCTCGCTTCATATAGTCTCGTACACACTTTCTTCGCTGGTAACAACGTTATATGTACAAAAAAAAATTTATCCATCAGCTCGGGCTATTAAATCTTAGTCTCGTTGCAAAACTCCAGTTGTATTTATACATGCGCGTGTGTTTATACGCGTGTGCACGAATGCGCGTGGACGTAACACGCGTCTTCTAATCGTTAATTTATTCGCACCAACACCTCTGCTACTGCTGCTGCTAGGAGCGATGCGAGAGAGCGAGACTGATGTTATATGTTTATTATATTATATACGTGCATAACACAAAATAAGTCATTACGCTCGATTTGCTCCATGCGCCACGAACTGCGCCTGATGATTATGATTTCCGCGGTCTATGCAACAGTGAAACGATTATCTTCCTAAATCCAGCTACTCTTTCAAGCGATTACTTCGACACCGTAACGTTGCAGAACGATGTCTCTTTCAAACGGTCATTATCAGTCAGAAATATCTATGAATGAGTAAAAATTTTATTTACTTTAGCACGAGCGCGCCTCGAACCCATGTGTTTCTTCCTCGCAGTAACTGTTTGAACTTTTTGGCTTTTGCCAAAAAAATAGCACATAAGCAGATAAAACCTTCATTCGTTATACCAAAACAAAGTCAAGTAAAAACAATTGTAACCACCACTTTGAACAACGCACTGCTGAATTATTTTCACTCGAAGTAAGTTAATATATTCTTGATTGTTACGATCTCTTATACAACTGGACTGGCAGAAGCAGCATCAACGAAGCAGAAGCTCGATATTTCTATAATGCAACGTGCTTGGCAATATTATTGTAACGCGCGTGTTAGTGTACAGCCCGGGATATACGCGTACACATTAAGTATATGGATAGAGAGTGATAGAGACCATGAAACGGCGCGAGAAAAGAGAGTGGGAGGACCCGGGGGTGTTCCGACTCTTGCTATATATATTTATGCATATACCGCAGCCATTAACGCGAACTTTTACGCGCGAGATTATTGGGAAAAGCGACGTAAAGTCAGGGCCACCGATGATGCCAACCCAAAACCACGCGTAAAGACCCAACGAATTCATGAGAGAAGGAGAAAAATGACAATCGTCACTCCACGGGAACAATAATCGTTTCGTCATTTTATGTTCAATGATTCGCTGTCAAGGTTTTATTATTCCATTAAAAAGTTTCAAAAAGGTATTAAAATAAAAAATTGGATGCATTTTACATGGTTACAAGGGGATCGTCATCGTTCTTGGAAAAAACAACTTCGACGTCGTCGTCGAGAGCCTCCCGGATTTTTGCTGCGTAAACGTCGCGTAAATAGCCTCGCTCGGAGTTTGAATGATTCGTCAGGATAACGTGAGATCCTTGATGTATGGCGTCCAGTACCTCGTGATGCGACATTTCACCGGTCAGATAGAGATCGGCTTTGGTGCCAGCGAGAATCGATGCACCTGAGCCGGCACACACGGCAACCGTACGGATTTCGCCATCTGTAATTAAATGCAAGTAAAATGAGACGCCGTAGCAGAAAAAAACGTTGAATCGTTTATGTACGTCGCGAAACGGCGTAAAGCTTACTGGAATCCGATGGAAAGGCCACGAGCACGTTATGGAGTTCGCAATGCTTTTTCACCCTCTGTACGGCGTCTTGGAGGTTGATTTTGCTCTTGAGATCGCACAGCCTTCCCGGACCGATTGACGGGCCAAACGTCGGCTGAACCGGCGTGGAATCGGCGATGTCGAGTGCTGACGCCAACCAGTCATTAACTCCGCCTTCGATTGCGTCGAGGGCCGTATGAGGCGAGTACAAGGCTATTCTGTTTTCTAAACACCGGGCCACGATTCTCTCCTGCAAACGTTATAACGTGAAACTAGAACGATCGAGTCACGGAGTTGCCTTTTTTTTTTTACTGGACTCTCAGTAAATCGTATCCATACCTTCCAGTTATTGGTGCAAATCGATTTCAGTGCTTTGAAGATCGGTGGATGGTACGAGATAATCATGTCAGTTTTGAGCTTCAGGGCTTCTTGCATCACCTCCTCCGTTAGATCGTTAGTCAGTAAAATGTGTTTGACCGTTTTTGCTTCGGTCGGTTCGATGAGTAGACCAACGTTGTCCCACGACCCTGCATACTTGGGATGCGCATATTCTTCAAGTACCCTGACGATCGATTTCAAAGACCGACCAGACCGTTTTGCTGATGCGAATGTTGGCAGCATGGTTCATTCAATATCTAAAATAATAGTGTTTATATTGTACGTGTCAAACTAGTACAATCGTTTACAATTATATTTTAAATTAATGAAGAATGGAAAGTTATATTTGCTACAAGGTAAACTAGAAAATAAAATGAAAATAATTAAAAATATCTATTTTCAAAGGAAATGGGAGGGAATAATTATTTAAGAAATCTTCAATTTTAGAAAATAAAAATAAAATAATATATTTTCTCTCAGTATAGCGTTTAAAATTATATACATCAATTTTTAAATTATTATGTACACGTCATAACTTTTTAACAATTTAATCACTATAAGACCACAGCTTAACAGTTCCATCGTCACTACAAGAAGCTATGAGGCCTGGAGTCACAGGATTCCATTGAGAACAATTGACATCTTGAGTGTGCGCATTATCCAATTTGCAAACTAAGCTAAAAGTTGGTTGATGTACGTCGGAATCATCTTCTTCGCGGAAAACTCGAATTACATCATCACCACAGGAAGTCACTATTAGACCTGTTAATTTACACCAATCTACGTCATATACTGTTCTGGAGTGGTAACCAGACAAAGTACAGACACATTTCCAAACAGGCTCATTATCCGGTGTGGGTATACCCATCTCATTGCCAGACTCATATTGGTGCCATATTTTCAAAGTTTGATCGTCACTGCAAGTAACTAACCTGTTACCTGTTTTATCGAAAGACAAACTCCAAACAGTCGAAGTGTGGGATGCAAGAGTGGCAACACAGATAAAATCACTGCTAGAAGTGTCTTCTTTGAAAATCTTTACAGTATCATCGTAGCTGGCTGAAGCAAGGATATCCTTTTCTGGATGCCATCTTACCTACAACGATTTATGTATTTAGATGTAAAAATAAAAGTTTTTAATACACTAATAGAAAAATAATTCTATGATATACATGGAGTGACACCTACCTTTTTGACATCTTGAGTGTGTGCATTAATGACAGCTGCACATTCGTAATCATCATCAGTAACTTCCCAAACCCAAACAGATTTGTCTCTGCTACAAGTAGCTAATAATTGCCCACTCGCTGACCAGCTAATACTTTTTACTTCATTTTCATGACCTTCTAATGTTGTATTGCACTCAAATTGTCCAGATTTTTGATCCCAAATTGCAACAGTAGCATCAAAACTACAAGATGCTATGTAATTGCCACAAGGAGACCAAGACACCTCCCTAATAGTTCTACTGTGACCTTCGAGCAGTATGCTTTTTATCACCCATTTGGATTTATCATGCATCCATATTCTAATCGATTTATCTTCACCGCACGAGGCTAAAGTTTCTCCAGACGGATGCCAACAAACGTTCCACACTCTGCCTTTGTGTCCTTCTAATGATTGTATGAGTTCTAATACACCCATTTTTATCTGAAACAAGAATATAGAAATGAATTTAATTTTTGTGACAGAACTCAATACTGCATGACACAAAAGCAGAGTGTCTGTTTTTTTTCTTCAAAATAATATCAGTATCGCAGAAGATGGGTAATAAGTAGTGATTATCAATGTTTTATCAAGAGTATTAAAAATGATGAAAACATTAATATTTAATTATGAGTACTTATTAAAAGATATTTTGAGATTAAAGTAATTGGTTATGATGTGAGATGTACACAACAAAAGAAAATTTGGGATACTTTTTTAAAATAAATTTAAAACAAAGTTTTTGATTTGTAGGAAAACTATGAGGAATATTGTTTTATATTTTTTTCCATAATAATCGCATTTCTCATATAAAATTGAACTTCCATGCCAGTAAGAACGATCGTGTAGAGGTTATGGAAGAAGTCAAAAATCGAACGTTTTCAAGCTTTATAAGGAAAACACTTGAAAAACACGAGGATAAAATACTTTGACAGAAACGATGAATGATATTAATCTATTTCATTTATTGTAATGACTAAATGTGTATTTTGTAAATAGCAATTTGAATGAAAATTACCTTTGTCTGGTTATCTCTCAATAGAATAAAACGTAACTCGTTGCTTATCTCAAAACTTATGTATATAACTTCTATAAAAAAAATCTAAGTCAGAGATGTATAACGAACTCTTGACACTGTAACTGAGTCAGCATTGTGGCACTTACATTACCATACTATGTAATAATACTTCATACGAGAGGCCGCCTCGGCGCAGCAGCACATGGTCTGCGTGTGGCTAGTTCGCGCGCGCGCAGATCAAAATTTATGAAAAAGTGCGTGTATACACGAGTTAGGTAAGAAAGTAAGTAGCAACCACATATAGCAGCGGCGAAGCTACAATCGACTATAGACGGGAAGGGAGAGTAGCAGAACTATATATCGCACTTTTTAACAGTCGCCGCTGCTTCTAGCAGTCCGTACAAAATCGCGTATTCGGCTGATGGATTGTTGCCGCTCTGCTCTCGGCCCTTAAACTTGTTTTTTTTCTGTCGTTTCATGTGTCGTGTGCCCGTTTAGATAGACGAACGCGTGCGGCGTTACATGAGCGTTGTCGATGTGCCATTGAACTTTTTTTCCAATTTTCAAGACTTTCAAAAAATCGTCTTCTTTCTCAAGAGACTCTCAGTTTACTTTATCTCTTTTTCGTGTGTGGGTGCAGAGAATAACTTTTGCGCTAACAGGACACCAATCATCAGCTGCCGCTTCGCCGCTCATAAGCTTTATCTCGTCTTCGAATGGACAATCATTTTTTCAGTCACTAATTTGAAAACGGGACATATTGTTTTCAAGGGTGCGTACACAATCTTTCATTGTCACTTTACTGCCGAGCCAGGGTAAAGGGTTTTTACTCGAGAAAGGATCAACACTGGCCTTATAGGGATAACCTCGAAGGTTCGCCCACTATGTGTAATATATGTGCGGTGTGCCGTACACATTTAGATCCACCTGTGCAGGAGATGTGCGCGTGATTTTTAGGAGCGTGTGCCGCTTGTGAAACATTCAAGCTATAATGTTATTTTAATCAACGTTGCTCATTATTGCGTATACACGGGGAATTCAAAATCGTGCGAGTTCCTACTAATGATGAATCTTTTCATTTTGCTGTACGATGGTGATTCACGGGTGTTCCTCAAAGTTATTTCAATGCGAAAATTGCAAAAAGCTGGCCCATTTGAACGAGTAAAATAACTTTGAGAGAGCGCAATTGCCACTTGAAATTAGCATGCCACATAAAAGCGCGACCGCGCCGATCGAGAGCGATGCAACAGGCGATGTTTATAAACAAATTTTGAATCGCCTTTATTGACAAACGAGCTACTCGTCCCGTATAGCAGGTGAATTTTATCACAGCGTCAATAAATAAGCTCGATATAAATTGCAAATGAGTCAATATAGTTTCATCGAATCTGATTTTTAGGAGCACATTCATGAGAATAAGTGTATACTCGATGAAAATAATCATTCGTGTAGATAATGAATTGTGTGCAAGTTTATACACACGCATTGCACTGCAACTCTATTATATGCAGTGCACAAATGTTTTTTCGTAGAAATCACGCGGTCATACGATACAAGCCGCGACGATCATATAATACTTGGCGTGTGCACGCACATGAACAGCTCATTGCATTATATTCCACGCGATCTGCGTCTATGTAATACGAAATCGCCACTGTTACAGTATCCAATCTCGATTTTCACGTCGCATCGCGTTCGCCATTATTTCAGGGAAATTTTCTCGATCGATGCGGTTTTTTGTGCCAACATACACTACGGCAGTAGAGACAAAAAAAATCCATCGATGTACCGCGAGCTCACGCGCTCGTACGATGTACCGCTCTTTTCTGAACTCTATCGCGCGTCATCGTTGTACCGCTAATGTTGAAGTTGACACGTTGCCTATCTTTCTTTCTTTTTTTAGGAAAAAAGTCGTCGGCGCTCGATACGTATACAAAGCGAGAAGTGCTGGTTTCGCGTTCCGGCCCTGCTCCGATACGCTCCGTTTTCGAGTCAAAAGAATGAATAAAGAGCTTTATGGAGCTCCGATCTAGTTTCGTACACGACTATAATGCCATGCGTGGCCTTGAGCGGGGGGCCTGCGAGCTGCTTCGCAACTACACACGTGGATATACACACGCCTTTTTTTCGCGAAATAATAATCGAGACTCGCTTTGGATGGCACTTATGAACATCGATATGTCTCGAAATATAATAAGATATAGTCCAATAGAGATTGTGTGTCTGTGTGCGTATATAGATGTATTAATCGAATCGAGTCGTCAGGTCAATAAAACGACGCGGCGAGGCCTTTTACACGCTCGATACGCGTGAGCCTCGTTTTTTTTTATATAAACCTGAACTGCTTTATTTACAGTAGTTCAGGAGAACTGACTTATGTACCTGTTTAATATACACTTCGAGTGGTTGTGTCTAGGTCTTCTATGAGTGTATCGCGTGTAGGAAAACAGTCGACGTTTAGTCGGGAGTACGAAGAGACACTCGTACGATATCATATATTACACGACTCACGTGCTTCTTTATAATTTATACTCATGGATAATGCAGAAAAATTGCCGATAGTTCAAGGATGAATTTTGCGACTCGTTTCCGCGAAAAGAAATGTAAAACTTTTCACTAAATACATCTTTTACGTCACGAAGATTCGTATTGCGATGACTGAGTGAGACATCGCGTGTAAGAGATAACGATTAGTCAAATAGTGTCGTGAACATTGTTATCCGTGATATCTAAAACAATACGCTTAGTCGTTCGTTTGAGAATTTCATTCAACATATAGTGATCAGGTTCTTTTAGTGCTTGTTCGAGCAGTTCGTGGACAGTGACATTGTCTCGGATGCTAGTTTTCAAAAATTCTGCTAATTGGTGCATAAAACTATCGATAATTCGTTGGTAAAAACTTTTAAGAATTATGCGACAAAAACGATTTTGTTTCGTTTAATAATCATATGGAAATTTTCGTAATAATTGTTATGCAGCTTAATCTAGTAATTTTTATCATTTCAGATAGGAATTTTTCTTTAAAGCGTATAAAAATACATTAATTGCAGTTTTTTTTTTCATTGGCAATTTTATCAACACGAATTATTCTTCATTAAAATTAATCAATCTTATTCGAGCTGTACGATTAATTAATCGTATTTAAACCGTATGATTTTAGTTTGAGTTCTCGTGAGACAAAATAGTGTTGAAAACGCACAGAATGCCGTCAGGATTCGCAGTACGCTCGTCGACGAGGCACGTCTTCGAAGAGGACATAAGATGGCTCGAGGACATGCCCGAGGGTGGTGACTTGGAGAAGTATCGAGCCTCCGCCTCGTTCTCTTGGAAAAGATTGCGAATCTTAATGGAGGATCCAGACAGAATTCGTTTCAAGGTATTTATCGTGTGTGCGCGGGTTATTTTAAGTTTTGGTAAAATAACGATTCTACTCGTTTGATTAGATGCAAGTGTGGAAAGCGATGGAAGCCGATCCGGAATTTCATCCCCCAAACGGCATCACCAAGAGCGCCGACGAGCAGAAGCGACGAGCAGCCAGACAGCTGGCCCGACTGCATCATCAAGTATTTTTACCCGACAACATCATCAACCTGAACTACAGCATCAAGACCGGCTACATGATGGCACTGAACGAGGCCACCTGCCTCGTCGACCCGACTCTCTCCGTAAAAATAGCCATCGGCATCTACCTGTTCAGCAACACGATACTGAGCCTCGGCACCGAGCGCCACTTGCCCATCTTCCACGACGTCTGGAACAAGAAGCTGCTGGGTTGCTACGCCCTCACCGAGGTCGGTCACGGCAGCAATACCAAACTGATGCGCACAACCGCCACCTACGAGCCGGACAGTCGCAGCTTCGTCCTTCATACGCCGGACTTTCAAGCTGCCAAGTGCTGGGTAGGCAATCTGGGAAAAACAGCCACCGTGGCGATCGTGTTCGCGCAGCTCATCACCAAGAACGAGTGCCACGGTCTGCACGCCTTCATCGTACCGGTCAGAGATCCGAAAACGTACTTCACCTATCCCGGCGTCATAACCGGCGATCTGGGCGAAAAGCTCGGCCTCAATGGAATCGACAATGGCTACATTATGTTCAATAACTATAAAATACCGAAGGAAAACCTGTTGAATAGAACGGCCGACGTGACCGACGATGGTGACTACGAGAGCTCGTTCTCCGATCCTCAGAGAATTTTGGGTAAGTTATTTTGATTGTCGATTGCTCAAAATATATAGTCTCGTTGTAATTGAGCCCTTGCGCAGGTGCCGTTTTGGAAAATTTGTCCGCTGGTCGAATGGGAATTTGTCAAGAATCGACCAACAGACTCGGAAAATCTGTCGTCATTGCCGTGAGGTATGCTGCGGTGAGAAAACAGTTCGTCATGACGCCATCGAACGATGTTGCTCAAGAAACCCCAATTATCGAGTACGAGCTTCACGTAAGTCAAATCGGTCATCAATTTTCGATGCTTTATGTGTCCATATTTTATCAATTACAATTACTTTTTTCAGCAATGGAGACTTTTCCCCTACATGGCTGCTGCTTGCGTTATAAAAATTTTTATGTCAGAATTTACGCACGTATATTTAGATAATGTACAGAAATCTATGGAAGGAGCTAACATTCCAAATCTTGTAAATCAAATTTTTTCATAATGGTAACGTTTCGATTAGATTTGAATTTTATGATAATTGTGAATATTCAATTTTTAGAGCCAATTAGTGCCAGAAATACACAGTATTGTTTCTGCTATAAAACCTCTAATAACGTGGACCTGTCGAGATTCTATTAGAGAATGCAGAGAAGCTTGCGGTGGTCACGGATATCATAAAAGTAAAATTAAAACCTCTTCAATATTAAATTTTATTTCTCTTTTAAACTGATGCATCATTTTTTTATATATCGTAGCCGCTGCCTTGGGTGACATGGGTGCCAACCATGAACCTACTGTATCCTATGAAGGTGACAATAATGTGCTTGTTCAGCAAACCAGTAACTGGATACTCCGTCAGTGGAACGAGTACAGAAGTGGATCGACAGCAGTTAGTCCTTTAGCTTCCGTGAGCTTTTTGGCCGACGCTCCTGCCATATTGCGCAAGACTTTTGATTGCAGGAGACAATCTAGACTAACCATTGATTGTTAGTATGCTTTAACCTTATTTAAAATTGATGAAAAAGAATAGTGAACTAATTTCCTGATCGTTATTTAGTTGTCCGCGAAGCATATGAATGGTTGATAACGCGACTTGTAGCAGACACACAACGTCGTTACGATCAAGAAATCTCTAGAGGCGCAAGTACTTTCGAAGCTCGAAGCAAATCTCAGGTTTATCGAGCCGCTAGTCTCTCTAAGGCTTACGGAGAATTTATTATTTTGCACTATTGCATGCTAAGAATTAACAAGTTGGTACCAAAAGACAATGAAGCAAAAGGTCTGTCTAATGTACTTGATAAATTAGTGATGATGTACTCTTTGACCCGACTTGAAAAACATATGGTTACTTTTTATCAAGGTTTGTACACATTTTTTTAGCATAAAATAATGTCATTATAGTGGGGGCCTAATATTGTAAATTACGTTGCAGGTGGATATTGCACTGGTCCGCAAATGGCAAATTTAGTTAAAGAAAATATTTTGCTTTTGTGTGCCGAATTAAAACCAGAGGCTGTTGCCATAGTAGATGCTTTAGCTCCACCAGATTTTGTATTGAATTCTGTTTTAGGAATGTCTGACGGAAAAGTAAGCTGTCGTTATTTCTAAAAAATTCTTATATTTATAGATATTTCAATTTAAAAAATTCAATATTTTTCAGGTATACGATCGACTTGAAAAAGCTTTCCGCTGTTATCCTGGAGGATCGGAAAGACCAAGTTGGTGGAGTGAATTATTAAATGTAGCTGACAAACCTTTAACTGTACCAGTTTCGAAGCTATGACGAGACAAATTGAGCTGAACTTAATTGTGCTGAAAACAATCATTCCCTTTTTACATAGAAATTTTATCGTGCTTTGAAAGCATTTTATACGTAACGATAATTTTTTTTATTTTTTTGATGTATGAAATATTTATATCTGATTTTTATCAAGTTGGTACAATCAAATGAATTTTTTCTAATATTGAAAGTACTATCTTTAGACTGTTAGTAGTATGCAAGCCAATGCGTGTGATATTTGTAATTGTATAATTTATAAACCTGTTGAATTTCGTTCTACTTGGACAAAAATTCTATACCTTGAGATAAATGTGCAGTGTATATATAAAACTATATAGCCAAATTTCTGATTCATTGGCTTTTGTAACTTTTTTACATAAAAAATCTTTTTACCATTTATTGTTCAATGACTCATTACAATACCATCCTCTTTTTTCACAATTCCAATTCATATAACTATTAAATTGTGAAGATTACTGCAACTTGCGTAATATTGCGATTTTCAAAGAATTGAAAAATCAATAAAAATATTGATGAATAATAACTAAGAAATCGAAATATATTTTTTAAATTCCAGCGACTCTTGAAGGATATGAATTTTTACAAAATAATAGAGATCTTTGTAATTATGATCTCTTTCACTCGCAGATACATATTTTTAACATATCCTACCTTCTACAATTTCGAAATTAATAAAACTATCTCGCTATGTCAGCAATGCTTTACACACGGTACACGAGAAACAATTGAATCTCGAGACAAAAACGCGCGAGCTTACATCGCAAAGTAAATACTTTTATTCTCAAAGGTCCATGAACTCTACCGATTCAAGTTTGCAGGTGTGATGCATCGTAATTTCGCAACGACTTTATACAAAATGTGACAAACTTCCGGAAAACAGCCGGATAACAAACAACAATGTATCGAGATCCGGAGTATTTAAATATGATATGCGGAGCGAGGAGTCAAAGCAATCGAGTGTCAAGATGAAGTGCGCTACAACGTTACCATTTTTACTTTTTGTACTCTCCGGGCAATTATTAATAGACCTCAGCGAAGCTCATTCTTACTCGTTGATCAATCCCTTTCAACGAAATCCTTACAGACATCCGAGGAGCTGCTGCAGACACTCTAATTGCGGCTGCGGCAAACTTGCGTCAGTATACAAATTTTAATAATTTTTTTTCTTCGCCTAGGTCTTCGCGACTTAAAAAAGTGATATAATTTTACAGAACCCATAAGCAATATTATGTGCCGGTACCACAACCAGCCCCTTGCAGGGTTGTAAAGTCTCTAAAGCCACAACAATTTACCGAAGTCGTATACATCGACGATAAGAGCACTTGTTGCAACCAAAATCCAGCAGACTGCAGTACTTGCCAAGTTCAACCCTGTCCTTGCGCAACCAAGTCATGCCGACAAACCGGTAACATTTGCGCTGGTAAATGTAATCCTACAGCTTGCGATGTTTGTCAGCCAGAGCCAACGATTTGCTCGAATCAAGGCCTATCGACTTGTGGGTGCGAATGTCATCAGGGTAATCGAATGGTCAGACGATCTGTAGATTATGTTAAAGATGAAGAGCAAGTACGTACACATTTTAGAATACTTTTAAATGGGCTACGAATTGAAGCTAAAAGGAGTATTTAATTATTTTTACAGGATGCCATACCAGACCCAAAACGTTTGTACGTGGTCTACGATTCCGAATCATCGAAAGCAGAAGAAATGCCCTCGGAAAAATTTGTGCAAAAACGCAGTGAAGAAGCCCCCGTACAGTTTTTTGAGGAAAGAGCGGAGCAACCACGGCCCGTTTATCAGCATCAACAACTTCAAAATTCCCAGTCGCCGCTGAAAGTGCGACGAATTTTGCAAGTAGTTCAGCCAGGCGATTCCGAATATCAGGAAGTAGTCGAAGCATACGAGGAGTCCAGCGATGCCGATAGTAGTCAGGTTACCGAGATCAAACCCGCAGCATACAAATTGGTCTTGAGAAATGCCAACGGGGACGATATTTTGGTCGACGCTGACAGCGCAATTGTCGAGGACGAACCCGAACAAAAGGAGATTCAGGACATGACAATGGCAACCCCGTCGATGGTACGCGTTCAAAAAGTTGAAGTGCCAGCAACGAGCACCGCCGCAACGACGTCCGAAGAAACAACGACGCGAACGGCATAAAGTTATATTAAATTGTTATCATTCTTTGAATTTATTTCGCAAATTTTTATTAAAATAATATAATGTTTCATGCGGAATATCTATATGTGAAAGCTATATCATTTGTAAATGAATATTAATATATTTTTATATTATTGATATAATTTTCAGTTCTTCATTTATTTTGCACATTCTCTTTAAACTTTCGTTCGGGTGAATTTTTTTAATATCACATATAACATGTCAGCAAGTATGGTTTTGACATTAAGTAGAGCAAATACATCGTGCAGACCCAGCGAAATTCCACTGGCCTAATTGCAAAGAGTGTTTTTTATGACACGATAAACTACCTACGTCTCTGTGTGTTTACAGTAATGAATAACGAAATATTTCGAATAAAATCGGCTATAAAAATGCGCGTTTCTGGAAATGATTGAATTTGTCTGCGATTAATTACTTTGAAGGATGGCCTCATTTTTTTACTCAACTTTAATTACAATAATTTCAGCCCACTGAATTGCAAGCAACAATAATTTTCATCAATGAATAAACTTCATTTGAAAAAATCCTCACAATCAATTGCAGCTTACAAGAAAACTAGATCGTTTTCTCGAAATTTTCTTATGAATCTCTGACTAAAAATTCTACATCTCGTCACCAAAAAAATTCAACTACTTGTGAATCACATAAAAATGCATTGATAAAGGCGATTATCAAGTATCACTCTCACACTATGAGATAAAGATGCTTTCTTTGCTGTAGTTATTATCAAATTTTGCGTGAGATTATGGTTCTTTTGAATCTCACGATCGTGACGAAATATTCAAAAACAAATTACTCAAGTTTGTGCATTTGATAATCAATTAAGATGAGAGCCTTACAATCAACCTAGAATTTACAAGTATAAAAGAGTCTTTGCAACGACGATTTTGCAGAGTGAAGCATAGACGGTTGACAAAAGAAATCAGCATGCGCCACGTTCTTGTCCTTTCTGTTGCAACGCTTTTGTGCGTTTTTGATTTCGGCAGTGCACTGCCTCATTTGCACTGTTACCAGCACTATGGTTCAGATTGCGATTATTCGGAAGTCCCAGACGATGGAGTTGTTCCAGGAGGTCTAGGAGAACTGGAAGATTGCGAAGTTTACGACCCCAGAAAATCTGATTTAGAACAGGAATGTCGCGAACAAGGATACGAATATTGTATCGACAGGGCGGATCTGATCAAACAAGGAATCAAAATCTGCGGCGAAGGTTCGAGCAAGGACGCATCTACAAACACAGAGAAAAAAGGCAAATCGAAAACAGAGAGGCGCAGATGTCATTGCAATTGCAATAAAAGGAAACCAACAACGACTACGACTACGACAACGACTACTACTACGCCAGCACCAAAGACTTCTGGTTCTACTGGTAAATCAGAATCGAAAACTGATGATGATTGTGACTGTGAAAAAATCTGTGGAGACTGTAAGGGTTGTAAAATTTGCTGCTGCAAATGCTAATGTTAACATGTATGTACATATCGAACATTGTTAATTATGGCTTTGTAACTAAAATATTGAAAAATAACTTTTCAATTAAAAAAAAGTAGGCATTTGAATTGTAGTGAAATCAATTTAAGTAGGAGATTGTAATTTTAAAGTATAAATATTGATCTCAATGAATCAAAAAAGTATGTAAATGTTTATTGATTGGTATATTTTTGCTTTCAAAAAATATACTTTCATCAATACATTAAAAAAAAATCTTTGTACGCCATTTAATGGTGAAGTATCATCATTAATAATAAAATACCACTATTACAATGCAATTATAAAAATTGACTAAATTTTTCTTTACGATCCAATTTCTCCATTTACTTAATATACAACAATAAAAAAATATCTATGAAGTCATTTCATATGCTTCTTTTGGTGCTCTCAAAAATAAATTTGTTTTCATAATAAAATTTAATTCTTTAAAATTATATTTCCGTGATTTTGAATTTTTCATTTGATAAATCTTTTTCAGCCAAAAATTTTTCATTCGTGAAGCAATGTTTGAAAAATAATTTAAACTTTTTACATGTACTTGCAATCATTCCGTGTAATCCGAAAATTGAGTGAGGAAGTAAATTTCAACGTTAAAGTGCCAAGCGGCACCTCTCATATGTTATTATTAAAACGTGCGTGTGCGATTCACCTTTACGTCTAAATTAATCGTGACCATCCGATAAACATTATAACAATTTTCGAATACTTGAGCGAAATATTGTAAAATGTTTCTCATTCCAAAGTGTTTAAATATGATTGTCGAGAAAAATTTCATTTTAATGTTGTAAATCTTGCTTGTTCGAAATGCGCTTGGTTCTCTTTACGGCGCTTTTAAGCATTGGACTTGTTCATGCAAGTCCAATTTTAAAATCCTATGTGAACAAAGATAATTTGTTTCGAGCTAAACGCCAGATAATTAATTGTGACGATGCGAGCGTTTTTGGTGATAATAGTGAGGTGATAATTTCAGATGGGCAGATTTACCCAGGCTCATATTATGGCAACACTCGCGGGTTAATAAATGATCAAGAGATAACAAATAAAAAGTATGAGTATTGCATTGATAAAAAAGACCTCGAGCAAAGGAAAGTGAAAATTTGCGGTGAATCATCATCAGAAACGAGTGATGGATCAGATGGATTCATCTCTCGTACTAACCATGGTGTGAGTGATGAGACTAGTAATTTTTCAGGTGAGTGCTATGATAAAGAGATTGCATATGATAATGATGAAGTGATAATTAATTCTGAAGAGTCTAACATCCATGCAAACTGTGATCATAGCGATGAGGATGGCGATTTTAATACCGACGACGAAGCAGAAGGATCAGAATGTAGTAGTGAATACGATATCGCATCGGACGAACATTGTCATGAAAGCTCTGAAAAAACGTTAGATGAAAATGAAAGAAAACACAAAAAAGATGAGCAAAATGAAGATAATTCCAGAGATAAAGAAAAAAATTATAGTGATAACGAAAACAAAAAAAAAGATATTGCAACGCAAACGGATGAAGGTGAGGTGAGCTCTGATGGCGACCAGAAAGAAAAATACAACGGGGAAAAAAGTGAATCACAGGATGACAAAACGAGTAACAGAAAAAAAATACACGACGACAGGAGAACTGAAGAAGAATCAGATGAAAGAAGAAAAAGTACTCAAATCACTGAGAAAGATGAAAAAACTAAAGTGAGCAGTGATGAGATTAAAGATAAAAAGAAAAAAGATGACAAAAAGGAAGTGAATAATGATAGTAATAAAGATTCTAATGAAGATGAAGATGTTAAAAAAAAATTGAAGAATGACAACGAAAATACCAAAAAGGATAACAGGAAGAAGGTAAATGAAGACAGTACAGAAGATTCTGATGAAGATAAAGACGATAAGACAAAAGTAAACGATGACGATAAAAAAGTTAAAAGAGTCGATAAGAAAAAAGTGACTGATGACAGTACTGAAGATTCCGATGAAGATAAGGATGACAAGAAAGTAGTAAAAGACGACGATAAAAGTGCTAAAAAAGATGATAAGAAAGTTAAAAAGGGCGACAAGAAGAAAGTGGATGATGACAGTACTGAAGATTCCGATGAAGATAAAGACGATAAGAAAAAAGTGAAAGATGACGATAAAAAAGTCAAAAAAGACGATAAGAAAAAGGTGACTGATGACAGTACTGAAGATTCCGATGAAGATAAAGATGACAAGAAAGTAGTAAAAGACGACGATAAAAGTGCTAAAAAAGATGATAAAAAAGTTAAAAAGGGCGACAAGAAGAAAGTGGATGATGACAGTACTGAAGATTCAGATGAAGATAAAGACGATAAGAAAAAAGTGAAAGATGACGATAAAAAAGTCAAAAAAGACGATAAGAAAAAGGTGACTGATGACAGTACTGAAGATTCCGATGAAGATAAGGATGACAAGAAAGTAGTAAAAGACGACGACAAAACTTCTAAAAAAGATGATAAGAAAGTTAAAAAGGACGACAAGAAGAAAGTGGATGATGACAGTACTGAAGATTCCGATGAAGATAAAGATGACAAGAAAGTAGTAAAAGACGACGATAAAAGTGCTAAAAAAGATGATAAGAAAGTTAAAAAGGACGACAAGAAGAAAGTGGATGATGATAGTACTGAAGATTCCGATGAAGATAAAGATGACAAGAAAGTAGTAAAAGACGACGATAAAACTGCTAAAAAAGATGATAAGAAAGTTAAAACGGACGACAAGAAGAAAGTGGATGATGACAGTACTGAAGATTCCGATGAAGATAAAGACGATAAGAAAAAAGTGAAGGATGAGGATAAAAAAGTCAAAAAAGACGATAAGAAAAAGGTGACTGATGATAGTGCTGAAGATAAAGATGAAGATAAAGATGATAAGAAAGTAGTTAAGGACGACGATAAAAAAGTTGTAAAGGATGACAAGAAGAAAGTAAATGATGATGACAAGAAGAGGGTGAATGATGACCGTACTGAAGATTCTGTTGAAGATAAAGATGATAAGAAAGCTGTAAAAGACGACGAAAAAAAAGTAAAAAAGGATGACAAGAAGAAGGTTAATAATGACAGTACTGAAGATTCCGATGAAGATAAAGATGATAAGAAAATAGTGGATGATGACGATAAAAAAGTTAAAAAAGACGATAAGAGAAAGGTGAATGATGATGACAAGAAGAAGGTGAATGATGACAGTACAGAAGATTCTGTTGAAGATGAAGATGATAAGAAAGCTGTGAAGGATGACGATAAGAAAGTTGATGAAGATAGTGTTGAAGATGTATCTGATAAAAAGAATGTTGATAAGAAAAGCCAAGGAAAAGATGATGGGAAAGTTAAGAAAGACGACAAGAAGAATGCCAAGGATGACGTGGAAAACTCAAAATATAACGGAGAGAAAAGTAAATCTAAAGAAGATGATACAAGCGGTAACAAAAGGAAAATACATGACGACGGCATTACAGAAGAGGATTCTGATATCAGACAGAATAGTGATACAAAAAAAAACAATGAAAACACTGAAAAAGATGCTATAAGCGATGACAAAAAAATCACTAAAAATGATAAGAAAAATGGACAAAATAACGATAAAAAGGATATAGACAATGATAGTGCAGATGATTCTGATGAAGATAAAGATGATAAAAAAACAGTGAAAGGCGACGATGGAAAAGATAAAAAGGACGACAAGAAAAAGGGAAGTCATGACAGTTCTAAAGATTCTAATGAAGATGAAGATGAAGATGATAAGAAAAAAGTGAAAGACGACAACATTAAGATCAAAAAGGATGACAAAAAGCAGGTAAATGATGACAGTACTGAAAATCTTGATGAAGATAAAGATGATGAGAAAACAGTGAAGGACGACAAGGAGAAGGTAAATGAAGACAGCACTAAAGATTTAGATGACAAAAAGGAAGGAAATGAGAAAGTAGTGAAGAATGATGAGAAGAAGCCTAAAAAAGACGGAAAGAAAAAAGTAAACAATGATAGTTCTGAAGTCACTCATGGTGAAAAAGAAAACGTAAAAAAAGATTTAAAAAGCGATGACCAAAAAATTGGAAAAGATGATAAAAAAGATACGAAAATGGATGATAAAAAGCAGGTGGACGACGACAGCGTCGAAGATTCCGTTGATAAAACAGAAGAAGATAAAAAATCCGTTGATAAAACAGGAGAAGATAAAAAAGTACTGAAAAACAATGATGAGATAAGTAAGAAAGATGATACAAAAGAAAAGAAAAATGATGAAAAAAAGAATGAGGACAATGACAGTTCTGAAGATGCGGATGATAAAGTAGGAGAAGATAAAAAAAAGGTGGAGGATGATGAAAAGGTTAAGAAAAATAAGAATGACGATGAGAAAAACATAGAGGATGACAGTACAAAACGTTCTAATGACAGCGTTGACGATTCCAATGATAAAATTGGGAAAAATGATAAAAAAAATAAAAAGGATGAGTCCAAAAAGCAGGTGATCAATGATGACAGTTCTGAAGATACCAACGATGAAAAGAAAGAAGAAAAAAAAGTAGTTAATGATGCTGAAAAGAATGACAAGACAGATGATAAGGCAAAGGTTAATGATGACAGCGCTGATATTTCCGATGATGAAAAGAAAAACAGTGAGAAAGCCGCACAAGATGACGATAAGAAAGTTATGAAAAATGATGACAAAAAGAAGGCAGACGAAGACAATCCCAAAGACATTGATGTTGAAAAGAAAAAAACTACAAATGTAGTGGAGGTTGCTGAAGAGGAGAATAAGAAAGAAGAAAAGAAAGAAAACAAAGAAGACAATAAAAAGGTGTTGAACGACGATAATCCAGATGAGAAAAAAGATAAAAATAATGATGGTAAAACAGTAGATGAGGATGACGAGGAAGTCCGGACAAGAAGCAGAAATAGACAAACCAGCGAATCAAATGGAAACAAAATTGATAAAAATAAAAGCGATAAAAATAACAATGAAAATTCTTCTGAGGACGATTCAGAGGAAAGCGATGAAACTGTGGAAAATGTTTATCCTCGAAGCAGAGATAGACCTTCCAAAAATACTAAAAGTGAAAACGATCACAATGATAGTAGATCAAATAGTCGCAAGCACCCGGACAATGATAAATCTGAGAATAATTTATCGTTGAAAGCCCGTGCTGACTTCAGTATAAATATACCAATACCAGGTATATTGTCAAAAAACTCACCTATACCATCAGATAATTTGAAAAAAGTAACATCCAATAATTCAAAAATACAAACCAGTAATAACAGTAAATCAACAGAATTGGTTCCGCGTGAAAATAAAACGAAACAAACTATTCCCGACGGATCTTTCAAAGTAACTGTTTGCAAAGTTAACGCCAATCCATCAATATCACAAGGGACTAATTCAAAATATCGATCATTGGAATTTAATAAAAAAGGTAATGTTGACAACGAACCAGCTAAAGTTTCATACGTGGTTACTATCAGTGATAGCAAAAATAATACTGTTAGCAAGGAAATATATGCAACCTGCCAAGTTCACGAAAATGGTAGTAAATTAGCTAGCTGCGCTTTGAAACTCACCGACAACAATACGCAAGAAATTAAAAATTCAAATTTTCCGTTTCAGGTATTATAAAATTTCAATAATGTATACAAACTTTTTTAAGTATATGAAATTTTTTCATGTTTTATTTATTTTTTTTTCTCTATAATACTTCGTAATAATTGAAAAGTTAGTTATTGTGCTACATGTAAAAAAATTATATAATTCATTTACAGGCCGAAGTAGAATTGCAAGATGTAACTGATGACAACTCTAGCCAAATTCTTCATATAACTCTTCGCAATAAAAATGGTACGTTTATTTACATATTTTCCGTTTTTATTATTAATTTTTAAAGAAAAAACTCGAGAATAAAATTTTGAAAACTTAAATAAAAATTATTTCAGATAATAGTGAAGCAGGAGATTGTTATGGTAAAATCAGCTTAGCGGTTCCTGAATGCTTTTCAAAAAGCTAAATGGGCTTTTTGAAATAAGTCATTTATTCTTAATACTTTTATCTTCCTGATAAGTAAAGAGAAATATTGACCACATTGCTCTTCTGTTCCTAGTTTTTATACTATGAACTTTTTTGCTTTTGAAAATATTTCTTTTAAAATTATTCAATGCATGTAATTTATAACTTGTAAAAATATTATCATGTTGAATTGAAAAATTTTTGCATTGCAATAGAATTTTGATTTTCGTCTTTACCCAAGTATATAAAAAATTCATTTTACTTTCAACTTGTCTCTAAACTTATTATTTTTTATGATCATCAAAAAAACTATCTGCTTTTTAAACCGAATAATTTTTTTAATCTCATAATCTTTAGTCACCAATGGTATGGGTATTATATTCTCAAGTTCAACACATGAAAAAAATTTTTCTCGACATTCAAGACTACTCTAAATCAAGCAGTTCAATTATGATGACAAGACATTCTTTTAAAGAAGCAGGTCAAAAATGAAAATACTTTGCAAGATTGAAATATAAGCTTGACAATAATTGTACGATAGCATATCTGATGAAATAATATATGTACATGATAGAAAAGTTAGAACATTTTTTTATTTCTTACAACAAGCTTAATTGAAAGACACGGTTACTTTTGTGAATTAATTAATAAAATTGTTTATTAGCATGATAAAATAAAATTTACATTTTTTTAATCTGACAGACGAAATATTATATTCCTCCTACTCAAATTGCATACAAACAATCGTATTTTAGATGTGACTGACAAGCAAAACTTTGCATTGAAATATATAAACTATCTTTATTATACGTGGGTAACATGATAAAACAATGCATCATACCAGAGTATTCTTCCTGAAGCCCGAAGCACGTTTTGCATTGAGGTTTATTTACAGTTGCATTCGTTAATTGTTACACACTGTGGTTTCTTATCCGTACTACAATAAACGTTTCTACTTCATATTAGAACTCTATCAGATATAAAAAAGATCGTGACACGATTTCATTAAAAATCACGGTGCTATGTAAAATAAATAAAATAAAAATTCAATAAGATAACGATCGTGCTAATTACTTTTTTTAAACTATAAATATCGTTGTACAGTAGTATATTTTGATCAGTGTGCTCATAAATTTTTTCAAGATGCAGTTCGCTGCAATATTTATTATTGCATATCTTTGTGTCAGTTTTTCTTCGGCAGCCCCTTTAGGTAGTGAAGCTGATTTTAATTTTAACGCTGGTTCTTCGACATCAGATAGTATAGATCCTCAGAAAAATTATAATGAAGAGCCTCAAGATAGTTCAGAACCTTTTCGTATGTCTTTAGGTCCAAGTTCTGATAAATCTACTGATTGTAAATCTGAGTCATTCCTTTTAAAAGTCACTCCGGCCAGTTGTCACCAACCAGAAAAGAGACAGATAGCAAATGAAACTCCGAATGTCGGGGGGATATTAGCTTTGGGAAATGATTCTAATAAAAAAATGAGATTTATAGTAGAAATACAGCACTTAGAAGATGTAGCGCCTGATAAAATAGATACTGAAAGAATTGAAGAAAAATCTGTTGAAGTAGTTACTAAAAAATACTCTGGAGATGATGAATCAGTAGAAACTAAGACTGAAATTCCTGAAGATCATGATCAACCAATAGTTACCGATGAAAGTACGTCTGAAACTCCAGCGATTGATTCAATAAAAGCAGTTGCCTCGCACAATATTAAGTTAGAAGGTCTCCAGCCATTAGTAGAGGTAACTAACTCATAACCACGCACTCATAACATTTATTATTAAATTATCATAAAATATTATTTATTTGCAGAATTTGCAGCGCATATTTGATGACATGTTGACGTGCCTGTCAAAAAACAAAAATAGTGAAACAAGTGAAGAAAATAGTGAACAAAAATAGTGATTTGTTAAATATAGAAAACGTTTAGATTTTATAAAATTAAATACAGATGTTTTCAATGAACATCTGTTACGATAACTTGTAAAAAAGAACACGTGATATTTATAATAAATAATCAAATTCAACTTTTCAATTTCTTCATTACTTACCTATGAAATAATTTAAATAGCAAAATTAATTTCATGGGAAAAAGTTATTAACGTAATATCATGATTTTTGGCCGACTATTAATGTTATGAATTCAAAATACTATACATTTTAATAATGTAAAATCATTTATGTCATTTTCATTGATTTAAAAGTACGCGATAAAATGTATACAGTGAAAATTTTTAAACACGATGTTATTCTGCTTAATTGTTATTATGAAAATTGAATTGTAATTTTCTCATGATTGTGCATTGAAATAGAAAAATGTCAAATTTCAATGAAAAATGAACAGAAAAATAAATTCATCATTAATTTAGCTATGTAGAAAATTGAAAAAAATGATAAAAAAAACTTAAAGCTTTCATCAATTCTTAAATGTATTTTGCTTTGTTATTTAATTTCTGCAGAAACTATGCACTTTCTAGCTTATATCCTTTATTATAAAACTTCCATAAATTGGCTTGAATTGAAACTTACATTTTTAAAATAATAATGTAATAATTTTTAATGTACTTTACAATTCAATTTCAAAAAATCGATTTTTTTATTTCATTTTTTGAAAATAAATACCTTCGAGAATATTCTGTAAAAATTTTAGAGCGATCGGAGCCTTTTAAGTATACTTTTTCCTACTCTTTGTGTGCGCATTTCCTAGTGCACGTGTACACAAAAAAAATTGAAACGCGTTTTTCTCGAAATGATGTTTTTTGACCTTGTCCCGCAGTGGTTTTTCAAAAACCAACTTGACCGATCGGGCTGAAATTTTTACCACATTCGTTACAGGTAACAGTGGAACTAGGACTATATCAAAATTCACATTTTTCTATTTTTTTAAAACCAGAGAAAAAAATGCACTTTATGAAACTTTTTTTCAAATGGCCGCCATTCGTTTTTTTTTTAACCGAAAACCAAAATTCTAGTTTCACCTGAAGCCAACTATCCACTGACAAGGAGACCACCCCAACTCCGGGTCATGGATTTGCTCCAAAATTTTTTTGGGGTCTTCTGGTGCCCTTTAATGAAGCTCTCTGTGTTTAGTTTAATCTCATGCGCCTTAGGGCCCATTTTTTAAAAGATTTTCTACATAAAAAAAACCGTTGTTATTTTCTATATCGATTTATAAGCACTCAAACAAAAAAATGCAAAGAACAAAAAGTTTTAAAATTGTTCAAGGAATCTGTCTGAATTTTTTCAGAATTTTTAAAACCGTCTATCACCTACTTTCAGAGACTTAAAGGGGCTCAACACATTATGCAAAAGATTATCCAACATGATAAAACTTATATCAATCGATTTGTTAGATCTTCAAAATGAGATTCCAAAAAAAATGTGGTTGACGAACTAACTTTCGAGATAAACAAGTTTGAAAATCGCGATTTTAACACGGGCTGTTATGGAATGCGGTCTTTTATTATTCATAACTAATTTAAAAGATCAACCATCTTCATAAAAAATATATTTTCTGAAAGAGAAAGTTCCAAGCTTTCGATTGGTATGTTAAAAATTACCCCTTAACGAACTAACTAATGAGTAATTAAACAAAATCATTGATTTCGAATAGTGCGAGTGGTTGTCTGCCTAATGCGAGAAAGAGACAAACAGATGTCTCGAGAAAGAGACAGACAGATGCCTCGCTGTACTATTGTTATGATTGGTGTAGAGCCTCCTTAAATTGGACATTTTCTTAGGGGCTTCAGAAACCTCTTAAAACAGGTGATAGACTGTTTCAAAAATTTTGAAAAAATTCAGACAGATTCCTTGAAGAATTTTAAGATTTTTTATTCAAGTGCTTCTAAATCGATATAGAAAATAACAACGGTTTTTTTTAATGTAGAAAATCTTTTTAAAAATGGGCCCTAAAGCCCATGAGATTAAACTAAACACAGAGAGCTTCATTATTGGGCACCAGGAGACCCCAAAAAAATTTTGTAACAAATCCATGACCCAGAGTTGGGGTGTTCTCTTAGTGAGTAAAAGGCTTATCTTATTTTGTGTTTCAAGTGTTTCGTTCTTGCTGAATCACTGGGACAAGGCGAACCTGATCTTTTTACTAAGACATTTTTTTGTGAACTTCAATAATGCCTTTATTAAGCCCAAAAAGATTTAGACCGATATTTTTCATAGTTTGCTGGAGAAAACTTCACGAAAAATGCTTTTTTTGGTCGATAAACTAGAATAGCCCCTTGATATTAGATAATGCTAATTTTAATATTCATGTAGGTAGTTCAAAAAGAACTTGAACAATATATAAAATCTTCATTTTTTCAATGACTTATGACACATTTCGAAATATCAGTAAAATAAAAAGCGATAAAAATCTCGATTCGCTCGTTCCTTTGATATTGCACGTACATAATGTAATCGAATAAACATTATGGGTACGCGTGCTTTATCGAGAGAAAATGTTCTTACATCTAGATTACCGAATCACACTTGCTTGTGGAACTATTTAAATGCTAATATCAACCGCGAAAGCTCTCCAGTGTCGAATTGAACTGCCCGAGGATGCGTTCAAAGGCGATAATCTTTACCATCCTTTTAGCGTGCTTAAGTATCGCGATTGCCGAGGATTTTGGAAAAGTGCATTTTCAACACGATATAAATATCGCAGTTTCATCGAACGATGAAGATCAGCAGAAAGTCGAATCTTCCAAGGATGATAAAAAGGAAAACGTTGTAAAAGTCAAAGTAGGTCCAAAAGCTGGATCAGAGGAAAAGCCATCTGCGGCCAGTGCGGATATGTCGGCTGGCAAACGTCAGGCTTTGATTGCTGATTTATTGGTAACGATCAGTGATATGCTTAAAAAACATCCTGCCCTTTTGAACAACGTCAAATCAGCAGCATCCGGTGAAGTAAGTTCTTTATCGTATAGCCTTTAATTTAATCATCAACAATTTTTGTTTAATTTTTTTTTAACTTTTATGAAATATTTACTTGAATGGAGGATATCACGGAACAAAAAATTTTTTTATTAAGTCGTTAGTTTTATAATTTTAAACGAGTGATTAACTAGTACACAATTTTTTTTCTATACTTATTTTTTTTCTATACAACGCAATATAAATTCCAATTTTTTACTGTGATTGATACAATAAATATAAAATCATATATTGAAAAGCCTCAAATATTATTTTATGACGTTATTAATAAGTTATTTTTTTACAGGCCAAAGCACAAAAGGAAAACTGTGATGAATAATGTGTGATAATTGATATGATCATAAAAGTAATTTGAAAAAAACTTGCTTATGATCTTGAAGTTCAATAAACTATCATATTGATACAAAAATGAGGTATTTCATTCATTACAACCTTTTCCTCTTGATGAATTTATTTTTACTTCGTATAGTATGTCTACAGACAAGTAAGTGGGTCATAATTCGCATCAAAATTTGCAGCAGTTGCAGTTTCAAAAGCCATTCATGTTTTATAAGTATTTACAATACATGGACAATTTTGTCTACGTTTTTTCATTTAATAAATTCAATGATTAATACGTATCAGCTGACTTTCAATTTAAAGGCTTTGATAATATTACAAATTATAAATCGTTAACGAGGATGAATCTCAAGTTGACCAGCCGGATTGTTACTCAATTAAACAAACAAAAGTGTCGCATACGCGTGCAACAAATATCGATGCAGCAATCGCAACAATACGTTCTCGAAATTCCATTTGGTGCCATCTCTCTTTCTTTCCATACGTATGCGCAAGAGTCGTTCTTTTTTTCTTCGGGCCCGCATAAACTGCGAGTGCACGTGTAATTTGTGTATTATAAACCATCGGGTGCGTTGCGCAAAAAGCACAACATCAGCGAAATTTCGATGGCTTTATAAGCCGAGCGATCACCATTAACGATCGTCAGTGTCGCATTCGGCCATCCATAATGCACATCAAATCGAGCTTGCTCATCGTCCTCTGTGGCTGCTGCTGCCTGGTGCTCGGCAGTCCGGCACCGAGGCGAGATACACTCGTGGGTGCCGCAGCCGCCGAAAAGACAGCCGTCGTCGACACAGCCGCTCTGCTGGAGCAGGGCGCCAACGGCGGCGAGAACGTGGACCGCGCCAAGAAGCAGGCCTCGACGACCTTCTGCGTGGAGATCCGACAGAACAAGCCCACGCAGGTCGACTGCGCCGAGGTGAAGCAACCAACGACGCCCGAGCCGACCCCAGCGCCGACGACCCCGGCTCCCGTGGTCTACGTGGTGCAGCAGCAGCCACCGCCGCCGCCGGAGCCCTGCGAGCCCGAGATTGCCGCCTACATGATCCAGCACCCGGCCGAGATCATCTACGCGCCGACCGGCAAGTGCCTCGTGCACGGCCAGGCCCACGCCCAGCAGCCCGCACCGGTTCAGCAGCCCCAGCAGTTGCAGGTCGTGCCCCAGTCTGGTGGGCAGCTGCAGGTCTTGCCCCAGAATCACGCGCACATTCACGTGGTGCCCGCCAATCAGGCGCAGCAGCATCTCCAGCAGCTGCAACAGCTGCAGCCACAACCCGCTGGACCGCAACTGCAGATAGTGCCTCAATCGCTGCAACACCTTTTGCGGGGCCCATCATCCATAATTCCAGGACCACCTCCCCAGGGACCACCTCCCCAAGGACCTACGTTGGTTCCTCAGCCGTTACCTCCTCCGCAGCAGCCTCAGCCCCCGGTGGTCGTGCCTCAACCACAGGTACCCCAGAGCATCAAGTGCACTTGCAACACCGCCGGTGTGTCAGGCCCAGTTGCTGGTCAGTCTACCGTTTCGGCAGGTCCGTCGAACGAGCAGCTCGCCATGTCCTTCCTCCAGGGTCTTCAAAGGAATGCCCAAGCTCAAGGACAGGTAAATCATATGATCATCATACGGATGATATTGTTTTGCGTAAATTTAAGATTTAAAAAAATTGTCTATGTCCGGGTACTGATTGCTGATATTTTTTTATAGAAACTTGCACAAGCTGGAGCTAACTTAGCAGCGCTGCCTAATCGTGTTGGCGCCGCATTCGGCAGAAATGTGCCATCAGTCATTCATCCTGGTCATCCCGGCCCACAGCTATCTTACGGTCAAAAATCGGTCAGTGCCGGCAGAAATTCTGTTAACTGTTAATTATAATCTCTTTACATAGTAATTTTATGGTCGATCGATATTTGTTTTCGATTCAAAACTTGTTGATAATAATGTCCCCTCGTATTTTATATACAAACGCTCGATTTACTTTTGTACGAAGTTGTTTAATAAATATGGCGAAGATGTATTTTAATTTTTCAATGATTTCAACTTGATTTATTATCAATGAAATTTTCATGGCATTTCATTCATATTCATATAAGTTTTTTTTATTTATTTTGGTTTCAATGAAATGTAAAAGTTGGTTAAATTTAATATTTTTCCAGAAAATTTCAATTTTAACTTATTCAATTTAATATCATCTTCACCATATTCATTAAAATATTCATTAATATTTACGTAGTAGTCTGATAAATGACGCGAATTTAACAATTATTGTACCAGTAATTCTCAGAGTTTCAAGTAATTTTTACGCAAACAATAGTCACGAGCAGTTTAACATTTTCGAAGAAAATCATGACAAAAAAATCAAACTAACTTGAGGAAATCTTTGCTGCGGATAAGTTTTATTTATTCAATTCGAGGCGTCTTTATTTACAATTGCAAAACACTTTTCTCGAACTCTTCCTTTTGTGCCACCTCGGCAGTTTATAAATATCATCTTACGTTGAGACTGCAAATATGCATATGTGCACTCTCGAATTGATATTTTTGAAACGACGAAAAAATATCATATAAATTACGTTACTCTACAACGTATGATCGAAAATGTGCATCTTTATTTTTCACAGGCTTCGGATGCACAAGCTCCCGTCAATCCGCTCTTACCAGGAGGCTTCCAAAGTCAACTGAACGCGGCCTTTGGCCTGAACGGCGCCCTGAGCTCACCCCTGAACTCACGTCCCGTGTATAACGATCATCTATTGCCAGCCGGCGGTGTTGGCAGCCCACTTCGTAGTGGGCCTATAATTCAGCGGCTCAGTCGGGACATGGAAGATCAGATCAAGCAGCAGCAGCAACAGTCGGAAGCTGCGTCCGCGACGTCGTCCGTCGACGATGCCTCGAAGACAAAACAGCAGCTCTCGCCGGCAGACATGATCGGAAAAATGATGAAAAATAATCCACCCTCGGTCCTTTCGGACGTTGGCGGTGAAAAAGCCAGAGTCGCCAGATATTTATACGGAAACAATGAACTCGACGAGGAATAGGAAAAATAAAGCAATAACTTTAAGCTGTACATAATGTGAATTACGAGAGCATGTTGTTGTTAGTACTTGTTGACTTTTTTGCATCGCGTCGAATTTTTTTTAAATTTTCTACTTTTATCCTACGAATAAGCAAATGAAATAATATAACGATCGTTTATATCATGACTGGTGTTTTTTTCACTCAACTTTACCTTTAACCGATTAGCTCGAATTACTTAATATTTAAGCTGGTATCAACCGGTGTAAAACAAAAACATTTTTTTAAATAAACTAACGCTTCGAAACCTTTCCTCTCAACGTGCGGTAACCTTCCGAACAATAAATTTTTCTGCAAGGGAACAATTCCATATCTGATTATCGAGATTTAAATTTTTACAAAGTTGCAAAATTTGCCTGGATCTGTTTGGCTAATTTTTTTTTATCGTAAGAAAGATAAGACACTCAAATAGTCATGAATACATAAAGAGTTTTTACTTTATTACCCGATCGTGTCTTGATAAATTATTACTGTTAGAATAATTACGACTTTTTAAGAACCGCTCAGTTTCGTTTAATCTCTTCGAAAAGTAAGTGATGAAACTTTCTGACGAATATTTTATCAATTTTGCTATTTAATATTTAGAATTTTTGTTTCTTTATAATCAAATTTGTATTTGTACCTTTCGAGATTTAATCATGGTAGAATCGATTATTAAACGATTAGATTCATGTGTGAAATGAATTCGCACTTCCGATTTAATTTAAAGTCAAGTTTATTCAAGTTTACTTTGTATGAAGTTAAAGCTTGTAGAAAATATCTAACAAAGTTTTAGTGCGCGCCTGGCGTTAGACTAACATCACTGTTTGTTCGTACAGGAGGTCAGCAGTATTTTAGCTTGTCAACGCTCTTTACTCGATCAGTGAAATTTGAAGAGTTCGAAAATGCAGTGCACAAATTGGATCAAGTTATTTATTATTGTTGCAGTAATTGCTTACGCTCACGCAGATGACCTTGACGACGAATTGAAACAAGACGTTAACAATGTAGAGGTGAATATTGATAAAAAAACTGTTATTGTAATTGTAAGCTAAATTCATACTTTTTTCGGCTTTTATTTTTACAGTTGAGTAGCAATGATGTCGATTCAGTGTCAGCGAGCGAAAAGCCAAGTGACATGGAAGTCGATAAAAATATACCGAACGAAAAACCAAAGGATGGTGACGGTAAAGAAGAAATACCTTTTCGAGCTGTAATTAATGGATTATACCGATGCCCTATGGGATATTACATGGATTTTAGTGGACGTTGTCGATCAGCTATTTCTATTTTTGGTTGAAAAATTTTGATATTTTTTCTGTAACATCCTTGATCAAAACTGCAAGTTTGAAATGGACAGTATTTCCAACATTATACTAAATTTACATATAATTTAGTTTAAAGAATGTTATACAATATAAAAAATAAATAATAATGATTACACAAATTTTATAGATCATGTTTTTAAAAATCTGTAAAAAGTGAATAGTTTTAGGCAAAGCTTGTATTATTCTCTTGTAAATGGTGTTATTGGATTTAATTTTTTTTTATCATTCATCAATAAAAGTGATATTTCAAGAATGTTGTAGTCTCGTTTCCTTTCTACACATTCACAGAAAATAAAAAACAATTAATGCTTAGAACAGTGTGAGGCTAAAATCCACTGAAGCATGATTTTCATGGTTATTATGAATATCTTTAGTGAATTATCAGTCATAAAATTATCAGGTTGGAAAATGAATTATCGAATAAAAGTTAATAAAATATTAAAATTTTATTTGAATCAAATTTATCGCGTCACTTAATAATCAGTTGTCATAAAAAGTATGTAATAAAAATTTACATTAGGTTTATGAAGTTTCATTGATACATTATTTTTTTCTTATTTGATTAACTTAAAAAAAGTCTTTAGTAAAAGATGTATCAAATATGTCTATAAAGCATTCTATAGCTCAATTAAATGCAGTTCAAAAATACAAACGTACAAAACATTCTTGTAAAATACAAATAATCATAAATATAAAAATTATTACAAAAAATCAAACACGACAAACGAGATGAATTTTGTCATACCCTTTCTTGAAAACATGATTAAATATTTTCATTAGTACCATCAATCTTTTGAAGCTTTTACTTCTTCCATGTTGTCTTGGTAATTTGGTTCTCTTTTCTCAAAGAAAGCAGTTATACCCTCTTGAGCATCCTTCAATTTTAAATTTTTCACCATAGTTTCGACGGCTAATTTATAAGCATCTTCTGTATTCAAATCCCTCTGCTTACGTAAAAACTCTTTTCCCATTTGAATGACCGACCGACTTTTCGAGGCTATCAAGTCCGTCATAATTTCAAGTTCAAGTTCTGCGTACAAAGATAAACAAATTAGTAGTAACGTCAATACAATTAAATATAACACGATATAACACGATAATACTTGTTTTACTCACGTAAATTTTCTTGACTAAGTACTCTGCTTATCAAGCCGGCCTCGTAGGCTTGCTGTGCATTTATTTCGTCGCCGGTGAACAGCATGTGAGCTGCCATTTTTCGCGACATACTGCGAAGTACCGGGACGCTTGGCGTTGAACAAAATACCCCAACGTTGATACTGTAATGATAACGGGTGAATTTTTGAAAATTTGCCACATGATGAGAAAACAAATTAAATAAATAAATAATTGCATGAAAAGCTTACCCGGAAGTAGCGAAATAACTTTGTTCGGTAGCTACGGCGATATCGCAAGCTGCGACCAACTGACATCCCCCGGCTGCTGCTAGACCATCGACAACCGCGATCACTGGCACCGGAGCCTCCTCGATGGCTTTCATTAGTTGCATGCAAGTCTCGAAAACCTCCTTATGGTCAGCCTCGCCTTTGTCTGTTCTCTGTACGCGTTCGATTTAATTTTTTTTTAATTCAACGATTTATGTTACCGATCATGAACGGTAAGTATCTTACTAACCAGTTCTTTTAAATTGTGACCAGCGGAAAATACATCACCCGTATTGGTAATCATAATCGATCGAAGAGTTTGATCGGTCGAATAAGAGGTAATGGCTTTGTGCAGGTCCTTCATCATTTGAATGGAGAGGGAATTTTTCGTCTTTGGATGATTTAATGTGATTTTTCTCGCCTAAGTGGATTAACGTTTTTTCATCTAATTATTTTTAGAAGAGTGTTTTTACTTTCTATTACTAATTTCTATTAATATTTTCTGATATAATTCGATTAATCAAGCAGATTGAATTTTTTAATGTAAATTTGATGAATTTTTAAAAATTTTGTCAATAAATTCATATCTCAACGATGCTTAAAAAACAAGTATGAAAAATTATTAGATCGAATTAATTATCAGCTCTTAAAGTCATTGCATCATTCGAGTCGCGATAATTTAAACCTCACGCTGAGCCGATACTGAAAAATCGTATTACAAAATTAAAAAGCCAAGTTATGGTATACTCTCGCTACGGAATGCAATACTAGACATTATATCACGGATGAATTAGTATTAATAGAAAACAAACCCCGTTGGAGTATTCGATAATATCCACATAATCCGTCGGAGTGGACAGCGTCCTTGTAATAGATCGTCCCACCTGTAAGCAAGCAGCATCATCAAACGATGATGTATTGTTTTTCAGTAACGGCAGCAACACCGCTGCAGTGTATAAGGCATCGTTATTGCATCGAAATCTGATCGCTTATAAATACGAGCGCTACGATTTCAAAACGTTGCACTCGAATACCTTCATTATCGAACGAGCACAAGAGAGGTTATGATACGCGTAGGAGGCGTATACTTGTAATGATCTTACGGTCAAGGCAAGCTGTACACATTCGCTCGAGTACACTGTTCACTACGAAAATTACCTGCAGTAAATCCCCGAAGAGCAAACGACTTCTGTTAATTAACAAGGCCATTGTTACTTGAAATTTTCTTTTTTTCGTAATTGAAACGAAATCGACGAACAAGTAGATTGACAATTGAACTCCGTTTTTATTCGGTCTTTGAAACTTTAAAAAAGCCGATCAGCTGACGGCTCTCACGCACTTGCAATGTTTTCTGCACTTGGAGTACACAAAATAACACACCGGACTGCGACACGTTCGGCAAAAAGCATGGGAGTCGGACGGTAAAACATTCGACAAGGGGCAAATCTTGTTTAAATTTTTATCGTCACTTAGATTTTATTGAAATGTGTGTTACAAAACACTTGTCAGAAAGTCAGACTCTAGTTTTCATTTTAATAAACGATTAATTCTTAATTTGGGAACAAATATTTCTTTTGCTATCTTAGTTGGATTTTCAAAGTATAAACGATTCGAGCATGCAAAGTGGTAGATGTACATTTGAGATGAAAAATTAAAGGATAATAAAAAATATAAATCAAAAAAATATTACGTTTTGGAAGATAATAAAATTGATTGATTATGTAGGGTTTCGATCCATACTTTTTTATCTTTCTTAGAAATTTAACCGAATATAATGGATAACGATTCGTACTAAGCAAAACGTAACAATAAAAAGACCCTGAAAAGGAGCTCCTAATTTCTCATGAATTTCTGTAGCAAGTACGTATGGTATAGTCTCCTCGATTATGCCCAATGAGTAAACGATCGAACTCCATAAAATAATGTTGATAATGGGCCAATAACTGAGGCTGTCCACGTCCGGCCGTATGGTATAAATATTATGTAGCATGATACTTGATGGAATAAAAACCGAAAAATTCAAAATCGTAATTAGAAGACCTTAAGAAAAAACAAACTTGCAAGTCTTTTGGCTTAGTTACTTTTCGACACTAATCGCGTTCAAAAATAATTCGATACTGTGGCACTTGTGAACATCGACGCGTTACAGCTATTTAGATGGTAATTGTCTTTTGTAAACATCAACGCTCACGTTGTATGTGATTCATGCCCAAGCAACGTTCATTTACCCCAATTTTTGAAAATGTTTACAGTAGAACCTCTCCATCGCTAAATTTCTATAACACATATTCAACGGCTGTTCCCTTGAAATTCGTATTAATGAGATACCTCTGAAATTTGAATATCAAATAATTCGAAAGGAAATTAAATGATAGAAAATGACAGTTACTTTTTTAATATTCAGACTGGTGCATAATTGTCAAAAAAGCTTGAACTCGGGAATGATTAATTTAAAACCTACTAATGCATCTTTTTATTAAATTTTAAATAGTATGATTAGCTCATGGTGTCCAGCGCTATTGTTTGTCCGATCTCATACCCGATCACATGTAAACGGCTAGATATTAAGATTAATCTTTTAAAATAAACTATACACAGTATTCGAAACTAGCCAAAGTTTATTGACACGAAAGTTTGAATTTCCAGAAAGAAACAATAAAAACGACGTCTGCACGATTGAATTTTTGAGTTTGAACACTGAAAAACGTAGTTTCGATTTATGTTCCAACTATGTTGTTATTTGTTTGGCTTGTAGAATAAAGTAATGCATCGATTCAATTGAATAATACAAATAGATGTGTGCACAGAATAATTTAAAAAAAAACTCATTTAATATTTTTCAAGTAAATAAAAAGTTAAAAATTATTATTACATGAATATGAGATAAATACGTGTATACTAGGTTTATAAATTTTCCAGATTTTGATTATTAAGATATCGAATTGATTATTAATAAATCGAACGAACCATGTCGACCATTAAGAACTCGATTTTTTTTCTTGCATTGCAAGAAATGCCAAAGTTAATTTCACCAAATGAAGGCTTGAAGTTCGGAAAAATATTATACTTCGCAAAAAAAGGATCCATTAAATTCAAGCAAACTGCAGTTAACTAATACTACTAATAGCTGAAAGATGTATAGTGAACAATAAGTATGACTCGATTAAATAATATATCCATGCAACATCGATCAATGTGACGTACTGATTTACTTATGCCTCGAGTGCAGACGTGACGTCGCAGGTTATTAAACTGAATATACGATATACATATGGTTCGGACTCAACATTTTATCAAATGAACCTGCGCGATGAAGAAAATTGCAACGATGAAGGATGCGAAGATAGAAAATAATTAAAAAGATTCCTAAGATTATCAATTTTAGGACTAAAACTATGAGTTTGGTCCCATTTCGACCTGATACCAAAGATACTAACTTTTAATAAAAATCTGAGAACTTATCGCACAGGTTTATTTGAAAAATTTTAAATTCGACCCATATAAGCATCACTTTTGTAAAGAACTCCTGTGCAATACTTCATTATCATTTATTTATCATGGCGTTTTTTAGAGAAGCAAGGGTTCGTCAACTGATCCGAAATGTGGACCTCGCGCGCACATCCCCGAGAACGAGTATACGAGCGTATATAAGGGCACGAGCTTCGCCGTGATGTTCTCCACTCGAGTGCATAATGGACAAAGCTGGGTAAAACAATGGTCGACGCGCGATCGAACAATTCGAATGCGGTTAAGTCGGCGCATGCATTACAAACAAGCGCTAGTCGAGATCTGCATCGGCCGTCGAGCGAAACGCGGAGGGAAATAGCATCGGAAATTCATCGTCACGATCTTTGTCCGCGCAAAGTTGCCGCGCGTGCATACATACGGATAGAGTACAAGTACAGCAGCAGAGCAGAGGGTTTTTGCCAGCGTACGCTTGCTCCGGCCGAAATAAAGCTCCTTTTAGCAGCTCATAGAGCGTAAATATAAGCGCACATAGGACTGCACACGCGTATGTACGGAGTTGACAGTACATAGGCGGGCGGCGCTGCACACATTAAATGCAGTCGCTACTCACACATTTATATATAGCAGCGCGTAAACTGCATACGCGTATATGCTATATGGCGAACGAGAAAGAGATACATGCATCGTCATTGCGGGGGATTTAAAGCCGTACGTACGTATATGTACACGTACACATACACACGTGCACATGCTCGGCTTAAAGGAGCATTTATAAACCTCCGTATATACATCTACGTTTCTCTCTCTCTCTCTCTCTCTTTCTTAGAGTCCAGACCTTGGCTGATGTTAATGAGTGCAGCGCATGGAGCGCGTTTCACGATTCCCGCACGCAGAGAACTCTCGAACTCGCGAGCGCGCCAAGAGCAAACTTGTGATCTGCTGCTGCTGCTCTCCGTGTATATGTGTGCGTTTCAAGTTGTGTACCGTATGTACACCGTGTGCCGTGCGGCCGCAAGAATTTTGCTGCTTCTCCGCGTGCGCGTATGTAAGCAGCGGATAGTCTTTTTACCGTCGTCGTGCCACCGTGAATTCGCGAAAATTTCGCTCCGGTCGTATCGTGGAGTTTGTGTTCCTTCGTAGCTTCTCCGCGATTGCGAGTACTTAATTTTTACGTTTATATCTTTATAATACGAAATATTAAAACGTATTGTGCGACGTACAATCGACATTGTGTGTATCGAAGAAAAGATCGCGCAGGCGAGACTCGTGGGTGCAGCTCTCGTTTATATTATATACCAGTCGGACAGATATATTCGCGGTGTTTTTTTGCCTCGATATTCATTCATATATAATAATAAGTACATGATCGAATATAGACTGCGTGGAATTTTCGGGAAACAACGTTATCTGTTGGGAGCGCAGGAGCTGCGGCCTCGTCGATCGGATATTATACATTAAAACAACAGCGCATACATCAGCGAGGAGCAGTGCGCGCGTGTTTATCATCGTCAGCGTGTCGCGCAAATATGAGCTGAGCCGTACATGCCTAAATTGGGCAAGGATCGTGCGGGACGTTTTTTTTTTTTTTATAACCGCTGAGGTGTACTCTATACGTATACGCACCGCTGCTTGCCGCTGCCTGCGGTGATATCACCTGCGCGTATAACGAGATCGTCCGAGCGAGCTGCTGGCAGCATCCAGTCCGCGCGCTTATTACGCATTACGAGTGCGCCAGCCGAGCGACAGAGAGATGGATTTCTCTTTTCTTGGTGGACATGGACTTTGAGAGACGTCGTCGTCGTTGAGCAACGTATTATGCCGTTTTATTCATTAGAAGCGGCACGTACGGCACGAGTCGTCCCTCCAGTAGAGCAGAATTTCACATTGGCGATCGGTGCGAGCTCGTGAGATCTCCCCTCCCACGCATCCGACAGATCAGTCGTAAGTCACAGTGCTCCAGTGCGCGAAACTCGTCGAATGCAGCGAGGAACGCAGCCGCTGCAGTGCACCACAGCCACGGGCTCTCGGCCGCGATCTTCGCAGGACCTCCATAAGTTCCAAAGGGAAGAGCGACGAAAAAAGGTGAATAGCCGCGCGAACGACGGTATTATGTGGGTCGTAGCCTCGTTTGTCTGAGGAGGCGCGCGCCCGAGCAAGTACACGTCGAGCCCTGCATCGATCTTGCCGCAAATACCGTACGACGATAGCGCGCAGGTACACGTATAACGTATAAACGCAGCGGCCGGGTATGTGTGAGTCGCGCGCGTGCAGTGCCAGTGCAGCTATACACGTTGTTTGGTCATTATTACGAGTCGTCGCGTGTACGAGCCGAGCTGCAAAAATGTGAGTGTGTGTGTGTGTGTGCAGTGCAGTGCTCGCTCGCCGCGTGTGATTCCCTCCTATAGCTGTGGGCAAGTGTATACGTTGCCACCTGCGCGTGCTGCACTCGCGGAGGAGCTTGATCCCTCCCGACCTCGCGCACACAAAAGCGCAACGATATATAAGTGTCAGCTCCGAAAAGTGTGTCGAACCGAGCTTCGATCGGAATCGTCGTCGATAATATACGCAGACATACGCGCGTGTGACAGCAGGACTGCGTGCAGGAAAAGGAAAAAATTATTCCGTCTATACGGGGGGCTGCCGCAGCCGAGATAAAAGCTTACGCGCGGGTTGTTATGACGACCGACGTGTATTCACCGCCAACAACAACCGACATGGCTGACAACGAGGGTAAGTTTACCTCTCTTTCTCTCTACCTGTGTGTACGTGCGTCTGTCGAATCTTTCTCTATTGTTGTCACTGAAAGTGCACTTACTTATCTATGCGCAAAACATCAACAAACACCGACCGAAGCGTGTCCGAGTCGTCGATAGATCCTCGCTTGACCGGCCGATGTGTTTTTCAAGAGATCGAACGATGAGTGAGAATCAAATAGAGCCGATCTGATCGCGCACGCGTGTGTGTGTGTGTTTTTGTGGCGCATTTGGGATCATGGACAAGTCGGCCGACACGATGGGTCAGATGCTTTTTCTCTTGTCTTTCTTATGCTTGTCTAGATTTGTGTATCTGCAAAAACCACAGTTGGTTTTTATTTACTGTCGTTATGAGCTAATCGATGTAAAATTAGACGTGAACGCAGTTGCAAAAATCATTGACAGCAGCTTGAAGGTTATGAAGCGTTATTTACATTTTTACTTTTGTCCTTTTTTTGTGCTATTGTTAAATAAGGACACCAAGATGCACACACTTGTTTCTTGTTAGTGATGCATTGCAAAATCGTCCCATAATATTATTAAATCGATTTTTAATCTCGATCGAATTAAATTAACGCCACATGCAAATTTTATTACAAAGAATGTACTATTTTTTTATTTTCTTGAGTATTGCATAACACCGGCCGACGCGTGTTTTCCGTTTTCAAGCTTTTTTTGCTTATCTCGGAGCTAATTTAAATGCAGCGCGAGAGTTCTGCATTCGAGACCAGGGAGACGATGCGTGACTGCTTACGAAGCTGCACATGTACATTATGTATATTTTTGGTACATTACAATAATCCGCTAAAAGTCTCGTTTATCAATTCTATGCATTTTCAGATAGTGCTTGAAGGAAAAATCGAATTTTTTTACGAGTAGTATGCGTAGAGCAAACTTGATCTTACGATATTTGTTTTCCTTGCGCAATGTGTACAGTGTACACGCGTGGTGTGAAAAGACTTGAAACTGTATAGTAAAGCTGTGTACGGCGCCGTCCTTTTTTCTAATTCGCCACGATTCGAGTCTACTTTGCACGTTATTCAACATTCGCAACACCTTTTTAACGCACCCGAGTCTTGATCTATCGATTTGGAACCGTGGATAAGCAGACGCATTTTTATTTAATATTTTTTCTCTCTCCCCACTTATTTTAATTGCTTAAATGATACCCTGCCACAATTGGTTTAATTGCATACCGTTTGGTACGCACAGTCAACAACAACAACAACAACTCACACATGTACACGTAAGATCGCATCAGATTAGACGATTTATGTCAAGCCCACGTTATTAGGTTGTTGCCGTAATGTTGTTATTATTGTGGATGTTGCAAAACTCGCAGCTTTAAACACGTAATAATTGTGAACTATTTAATTTGCATCGCATTATGCAGTAGAGCATCAATAAACTGTGACGATAGACCATTGACCTTATCTATTTTTTTACCTGTTATGCAAGTGACTATAGTACTGCGGTGCATCTTAATTATTTTGAATTCCGCAAATACTAGCTGACGGCATTTATCACTGGCGAGACAATTTTACGCCAAAACTTCAAAATACTCGAATTACCTCGACGATCGGAAGGAAAAATAAAAGTTGAAATTGAAATTCATGAGTAAAAATGTGACGAAATTCAATACATGTATCTGCCGCACACGCACAACCGGGCGTTATATACATAGTTTAGCCTCGGATTCTTCCGGTGTCGAACTCGAAATTGCCATTATATCGGCTCGGCTTTCGCGTGTTGTTCAATTTTTTTCTTTTTTGCGTTTCATATACTCAAGGCAAATTACGCAGGCGCACGATATTATTGCACGCGTACGCACAATCGTAGGCGAGAGAGTCACGCTCGCCAAGTTCTCTTCGTTAAGAGAACAAATAATAACTCGGTAACGAGAGTATAAAGCGCGACTTTTTTACGAGGTTTGCCGTGCGTTTGCTTGTTATCGCGATTGTAAATACGACACTTGTCGCGAGCAATCGCCTCGTTTAAATATAGACGCGAGTACTCACTCGAACGTGTATTGTCACGAAAAATAATTGTAAGGAAAAAAAATGACGATTGATCCAGATCGATCGTCGTAAGTCATTGCCTATAGTCGAAAATTATGCAATTATTTTAATTTACGCCCGCGAGACGTTAATTGCGGACTATAAAAAGACAACGAAATAATCTATTCTCGAGTAGAGCCATCGACCTGAATAAAAAAAGACTCGAACAATATCGCGTAATAATAATTATTCCTCTCACGCATGCGGCATCTAATCAATTACATTAGACAAGACGGTAAAGCGCCGAGCAGTTATGAATAATTTTTCTCCATCCAGCAACTTTGAACTCGATCTCGAACAATCGTATCGCGCCTATCAAGGCTCTTCGATCGTGTCCACCGCACACGCATTGCAAACAGTTAAATATATTCATAGCTAGATTGCACCGGGTGAGCGCGACAAGACATCCGGTATTAAAAGCAACTCATCTGTTTGAGAGAAAAGCCATCATATAATAAGAGACACTCTTTCTCTCTCTCTCTCTCTCTCTCGTCGGAGTCTCGTGCAAAAGCTTGACTCTTTGGTGCGCTCACCGAAAATAAATCCCCTTCCGCGGCTCATGCGCCTCTCTCTCTTACTCCGTTCTTACTCGACTCGCGAGCGTGTGTAAGCATGAGTGGCAGCGCGCGATGTGTGGTGTGTTTTATATATATACAGCTGTATACGCGCGGCTAGAAAGAGAGGAGAGACTCTCGCAGAGTCAGTTTATCGCGTGCCATGCTCTGTTGCGTATCGCGTAAGGCGGCCGGTGGCTGCGGCGGCGTCGACGAGGCTGCTGCAGCTGCGGCCAAAGACACCATGGGTCCGGCTCGATGCAGCGTCGCCCGCTTCATTCTCGATCCCATGAGACGGCGCAATTTCAAAACTGTCAAAAGTAGCGGCAAAAACAAGAGGGACCAGGAGGCCGACGAGGAAGAGGAGAGAGCTTTAAAAAAGCTCGACGATGCGGTGCGCGGCGTCGCCATGGTCGCCAGTACCTTCGGCACTTTCAAGGGCCAGAGCGAGCAACCCCTGCAGGCCACCTTTGCCGCCCAGAGGGTCGACGATTTCGCCGATTATTATTATGGTTAGAGAAGCCACTCAGCCCAACAGTTGTTTTCCTTTCGCTAAATTATATTTTTACACGCGTGTCGTGCGCCGTCGAGAAAACGAGTGAATTATTCCGAGGATAACGTGAAGTGTGTGAGTGTATATTATATTGTGTGCGAATAGCTGTTTCTCTAAGTCGTGTGATATGTCGTATGTTTGTACAAGTGCAATTGTAATGTAAGTTTTTTTTCAATTCTACCACTCATATTCACGGCTTTTCCACGTCACGTTGTACGACGACGATAAAAGACACATTTTACCGAAGTAAACACGGCTTATATACGTATAAGCTCGTATAAAGTACGCAACGACGTGAATAATTAACGTTTTAACTTTAGATATATCGGTCAATTGGCATTTAAATTGTGCCGTAAACGATCAACATATAAAATCATTGTCGTTATCTTCGCCCTTCGCGATCTCTAGGGATATTGTTGCAGCAGCAGCAGACATCGTTGATATACATATTATAATATACGATATGATGATGAAAATGCAGTTTTTGTTTGCCCACTCGCGCAGGCAAGCGTCCACGCGGAGAACAATGAAAATATTTGCACTTTTTGCCTCATTGAATATAATTGGTATTATGCTCGGGGCAGGCCTCGCTGTGTGTGCGTAGTATATGTCACATTATGCGCAGCTCTCGAACGAAAGAAAAGAAAAGGCGTTGCTCTCTTGTGTGCTCGCGACGATTAAATTTTCACTGCGACAGACAGTCGCGTTGTTCGCAGTGCAACCGCTCTCTAAGTCAACGATATTGTAATTTAAATTCATAGCTTCCGGAATGTATATAAAAGCTCGCATAGAAAGAGAGAGAGAGAGAGACGGAGAAAAGTTTCGCAGTTGACGCTCATTTAAAAGGCTTCATTTTCTCGATTCTGTTGCATCCTCCTACAGATCTCTCATTAATTTCGCAGCTTTTTACTTTTTCCGAGAATCCGCGAGAAACCGATAACCGATATAAAAAGTTCGCGCGTATCATCGACCCGACTCGTTGGCCGATGCAACGTTGTACATCGGAGTGATACACTTTTCGAGGCCCGCGATTAATTCGCAAATCAAGTTTGCGAGAGCATTTGGCATAGATAAAGCCGGCGTGCGGATTTTTTTCTTCTTATTTTACTGTACGCGGAGGAAAAAGTTATTCTTGAACGCTCATCGGGCAACGTACGATGCTTTCTTCTGTCGCGTTATATACGGCGAGGCAGATGTTGGCGTGAATTTGTTCTCCTTCGCTCGCTTCGACGAGACGATGAAAATTTTATTTCAAAAACTTTCGTCGCGCCGATGGCAGCGATCAACGCGCGAAACAATACACATTCTCCGTTGATGTATCGTCCATTTGTCATATCGAATTGACCAAAATGCGGTTCCGTCTTTATTTTTCGTTATCGAAACCAGTACGAATAAAAACAACGAGAGCAATTTCGATAAGCGAGCTTCGACACGCTTGCGGCTTGTGCGCAAAACAGCTAACTTTTAACTGTATAAATATTACACGTTTTTCGTTTTTCCTCGCGTACGCAAGTGCACATTTCTATTGTGTAACTCGCGACTCCGGTGCGTATACATGCAGATCCCAAGTGCTCATGCTTTAACGTCGCTAAAGCGCGCGTTTCCTTCGCCAAAGGTCTCCTTATGCTTTCAGCTAATGTTTATTTTTTCCTTTTGCGAGTAAGCGAGAGATAGAGAATTATATACGCTCCTCGTGAGTTCGTGCCACGGTTTCTTCGTTGCGCTTCTTCTTCTTCTTTTTCTTCTTTTTTTTCTACTCTCCACTCCTTCGAATGGAAAAGCCGAGTCCACGTATAGTCGTTAATTTTTTTTTAATGTTCATGGACACAAATAGCTCTCTCGCTGGCAAAAAGAGGCCTCTTCTACCTCTCTTACTCTCCGGCTCTCTTTCTCTCGTTCTCTGCTTTGATCTGCACGCACACATGCTCTTAGAGAGCTCGAGCATTATGTTGCATTATACCTTGCACGAACACATACATGTGCCGTACTTGAAAAAGAATGAAAACTAACGGGATGAAACAATTAAAAAGGCTCGTATGTGCCTGCGTAAGCTCGATGTCGATTCGTTATACAAACGCCACGTGATATTATCCGTCCGTCGTGAGAATCAATCGATCCTACCGAGCATAAACATATAGCTACTGCGCGCATGTATTAATATTATGTTTCGCCGATTTCACCGTCAAACAGCCAGAAGTCAAGACGCCTACGCAAATTTTAAATGCTAGTATAGTATAAGAGTCGACACACATCCATATAATATAGACATGGGCAAGGCACGCGCGTATTGTATATACACACATGCTTGGACTGTCCACACCCTCGCAGCTCTTTCCGCTCTTGCCAATCACTGGCGCGCGCACTCACAAGCTCACTTTTTTCTTTCACTCTTATATATAATACAGGCTCTCTTCTAATACATATATCTCTCGGCTCAATCTCGCGATTGCTCTCGCCTTCTTAAATTTCAAAAATGCAAAAAAATCACTGCTGCGCACACACACATACACAAGCTTTCCCGCGCGATCGGTCTCGCGTGCGCACACGTGTGCGAGCTGCACCGCCGCCGCCACGCCAAAGGCCGCAACCAACATAACTGGTTTGTTTACAATTTATAATATAGCTATATACACAATATCGGCCTTTATCACCAAACAGCTGTAGGATACAAAAGCCTTTGCCTTTCTAAATTAATACGTTTGCCGCTCGTTTATCGCAATTTTTTATTCATCGCAATCGATGCAGGCGGAAAAATTTGCCGTCAGTCGAGGCGCGCTCATCGCGAGACTTTTTTGATTTATGACCATTAATATTCGCGCTCGCGCGCACGTATAATACACTTGCTTGCGCGCACACGATGCGGCTTTCACTTATCGCACTCAGCTCTCTCGTACCTACATATCTCTCTTCCAGTCTTATAAGCTGTGTAGCACTCGCCGAGCTCCGATTGATTTGATATTTTTCACCGAACATTTAAATTCGCGCTCGTTTTTTTGTCGCCGTTGTCGTTGCTATATATCTCGCAGAGGCGTCGGACGAGCTTTCACTGTGCTTCGCTCGCGCAGACAGCAGGTTCGCTTGCTCTATCCCACACACACACAGACGCGTACACGCAGGCTCATATATTTATGAGTAGTCTATATTTGACGAATCACACTCGGATGTATTATATACAACGAGAGGACAATATTATTGCCGCTGCACCGAGCCAATGTGGGAAAATGTGTATCGCTTTCTTTTTCGACTTGCTTTATACGAGTGTTAATTAGGACTTTGTTTCCGAGCGATGGCAGCTTCGAACGGCATCGAAAGCCCGCTGATAACAATAAAAAACAACGAAAAAATTAAATGCTTGCATGACTTTATCGTGTCATCTCGTTTCGTGTACATCACGCGTATTATACGGTAGGAACGATAATAACTCACCGCGCGCCCGGCAAAAAAAGGGTTTCTAGCTCAGCTCGGTATTTTCCATCTGCGCTAGACGTTATTATGCATGCAGAGAAAATACTAAGCGCGAGAGACCACCTCTCTGTGTCTATTATTCAGTGCAGAGAGGCATAAATTTCGTCATAACGACGGCGACGATGATGATGACGTCGATGGCAACGGCCCTGCGGATCTTTTTCACCTGCGAGGCGTCATTTTTCATTTCATTCCACGTGAACAATCCATTTTTTCTTTTTTTTTCACCCATATTTGTGAGTAATGTTTTATTAAAGGCACCGACAACGACGAGCAGGCCATAACACGACGATAACAATAACTATAGGAGCGAGCGAGAAACGAGCGTGATATTATTACGCGGTGGACGTGCTTGGCTATATAGCTATACACGAGCACGTTTCAATCATGTGCATAAGAAGCGAAACTCGTTTCGTTTATAAGCCATGACGGCGGCGGCCCGTAGATGGCGAGCGTAGGAGTGCGACCGTCGTTTCTCTCACTGGCGTGCATTTTTCTCTTCTACAGCAGCGCTGGTATGCAGAGAGTATTGCATGCTCGAGCCAGCGAGAGCCTGCGCGTATTAAATCTCGTTTTTTGCAGGTGTTCCAGCGACTGAATGAACATTCGCTGTGCTCGTTAATATTTAATCGGAAAAAGGCCGCTGCTGTCTGTTTAATAAATTGATAAATCGTTCGTTTTCAATTTTAACAGCTCCGCGTTATTGCGATTACCATTGATTTAAATTCATTCCCTGGACACTTGGTAGTGATGCGCTCGATCGACCAATCTATTTCGCGATAAAATTAAACTCAAGACCAAAGTACTCGTCGTTTACTTACACACATACAGACGCAGCTTGTGGACATGCAAAACAAGTCGTCAAAGCCACTGCATATCTATTCTTGTATGAGGTAATTGTCCCGCGAAGCTTAGATACCGTGCCGCTCTTCAATCAGTTCAAGGCAAACCAGGTGCCGACGAAATCGATCGAGCGGATACGTGCACGCGTCGTTCGCGAACGCTTAAAAAGTTCTGCCACTCGATGCTCCTTAGCGATAGGCAAATACCCTGCATAATATCGTGTAAACGTTACGTCGACGTAAATAAGTTCATTTAGATCCTCGAAGGAATTATTTTTATTCTAATCTCGGCCGGATCAGCGGGCCGCATGCATTTCAAGTTCTGCAAGCCTCGCTACCGAAACGCGATAGTAATAATAATGATATATTGTAAAATTCACGACATACGTTACACCCATGGGAGATACGGATAAACAATGCAAAAAATGCGTGCTTATATATAAATTACAAAGTCATATCAATGTCTATGTAGCAGCTCGGCCACTACCTGTTCTCCTTCTCTGTCTCCCTCTCTCTCTCTTGCTGCAGTGCACCGGTGGGTCGCGAATAGTTGCGCCTAAGCGCAATTCACGTATTCCCCGAGTATTTAGCCTCGATTGCTCTCGCACGACTGAAATTCTATATCTCGCATAAATTCGACTCGTGTACGTGTGTGTCTGTAAGTGTAGGTATAGGAAATGTAGAAAATCCGTCGTAATTATTTTTCCTTACGTATTGCAATATCTCTTTGGACGATAGTCGATGGAGTACGAACGCTCATCGCAGTTATCTGCCTTGCAGCAACTCAAATTGGATACAATATGTTTTCATTTATTTTTCCCTTTTTTACCTCGTCATTGATCGTCTCTTTTTTGTTGTCCCACAGATGGACGGGCCGAGTCACTGGAGCCGTGCGGCGTGTGCGGCCGCAAATTCAATCCGCGCTCGCTCGAGAAGCACATGCCGATCTGCGAGCGGACCGCGGCGAAAAAGCGCAAACCCTTCGACTCGGCCAAGCAGCGCATAAAGGGCACCGAGCTGGCCGAGTTTCTGCCCAAGCAGAAGTCGTCGAGCGCGACCCTCAGCAGCAGCACCGATCACCTGTCCACGTCGTCGACGGTGCACATGGGCCACTCGCGGCGGCCTAGTCTGCCGCAGGTCGACGATCGGCCGCTTCCGACCTCCGGCAGCAGGGAAAATCAGCCCTGGCGACAGAAGAGAGAGGAGTTCATCAAAGCCATCAGAGCGGCGCGCGGCGAAGACAGTCAGGTATATCTGAGCTACGTCACACAATTACGGCTACTTACCTCGCGGATGCTGAAAAAATGCATTTTCACGCGCACGCAACAGGCTCGTCCTCGATTCATCCACCTTTCGAGCGCACGAGGCAGCGTAAAATCGGCTAATGTTTACGACCACTTTTATATTATATCTTATAATAAGATGTAGGTCATAATGTTTCTGTTTAATCATTTGATTTAACTCGAGTCGCGAATAAGAGAGATAGAGAGAGATCAATTTGAAATAAAATAAATACGCGAAATTTCGTCGAAGCAAGTATTCAACTTTCGCCGCTGATGCTCGTTGCGTGCGCGCGTGCCAAGCCAAACAAATGAAGCCTCGTTAATCTCCGCGATGAAAAAAATCTAATTTCTCCGAACGTCTCGCGATGCAGCCTTCGTCGCAGCCTTCGTCGCATCGTTCCAATCATCATCAGCATCATCAGCAGCAGATGCAGCAGAGGCCGTCGACCCTGTCGCTAGTGAGCTCCCACGGAGCGCCTCAGAGGGCCAACGAGAAGGGCCAGTGCCCGACCTGCCAGCGCCAGTTCGGCGTCAAGTCCTACGATCGTCACGTGGCCTTCTGCCGGGAACGGGCGACTCGCGTGCCGGCCAGTCCGCAGGTCACCAACAACGTGGCCAAGGAGCGACTCGACGCCAGGATGAAGTACCGAGCGCCGGCCCTCAAGAACCGCAAGCTCACCATGAAGGAGAAGTACGCGCCGGGTGGGCCTCACAAGGTGCCCCAGTCGCCGATCATGTCGAGATCGGCACTCGCGGCTAAGGAACACAAAAACGAGCCCAAGTTGCCCACGCTGTGAGTTACTTACCACATGTACATGGCTTTTTGTCAATGAAAATATTAAAATATGCTTACTGGATTGAAAAATATCACAGTCGACGTGTATTTGAAATCTAATTAGAGAAAGTCCCGCGCCGATAGTGTTGCACACGAGCAATAATGCAGCTTTTCTTTTTTTTTTATTTTATTATTATATCGTATAAAATCTCGTCGATAACTTGTTAATGCATCGAAAAGCACTCGCGTACGACAATTTTTTTCCCCGCATATTTTTTTCGAAATTAGAAAGTGATTTGCGCTTTTGATAAGCTTGTAAAGTTTCATCGCGCTGATTTTGCAGATTCGCAGCTCGAGTCCATAGCTAGTAAATAGCTCCTCGTAAATCGCGCCCGAAGAATTACGCGGAAATACAGCGACCACAAATTTACGATTGAAATTTGTGTGTTGATTCGTGTGAAAAGGCTTCGCCACGGCAAATGTATATTTATAAACGCAGGCCAAAACACGATGGCTTCTTTTACGCGCAGCTTAAAATCTGCCTCTACGGGAAATCTAAGGCGCCTCTGATAATCTCGTTATAATATAACTTTTCACCGACTAAATGCGCCAAATTGATCTTGCCTTCTTCGAGCCGGGCGTATTTTATTCGACCAAAACAATTATTCATAGCGACGAGTTTATTAGACAAAATATTCCGTTTATACGAAAATAAAATCGCGCTCGCATGTGTGTATGTGTGTAAGTGTGCTTAAACGCGGATAATTTTAAGTGGCCGCTCCAAATTCTAATTTCAGAAAGCGACCGAGTCAGACGAACAAGGAAACGCCGATATCTTCGCCGGCGACCACGCCGCACTCGAGTAGCAACAACGGCCCTTTGAAATCTCGTGCGATCGACCGCTCGAATAGGTAAGCAAAATACGACGCCGAGCAAACCGCGCGTACGTCTCGACTTTTATCGTTTTAGCTAAAGCAAGACGTATTTTCAACAATTTCACGGCTTTCCGTTTAAACGCATACATAATAATGTGGGTTACGTGTGTATTTTCACACTTTGTCCGAGAACCGAGGCGTCGTTAAGCCAACGTCATATTTTGCCGACTTTGCGAACGAGTAGACGTTTTCAAGTCGTGCTAAATTAAAAAATAGGGCCTAGAGCCACATAGGCAAATTATTTTAACCACAATCCTAAAATATAACACCTCTCCTTTCCTTCTTCCTTCCGCAGAGATTCCGACTCCCAAGAATCCCTCAATCTCGCCGGCGGCTTGAAGCAGATGTTCTCGTCGCGGCGCCTCCTGCTCCTGTCCGAAGTCTTGCCCTCGAAAATTCTCAAATCCAAGCTGTCGATGTCGTCGAGCTCGTCGCAGAAATCAACGAGCGGACTGTTTCCCGATTTGACGGGAGGCAAGGAGCAAAATTGCCCCGAGCCACCGGCCGATGGCTCGAAAAATTTGCTTCGCAAGCTGCGCAAAAAGTCGAAACTGAAGAAAGCCGAAGCGGCCGCTGCGGCCCAGAGCGAGGAAATCGACGACAAGATCGACATGATAACCGAGGACGACTTTTTGGCCTGGAAACAGGCTCAGAGCGAGAAACTCAAAAGCAACAGTAACGAGGGTATCGAGCTCGTCATCGACAAAGAGGACGAGCCGTTCAATTACGACACGCAATCGAGCCTCGACGGCGGCAATTCGTCGACTCTGGACGAGTTCGAGCATACGGAAAGAGTAACGAAGTACACCGAGGAGCGCAGAAAATTATTGGATAGTAGCGACGGTTGCGAAGAAAAATCCCAAGATTTTACCGAGAAAAAAACTTCGTCCAAGGAAGAGCCAGTGCTTAACACGACTTATGTGATAGATAAGGCCGAAAACAGCTTGAAAAAGCAGCAGCAGGATAAAGCGAAAAATGCCGAAGACGACGAGGAGGAGGAAGAAGAACTCAAGGTCATGGAAATCAATCGTCAGGTGGAAAAAATCGACATTAGAGCCGACGATACCGAAGACGAGGATGCGCTATCGAACGCCTCGACGGTAACGTTCGTAAATAAAGAGAGATCGCTCGTGATAGCGGCCAACGAGGCGGACGATTATCGCCTGCTCAAATCTAACACGGCCGACGACGCCATGATGATGACTATGATGAGGGATAGGATAGAGCAGCAGCAGCAGCTACAGCAGCGCAGCTCGAAGGATGGCAAAAAAATCGAAGATAATAATTGCCACGAGAGCGGCAATGAATTACTCGTCAAAATAACGGCCATCAATCGACCGAAGAAGTATCACAGCCTGCCGAATATTTCGGACATGAGGGTCAAGGATGCGGATTTTTTGCCGGCGATCGTGAAAGTCGATAAAGACGATAACAATAGATCGAATCTCGTGGCCGATCGAATCAAGCCCCTCCTAGGTATCTAAGACCATCGTCGGTCCGGTTTTTTAATTTGTTTCGGTTTAAAAAATATGGCCTTGCAACTTTTCGTAGATCCAAGAGACATCGAGACACAGACGACTCCGATGTCAACTGCCCGTCGTAGCGCCTCCTACGTCATAAGCGACAAGAAAAATGCAAAATCGAGTCATCATCAGCAGCATCGTCAGCAGCACCGTTATCACTACGAGCAGAAAAAAGCCGGCGGCGAAAGCTCGAAAAAATCAGCCGCGATGCTCGACGAGGACGCCTGCAGCGAGCTGACGACGAGCGTCTGCACGACCGACGCCCCGTCCGAGCTCTCGGAGACGGACTTTACCGAGGACACGGAGGGCACGAGTGCCACCACCGCCGGTGCCGGTAGCAACAATCCCACGGCTATACTGCGCGAAATCGAGGGCGAGGTGTTCAAGAGCAAAGACTCCATGATGGACATTCTCGGCAAGTTGCGCGGCCTGGAGAAGAATTACGCGAAAAAGCGCACGAGCCTGAAACCGAAACGCAGCGCCGCCAGGAGCAGTGGCAGGTAAGACGCGATTGCCGAGAAACGACGAGCAGTGACTGCCACAGCGCGCTTCGCTCAGATTAGAAACGTTCGCCGAGGAGAGCAGCCCGGAAAAGGAAATATGCTCGCTCACGCGGGTCGATGTGCAGCAGCAGCCGGCTAGTAGCAACGACAACAACGAGGTCTACCTGCCGAGCATATGCGGCCCGGCGAAGCGCAGCAGTCGTCGGGAAAAGACGCGGCGGGCCCGTTTCGCCTTGGATCTGGAGACGCCGCGCGAGGAGGAAGAGGACCTCACGCCCAGAGTGGCCGAGAGAAATTCCGGGCCCGGCTGCGTGCTCGTGAGCTGCCCGAAAATAAGCCGAAAACCAGGCCGTGCAAGGTATAAAGATTCATTAAGCCGATCGCGCGCCTCGTCGTCCTCGCAAAACCGTCAATTACGGCCGAGTAATTTTGTCCAGAGTATAACGGATAATTATTTGGGTTATTGTCGAATGGCATTAACCTGATACAGATATTTGCGATTACTTCCAAGTACCACAGCCCCGTGCACCGATCGCAGCACGTGTTATATAAACTTTCACGTATGCTACAAAGAAAGTCCATATCTCAAGAGTATGAGAGAGAGAGGAAAAAATGTAAAATATCCACCGTTGCGCGCATAGGATGCATTTTTATGAGGCAAAGCGCGTATACATTATATATACGACGAATCGTCCCTCGGGAACGGAGAGAAGGGCAAAAAATCTCATTTGTCCCGTACGTACATGCGTCTTAATTTTTTTTTTGTTCTGCTCAATCACAAGCAGCCATCTACATAGGAGTTTCGAGAGGCTGCCCCGTTGCGACTGGAACAGCTACGTTCGCCGACATCCAGACTTTTCAATGATACTTAGAGGTAGAATGTAAGTTTTCCTGCTGCCTTGTCAGTTGTCTCGAAAGTCTCATTTATACATTTGCCTCTCTGTGTGCACAATGCTCGATTTTCGCATGTATGTATGTGCGCGAGCCATCAACACGCATCGAGCTAACGCACACACACGTTTATGTATACTTTGGTTCTTCGTGCTCGAGCGATTTTGTTTTTCGACGTTTTGTGTGAACGAAGCGCAAACAGTCGCACGTGCTTCACCCGGAGACGAGCGCATTGTTTGACTTTGACTTCTGTCAAACGACTTATCATCGTTATTTTTTTACATTTTCGTTGGAGTACGCATAATCATCTCAATACTGCAGAATTAGTGAACAATATTATTTAAAATTTTAGGTTGAAGATTTGCATGAATTTATTTGTATGCGTAGCATAATAAGCTGCAAGCATGGAATTCGCATCGATAAAGACTTTGTGCGAATAATTATTATTTTTCAATTAGGATCATTAATTTATTTGTACCATGTTTTTATCATTCAGCAAAATTCAAATATTAAAAGAAAACCTGACTGTTTCAGAGGATCGAACGGCGATTATAATCCGTTCTTACTAGCCGAGCAGCAGTTCAACGAACTATTCTCCGAGAGCGACCAGTCGTCGACCGACGGCTCGAGCCAACCACGCTCCACCTCCCAACGCCCGAAACCCAATTCCACCCCCAATTCTCCCTTCGCCAATTCCTCGGCCTTCGTGCAATATCCCCCGTCGAGCAACGGCAGCGTCTCGTCCTCTTCCACGCGTCAGGTATCGCCCCTTCCAGTGGCTGCCCCCGCGCCATCGTCCCTGCAGCCGACGACGAGCTGCGTCGAACCGGCGATACTCGCGAGCGCGGACAAGGCCGTCGCACCACCGGCACCTCCTCGGCTCTCGGCGCCGCCACCGCCACCCTTCGACGATCTCACCTCGTCCGACATATCGGGCAGCGACTGCACCGAGAGCACCAACTCGCTGACCCGCAGCGACCGAGGCGGCCTCTCGTCCACGGCCTCGTCCGCGTCTCGTCATCTGGGCCGTCGTATGATCATCGACCCGTCGCAAGCTCTCGGTGGCGGCGAATTCGCTCCGGTCGAGCTCAATAATCCTCCTCCCGTCAAAAATTCGCCCAGCAGCAACGGCGCTGCTGGCAACATTATCTCGAGACTGAATCGACAAGCTCCTATTCAGCAGCAGCAGCAGCAGACAAATCGCTCCAACTCGATGCGCTCGATCTCGGCGCCGAAACCTCCCGAACGCAAGCTCTCGAGCTCCTCCTCCTCCGGAAGCTCCGAATTTTCCCGCAAAGCTCCCTTTGCCAAACCCATGCGAGCACTGCCCGGCCACAGAACCAACAACACCCCCGTTCAGCAGCACCACACGATGAACCATCGCGTTTATCGCAACAATTATCCGAAATACTCGAACGGCAGCCTGAGTTCGATCATCGCGCCCCACGAGTCCGAGCTCAAGCGCTCCAACTCGCTGTTCGACGACCTGTTGAGCTCTTTCGACGACGACACGGCCAACTCTTGCTCCACCTTCCCGTCCCTTATTTCCATGATGAGAAACGATATTTCCTCTTCCATGATGCTGCCCAGCGTGAGCCAGCAGCAGCAGCAGCAAAACGGCAGCCACGGGCTCAACGGTCATCAGCAGCAGCAGCAGCGCAGTAACAACAACGGCAACGGCCTCAACGGTAGCAGGATCAATCACAGCGACGAGGACGACGTCGAGCTATCGTCGCCGGAGAGCGTCAAGAAGCAGGAGTGCAACGGTAAACTCAGTGCGGACTCGGCCTACAGCAGGTATGTGATGATCGGCATTATTTTTCACTTTTTTCTTTCTGATATAGCAGCAATAATGACCAAATTCAATCAAATCTCTTTATTTGTCTCTGTTTTTCTCTCTTTTTCAATATCACCTCTCCCGCCTCTCGCTGTCCTCTCTGTCTCTATGCGAAACGCACACACGCCAGTCTAAATCGCAAATATTCCTCGCACGTGCGCAGCACCAACGACGTGAGCGGCAGCTTCAACAACAAGTGCAAGCTGGCCGTCTACTGCCACCAGTGCGGCGAGAGGTTCCCCGACCTGGCCAAGTTCTGCTGCGAGTGCGGCATCAAGAGGCTCGCGCTCTGATACGAGCCGAGCGCACGCGGCTTTCTGCCGGCCATCGGCCACGAGGAGGATCATCGACATCGTCATCGCGATGCAGCAGCAGCTGCTGCGTCTGCGAATCACACGAGTGATAACGACATAGAGTCGTCCTCGAGTTGCGAATGAGCCAGTTACGTTTACGTACTTTTAGTATATATCATTTATTTTGTTTATAGATATTTATTTAGCTTAGTTACATTTGATACGTATTTATTATTTTTGATTAATAATATTTTATAGTAATTCTAATTTTTATAGACGTCAAAATAAAACTTTTATCTCTAATTCGTAATTAAAAATCGTGAAGGCGTTTTTTAATTTTTTTCAGAAAAAAAATCAAGTTAAAAAAAATAAAACATGGCGAACAAAGAATAATTTGGTTGGACTTGATACATAATTAAGACTGATTTTTTCTTACTTCGAAACAATGGTGTTTGAGGCTTAAAAATTTAATTTGTATTAATATCTTGTTTACATATGAACTTGCTTCAACAAAAATATAAGATACTTGAAAAAAAAAAATTAAATTTATGAAACATGACTTTCATAAATTGGTTGCTTTTACCGTTGCAAGGTAATCATGATATGATTACGGTGTAATGTCAAAAAAAAAAAAAATATTTCAGGCGTTTACGACGTGTGTTGAGGTGCCTTATCTGAATACTTTTACGAATTTCCGAAAACTGCCTTTGAATACAGTAATATTTTTCACTTAGACTGCCGAAAAGTATAAGAATTTCTTGCGATAATAATTAATACTTGTACCGATTAAAATTTCTAGTGTATAACTTATATAAGAAAATCCTGAATTTGACAGCAAAAATCCAAACGAGCTGCAAACGATAATTGATAGCGATATATAAATAAATTCTAAAATATTTTTTAGGACAGAGTACTCGGAACTGCAATAATAATTGTATAAATGTTTTTAATCTGAATACTCTAAGTGATAGTAAAAAATCGTCATATTATATAAACCATATTATATTATTATATATATTCAATCAAATCGACTAAATGAGTGTGCGTGTGTATTTGTAATTACTTGAATGTTATCATTAGTGGGGTACTACTTTATAATATTTACCTAAAAGTCATTGATTATTAATGATACGATTGCAATTACGTATATTATTAAAATATAATTTTAATATAAAAAGTATGTTATAAGAACGAAGAAACAAAAAAAGTATAATTACAAGCTCACACAATTCATCGTTTATTAATGATAATAAGATGTATTTTTGCATGTGCAATAAACAATGCTTGTATTTGTATACAAGAACCAAATTAAACACATTGACTCCAACCTACTTCACTTCATTCGTTGGTAAACTATATTAATAATCCTTAAGAATCCTAACCCTGATACATGTATTTAATGTTTATGTCATAACAAGTGTAAAGGAGTAAGAATTATTTATTGTCATACCAAAGATTATTATGCACGGTTTAACTGGATTTAAGGTGAGTGAAACGAAAGCTCCTATGCGTACTGACCGAGATAAAAGTAAAGAGCTCTATCCATCCATCTTCCTCCGTAGAAATATATAAGCAAAGCTGCCTCAGCGGCAGAAACGAAACTCGTGCGTCTCGTTCACGCGAATCTGAGCGGCGCCGAGAGATCGCGATGCAAAGTCACCGAGCGAGTCCACTCCAAGTGCAGCCACACGATCGTCGAGCACTGCTACGACGCGGTGATCGTGGGGGGCGGTGGCGCGGGTCTGCGCGCCGCTCTGGGCCTCGGCGAGCAGGGCTACCGCGTCGCAGTGGTGAGCAAGCTCTTCCCCACGAGGTCGCACACGGTGGCCGCTCAGGGCGGCATCAACGCGGCCCTCGGCAGCATGTGCGCCGACCACTGGCTCTGGCACATGTACGACACGATCAAGGCCGGCGACTGGCTCTGCGACCAGGACGCCGTGCACCTGCTGGCGCGCGAGGCCCCCGAGGCCGTGCACGAGCTCGATCGCACGGGCTGCCCGTTCAGCAGGAGCTCCGAGGGCAAGATCTACCAGCGGGCCTTCGGCGGCCAGTCGACCTGCTTCGGCGAGGGCCCCAAGGCCTGGCGCACCTGCAGCATCGGCGATCGCACGGGTCACGCGATCCTCAACAGCCTCTACGGGCGCAGTCTGCGCCACGATCACGTGCACTACTTCGTCGAGTACTTTGGCCTGGACCTGCTGATGGTCGACGGGCGCTGCAGGGGCCTCATGGCCTGGGAGATAGAGACCGGCAGGATGCACCGGTTTCGGGCGCATCACACGGTGCTGGCGACCGGGGGAGCGGGTCGCTGCTATCAGTCGTGCAGTGCGGCGCACACGTGCACCGGCGACGGCATGGCCATGGCCACGAGGGCGGCTCTGCCTCTGCAAGACATGGAATTCGTTCAGTTTCATCCGACCGGTAACGTATAATACGCAGCATGCTTATTGTATAACGCGGCGCCAGAGCCACTCGTGCTTTGTATAAAATTACATATCACGAGGCAGCCGCACACGACAATAAGGCCTCGCGCACAGCCAATTACACAGCCGGAGCACACCGGCTGAATCTCTTAAGCGAGAGATAAAATGCTTAGTTAGCATACAACGTAATAACTTGATTCAAAGCTCGCGTGCGATTTCTCCCATACGCACCGTTAACTTTATAAACCTGTGCTAGGCGCGCGCGATACAAAAGTCGCCGTAGCGTGTCAAGACGCCACTACACTGCGTTTTATTCATTTTGCGTTCTCTCTCTCGCTTCTCTGCTTGGCGTGCGTATTCGCGCACGGACTCGTGGGAGTGAAAAAAATGAGCGAGCAATTACGCTTCCGCGTCTCGCTCTCTATCCCTTTTTTCGCTCGAAAACGACGACAACGAGGACAAACAAAAGCAAAAAGATACATCTACATTATAAGGTATCTACGGTAGCGGCGTGCTCGTAACGGAAGGCGTGCGCTGCGAGGGCGGCCTGCTCGTCAATTCCTGCGGCGAGCTCTTCATGGAGAGGTACGCACCCAAAGATCGGGATCTGGCTCCTCGCGATCTCGTCTCCCGTGCCATAGCTCAGGAAATCTGCGAGGGCAGGTAAAAATATAAAAAAATTTATAAAATTAATTAGATTTGCCGCGAGAGATGTCGTTTTCTATACGTCCTACACATTGTGCAGAGGCTGCGGACCGAACAAAGATCACGTTCTGCTGAAAACGAGTCACATACCCAAAGAGAGGATAAAAAAGGAGCTGGCCGGCGTCGCGGAGATCTGCCGATTGTTCGCCGGTATCGACATCGGCAAGCAGCCGCTGCCCGTCGTGCCCACTGTACATTTCAATATGGGCGGCGTGCCGACAAACGTCCGAGGCCAAGTACGTATAGCATTGACGTACGACTCGAAAAAACTCGATGGATATGGGGGCAACTTTTTGCCATTGGTATATAATATCGGGCAATAAAGTATAAAATAAACAGGTATTGACGCGCGAAAATGAACAAGATCTACCGGTCGAGGGTTTATGGGCGGCCAGTGAAACGGCCTGCGCCTCGGTACACGGGGCCAATCGTCTCGCTGCCAACGGCCTACTCGAGCTCGTGGTTTTCGGCAAAGCCGTCGCCGACAACATTGCCCGGATCATAGAGCCTTGCGCCCAGCAGTGCGAAATTCCAGACGTGAGCTTTTTTCTAATTTTAAATGATGAAAATACCGATGTGGATTTATCGCGGTCGCCAGGATCTGGGCCAAGAATCGATCGATCGCTTGGACGCTCTGCGCTGCCGCGAGGGCAGCCTGACGGTGGCGTATCTGCGCGAACGCATGCAGCGCACCATGCACAGCTACTGCTCGGTCTATCGCAGCTGTCGAGTCCTGCGGCAAGGCTGTGGCGCCATGTCGAAGTTCTACTCGTGCGAGATGCTGCAAGCAGACGTGAGACAATGTTACGCGAAAGGCGCCACGTAACTGTATTATTGCGTAGTGCGCGTGGAAAGGGCAGTTTTTTCTTCCTCTCTTCCTTTTCTATGCAATCAGGTGCAAGATCGGTCGCTCGTTTGGAACACCCAGCTGGTGGAGGCGTTGGAATTGCAAAACTTGGCTGCTTGCGCGCTCCAGACGGTTTACGCGGCCGAGGCCCGTAAAGAGTCGAGGGGGGCTCACACCACGGCAGATTATCCCGTAACTTTTCTCGCCTATTATCTTGTATTACGCGCGTCTAATTTTTTTTCTCTTTCTCTCTTTTTCTCGTATTCTCAACGTTACTAAGGATCGAATCGACGAGTACGATTACTCGAGGCCGATCGAGGGACAGACCAGGAAGCCGCTGGAGTGTCACTGGCGCAAACACACGCTCACGTGGATCGACAAGAACGATTCGGTAATACATTCGCCGTAATAAATTTTTAATTCATGCGTCTGTTGTCGTAAACGTCTTGCAGACACTCGTCATCGATCATTAAATCCAATGTAATATAGGTTTGCATTTCTTATCGTCCGGTGATCGACGAGACACTCGACGAGTCGGAGGCTCGACACGTACCACCGGCGCTCAGATCGTACTGAGGCGTGTCAAGTACGACGCGTGTGTATGCATGCGCTCATAACAACAACAACAGCAACAAGAAAGGAGAGGAAGAAGATGAAGAAGAAGGAGAATCGAAGAATTGAAACGAGGCCACCGTCGTCGCCGCTTGTGCCGCGCGTCAATCAAACTGATATTATTATACATTTTAAAATCGCCTTAGCCATGTAAAACCATTATAAGCGTCGCACTTATTGAATAGGTGTGCGTGCATGTATGTATTTGTGCAACCGCAAGAGAGAGATCTGTAATCGATTGCTGCGTAAAAATCGATCGAGTCGATGCACCTTATTTGTATTGATAATAAATTTTCTATATATGAGAGCTTCTCACCGTCGTCATTTTTCCAATAATTAGAGGCGCGCGGATAGCGTATAAAAAAACGTTCGATTTTCCCTCCCGAGCGTGCCATAACGGTACTCGCCACACTTAAATTTCTACAAATGCGCTTTTTAGCCGTGTACGCGAAAACAAGTTTTCAATATGGGAAGAAATAGCCTTTGCTGGATGAATTTTTATGGCCATCGAGAGATTTTCATTTATAAATTATATGCGCGCGATCGCGTCTTTACAGCGAGAGCGAGGCATCTATATTCAAAAGCCAAGTGCGAATAGCCGCTCTCATCTGCATATTTGTGCACTTGAATTTTCCATTGATTCTTCCGCTCGAACTAGGCCTTGATCGCTCATATAGAGTTAAATTCATACGCGAGACGAAAATCGCACGGGGAATTTTCCTTACGAATATCGATCTCACATTTTAACGTTTTCCACTATAAAATTTAATAATGTACGTTTAAAATTATTTTGTTATTCAAAGGTCAGTATTATTTTCAATCAACGATAACAATTATCTTCGCCAGACGCGACTCTTCCATAAGAAACATAAAACGAGTCGAGAAGAAAAGATAAAAAAAAATCAATCCAAATCTCGCGCCAAGCGTATCTCGCTCGCTCGTTGAGCTGTCACGTGTCACAAGAGGCGTCGTTACTTTCGTCGCGTTGTCGCCCACGCAAGAGATGCCAGAGCCGCACTAAACGTCAAAAACTTTATAATCTATCCCTAAGAGATGAAAGTCAAGTAAGGCCAAAGTCATGGCTAGATTTTTCATAAAATGAATAATTTTCTCGTTCTCGCGAGAGTTACCAATCTGCTCCATCGGTAGCACTGCTGTACCTACTGACGCCCGTGCACCCACACAATTGCAACAACGTGTCACACATGCGCACACGTGTAGGTCAGCTGCGGTGCGAGAGCAAAGAAAGATCGCGAATACGACTCGGCGTGACATATATATTACAAACAAACTGAAAAGATGATCGTATGATATGCTCCAAAAGTTGTATTTTAATACGCACGACAGTAGCTACTCGATGTATCACATGTATACCTATACAGCATAGCGGACCAATGGGTGTATGCGCCGGCGTCGAAGCCGCTGTATTACGTATGCGCGCACCGCTACTGTCGCCAACTGCGTCAATTTTTCTCGCTTCAACTGTATATCTGTATATATGTACATCAGGATATAGCAGAAAGATCTGGTCGTCGGTGCGGGCCAATAAGCTATATACGTGTGAGCAGCACATTATAATCGACGACGACGACGACTAGTCGCGCGCGCGCTTCCTCGTACCCGAATCTCTCTGTCTCTCATCGTTCGCCGTGCGAGAAGTGCGCGAGGTGAAGATAGCAGGTCGTGGTTACTCTCTTTGCTTCTTGTGATATACGTGAATTGTTTCATCCTTCAGTCGGTGCAGTCCGTCTGTAGGCAGTAATCTCTTCTGATCGAGTGCAGCACAACAACTCGACGCGTGCGAGTTCGACTCTCTCTTTCTCCCTCGTCGAAGAGCTGAGAAACTAGCAACATGAGTGGAATGTTGAAGCTATCGAGCGCCCTGACCAAGGGTCTCGCCAACCCATCGGCACTGGTATGTCTATACGTCTAATTACGCCTTTGCTTCCTTCGCTTAGTTGTCACACTTATCTGCGCTTCATGCTAACAATTTATTATGTAATTCGATCGTTTATCTTTGGGGATAGTGCTCTTTTTTTCTTTCTTTTCCTCGTCGTCTAGCTAACAACTATTGTACGATTCAGAGACTCACGAGTCGCACACTCAACGTTACGTAAGGTTCATTCGCTTTGCAGACAATATGTACATAGATATTCTCTTTCAACGGCATTAGTATCGTATTGTTTTTACATTTTTTTTTCTCTTCGCCGTCTAGCCATCGAGCAGACGTGCCGAGAGCTTCTTGACATCGACCCCTTGATAAGTCAAACATGTATAGTTCACGGACTCGAAAACTACACTGCTCATCACTTATGAGATTGTTTATATCTAAGCCGTTGGATCCTTTTTCCACACGCTTTCGGCTAAACCAGAATCTTGGCGTATGTTGCCTCGTTTTTGTACGTCTGACCGCGGTAGTACTTCGAGCTCACTTCGTAAAGTAGATTTTTTTTTCATGAACAATGCCTTATGTTGGAACATCTGATAAGTTGCAATTTTGCATGCAATCGCACAATACATGCTCAATATTTTGATGAATTTAGATGTTTATGTAATGATAAATATATCTATACAAAAGAACATCATAATGCATCATCATTGTTTGACAACATGTGATTGCAAAATTTCACCATTTTGCAGTTATAGACCAATGTATGTCTCTTTCTTTGACTTTTACTTTGTTATTGACCTTGAATAAAACTATTTAATGAAAATTTCAGTAAAAAACGGTTTTTTTCACTCTTGTGCAATAATGTGTAAGAATCTGTAAGACGTACATAAGTTGAAAAAAAATCAATACAAAGCTCATATTGTTTAATTTAATTGATTAAAGTATGTTAATAAAACAGTTACCATTAATTATTAACGGGTATATTTACTTTTTTTGTATTTAAATAACGGTATAGAGTAATTCATTAGTGAGTTGCAATGGACAACAATAGATATATCTAAATACACAACTATAAAAATTTAAAATAATACACAAAATATTTTAAATATAGTTTAAAATAAGATATTAGTATTAACTACACTACTTTAAGATGAAATCAATTTGTTGATGCAATCATCGTAAACTTGAGTGCAACATCTTCTTTTAAAGTATCGAAAGAGATAATGTTATATGAAAATTGATTTAAAATTAATGAATAAGATAACATCACATTGAAGCAATGCTTGTCAAAGTGGTTTATATATTTTTGTACAAATAACTTACTTATGAAATTATTACTTATTAAATTTAAAAAATTTCTGTTTAAGAACAAAGTTGGCCTACCGGCTATTACTCAACGGCTTCTGCATTACACACCAAGCAGTAGCTTTACCAAAGTAACTGATGGAATCTCTACCAATTACCCAGTTGTTGATCATACCTACGATGCAGTGGTTGTTGGTGCTGGTGGTGCTGGTCTCAGAGCAGCATATGGTCTGGTTGAAGAAGGTTTCAAAACAGCTGTTATTACAAAATTATTTCCTACAAGATCGCATACAGTTGCTGCTCAAGGTGGTATCAATGCAGCTCTGGGAAATATGGAGGAAGATCAGTGGCAATGGCACATGTATGATACTGTCAAAGGTTCTGACTGGCTAGGAGATCAAGATGCCATTCATTACATGACAAGAGAAGCACCAAAAGCTGTTATTGAATTAGAGAATTGTGGGATGCCATTCAGTAGAACTTCAGAGGGTAAGTCAATCAAATGTTATATAAATAGCTGTCATCAATTTTAGTAGTTGATGGAATTATAGCATAACACTGATTGGTTCTAATACATGAGAATATAAAAAAAAATGTATGATTGCACACTCTTATAACCTAATAATTTAAAGGGAAAAATTGAAAAGCGTAGTTAAAGGTATTTTCTGATCTAATTTTTCAGCTACTTAAATCAAATTAGAGTTAGACTGCCTGTCAATGTAGCAATTTGCTATTTACATAAACGTTATTTAAGAAATTTTTAAACACAGAAATTTGAATACAAATATTTATTAATTAAATCTATCAGCATCGCTTATGGAAGAGTATACTGCTGTTGTAGCGGTATCCGAATCGCTCTTAGTGTCCTTATAATTGGCCTTATACAAAAAAAAATAAATTAAATCAAAACATGAAGTTTTACCTGATAAAAATGTTACTTTATAAACTTTTAAAAATTATAAAGGCAAGAAATAGTAGTGTGAGGACAACCTTTGACCGTTTCTTATTCGTTTCTTTTCGTTTGACCTCAGCTTTATGTTTTGAAACACGACCAGTAGACTTTTTAGTTTGATGATTGTTACTATTGTCGCCGATTTTTCTATTTTTCAACCTTTTTACAGTATTTGCAGCTATAATATAAGGTTGCTTCTGTTCATCTGTCATATTCTTCCACCTTTCTCCACAAATTTGAAAAATGTTCCGGCTCACCCCTGAATTAGGATAATCCTGCTGATGTTGGAACAAACTTACTTAGCTTCAAATTGAAATAATACAATTTTAATTTTTTCTGATGCTTTGTTTACCTGTTTGAAATCATGTACAAAGTTTACAAAGGCATTAGCGCTTTTCCATTTGGTTTTTTCTGTCGGAGTTGTATCCGCAGCATCTGGATTTTGAGACGTCGTCGATGGTCTAGATTAAATTCTAGATTATTCACAAGGAAAAATGCAGTATTTGAACCGTCCGTATAATTTATTGTTCACCCCGCGAATGAATTGTTTTTAACCAAAAAATAGTCATCTATTCTGCTCGCGAAACTTACGGGTCTGTCTTTGGCGCTTTTTTGCCGTCTGTCTCAGCTTTACTCGGTTCTCCGGTCTGCTGACTTTGCCGATTTTCCTCGACAGCATCAACTTCGTCTATCCGCGCTCTATCATCGTCGAACTGATCGTCCCGATCATCTCGATCATCCCGATCGTCTTGCTCGTCTCCGATCTCTTTGAGCTCGTCCACGTCCATTGCCAACTTGTGTACTCGGTTAATTAATAATAATAATTATAAAAAAAGGGACGCGAAATTTGTCAACTGATATCGATCGTTAACCCGTCTATTAAAAGATGAGCCGCATTTTCCGATGCTCCTTGCGATGACGCGCAAAAAATTTTGTCCTTGTAAAGAGGTTTTTTATTTTGATGAGAACGAAAGTGAAAAAAAGAAAATACGAAGTTGATAGCGCGGAGCGAAATATGTTGTCAAGCATTGATTTTGTTTTTTTTTTCATCTCCCTGTGTCACCACTCGGTGTATTTTCGCTCTGAGGCGAGTTCGAAAAGTGAAGTTAGTCGTGTGTGTTTATTATAACCGCACAAAAGTATTGTACACGTTCACACGCGTGGATGCCTCCTCGCATACGCTTATTATCAGTAGTTAGTATCATTGTGATGATTATTCATCTAATTGAGACATGTCAGGGGAAAGAATCAAGCAGCGGATTGAGAAGGATGCAAAGGAAAAAAAATGTTTTGATACGTTGATGCGGGGATCAGGATTAAATTGGATGTGTGATGCTGCGTGAAAGGGAACGAGAGTAGCGAATCAGTCAGCCGATCCAAAAGAAGCCTGTGAACGTGTGTAGCTTTCTTGAACCGATCCGGCTTCTTTTTATTCATTTTTATTCGCGCTCTCCTCTTATGGCCTTTTTCGATTAAGTGGCTCTATAAGATATATTTTTGGATTTATTAGTGAGATATTGTGCTACAATAAATGTACAAGAAGATATTATGTTGCAAGTTGGCTTCGATAAAAAGTGGCCGTTAACGGCCAAGTTCAAGGTCCAAATCAATCGAGGACTAACAATTACAATTTTTTTTTTGTTCAGGCAAAATCTATCAACGCGCCTTCGGTGGACAGTCGCTGAAATTCGGCAAGGGTGGTCAGGCGCATCGATGCTGCTGCGTAGCCGATCGTACGGGTCACTCGCTCCTGCACACCCTGTACGGTCAGTCGCTGAGCTACGACTGCAACTACTTCGTCGAGTACTTCGCTCTGGATCTGTTGATGGAGGATGGCGAGTGTCGCGGCGTGATCGCCCTCTGCCTCGAGGACGGTACTCTGCATCGCTTCCGCGCCAAGAACACCGTGCTGGCTACCGGTGGCTACGGTCGCGCCTACTTCTCGTGCACGTCGGCGCACACCTGCACCGGCGACGGTACCGCTATGGTCAGCAGGGCCGGACTACCCAATCAAGATCTCGAGTTTATCCAGTTCCATCCTACTGGTATGTATACTTGTGATCGAGAATCGGACGATTTGTTTTTGTTTTCAAAAATTAATTATTTTTCGGGTTTACAGGAATCTACGGCGCCGGTTGCTTGATTACTGAAGGCAGTCGAGGTGAGGGTGGTTACTTGGTAAACAGCGAGGGTGAACGTTTCATGGAGCGTTACGCTCCAGTGGCTAAAGATCTTGCCTCGCGAGACGTCGTCTCGCGATCAATGACCATCGAGATCCGCGAAGGTAGAGGTGTTGGACCCGAGAAGGATCACATTTACTTGCAGCTCCACCATCTTCCCCCAGAGCAGTTGGCCGCCAGGCTCCCAGGTATCTCCGAGACAGCTATGATCTTTGCTGGTGTCGATGTAACTCGTGAGCCCATCCCCGTTTTGCCGACGGTGCATTACAACATGGGTAAGTTTGACTCTCGCTTTCTTCTCGACTGAGCTTCCTTAACGACAGCTTCAAATTATTCTCTTCCGTCTTTCAGGTGGCATCCCTACAAATTACCGGGGACAAGTTCTCACGAGGAAGAATTGCGAAGACGTTGTTGTGCCTGGTCTCTATGCCTGCGGTGAATCGGCCTGTGCCTCTGTGCACGGTGCTAATCGTCTCGGTGCCAACTCGCTTCTCGATCTCGTTGTTTTCGGTCGCGCCTGCGCCAAAACCATCGCCGAAGAAAACAAGCCCGGCGAGAGCATCGGCTGCTTGTCGCAGAACGCTGGTGAGGAGTCAGTGGCGAATCTTGACAAGGTTCGCTTTGCTAAAGGCAACATCTCGACAGCCGAATTGAGATTGCAAATGCAAAAGACTATGCAGACTCATGCTGCAGTATTCAGACAGGCCGACACTCTCCAAGAAGGTAAGTCGAAGAGAGATATGCGATTGATTATAACGATGAATTTTCATTTCTTTCTACGTTCTTATCAGGTTGCAAGAAGATGACTGATCTGTACAAAAAATTGGACGACATCAAGACAACTGACAAGTCGATGATCTGGAATTCTGATTTGATTGAAACTTTGGAATTGCAAAATCTCATGATCAACGCCATGCAGACCATCTACGCAGCCGAGAATCGCAAAGAAAGTCGTGGTGCTCATGCACGAGAAGACTTCAAAGACCGTATTGATGAGTACGATTACAGTAAGCCTATTGAAGGTCAAACAGCTAAACCCGAAGAACAACACTGGAGGAAGCACACTCTTACCGATTGCGACCCACAGACAGGCGAGGTACGAATTACGTTCCTTATTTCTATTCATTCAGTGGAAATATACAAAAGCGACTATATAATATTAACGTTTAATTACGCTGTATTGATTTTGATTGTTTATTCAATTCACAATTGATTAGCTCGACTATTTTTATATTTGAAATCATTAACTGTCATCTTTTGTTTCAGGTCAATATTCACTACAGACCAGTCATCGACAAAACTCTTGACGAGAAGGAATGCAACACAGTACCACCTGCAATTCGTTCCTATTAAACTCATTAACCAAGGAAACTATTTTAGATAGTTTTTATCCACTTGAGGTTTACTTGGTGAATAAATCTGACAACATCTTTCAACCTTGAAAAATCGTTCTGAAGAATTACACGTACAATCAAAGTAAAAGATCACAACTTTTCCTCCCTAGTTAAAAGAATTAAAACGACAAAGTTAGTTAAGAATTCAAACTTGATAAAATTTGTTTTTTGATGTACCAAAGTACAAGATTCTTACACTTCTATAATCACTTTCTTTTTATGTAAAAAACACTTGAAGAACGTGATAGTTTTTATCGAAAAAAGTTTAAAATTATTAAAAAAAAAAAAAAAAGATTTTTGGTACAGGATGAATAAAATCTATTGCAAGACTTAGCCTTAGAAAAAATAGCTATTCTTACAATGTAAGCAAGACCTTCAACGACATTTAATTTATTATGGACTTACAATATATTATTATTGTGGGGCTATTTTTTAATCAAGGTTGTTGTGCAGTAGAACTCAGCTTAATTTGTTCGAAAACGACGATGAAAAATTTTTCATTATGAAGCGGCATTATACTTAAAAATCCGCAAGAATGCGTTAAACGCGACTTTCGAAGATAACATCAATCATTTAAATAGTTAAGATGTCTCTTCGCTATAAAACATTTTTTATTGTCACGAAAGAGTTGCTACAGTTGTAAATAAAATTGAAAATACCTTTTGTAAAGCGAAAATTCTCTTTTGTGTGTAAAAGTCAATGTAAGATTTGTTAAAAGGTGAATGTTTGCAGTGTACATTTGTCCATTACTATCATTAAAGTTACTGATTTGATTATTTTTTATTCGAAAAATATATGAACACTGATCATGATCATTTTGATTACTGTTTCTGTGAACATTATTGAAAAAATACGAAAAATATCAAATATGCATAATAAATCATGGTTAGTTTTACTGTATGGGCAGAATGTAGTGTATGGTACACAAGAGTATGAACTTGAATACCTAAGAATAAATACGTTAATATACACCTTTGAATCCTGCTGTTTATGTGTTTTATTTAACCTTAATATTGTTTCGCAATTTTTCAAGGATAAAAAAAGAACAAAAGGTAAATATTTTATATAGACAAGTATCATTTATTGAGACAAAAATTTAAGGGCTATAAAGAAACCTTGTATACATATTTCTTTTACGGTAATAAAAATTACAATCGAAGTAACGTTTTTTTTCGAAAGCATCAAGAGCTTTTTGTTTATGAAAAAGAAATTAAATTTTTCACCTAAACAAAAAATGTAAATTATCCTAATTGTGGACAATTTTGACGCACATAAAAAATGTTCTCTTTTGACACATCAACCATAATTGTATTATAACCAGAATTCAAACCGAGCTTTTTGCTTTGACAAAGAGGAAGGTTACTCACGAGTGAAAAAAATTCCCAAAAAACTCAACAACTTGTAACTTGTCAAGGTGATACTTCTGTTTTATTTTTCTCCGCGTTTACGCTCCTCTCTTCGTTCGCGAGCTCGGCAAAGCACCCGTGTTACAATACACACAGTCGCGACAACATTAAAGCTTCGACACAACTTTGCTAAATTTATTTATTATTTATTCGATTTATCTTCTCGCATTTTATCTATTTTTTTTTTACTTATTACTTCACCTGTCCGAGAGGTCGCGCGTCAATTCCAACAGTTAATATTAATGAAGTTTCAATGTTAATTAATAAATACGCTATAAAAAAATTGACGAAATATTTTACACTATTTTACACAGTTCAATAGTCTTGAGCAATATCATAAACATATTGAATACTTTCGTGAAAAATTGATCGACTACTTGGCTTTTATCAACTAAAAAAATATGCGGATAGGTACTTTATTATTCGTTTGTATATAAATCGTTGGAAATAATGATTTATTATCTTCATACTAATATAGGGACCTCGATCGGACATTGTATATAATGCGTATTGATGCACTTAGTCTTATTGGTTTCAATTAAGCCTATTATTTCATATTTAAAACATTCACACACGAGTCTCATCATTTTGCGTTCCATTTTTTGTTACGCCGTATATTCGAGTTATTGGCTTGTCCATGGCTCCCTACGTCAATTCATTCTTTTTTCCATTCCCCCTAATTAATATTATCATATACGTATGTACGCAGTATAATTTTACACATCTCAATTGTGCATATATTATTATTTACTTATTTTTTGTACAACCAAATAACGATGAGATACGAATATACGAAAGCGCGGAAATAAGCGACGGGTGATGTTTTTTATAATTTAATTTGAGTTAAACAGTCTCACACAATTTCATATTATAATTCCTGATCACGCATACCATAAATATTTTTTACAGTATCCTTGATAGTTATTAGCAATGATTTAGCATAGGTTCTTGCATCGAAGCTTTTTTGGATTCGACACGAGAATATCGTCGCTATTAACGTGGAATTGAACAATCCATATATTTATGCTAGTTATATTTAAATTAAAGTACGAAAACGTAATGAAAAACGAAAAAGTAAGCCTTTTTCTCATTTTTCATATAAATTATACATCTAAAATTTTTGCATACTTAGCAAGAGCGGTATGTTACACTGTACATGACGAACTCTCGATCCAAGTAATCGTCCCACAATGTTGCTACATTAACGATAATCGAAGAGGCTTTTCTTGTCCATGCAATAAAACGCGTGCGACAATTATAATCGACGAATATAAAGTTCGGAAAAAATTAGGATACTTTAAATTATCGAACGGGAGAGTTCACGCCGATGCGCATTCAACAAATTGTCTAGGTAATATTGCACAAATATGTATATGTACGTAGGTATACGTTTTTCCTTTTTTATTTCGTCGAAACATAACATTAAATACAGATACACACGACCATAATACACAAGACGCGAATATCGCTTCCAGGCTTCAAATTAAGAAAAAAAACATATTGCAGATTTTACTAATTGTTATTAATTTATAATTTCAACAAAAAGATACAAGTAATTATTCGTAAATCAACTAAATCTTTGTTTGCGGTAATTCTATTATAAAAAATAAAAGCTGTGAGCAATGTGGCAGACATATTTGTGATGACATAAATACAATTAATAATTACAAAAATAAAAGAGAAAAAAACCAACAAAACTCATTGTATCGTTAGAAAGAAAAAAAAACTGACGGCCGAGACGCAGTAAATTTTTGTCTTGCTTTTGGTTTTCTTTAAATACATCGAAAAAACGCTGATACAATATCGACACATCATTATACATCGAATCGTTTACAATACAATAAACGTGATTAGCGCGGGGATATAAACGGCGAAACATCCTCTACATTGGCCTTAAACATTATAAACAAGTACGGTCCTCTGAGAAAAACGCATATTAGAATTCTTCGATATTACATTATAATTATGTGTTATTTTGAGTCTCGATGAATCGACGATGAAGAGGGGATGAATCCTTTACATTTATTTATAAGAGAGTTGTTGAAATTTGTTTTGTCATTTTTCTTTCTTCTTGTTTATACATATACAAAGAATTAAGTCTTGTGCTGAGTCTGACACGATGATATACAATAATGATATACAACGATGACGAGTCGATGAAAACGGTGTAACGTATATAATGTTGTGTATGCGCGTATGTGTGGCGGTCGTTGCTTTAATGGATAATACGATTATACACGGAGCTTTACGATGTCGCTCTGAGCTTTTCCATGGATGGGCAGAGCGTGTCGTCGAGCGTCGGGCCTCGCTTCAGTCCGCATTCGCCGGTCCATCTGGCCTTGCCGCTGGCGTGCGACTGTAGACAGAAGAGAAAAAAAAAATTAGAATAAATAAAACATCGATACGAGTGAAAAAACGAAGCTGTACGTATATATATAGGCTCGAGCGAGAGTATCGAGCGACGCTCGAGCTTTTATGGGGCAGTAGATCGTCGGGCCGGGGGCTGCAGTCGACTGACCTGATTCGCTCCGATAGGACAGGGTGGGTTAATGCTCATGCTGCTGCTGCTACTACCACTTGTACTTGTACTACTACTACTATGCACACGGCTGCAACGTGCCGCAGAGAGACAGCGAGAGCGAATATTGCGTCGTAGCAAATTAACGCGGACATGTATACGTACAACGGACGTCGCTCGCAGTCGGCTCGTGCCGTTTTTTCTTTCATGTCTTTTTTTCTCTCCGTGTCCGAGACGCGATATTGACATAACGCGAGTTTAAAACGTTTCGAAATTTTCATAATACATCGATCTGTAATACCGCACGCGGACCAGGTTACGAGCTGCGCGACGCGTCTACGTCGACGTTGAGGAAATATATATGCGCACGGTGGAGAAAAAAATGAGGCCGTCTAGAGGAGAGCTCGTTTTTTTCCTCTTGATTTTTCTCGCGAGCCTCGAATCGAACATTATGGCGTGTGTACGAGTACTTACCATGGTGAGGTCGCGTTTCCAGTCGACGTTGCATTGTCCGTTGCATTCTGGGCATGGCCGTTTGAGAGAGTAGCCGCCGCACTCGCTGCAGTCGAGCGATACGTGCTCCTCGATCCACGACACTCCGCATCTGCAAAATAATAAACGATCGTAAGCCTCATTAGTCGCAGTGTCGCGTCTCTCTACGCGCGCGTAATTATGATTTATTTATAGAGTTACGCGTGGCATAGACGTAAATTTCATTGGCTCGCGATTTCGCGACTTTTGCATTCGAAAGTTGACAACGTCTGCGCGTGCAATGGGTTAAATTTTGCATGGTGCAGCCGAGGCACGTGGATTATATGTAGGTTTTATGATACGTATATATGAAACTTGTCAATGCAAAGTCGTTTATAAAAAGCTCTCGAGGACGTTGGCTTTGCGAGAGACTCGAGGTGCATATAACTTATGCATCTATACGTATATACATTTCTATATATTTTTTTTTTCTGCAACGCTCAGTTCTATGCACGTGCCATCAATGTTATTATATAAAAATAATAAGCCGCGACAGCGTCTGCGGTACTAACGTCACCCGACGGATTTCATTACGACGATATAAAATTTCACCGAAGAGGACCATCTCCATACCCTTTAATGGAAATATTTCGTAATTTATGTAGCTTTAATAATGACGACACTGCCACACACGTGCTATGCGCTCAACGATCCATCATCTGGCGCTAATACAACAATAGCACAATGTAGACATAAATATACGACCTCGCTTGATAAATAATCCGACTGATCTCTCTCCGAAACTCGATGTCGTGCTTCCATAATTTGGCTCGCAATATATTTTCACCGGTAATAAGATTGAGCTTGCGAGGAGTATCGAAGGGTTCGATATCATTAGATAGGTGCTGGGCTTTGATTCGATTAACGGCGCGCGCGCGCCTTCATCGTCTATATGTGTACGTAGACGCGTTTCGTCGATTAATGACCCAGTTCGTCGTGCGGCGGTATAACGTGCACATGCTACATCATACTGCTCGAGTCGCAGTGTATCGCGTCGCGTCGTCCGACCTAGATAATAACGGACTTGGACACGGAAAATTTTCGGCAAATTCGCGTCGCGCCGCCACGCGGTTTTTCTCGATCGCTGTTATTATTACGTACAGCTCGCGCGAGATATATATACCGCGCGTCCATTATGTACTACTGCGCGCATACATATGTACCACGAGTTGCATAATTGCGCAATTGCCACATACACGCGTACTCTCGATGGTTTTTTTTTTTTTAGGCGCGTGTGTTTCATTGTCGTATAGAGCACACAGTGTGTGTCTGGCTCATACCACATACCACAAGGCGCCAAGCTCGAATTATCCGGTTCCATTTGTCGCGCCGCGGCGGTAGTCGCCGCTTATTATACGTACGTGCATGCGTCGTCGCCGTGCAGTGTAGCGCGCGAGATCGGTAATTCGATCGATCGCGTGCGTTTTGGATTTTTTGTCGGGCCAATGTACACCGCACCAGTCGAGAATGCGCACGACCGACGACACGAATTCCGAGGCCTCGATCCGCGGTCAGAGTATGGCGCGCCTTATTGATTATTTTCTATAATTTCGTACCGAATGTGCGGTACAAATATAGACGCGTCGTCCCCCGCGCTGCACTCGCCGCTGCTGCATATGTGCAGTCGAAGAGATGCAACGTCACACACGAGGCTACGTCACACGTATATAGCGTATATGTAGAGCTATATAGATGGAGCGTGCGGTGCGAATTATATAGATCCTCGAGTGTAGCAGCTCGCACGCCGAGAGAACGTGTACTTTAGCCGATGCGCTTCCGGCATTGATCGATACGCGCATATCTATGCACCAAGACGCTACTTTACATGCTACACAGTGTGTATATACGTGTAGACGAGCGAAAGCTCGACCTATATACATATGCACATCGGCTCGATATATGCGTGGCTTCTTAATATATAAAGCTAAAATTGTATATTTGGACGAAGATGCAAATCTGCGAGAGCGTATATAAATGTGCGCAGTAGTTGGAGCACTCGCGCCTATATAGCTGCTGCACGTATGTATATTTCTGTGCTCGCTGCCCCGTTCAGCGTGCACTCGTTTCTTTTCTTCCTTCGCGCACGCGTCTCTAGGGTACTGTATACGTCCAACGTAACGAGAAAGGACGTTAATCTTAGATGCTGGATATCGATATGTAGATAGGCTTACGTGAAACAGGAGTTGAGTTGGGCTCTGAGCTCTTCGATCGTCAGGATGGTGTCTTGATACTGGGGATGAGATCCGAGCGTCGATTCCGTATCGCTGCCGCATAAGCTGTGACACGAGAGCGAGACGTTGCTACTGCAAAAGTTCATAAAAACATCGACTAATTAATACATGATCATGTTATTACGAAATTTTCAATTATTTCATCACGTCGTCGAGGCGCGAGCGACTTAATGAACGAGATAGGTAGAGAGAGAGAAAAAAGATTAGCAGACTGGCTCGAGCCAGGTACTGGCATAATTTTTCATCTCTTTCTCTCTCGTAAATGCATATACGATATCCTGCCCGGTCTTTATAATGAAGTTGCACACGTGCATATCATATACATCGCATTTGGGATATATTACAAGTGCAACGGCGCGCCGCTGCTACCGCCGCCGCGTCACGATAATAATGTGCATTATCATAACTCAACGCGTAAAACTTACGTAATCTCTCTCGCTCGATTCGTATATACCTTTTGCATGTCTTGTATACGAGCATGTGTGCTCGCGAGCGTTGCTACCACGCGAAAACGTGCAAACTTCTCGTCCAGACGAGAAGTAACATTATATACAATTCGGTATCTTTTTTTTTCATTCGAATATGATATTTTTTTTATCATTTATTGGCCAGTCGCGCCGCAGAACAGTTGGAAAGTGTGCCGAGATCTGCGCAACTATATATCCGAGCTATGATTTACCGGCTAAAGATCTGCAATAGCGCAGTGGTGTTGCTTCGCTAATTAGAATTTATCGTTTTTCGCTATTAAAGTAAGCTTCCCTCTCTCTAAAGAGCCGCGTGCACGCGGACTCTCCTATTGCACGAATCCTCGAAATACGTGTATGGATCGGCTAGCACGCGAAGTTGTTTTTTTTTTTCCTCAACGTGAATTCTTCGAACGATCGCAGGTATAACTTTGTGCATCGGCGTTTCGCGTTGCCCGTCGATAAAAAAAAAAAAATGTTTCTCTCTCTTCGTTTCGACGACGACGACGACGACCGCGCGTACATGTAATACGTATAATTACGCAGGCGTGTGCGTCTCTCGCAATTATCATATGCACACACACACTCACAAAGACGGAGAGAGAAAGATACACGCATACAGCGAATCGACTGCGCGTCAACGACAATATATACCGTGATGTATATAAAGTAATCGATGACTTTTTGCTTTGTTTATTTGAGGAAAAGGTCTTTGACCAGAGCTCGAGCGCGTACGTATATCGTTGGCGAATAATTGACAGCCGAAGGAGCTTTATATACCGCGCGCGAAGAGAGCTACTACTATATGCGCGTCGAGGCCGTCCGAGTGACGATCGCGTATATTATATGCACGCATCAACTCGCGTAATACCGATGCGTTTGAATATTTTACAATATTTTAATTTGTCGCCAAATGTATAAATACATATAATACGAGTTGCGAGATATATACACACGTGCGCCGCGCGGATATTCTATATCATCGCCGATACAAAACGTCGCGAGCGCAAGTCATTATTAGCAATAAAAAAGTGTACGATCTATAAAATCGATACTCGAACTCTCTTTGGTTTCCCCTCCAAACGTCCTCTTTCTCTCTGTTAAACGATCGTCGCGAACGAGCTGCCGCGTACTTTATCGTTTCTACGCACATTAACGCATACGCGCGTAGGGTTTACGGTGATAATAATTTATAATGGACAACAACGCCTAGTGAGAAAGAGAGAAAAAACCTTGAACTTGCGTTCGTGGACGCACGAACGTATAATCATAATGCATAGTCGCTTATAATATATTATATACAGAGCGAGAGAAGATGCGGCTGCCGGTCTTTTATATAGCATGTCCTGCGAGCTGTGCGTGTTCAACGTCGCTAATAATGGCTGATACACCAATTATAGCCGGGGAACCCCCGTGCCGCATGCACACGATGCATATATAGGATATACAGCACTTGCGCGAGTATGCAAATTTCTCTCTGCGCCTGGATATATATTTCTAGCTGCCCACGATCATCACGCAACTCGCTCGTGGCCCGATCACGTGGGCAGAAATAATCAGTTTCTCCCGCGTGCGCGTAATATATACAATATACACTCGATCGAGTACTGTTTATTCTTTTCGTAGCTCCATTTTTGGCATATGAGATATGTATTTCGAAAGTGACACGTGTCAATATACCAAGTAAGTACGGAAAAAAGAGAGAAACGGAGAAAAAAATCAAGTCGGATATATTACAGGCAATCGACGCGATTAGCCATGGACGTGCACTTATAAGTCTCGAGTCAAAAGCTGCTTTCGTAAGCCGCACGTACGTGTATCGTACACGAGCATGCACGAGCTTGCGAGCTGCACATGTATAAGCTCGTACGTAATGTAACAAGAAGGGTTAATTCGTGCATCAGGGCAACGTACGTACGTCACTATCCCGGGTAATTTCACTCTGACCGTCAAACTATTACGATACGCGTATAATATTGTATTAGATGAGAAAATTGCTTCTGAGTCTTTATTCACTTGAGCAACGTGTCAGCTCGCATATACATAATTCGAGAAAAGGATTCACGTGACGCTATCGCACGTATTGTAGCGCTTCGTATTAACGGCCGCATAAAAGGATGCACTTTATGTGTGTGTGTGTGTGTGTGTGTTCGTTCATATTCACCCACACTACGTATAATACGCGACCATTAGCCGCGCGCACGCTTAGCTCAAATGTGTACTTGAACCTGAACATTGCGGCACACCAACTACAATGTCGCTCGTACTTATATGTATATTCGAAATATAAGCGAGACGAGCCAAAGTAGCAACTTGTATGTGTGTGTGTGTATGCAATGCCGGGGCTAATTACGTAACAATATAATGCAGAGCGAGCCGCCGCCGCCGCTGCCGCTTTAAAGCTGAAAAGCTTTGCTCCCGAGTCAAGTGTGTCGTGCATAATACGATGCGCGCATGCCATTTGACAGAAGCATCTCATCCTCTCTCTCTCTCTAGTTTTACGTAATTGCCTTATATGAATTATGATCGCGCGCGATTGTTACACACCTTGGCGGCGCGCGGCTGGAGAAGTGTGAAAAGTCGTCATCGGCGTCGCGTCTCGTGCACGAACGAGCAAATGCGAAAAAGCTCTTAATCGCTCACGCGATACACGATTCTAATTAGCAATAATGCATTTTCATAAGTATAGCTTCCGTCGGCATGCGTCAAGTGGCTTTTTCACCTGCCGACTGCACATACCGATCATAAATCGGAAGTAAACTCGTCGTCGGAATTGAATTCGCTCCCCTACTCTCGGCGTGTCGTTAGCGGCCTCGATGCATTGCTAAAAATCAAAAAGTGCCAATCGATTACTCAGCCTCGAGACGTACGATTAATAATCTCCTTGCTCATGCATAGGCTTTTTCAATGTATATTTAAGAATTCAGTTAGAAAAGCGGTCTTATCCAGTCTTTGGCACGTGGCTATAAGGCTAGGCTAGGCTATATGCGACTCTAAACACGTACGTAATAAAATGTATAATCGGAATTTAACGCTCCCATATAGATGCGGATCGCAGAATTAAGGCGAAACGATGAATCAGAAATGCCTTTGGCGCTCGCGTGGTGTTAAAGGCACGCGTCGAAGAGCAGCTTCGATGAATGGCAAATGCGAGCTAGCGCGCGCGCGACAGCGACGTTATACAAATAGAAGCTTTGGTCCTATTGTTAGGTCATAGCTGGTCGAGCTTGATTTAGAAGCGATGAGCTTTTTCGATACACGCAGCGCGCAAACGCGCATACAGTTGACTGGCTCGAGTTTAAATGTATAAGAAACTAAGCTGCCAGACCGATTATTTTTTTCGAGGACACACTTTCACGTCCATTGTTTTCTTTGTGCGCGAGCTTTTCTCGGTACGAGCGATCGGATTAATTGCGATTTTGCTCGAAAACTTTATTTTTCGAAACGAATGTGTTTGCGATCTGGCAGCTTATTCAATCGTCTGTAATCGACGCGGGCTTGATGCTTATACATTGTTTTCATCGCAGGTTGGAAAACACATCGAACTCCAAATTTTCCACGTTTCCAAGTCAGTGCACACGAGTCTTGAGCGCATGTATCCCACGGAAAGGTTAAAAAAAAAATCATCGTCACCGGCAGCTCGGTTCGACGACGACGACGACGACGACGACTCGTTATCTCGCAAAATTTTCCAAGCACATTACACATGTAAGTGCTGTGCACTCGTTGTTATTATCCTGGCTGTATAGTCGCTAATAATGTTTCTCATGGCCAAACAAAGGCACAATATTCAACTCATTACGGCTCCCAGGTGCAGGTATTATGTTTTTCTTTTTCAATTCGATGGAGTCGCAAAAAACGCGTACATTCTGCTATCGATTAATACATGATAAAAGAGTAAACTTACTTGGTACGAGAGAGACTCTCCGAGTTCGTTTGTACTGAGGTAGCAGACATTTTGCTGTCTTTGAGTTTGTTGTTACCTGCAACAGTTGAAGAAAATTATGATTATTATTTCGTAAAATCATCGCGATCTTCGGGGACGGAATAAGAATTTTCGATTACATCCAGGACGTATTAATCACTTTTCCACGCTCCAACATAATACAGAGGATTAAAAATCCCACGCGAGATTTAGCCAATTTAATGAGAACAAAAACAATCGGTTACGCGCGCCTAGTCTTAACGACTCGAAAGCTCGTCACGATCCAAATGCGAACGATAATGGAAGCTTTGGAACATCCACGTACAACGATTCACTAGTTACGTTAGTCCAGGCCTTATTAATTTTTCACGTACATAACCAGAGGCAATATCGGAGTACATCGATGCGTAAAGCAGCAGCAGCAGCAGCAGCCCACGCGCTCGTCCATATAACGTTGATCTCCGGTATCGTAATCGCCGCTGCTGCACCGCGTATAAAGCTCGCTGATAAAGTTCGTGTGACGCAGAGTGATATTGGACTAGCTCATATAATGCACTGCGTTCCTGTGTACTCGTTTACAAAAGTGTACACACATCTCTCTCTCTATGCACGTGCGTGTCGAGAAATAATCGATTTTATCCAATTGCGCTGGGTGACGAATCAAGGGCACGACGTCGTCGACACGTGCTCGATTCCAAAGAGTGAGAGGCGCGAGGGATCGGGGTGCGAGACTATATTGATATAGCGAGCTTTGGAGGGCACGAAAAAGGCACGTACACGATCAGCGAACGCGAAAACACGGCTGCGATCCCGAAGCTGGCGAGCTTCGACGCGACCAAACAACAATAACAACTCGAATTATCCAATTCGCGAGGATCTACGTAAAAGCGATTGGTTAATCGCGCAGCATCGAGTTTATAAGCCTCAAGCACCGAATGAGCCGCGTGTAAATATCCGCCCGATCGTTGCATGTACGTGTAATGGCGCTTGCGGAAATTCTCAACTGCTTGCACGCACACGTACGCTCGAATTCGAGCTCGCGACGAGCTTTCACCGCGCGGAGACTCGTGCGTTTTGCGAAACTCGTTGCGCATGTGCACGGATTACGGCAATAATAATTAAAGCGCCAAAACTGCGTCATTCTCGCTAGCCATGATGCGGCTTTATTTTCGAAGAGAAACAAACTTTCTTCGCTGCCTGCCTCTGGTTAACATCAGTTTACGTTTACAATATATATTATAAAAGCTCCGCACGTGTGCCGCGAGGAGGAAAAAAGATACCAAGAGTTCTTCGACCCTGAGCCGAATATAAATGTATTATTATGATTCCCGAGTCGATTACCACGACAACGATGACGACGTCGACGACGACGACGACGACGACGACGATGGTGCGTTTAAGCTATTTTCGTAGGAGTGGGAGTGCGCGTCTGTTTGCCTTCAGCCTGAGCTTAACGAGCCAGAAAGGCTGCGAGAGAAGAGGAGAGAGAGAGATACGTTTTTGAACTACTTTCACGAAAACGACGCTCGAGCGCATATAATTTGAGGTCGGTAATTTAGCTGATTCAAGGGTAATTAGAGGCAAAATCGATTATTTCTCGTCAACTCTGATAGGGTAGATGTTAATATCGTTTTGTTATTATCTAGTACAGTACAAACATTTTGTGTAACGTCCATACACTCCATTTTTTTTACCGATACGTCGGCCAGCATTTGCGTCATTAACGACGTCCAAGTGTATACTATAAACGTTAGTTTTTAACGCTGTGTTTACATATAGTATTCTAATCGCGTGACGAGCAGAGAAGTTCAAACACTTGGCAGCGAAAAAAAAGAAAAATTGAAAACTGTAAAAATCCGGGACATGGCGATGCTAAGTACGATTCGCAGAAAAAGTCGGTCGTAATATGGAAACGCGCGAGTTTGCTCGCTCGAGCTCGTGATGGACCTAAAAAGAAGTTTCAAATGCTTGTTATTATACACACAAGGAAAAGATAGATATAAGCTCTTGCAGGAGCTTATCGAGGGTTCCTGGCTTGTTTTTCCCCCAAAGTTATGAGTGAATATATTGAGCTTTTTGCATATAACTACGATTATTCAAAGTTCTAAGATCGCCACATGCCGAGAGAGTCAATTATCATTTCAATGCGGTTTATTGATATGCCTTAAAAAAAAGTGTGAAGAATGTGATGAAGATTACCGAGAGCGGCATAGATATCTACTCGTGTGTGGCAATTTATCGATCTAAATACAAAATGATGTTTCTCTTTTTTCCTTTCTTTTTTTTTTATTCAACAGCTTCGTTATTAACTAATCGATAAGGAAGAAAAACAAAAAGAGAGCCTCGCAGCTCGCGATATACGAAACAAAAACTGATCGATGCCCGAGACAAAAGAGAACGATATGCAATAATATTTGCCGGTATGATTAAATCGTCGTGTATATTGCATACGTACACACATTCATATACCTGCCTACATATATAGCAAACGATTAGCTTTTGCTTTTCGTGTTCGATGACAAATTCAAGATGAAAACACGCGGCAATGTACACACGCATAGGCCAAGAATGCGTATAGACTAACGCGTCACAATTGCGCGGCATAAGTGAGATCGCTCTAGCACGCGATGATAAAAGAAACACGATGCAGACGATGCGAGAGAGATAGCGACTCGCGGGCAGGTGCGCCTTTCATTCTGACAACACACAATGTTTTCATCCTACGCAAAAAGCTGCGAAAAATAAGAACACACTTTCATTCGACATTGACGAATGAAAAATCAGTTTGGTAAACACAGACTTTTTACACGCATCACGCCCACTTTTTTTATGCACGAGCACGGTTCGCGCAGGGCTGAGAATATATGAATTCGTAAAAGCCTGCACTGCTGCTGGTGCGAGCGTGGGTGCACAGTTATTGTAAATTCGATTTCACGCGATGGTGCGGCCGAGTGATCGAGTGAGAGCAATTTTCCCAGCGTGAGAATGTTCATTTGTTTTTCACATCCGTTATCGAAGTTTTCCGGAATTTTTCGCATGATTAAAAATTCAATTCACGCTGCGCCGCGAACTTGCTCTTGGTTGTATAGTAGTCGTCGTCACTCTCGAGTGAAACGTCATCGCGCTCAGCACAGTGCACTCCGGGAAAAAACAAAGTGACGCGTTGAGCGTGTGTAAATATATATAGTATACGGCCGAGGTAAAAAAAATCGATATTTATCCGATAGTATACATTTTTATAGCTCGTGTCGTCACTTTTTACAATCGAAAATCTATACGTAGTAGCTGCCTAGTAAATTTTGTCGCGCTGCTGCTGCTGCATGCGCGTGAGCGCAAACGTGAGGATAACGCGTCACTTTGTTGCTACTTGTCATTATTATTGTTCCGCAGATGTAAATGCTCTGTGCACACGCGAAAACCGCAATGACGACAATACTTTATTATATAATTATTAGAAAGAGAGAGAGAGACGGAGAGGAAAACACGCGTTGATTACGTTTTTAACGTTTAGACACGCGTCGAGCGAGCGACGAGAGGATTTTACAAAAAACACGAGCACATCCATTCAATGATCTTATCTATGTTGATGTTTTTATTAGAGAAAACAGCAGGTGTAACATTATCATCCAACAATAGCCCCTATTTTTTCGTAGCGCAATTAACGGATCGATCGATCGATCGGTAAAAAATTAATGAACAATGTATTTTTCCTCGCGAAAGTCATTTGCCAAAGTACACAAGACCGGTCCAAGGTGAAAAACATTCATACTCTACTAACTAGACGATTGGAAAATTTTTGATGGTACATTTAAGCGAAGGTCGAGTAAAGATTAGATATTTTGATTGCGCAGAGAGATGATTGAAAATAAAACTGAAATTGTTATAACGTACTTTGGAGGATATAATAAAGTATAAAAATCGTCACTTTCATTAACGCTAAATGAAACGAAGTTAAATGTCCTGGAAGAAGGTCCTTACAGTGCTCTATGTAATTGAAACTTGGCAAGTTGTCAAGATAATATCGCAAGAATCAGGATAATTTTTGCTTCGAAAGCTCCAGAAGCACTAGAGCGTGTGTTTTTTTTCTCTCTGGCCTAAGTGCGCATTATGTTGACTTTGTTTTACGAACTCTCTGGCACACGAGCATGGAAAACAGCATAGAGGCAAAAAGTTTTTTCCTTCGATCGATACGTTTTTATCACTCGAGATAAACACCTATGAAACCTTATTTACGTTTGATCTGGCGAAGGAGGGGTGGAATTAAACGTCGTTCTGCTCATGTGTATGCTTGGCAAAATTTACACGAACAAGCCATCATCGCCGTGCGTGTACACGATCGCGAAATCCATCAGTATCATAACTCCGTATACGTATGCGGGAGCTCATGCATTCCGACGCCAATACGAGTGCTCGGTTCGACGAAGGGCACAAAAAGAAAGAAGGGATATATAATACGTACGCAGAGAGTCGATGACCTCAGCGATGTTCGCGTGTATATTATACGAGGCGGCAAGGGCGTGTTCGTCTGTATACTCGATCCGATCGTGCCGTGTACTCGAGCAATGCCAAGATATTGACCCAGGTCGCGACTTTACGCGTTTAACTTGTCTGGCATCGAACGCTGTAATGTCGATGGATGTCGTCGGAGGCGGCGAAACTTTTTCTACGCAGTTCTTTCGATAAAAAAAAGAGAGAAAGAAAAGAAGCGTCGAAGAGGCGTCGGGGCACAGTTTGACAGCGACAGAAGAGTTTCGATAAGAGAAGAAGCGCCTGCCATCGACTTATCTATCTCTCTCTCTCTCTCTCACCTGCGTCGAGCTAAATATAAACATTGAAAGTAGTTGGCCTCAAGTCTAGGCACACGCGCGTCGATTATCGCGACTCCAACATCTCGTATGTAGTAACGAATCACTTTGGATATTGTTTCTTCTTTTTTTTTCTATCGGCGGTGGCCGATCGTTGATGAATGACTGCTTACTATTCGGAATGCATCTGCGAGTTTAGCTATAATATAACGGAGATTTTGTCAGGAAATGCCAGTTAATGGATAATCCTCTT